ACAGCCCTTTATTCTCAAAGAGGCTATGTTCAAGAAATGCACTCCTTAAAAACGGGTACCGGAGCACAGCGACACTTACTAGTGAAGTGATCTGAGCACCAGACAGCCAGATTGTACTTGAGGTGAAAGTAGCCCCACCTACTTCACCACTACACTGGTTTGTGGGCATACCACTTCCACCTATCAATGTGTTTGCAGTCCTTTGCCCTCTGGTTAGGAATTCTTTAGAGTCTATTTGGCATAATCGCATGTGTCACCCAGCTCAGGCTGTTCTCAGACATATTTGCAGATTAGGTCTTAAACAAGACATACAAATACACAGGGAGCAATCCTCATGTAAAGGTTGCACACAAGGCAAGTTGTCTTCTGAAGCTTTTAAACCTTCCTGGAAATGTGCTATGAAACCTCTTGAATTGGTCCATGCTGACCTTCTCGAACTACCTGTTGAATCCTACCTTCAGTCCAAATATATCTTAACCCTCTTGGATGATTACTCATCCTACAGTTTTTGTCTTTACCTTCACAATAAATCTGACACCTATACTGCTTTTGCCAACTGGTTGGTTTCTATGCAAAATACAACTGGACACCATCTTCTTGCACTCCATTTGGATCAAGGGGGAGAATTTATGGGTCATACCTTCAAAGCACTCCTTTCTTCACATGGCGTTACCCACCAATTATTGATTGCCAATCAACCACAACAGAATGGTCATGCAGAGCAATTTAATCGCACAATATCCAAAAAAGCAGGCACTATTTGACATCATGCTTGTGTTCCAAAATGCTTCTGGAACTTTGCTTTTGATTGTGCACTTCATGTGTACAATAGAACTCCCTTAAAACGGATTTTATTTAAAACTCCTGTCAAGCTTTTTTTAGGAAAAGTACCCAACATTTCTTATTTTCACACCTTTGGCTGCAAAGCCTTTGTATGGATTTCAAAAGAACAAAGAAAAGACAAATTGGAACCACATGCAATCAAGATGGTATTTTTAGGTTATGAACCAAATACAAAAGGATATTGATTCCTAAATGGTCAGAAGATCATTATTTCTTGAACTGCAAAATTTGTAGAAGACTCTTTTCCTTTCTGTTTGGATTCCAAGACCAAAACCTTTGACCCCAATTCTGAAGATGACCATGAATCATCATCTTCTGACTCTGAAAGCCTACATTCACTTCTGGATCCTGATCAGATCCAACTGCTGCCTCATCACCAGCAACCACATCATCCTAATACACCTCCACAACAATACCCACAGCAGAATAGAGCTGCAGACCAGCCTAGAGCTCAACAACCAAGAAGAGCACCTGCTGCAGTACCACCTGTCAACCCTCATCTTATTCAGCATCCTCATCAACTTCATAATATTCCTGGTGACTCCTGAAATGTTCAGAGAGCTCAACCTCCTGCTGAAGACAGAGAACCTTCATCCAAAGCGTCATTTTATTCCTGTTTCCTGTCCTGGAAACGTTTATGGAGATGGACCTCCTGTTCAAATTGAATGGGACATTCAACAAAACAGAGACCAAGCACAACAATGGATTCATAATGTGGAACATAATATCCATGAAAGAGAAGAAGCTTTACACCAATATAATGAGGAACACAGACCACCTTCTCCAGCTCTGCCACCAGCAATGGTACCTCCTCAAGTTCCTCATCAGTGGACAGAACATCCACAAGGAACTACTCCACCTTCTCCTGGATCACTGCTTACTCCACTTCCAGAATCTCCAAAAGGAATGCCAGATCAGGAAGCAGACATGCATCCTTTTGAGTTTGCTCTTGCTGCCCAGATCAAAGAATCTCTGGAACATTATAAAGATGTGCTAAAATTATCTCCTGATTTACAAAAGAAGTGGTTCGACGCTATGAAAGATGAACTAAAATCTATCAAGGAAAGACAAGTGTGGACTTTGGTGGATCCTCCTAGAGATTGGAAACCTGTAAAGTGTTGATGGGTATTCACTATCAAAAGCAATGGTCGTTATAAAGCTCGTCTTGTGGCTAAAGGCTTTACACAAGAATTTGGAACCGACTTTGAAGTCACCTTCTCTCCAGTCACTTGCTTCAAAACAGTGCAAATTTTACTCGCATTTGCTGCCCAGAAAAATTGGGAAATGGAAGCACTGGATGTAAAAACTGCCTTTTTATATGGAAACCTCGATGAAGAAATATATATGGAGCAACCAGAAGGTTTCAAAGTTTCAGGTCAAGAGCACAAGGTATATCAGCTGCTTAGAGCCCTCTATGGCTTAAAGCAAGCAGCACTTGCATGGAATAAAGCTTCTACATGCCTCCTTACTTCACATGGGCTATATATGCTCAAAAGTGGATGCTGGCATTTATATCTATTCCTCAAAAGCTGGCATGGTCATTTTCCTCATCTATGTCAACAATGGATTATTTCTAGGATCAGACAAACATCTTCTTAAAACCAAGAAAGAAGAATTCATGAAGAAATGGGAATCCCAAGACCTTGGTGAAGTCAAGGAATACCTTGGCATTCAAATTCACCAGAATCAATCAAAGAAAGAACTATATCTTGATCAAATTCCATATGTTAAAAAGGTCATCAAAAGGTTTAATATGGAGACTGCTCAAAATGTTCACACTCCATTACCATCAGGATATCAACTGAAGAAAGCACCATCAGATTATCAAGCCACATCATCTCTCAGATCTCAGTACCAATCTATTATCAGCTCTCTTCTATATATGGCCCTTGGTACTCATCCAGACATTGCATATGCAGTTATTTCGCATGTCACAATATATGGCGAATCCCACTGAGGATCATCGCAACAAGGCCTTGCATATAGTTCACTATATTGCATCTACTCCAAAAATGGCCTTATACTATTCTGGACTCAAATCTCAGATCTTTGGCTTCGTGGATTCTGATTGGGCTTCCAATAATGACACTCATCATTCAACTACCAGTTTTGCCATGTTCCTCAGAACATCCCTTATTTCTTGGCAGTCACAAAAACAGAAGACTATTGTGCTCTCCTCTACAGAAGCCAAATACATGGCTCTCTGTGATGCTGCACATCAAATCAAATGGCTCCACATGCTATTTGATGAATTAAAACTCAAAACAGAAAAGACCATACTATATTGCAATAATATGGGAGCTCACTTCATTGCTGAGAATCCTGTATTAGATGGTCATTCTAAACATATCGATGTCCAATGGCACTTCATTCGCAAATGTGTACAAGATGGTTTATTTGGTATTGAATACATTCAAACCAATAAACAAAATGCAGATGGTCTTACTAAATCTTTGATGTGGCAAAAATTTGAAACAAATCACTCAGTCAATGGGACTTGTTAATCTCCCATTCTAGAGCAAGGGGGAGTGTTGAAAATATCATAATAGTTCCAACTCTAGACTTACATGTGTATCAACACGTTGTACATCACATGACCTTGCTTGGTGATCAGCTCCACAAAGATGTCATTATGATATCATCTATTGCATCATATTCCATAGCAGTTCTCTGCTATTCTATACTCTATTTAGTAACTATACTGTAGCTCTTTCCTTATATGTTACTGGTCCATGCATATAGCTACATGTATATAAACTCAGGATATCTCTCCTAGAAAAATAACAACAATCATCATTGTCTCATTCAGACAATCTACTGTCCATACAAACACTCAAGCCCCAACAAACTTTACCTTATCAAAATCTATCTGCTAACTCATAAAGGCAAGTGCTCTTGTCTAGCTCTTTGTAGTAGCCTGTCCTCTGTGCAATAAGGAGTTGGTTCATTAGGTCCTTGTTGAGTGTGGCTTTGTGCACAAGTTCAAAAAACTCAAACTTACCAAGTGTTTGGAATGGATGCCAGGGTTCAGAGTCTTTTTCAATGACAGACTTCAGAGTTGCATTGTGATGAGAACAATCAAAGGTAGAGAAAGAGTTGAGGGCTGCAGGATGGCCACTCTTTGGGTGAAACTCAGTTTTGAAAGAATTGGGACAAGCAGATGTGAACAAAGGGACTTGGGAAGCAGAGAAGCATGATGGAACTGTATCATCTTCATTTTCAGAGGGTCAAACACTGGATATGCTGGTATCCAATCTGGAGCCTGTGCAATTGTCAGACTCAGATTACAACTTATTATATGACAATAGGAAAAAGGGGACTTATGCCCATGCAATTCCCCAGAGATGCTCATGGCAGCATCAGATGCAAGATCTCCTGCAGCATTACCTGTGAGATCTCTGATCCAGTCACAACTACAACAGGTGCAAAGTCTTCCAGGACAATATCAAAAGTTGAGGGAAACTCTTCAGAAACTGAGGCCAGATGCTCTTGCACAGTGATGGCAGAAACAGCCTCATGTGCCTTGTGTATACAGCACTTTTCTTTCCAGTGCTCTTCAGTTGAAATAGATGCTAATAAGGTTGTTGCTCTATTACATACACAGAAAAAAGACATACCTTTCCTCTGGACCTCTATCAGTTCTGCTGCAACACTTGCGAACTCATCTACCTGTCTTTGCTTTTCATTTCTCCAAGTACAACTAGCAATATGAGATTTGATGCCTCGAGCACTGAACAACAGGCCACAAGTTTCACAGGGGACTTGCTCCGTAGTTTTGATAACATATTTACACTTTTGTTTCATGGGGGGCATTATGGACAAGTGGTACAGAAGAAGGGGAATAGCAATGTACAAGCACAGATGAGGATGGGATACCATATTGAGACTCCCTTGAAAGGGCCGCCAAGCGAACGTAATGGTCACGGGACCTCTTGGAATAGGGGGGGCCTTCATTCCAACAAGCGACCACAATTATGATAAGATTGTGATAAGGTTAAAATTAGATTACAAGCGATCCCCAATGTGTCTAAATATGGCATAATTGCAACCCGGGTTCAGAAGTTTCCGACATGTTGTTGATTCTCTGCATCCCACTTCGACGACGACGACGGCGGCGGCGGAGATGAGCACACAGCGTAGTCCAGCGGTGATGTCCCCTCTGCAGGACAGACCCAGACCCCGTCCAGTCTTCCATCCGTCGCGAGTCAGCGCTGGGATGGAGCAAATCACAACAACAGCAACAGCAACAACCCTCGCCAACGACAACCAGTACCAGTGCAACTGCAACGACCCCACTGCGCATCGCCAAACGCGATAGCAAGCCGCCATTCCCACTCGTCGCACGTCGCTTGTCCTCCAGCTACAAACCTCCCAGAAACAACAACCTCGTCTCAAAGTCCCCCTTCAAATCGCACATCCCCATTCCATCCACATCAGACACCGCATTCCCCGTTCCTACCCGTGCCCCTCGTCGCGTCAGTGGCGAGAAACGACCATGCCCAGAGTCCATGCACGAGCAGGCGGAGAACGAGCGTCCCTTCGCATTCAAGCGCGAGCGACGACAGTCCAAAGCCTACCAAGGGCTCATAGAAAAAGAGCCCGTAACTAAGAGCCCGTTCAGACGTCCCCCAGAGTCGAATGGAGACGAAGACCACCCACCCCCACCTCCACCCAAGGTGGCATTGTCACCTCCTGCACAGCCTCCCTCGACCCCTGCACCCGTACTCTCTCGTCCTGTGACTCCCTCCCGTCCATCTCTCGTTTCCAAACGACTCCATGGTCCTAGAACAGCTGATCAGTCTTCCATAGATAGTAAGAGACGGAGGCGGAAGACGGTTACGTTTGACGAACGCTGCGACGTATTAGAATTCGACCGTGAAGAGGAGGAAGAGGATCCCTTCTTTTCATCTGATGAAGACAACTACGGAGAACCTGGCGCTGGTGAGGAGTTCGAACAAGATCACCATGCGCAGGACAATTGCCATCAGCCTCAAGACGCTGCTAACCAGGACAGTTTTGAGAGCATACAACTTGGAGACGGCGATCGCAGCATTACTGGCATAGTAGATGCCATGTTATAATCCGCTTCCGGGAGTGTGCCCGGTCTCAATCCACCTCCTACGATATGGTTCGTGATCACTCAGGCTCCTTCCAAGCACTACCAACCTATATAGACACAACTTACTGACAACGTATACAGTACCTCATTGCGTGTGTTGAGCGCACACCCGACTGTAAACTTGAGCTCGGGCATGAAGTGCTTTTCAATACGTGATCGCTTCACAGCTTGTTGAACGACTGCGTCAGAGGTAACTTCAAGGTACCACATCCAGTATTCGAGTTTGTACCAATGGACAGGGTATATTGAGCAAACTGTGCTCGCATGTTGTCTATGACAAAATTTTGGTAGATTAGTTACTTGTGGAATTAGTATACCTGGTGGCTACGAATCCGACACGGGCGTTAGTAGTGTCATAAATGCTATAGTAACGTTCCCTGTGCACACATGACCATCGCATCAGCTGTGTCAGAAGCAACTACGCAGAGGACTGAAAAACACATACAAGAAAGTATATCCGTTCGTGAAGTCCATGCCAGACCCAGATGGATATCCGATGTCGTTGACGACCAGGTAGATGCTACCGCTGCTCCCGCCGATTGCGTAGTTGAGAGACCGAGGCCATATCTGTGCGTTAGGGATGAGATCGTAGGTCTGCGTTCCAATGTGGAAGCTCAGTGTTTGGAGGTTGTTGTATTGTGATGGCGTGATGCGCAATAACCCGGTGGCATTATCCATGACGCCACCGGTTGCGGATTGGTATGTCTGGAACGCGTCTGTACCAATCAGCATGAATAGGGATCAAATGGATTTGGGAGTATACCAGTAGCGATGAGGATCAGAGTGGTGCCAGTGTCAACGGTACCAGCCGAGTTGGGTAAGATCGTCTTTCCGCCATACGTGATAGATTGATTATATCCCCAGAAGAGGTTCGACGAAGAAGTATCCGTGATCGGTGTGTAATGTACGGTGCTGGTGATAACAGATGGGTCGTAGCCACCAAATGTGAGCTTGCCTGAGTTGGAATCAGACGCCGGGGCGAAGTAGATCCCCAGGACGGCACTGCTGATCATTCCTTGGCTGTATAGATTGTCAACCACGGTGGGCACGGTGTCGACATTGGAGATGGTGCCTTGGGTGAGGTCTGCAGGACCAAGGACCAAGGACCCCATCGATACCAGTGCCGCTAAGACCCTGGGACTGGGTGGCGACACCGATGGATTGCTGGTTGATGGTAAGGCCATTGCCGAACGATACTGTGTCTATATATTCTACCCCAGAGAAATTTCCGGAGCCGTATGCTACATACTACCAATGTGACATCAGGCTTTAATGTCCGAAGGGAGAAAACTGTGGGCCGTACGACGGTGTTGCCAGTATAGTAGCTGGTGCTCGTGGGAGTGTAGGATTTGTTCGCGCCGACCCACATATTAGAACTTCCTGTATCGACCAGCAGAGTGTCTACCGCAATGAATCCCCGTTCAGCATCCACTAGCGGGTCACACGAACAACACTTACATTCTGTCGGAGGACTTCCGACGCTAACCTGAGCGGCATATAGTACTGCGGAGTTTGTGACGTTGACAGAAACATCGCGTTTTATATGCCCCCCCTTCACTTGCATGGATTTGATGCGAGCCCGGTCTGCGTCAGCGATACTGGACACCCCTATCGCATTTAGCCTGGCGGCGAAGCCGAGGGTAATCTTGCCAATACCACCGGACGTTGAGTTAACTGGGGTCGCGCCAACTGCAAGCAGGTAAATAGGAAGAACGGCCAACAGAGCTCTGCAGGGAAACATGATCGGATGAATGGGTCAGCAGCACGGGTACGCCCATTTTATGCTGTTCTGCGCAGTGGGACAGCAAGCTTCCTGGGTCAGTTCGGATCGATTCTCGGGATTGTTGGACAACGGTAATACCTTGGAAGCGCGATGGTGGTAACGAACATGACAAGCTGGCAGTCCTCGCGATGCATTTGTCTGTGTGAAGGACGCTGCCATTCGTAGAATTGGAGGCGTGGCACCAGTCGCGGTCACGTGCCAATCGCCAGGTTCGATCGCCCTGCCGAGGCTCATAGGAATGTGACCTGGTACATTTTGTTCATTTTACTTGTTTTTGTTTCCTGTCACGTCCGTACATAATAATGCATGCATCTGTGGTGAGCTGGTGAGCGGAGCTTACCACTGAACTACGCTCGACCGTTCTGCGTCGAAAGTGGGATGCATCCACCATGGGAATCATTCTGGATCACAAGGTCGGTGGCGAACATATCATATCATGTCTTCCGATGCTGAGGTAGTACTCAAGCACCTCAAATGAGTGGATATCAGTGTGTTTTCTAGTCTCTTTTCACTGGCACCGCCTGTATTTCTTTATTTTGAAGCCCAGCATAGGGACATTAGATATCAATCAACTTTATTGCGCTCCAATTTTCCCTCGTTGGAAGGCTGACTGAATTCTTATCCAAACCTTCTTGAAGCAAGTGGTTCAGAGGGAAACGTGTCGTTGCGCGTTTTGTATTTGCTATCAATGGACCTTGGACCCTGGTGCAATACCGTTTATGCGCCGACAGATTCCGGGACCTTAATGACGCATTTATACACTGCAAGAAAATTGCTTCGGCAATTGTAGTTATAGCTCCGAGAAGTGAAAGGAAGAAAGAAAGAAAGAAACCCTAATGTTGCATACCGGGATCATCTTCACGTTCATGGACGACAAGGAGAGCCTGGGAGGAACGTTGCACGTTTTATACAGACACCCCGTACCTTCAGGGGTCACTTTATCGGGCCAGGACTACTCACGAGGTCATGACTACTACAGTCGGTCTCCAACCTTCTCCAACAATAGGGAGTTTCCGCTTACTAAAAAATTGGATTTGGAGCTTGAAGCTTGGAGGTTGGCGGTTGCAAATCAAAACGTTGAGCAACCAGCAGACTGTCTCAGTTTGGTGGTTGTGTGAAGTTCTCGTGACTAGCACACACAATGAGACCTGAGGCACTGCTACTGAGTGTCACCAGTCGCAGTCTTGAGGGTGATAAGGGAGAATGGACTTGGTGGGGATCTGATGGGTACGTTGGTGTTGTCATCGAGATCAGACGGACACTGCTGAAACGAGGAGGAGCAGGGCACCTTAGTGATACCTGTTGTGATTTATACGCATGATTAAAGTCCCACGACAGTGGAGCCGGGGAACACTGAAATGGCTCAAGCACTTCCAGGCGAACACATAGCGAATTTGGAATCTTCGAATCTTCAGTTGAACAGAAACTTCCTAATGGAAAAGGAGCTCGGAATACAAGCAAAGGACATTCTGCTTGCATAAGAAAAGATATGTTATCTGGTTCACCGCCACGTGCATTTTACAGTGGTTTGAACGAAATATAAACAATCCACTTGAATGGTTCAAGGACGACGTACATTTTTTCGGGAGGACATGGCCACCAACTGATACCTGAGTTTTCTGTCAAAGTGAGGATCTTTGGTACCTCATCGGCGCTACAGATCTTCGTGCACTGCGGAAGCTCTCAAGTACACTTTGTTCTTGAATGCACCGCAAACCCTGGTCACTCCCAGTCTCTGTTCTCGTGTGTCGTCTATGACAAAATTTCGGCAGATTAGTTACTTGTGGAATCGGTATATTTGGTGGCTGCGAATCCGACACGGGCGTTGGTCGTGTCATAAATGCTGTAGTAGCGTTCTCTGTGCACGCGTGACCATCGCATCGGCTTCGCCAGAACTATGCAGATGACAATGACAGAGAAATACATACAAGAAAACGTAGCCTTTCGTGAAGTCTACGCCGGATCCGGAAGGATGTCCGATGTCACCGACAACAAGATAAATGCTATTGCTACTGCCGCCGATTGCGGAGTTGAGAGACCGAGGCCATATCTGTGCGTTGGGGATTAAGTCGTAGGTCTGCGTTCCAATGTGGAAGCTCAGCGTTTGGAGGTTGTTGTATTGTGATGGCGTGATGCGCAACAGCCCGGTGGTATTATCCATGATGCCACCGGTTGCTGATTGGTATAGCTGGAATGCGTCTGTACCAATCAGAATGAATACCGATCAAAGAGATTGGGAAGCGGTGTGATATACCAGTAGCGGTGAGGATCAAAGTGGTGCCGGTGTCAACGATACCAGCCGTGTTGGGTAAGATCGTCCTTCCACCATACGTGATAGATTGATTATATCCCCAGCAGAGACTCGAGGGAGGAGTACTCGTGATCGGTGTGTAATTTATGGGGCCGGCGATAACGGATGGGTTGTAGCCACCAAATGTGAGCTCGCCTGAGTTGGAATTAGAGGCCGGGATGAAGTAGATCCCCAACACAGCACTACTGATCGTTCCCTGGCTGTATAGGTTGTCAACCACGGTGGGTACGGTGTTCGTATTGGAGACGGTGCCTTGGGTGAGGTCTGCAGGACCGAGGCCAAGAAAGCCATCGATACCAGTGCCGTTAAGGCCCTGGGACTGGGTGGCGACACCGATGGATTGGTGGTTGATGGTAAGGCCATTTCCAAGTGATACTGTGTCTATATATTCGACCCCAAAAATGCTTCCGGAACCGAACGATGCATTCTACGAATGTATCGTTAGGCTGTAATATCCAAGAGAGGAAAATTGGTAGAACATACGATGGTGTTGCCAGTATAGTAGCTGGTGCTTGTGGGAGTGTAGGGTTTGTTCGCGCCAATCCACGTATTGGAGCTTCCCGCGTCGATCAGCAGAGTGTCTGCCACAATAAAGCCCTGTTCAGCATCCACTAGTGGGTCACACAAACATCACTTGCATTCCGTCGGTGGACTTCCGACGCTAACGTGAGCGGTGTATATTTGTAGGAAGTTGGTGACGCTGACGGAAGCATCGCGTTTTATATGACCCCCCTTCCTTCGCATAGATTTGATACGAGCGCGGTCTGCGTCAGCAATGTTGGGTATGCCTATCGCATTTAGCCCGGCGACGAAGCCGAGCGTGACCTTGCCAGTATCACCAGATGCTGGGTTAACTGGGGACGCGGAAACTGCGAGCAGGTAAAGAGGGATGACAGCCAACAGAGTTCTGTAGGGAAACATGACCGGATGGGTGGGTCAGCAGCAATAGTGGGTCTATTTTATGTTGTTCTGCACAGGGGAGCCATGTGGGACAGTAACCTTCCTGGATCGATTCCAGGGACTGTTGGGCAACGGTAATACCTTGAAAGCGCAAGGGTGGCAACGAACACGACATTTTTAACGGTAGTCCTCACAACGCACCTGTCTGTTTAACCGCCTACGAAGGGCGTTGCCATTCGGAGGGCCTGTTGTAGGGGGCAGAATTATTCTGAGATCTTGGTTTTGCCACTTGGTACAATTATTTGAGCGAGCGGACCAAACTCAACTGAACAATGGACAAGCAAGACCACTAGTCAACATCAACATGCCAACGACCGTTGTCTTCGACCTCCACGATCTCATGCAATGGCCCACCCCTTTTGGCACGATTCCCTCGTCTGTTGAGAACTTCTATGCCCGTCCGACTGCTCGAGCTGGTTAACCGCGGTCACGTGACAGTCGCGGTGAGCGATGATTCCCACGGTGGGTGTTGTTGATTCTCTGCATCCCACTTCGACGACGACGACGACGACGACGGCGGAGATGAGCCCACAGCGTAGTCCAGCGGTGATGTCCCCTATGCGGGACAGACCAGACCCCGTCCAGTCTTCCATCCGTCGCGAGTCAGCGCTGGGATGGAACAAATCACAACAACAGCAACAGCAACAGCCCTCTCCAACGACTACTAGCACCAGTACAACTGCAACGACCCCACTGCGCATCGCCAAACGTGATAGCAAGCCGCCATTCCCACTCGTCGCACGTCGCTCGTCCTCCAGCTACAAACTTCTCAGAAACAACAACCTCGTCTCAAAGTCCCCCTTCAAATCGCACATCCCCATTCCATCCACATCAGACACCGCATTCCCCGTTCCTACCCCTGCCCCTCGTCGCGTCAGTGGCGAGAAACGACCACGCCCAGAGTCCATGCACGAGCAGGCGGAGAACGAGCGCCCCTTCGCATTCAAGCGCGAGCGACGACAGTCCAAAGCCTACCAAGGGCTCATAGAAAAAGAGCCCGTAACTAAGAGTCCGTTCAGACGTCCCCCGGACTCGAATGCAGACGAAGATCACCCACCACCACCTCCACCCAAGGTGGCATTGTCACCTCCTGCACAGCCTCCCTCGACCCCTGCACCCGTACTCTCTCGTCCTGTGACTCCCTCCCGTCCATCTCTCGTTTCCAAACGACTCCATGGTCCTAGAACAGCTGATCAGTCTTCCATAGATGGTAAAAGACGGAGACGGAAGACGGTTACATTTGACGAACGCTGCGACGTATTAGAATTCGACCGTGAAGAGGAGGAAGAGGATCTCTTCTTTTCATCTGATGAAGACAACTACGGAGAACCTGGCGCTGGCGAGGAGTTCGAACAAGATCACCATGCGCAGGACAATTGCCATCAGCCTCAAGACGCTGCTAACCAGGACAGTTTTGAGAGCATACAATTGGAAGACGGCGATCACAGCATTACTGGCATAGTAGATGCCATGTTACAGTCCGCTTCCGGGAGTGTGCCCGGTCTCGGTTTACCCTCCACTCCGAGTCGTCATTCGTCTCTTCCTCCTGATTTAGAAACGGAAGGCGGTGTTCCCTATGGTCGATCCCATCATGCGGAAAGAGCGCGGCGGCGTGCTAGCGTGTCTTCGCCCGCCCTTTCCACTCCAGGTTTTCCGTTCCAAAATTCTCATTCCCAGAATTCGCCTTCCACTCCACCCCGTTCCACTGACAGCTCCGCAGTCTTGTCCGAATCAGAGGTACCACATGGACCCTCATCGCAAATCGAGCATACTCACGACGTGGTTCAGCTGGAGCAGGATGTCAACATGATACCACCCTCACCCAGCCCAATGAAAAGCGAGACAAAGATGGAGCACAATCGTAAAGATTCTCTTATACCGCGCTTCGAACTTAACCTTCCGAAGAATGAAAACTCCCCATCCACAACTGGTGAGCGAATACCTTACATTTCGTTACCGACTCTGAAGCTGAAGGTGTTCACACAGCCGATCCCTTTTCGGCCCCGCGAAGTAAAGAGGAGCCACACATCGCAGAGTCCTCGTTCACCTCTTTTGATGATCCAATGGACCCTGCGAACCTTTCCATTGGTCAGTCAGAGGTGTCATTGTCAAACCTCGACCTGGAGGCTGAGCTTCAGAAAGTCCTCCAAGGAAATCGCCCTGCAGGTGGGAATGAGCTACCCAAGCTATCGGAACTCATCCCTCGAAATTCGTCTTTTACAACGAGCACACCCCCTCCTCTCACACCTCCGCTTTCCTTTGCCGGTGCTTCCTCTGGTTCCTCCTATGTATCTCCGCATCCAGTAAGGGATGGAAGCCCTGGCCTCAACAGTTCACCAGGGAACCATTTGCCTGCATCGCCAATTGTTCCTCCGCAACTCCCGAGGTCACGTTCTGCCTCGCCTTCTGGCGTGATGTTGCAACGTAGCTCTGGTTCACCGAGCGCGTTACACTTGCGTAGACGGTCCGAGTCCCCTCTAACCCTGCCGTCTAGGTTGCTTACAGGTTCCCCTGCACTGAGGTCTGGGTCACCTTTGCGCGAGAAGGCTAGCGTGCAAGAATTGCTGCCCTCGCGGACGCCCAGGACTAGGATTAGCAGGGATGAAATACAGGCGCGGCTTATGCGGAAACGCAGCACGGAAAGTCCCCTGGGCTCTCCAGCGATTGCTCCACATGTTGATCTATCCGACGCCGTCGTTTCTGGCACTTCGACCCCTCCCCAGGAATCCAAACAAGAGATTTCGTTATCGGGCAGCTCTAGCGGAGAAGGAAAGCGCCCGGACTCTGTTTCTGTTACTACAGATGCCAGCGCCGAATTCGCTACAATCCAAAAAGCTGAGAAGATCGCATTGAATGCTGGTAACATCCACTCAGAACTACGGGGTACACCCATGGATCAGGGCGGAGGCAGCGCCAGCCATGAAAAGGTACTCTCTGTGGCAACGGCCGGAGAGGCTGCCCAGCCCAGACCGTCGCCGGCCCGACCGCACTCCATTGCTATGCTCGAAACCAGCTTTGATGTTGGTGCTGGACTTGGATTTGGTGCACGCGACTCCATGGGCTCTGTTCAACTTGGTGAGATGCGATCGGCGCTGGATAGGCTCATGGACCATGTCAAAGAGAGCTCGGGGTCGACGCCGAGCAAATTGGGTACCCATTCACAGGTTCGAGTGGAGTCCGTACCTTGGGGGCCTGATACCAGCGGGGGCTTCGGCGACGAGAGCATGCGTACCGAGACAGATATGAGCTTGTGTGTTGACGAGAGCCGAGAAGAGATTTATGTCCACCCACCGAGGGCCGCGCCGGTACCGATGGAGCGCGTTGCAACTGATCCCGCGGTCCATACTTTTAGAAGTCCTTCACGAGCGGACGAGCCGCCGATTTCCCTAACGAAGGATGCGATCCGGGCGAGAGAGGAGCTCATAATTAGAGAAGCGACGAGAGGCTCGAAAGCGAGATGAAGAGGAGTCGATGGGGTACTATACTCCTCCACGCCCAGCTAGCCGTCCACCGAGCATTGGTGGTCGCCCAAGTCGCCGTCGCAGTAGAAGTACGGGCGACGCAGGGGCTTTGACAAAAGGTGACATCGTGTTGGACCTGGGTATTTCTGATTCGGAGGACCACCTTGCAGGACAGTATCACGAGGGAATTGAGGAAGCTCGAACCCGAAGGTCGCCAAGGGGTAAGAGTACTCTCGGTTTTTCGATGGATAACTCCAGTAAACGCGTGTCTTTTTGATTAGAAATATCGTATTCGCGAACATGAGGCGATTTTCGCGTCTGCGGATGCTGATCAAGTTTCTCATATCGCCCTTGCTGGGGATGTTAACGGTGGCAAGGCCTGGAGAACGGTCAGACGACCATCTGATATGGTATGTTTTCACCTACCCATCCGTTCTACTGTGTACGAACACGAACTCATGGTATGAGGACAGAATGAGTACGCCAAGCAAATTCGAGAGTACCGCGCTCAGGAAAAACCCGGGAAAGCACACGGCAAAGTGTTCGTCCGAGGTAAGTCGCACTCCGAGCCCAGGCGAATATATGGATCATGAGTTGACGGGACCTCGTTCTGCTCCAGTCCTAGGTATCAAGGGACTTGATGTTCCCATCCCGCAACAACCGACTGCTGTGACGTGTACGCTAAACAACGGTATCCACTTCGTTACCACCCCGGAGAGCCGCCTATCCCGAGATACTCGCATCAATCAGGAGTTTGAGCTGTAAGTGTCTTTCGTATTTTTTTTTTTTTTGGTGGCGCCCATATGCTTACCTTTTTCTAGTATCGAACACAATAAACTCGAATTCACGTTGACACTGAAAGTGAGACGCGACCCACATATTACTGCACAATTCAAAGCTTTGGTGCCTCCTCCGCCTCCACCTCAGCCTGCTCCAGCACCTAAACCTAAAGGTGGCATGTTCAGTTTCCTATCGTCGTCCCCTAAGAAGTCGTCGAGAGCCACTCCCCCTCCTCCCTGCAGTCCCCGCAAAGCTCCCAGATAATCTTGCAAGGTATCTAAAACAAGATGGTACGCTCGCCCGAGCGCTCATTTCGTTCAAAGACGTCGCTGCGCGATGCGATACGCGCCTATTCGAGATCAGCTATCCTTTGATAGGACAGCGGGCCGAGGCTTCTGGTGGCGCACCAACAACGATGGAACTCGGGGAGATCGTTTTGCAGTTGTTCAGATTGCCGTCACTGCCTGGGGTATTGTCTGCGCATCTACCGCAAAGCTTGGATGAGTGTCTGCGCGGGTTGAGACATGTCGCATGGCATAAGGTGACGTATTTTGAGGGGACGTTGACACAGAATGGAGGTGATTGCACGGTAAGCGATTCATTTCATACACGTCGTGACGAATGGAACCGACAGTGTTATTAACCTCGGGTTTTCTTTTCCTTTTTGTTCCAAGACATGGCGACGGCGGAAGCTAAGAGTTGTCGGGGCGAACCTGATTGCGTTTAACGATGTTACCAAGAAGGTGACCGCCACCATCAACCTGAAGAAAGCGATCGCAGTGGAAGACATCGAAGACGCGAGAGCGGCACGTAATTATGATGGGATGTGTACCGTTGAGCGGTCTTTCAGGCTAATTTTCCCCGGAAATCAAGAAATATTCTTCTTCGCTGATACGGACGAAGAGAAGGTTAAATGGTGAGTGGAGTACAGCATCTCTAGTCGCCCCCATCGTTACTCAAAACAATACTCAGGCTCGAAGTCCTGCGTGCCCTCGTGGGTCACATACCGCCCAACCCGTTGTGGGCAGAATTGATCTGGCAACGACAGCAAGAGATGGCGGGTCGTGCCGTAGCGGAGTCTAGTCGAAGTTCATGACGCCCGTAGCCTTCCTCATCACCAGCATTTTTCCTTTTCTTTTCCTTTTCTTCGTTCTCATTTCCCCTTGATATGATACTTATGTTCTTGTCGACACAAACTTCCCTTCGTCTATTGAGAGAGCATTGGCAACAATTGAAGTCCCATGTTATGCCATATGCCAAACCGCGATTTTAGTCCTTTTCTTTTCTCTCCGTGTGCTCTCCATGTATCATTACTATTATTATGTTCAATACAAAGTGGCTTGGATAGTAGTCACTGCAATATGCGGGATTCTAGACGACGTAGACAAAACATTTGCCATTCTATGTCACTTCGTTCGTCTGGGGCGAGGTGAATGCCCATCACGTGGCATAGCAACGGAGGCGCCGTAGCTGGTCGGATCCAGCGCGGTTACCGCATGGTAGCGAGGAAATCCAGAAGGTTCTCGATAGAGAACCACCCTTACTCGAGGGCTGGTCGCTGACCTGGGGGTGCGCATCACGTCGCAGGCCTTAAAAAGCTGGGCATGAAGCTCTCCTCCCCCCCCTCTCGTCTTATTCCCAACCCGTGTATACCAGACCTGGGATGGGTCACCCTTAGCACCACGAACATCATGTCTCACCGGTCGCCCCACTGGGGTAAGGGCAACTCCCATCGTTGGTAGTCCTGCTGGTAGCTACCTAAATGGCTCTGGATGGGAGGTGGTTGGGGTAGCGGTAGCCCCCTGACGAGAGCTTTCGCAGGCTCAAAACCACCCGTCCTCCCTCCCCTTTACCTACCCCTACGCTTGCCGTACACTGGCCCTGACCCTCGGGGAGGGGCGACTAACGGAAGTAGTAAGTAGATGGACAGCCCCGATACCTCCCTAGCACATAGACCTAAAACTACCCCCCTTCGGGGGGTAGTTGGCTATCTACGTCCTGCCGCCCCTGCGTGCCATCGCATTTGTACCCACAGCAGCTGTGCGCAGCGTTGGGATCCATCCTGGCGGATGAACCGAGTAACTTCGAATTCCAAGACTGAACAAGCTGCAGGGCACCCAACGACGTTCCCACATTTTCTAGCTCATCTGACAGCATAATCTTATGCGGCTTCAGACCGGATGTCAGGAGTTCGTATTCAACGCGCGAACCCTACTTCTTCTATTGAATTGCGGTAACACGGTGGGCGAGGCATGGCAGTATACGGGCGCCGATCAATAAATCGTGGGAGGGTGACGTTGCGGGCGAGCCATAAAACTTTCGCAGTGATTTATTTGGCGTAGCTGCCTGACCTAACGTCGACACATGTTTCTCTGCATCGGGCTGGGAAACCGGCGACAACGACGGTGGCGATGTTTGAAATGGGACGATGTGAGCTGGGAAACAGCTATGAAAACGAGATGCCTTTCCCTACCCAATCCAGAACTGAGACTTTGCCAGACTGCCGAGTGATTTCTGCTGGAAGGCGACCCAGAGGCTCTTCTGCAAGTTCTCCGCAAAGAACGGGTAGGTGGAGATCGAAGATCTCGAAAAGTGAATGGGCAGTATCAGGACGGTTGATTCGCCATGACGATGCCAGGCCATTGAAGTCTCGAACGCGCTCGTCCATCCTCGGAGAAAAGTCCGTCAGAAACTGGGATGCTATTCCCCGCTGTACTTTCAAGGTCTTCTAGCACAGCGCGATCCGCTTTGCGATCTGGAGATTCGAGGTCCTTGTAGAGCGACAAGTTTTGCGCGTGGAACAACACGGCGCGAGGAACAAGCAATTCTTAGAGGGTCCGCCCGCAGCGGAACCACTTGCTGCTAGCAATTGAATTGTTCTCGGAAACATCGGTGAGGTACGCAATGGTCAGGGTGGACTTTCGATACCGTACGACCGTCGCTTCTATTACTTCTTGCAACTCGGTACTATTCCCTTTTTCTAGGCAGCACGTGCCGCTCCAAGGCTATAAGCAGTCCCCCCTCAAAGCAACGAGACAGAAACCCTGGAGCTTTCTGAGACTCACCTTTGGTGATAGATCATATATAGAGGAGCCCTCGGTGGCGTACAACGACAGCTCGCCGTCGCCCGGCCAGCAATGAGGAAGTGTTACGAGTTAAAAGTATAATGAGACGGCGAAATGAATGCGTGCGATGGTTTCTCCCGATTTTGCAACTCCCCCCTAGTCGTTATACCTAACCGAGAGACAGTGCAAGATCGTGCAGTGAGGATCGTGCTAGTGAGTCCTTCACTGCACGATCTTGCACTTTGTCTCTCGCTGTGAGCGAGACCGCTCGTAACTCCCGACTGGCCGGAGTTCTGAGGCAGCGACCACTCATCCAGGTCTTCAATCTTCCCCTCCTCAAGTAATCTTTCATACAAGGCCTTTTCCAAGTTGTAAAGAATAATATCCCACCCCTCACGGCCCGAACAACAGCGTTCTAATTGAGTTCGCGCGGGGAAAATGTCTTCTGTCGAGTACATTCAAGGCCTTTATGGTGAGAAGGAAAACGGCGCGAATGATTCGATTTTCAGGGCAGACTGGGAAATTAAACACGAGAAAGAGGATGTCAAAGAATCTTGACTGCGAGGATACCGCCTGAATCAGCGGGAAGAACCGAATTGGCGTAAAACAAGCAGAGAAATCTTCGGTGTTAAGGACTACATGAAAGTCAATTCATATAATGCAACGATGAGCTGATAAGTACTTCACCGATAGGTGGGAGGAGTGCAAGTTGCTCCGCTCGACAATCACAACAATCGCAGAACCAAGGGAAGCGCTCACCAGTAGTAGCACCTGAACGTCCTAAATGTGAGAGGTCACAGGATTCCCACCTATGCTTTGATCCTAGGCGTTGCCAACATGTTTCAACTTTCCGTCGATAGGTGAACAATGGGAATTCGCCGAGATATTGCCGAATAAGCTCCCGTGGTGTCCTGGAAAGTTCCGCGCGCAAAGAAAGATGATAGCATCAGGAATACCGGGCGTCAATGTTCTGGCACCTCCACAGTGGGTAGTAAATTTTCGGTTTTTTCCCGTGTACATTTATCTGCTATCAGGAGCATGCCAGCGCATCTTAAACGGTATGCAATTGTTCCGCGCACCAGAATCAATTCCTTGAGGCTATCGAGAAAGAAGTAGATTCCATTTGATGTTGAACAATTCCCTGCCACAGGAAGGGATACCACGTGTCGGCGAAATGGAAGGATATGTATACACCCATACCGAGCTGTACAAGTCGCGCTGTTTTGCTGTCGATTTCGAAGGTACACATCCTTCTCCAAGGTGCCAAGGACCACGAGGGTGGTGTAAACCAACAGGTCTGCCGAAAAATCATTGGACACCGTAATGATGAAATAAGTAAAGCGGGGTTCGGTTCTACTTTGAGGCGTTGGAGAAGGAAGCAATGTGGCGTAGCTCATTTCCGCCAACAGCGCCGTAAATCCTCCAATCAAGATCGATGGAAAAGTGCGCACCATCGCAAATTAAATTGTCAGGGTACGCATTTATACGAGGAAGAAAGGGTACCGCTGAAGAAATAAGACTGGATCAGACGGTGTTCTTGACGTTGCACATATCGTGTTGCAATGGCAGACATGCCATTGGGTTGGTTTCGCCACGCAGTAAGATCGTCAGTGATACATTCATGTGGTCTGACCGTTGCCTCCAGGCTGCGATACTCAAAACTCACAGGAAAAAAGTGAGCCACTACTATGCACATGTCTTCACCCCGTTCCTGTCTCTGAACAATCGACGAGGTCCCCAGAAGTGGTTACGAACGACTCAGTGACGACGGAGATATAACCAATGGAAGGGAGATCTGCGGTGTAAGTGGCAGGTTAAGTGCAACGAAAGGAGAAAGCTGTTTACGGTTTCACCGTCACAGACTTCCATTGAGTACATCGAGCAAGAACGTGCTACATGGGCATACCTCGTATTTTACTAACGTACACGGTTCATGGGCTCTGAGCACATTGGGCCTCAGCCTAGCCTTTGTTCCCGCCGCCAATAGTGCCAAGACACATATCAAAACTCCTTTACATTTCATACGGTTTCACTTACCCATGTACCTTACCATATTACGAGTTGACCCCCGCCTCCCACTAAAATGCTTGTTTGTTCGTGCTTGCTATTACTTTGATCTGGGGATTATGTAATCGTCCAAGCATGGCATCGAGTCCAACGCTGTCTGCGACGGTCCTTGGGAAGAGGAAGAAATCGACACTGGTGCTTAGGCTCTCTTCGAGCCCAGCACCGGCGGATAGCAGCGGAACAGAGGCGTTCACGAGCGCAATTGCGGGACCAACCAATAAAACATCTACCTCTGACCCGATAGTGCCTGATCCTCTTGTTAAGACGCGGCGAAGGAGCGCGGCGGTATCTTTGCTCTTATTCTGGGTGCTCCAAATCTTATTCTAAGCCCTCCCGGCTGTCAGAGCATTACCGGTCGCATACCGGAGAGGTGAGTCGTTACGGTTTCTACGTCTACTCGCTTGAATGTGACACCCAATACCGCAGCGTCCCTTCGTTTGCAGCGAGTGTAAAAATTCTTACCTGCGCGAGACGCACCTTCATGCACATAGCAGGAGCCACCTTCCGGAGTCCGAAAGACCTTATGTCTGTATCGAATCTCCGAGTTGCGGAAAACGCTTTTGGACATTGCAACACCTTCGAGTCCATCAAGATACCCACAGAGGTGAAAAAACTTATAATGTAAGTGTCTACGCGCGGACATCCCGAGCTCCGGGTGAACATCATTTTTAGTGCACGGAAGAAGGATGCGTAGAGGCCTTCTCCAAACACCATCAGCTACGCGCTCACATCTGTGAGGCCCATTCTCCACCGGGAACGAAACCTTATATCTGCTCCTACCCGTCGTGTAATAAGTCCTTCCCCACTAATCAAAAACTTCGGGGGCACATAAAAACACATGATGGTATGACTTGATGTTCTCCTGCTTGCAACCTTTTTCGAGTTACAGCCCATCATTTTAGACCAGCGTTATACATGTTCGCATCCAAACTGCATTCCAGATCTGCGTAATGATCCCGTGTATTTCGGGACTTGGACCGCCCTTCAATCACACATCCGCACCGCTCATCCACCGACATGCTCCCATGAATCGTGCAAGGGCCGGACCTTCGCGTCGCACCATAACCTTCGTGCCCATCTCAAACTACACGAGCAGCAAGAATTAGAAGGGATTCTCCAAGAGCGGGGTGGGGACGATAACAACGATGCGGAAACGTCCCACTCACGGAAACGCCGTCGAGGTGGCGAGCTTGGTCGTGATTGGAAATGTGACTACCCTAACTGTGAAAAGGATTTCAAGTCGGTACGTCTCTTTCTCTCCAATCAATGTCATCGGCGCTAGCTACATCGCGACTTAATTTTTCGCAGAAAAGGGCGCTCACCACCCACCATAAAGCGATCCACCTTGGCCAACGTAACCACGTCTGCCCACACACCCACTGCGATAGTGCTTTCGGATATAAACACCTTCTAGAACGACACCTCGCAAAGATCCATTCTTCGAAGCGTGCACGATCTTCGTCATCTTCTGCAGATGACACTACTGATATGGAGGCTTCGGAAGAAACCACTGGAGCGGACGTGATCGAAGAAATTACCGGCAGAGCATACGCCCGTCGTTCGCAGAATGCAGGCTTTATCCGCTGCCCATTCCCCAATATGGAAGAGCTCTGCTTGCTACCGTCCGACTCATCAGCCCCTTCAACATCTTCAATCAAGGCCTGCGACCACGTCGTTACTCGTGCATATGATCTTCGGCGTCACCTCAAAGCTGAGCACGGTATGGTGGCTGATAAGGCAAAAGTAGACCGGTGGACCAGTGTACGAAAACGCCCACTTGCATCGTAGTGGCTTGTACCGTTCCGCGTCGGTAGGGAGGGAGCTTACTCTGGCGTAGCCAATCACGTGCAACTCGCTTCCATCATTTCCTGTGTCCAAGCTAACGCCCCACTAGGCGAAATCGCAGGGTGAGTGAGACAAACATGGTGAGTAGTAGAGTCAGAAGGGCTATGGGAGTGTATTCTAGTCAAAGTCATTCATACCACAGATTAAGCTTGAGACTTGAAGCTCAGCATCATCGCAGGTAACTACCATGAGACCTTTTCAATTAACGACGTTCAAGTCCGCTTCCCGCTTAGCGCGACGTTCTTCCCTTAAATTCTTGATCTCAGCAGGCGTGATGATCTTGAACGGCCAAGTTAGCCAGTTTCCACCGCTGCGCATGATAGGAACCCCTATGTCTTCTAGAAGGTCGTCCATGGCCTGGGGCCACCTGTATTTACACCACCAACAGGTGGCTTAGGAGCTAGATTGATCGATCATTAAGAATCATACTCACGACCAAAAAGCAAGATCACTGCTGTAGCTCTCGTTAACCCATAGCAACATCTCAGGAAACCGCCTCCGCATCCATGCAGCGTTCTTCCCAGAAAGTTTAGTTGCCTCCTCCGGCGAAGAAGGGAGGCGCATCTTGTCTCCGAGGAAGTATGACGATATCCAGTGAGCCATGACTTCAAAAGCATATCCATTATTTGTTGTGAACTAGATAACAATTTGAAGGTCATGTAAGTTGCTTTGAGAAAGGAATCCTGTTTCAATGACGCACAAAAGCTCCATTGATAGCAAAGTCTCGACGATGGATGTTTCTGGAGGGAACTATTCCTCGGTAAATGGACGACACCCACTCTTGACTGCGTGGGTTGGAAGAAGGCGGATTTCTGAAAGACGTGTAATCCCAGACATACTCCTCGGCATCAGCAAGAGGGGGATGTCTTCCGATACCCAACTCCTTAGCTGTTTCTCCTGTGAACTGGTCAGCTATTCAGGATCATGGAGAATATGGGGGTTGGCTCACGTGTAAAGATGTTCGTCCACGATGAGCCAAAGCCCGTTGCCAGTATTACGGCGCTGGCTTTGACTTCCGCGCCGTTCGAGAGCAACAGTGACTCTCCGTCACCTGTATACTTCACGACCCTCGCAGGGGCAACGAGCTTGATTTTCCCCTCATTACAAAGAGCGTGGAAACTATCTCTTTTTCCAGCACCTTCCTCGTTGGTACGAATACCCCAGAATAGGGAGTGGCTGTTACGCAAAGGCGAATCCTCGGGTATGTTGAGAGATTTGTACTGTTGCGATTGTCCCCTTACGATGACATATTACTTTCAGACTAGCACGTACCGAAGACCAAGTTAAGAAATCCCAGAATGCACGTGTAATCTTTCCACCTAACCAAGTTGTGTGTAAGAACCGCCTGAGGACAGTGAATCAGATACGATTATGTTGCACACCAGCCGACACATACTCCTAATCTCGTTCGCAGCTCGCTATGCGATGCCATTATGGGAAGGAATCTAGGACTACGCATCAGCGACATAGATAATCGGGAATCCCAGGTCATTTACCGACTCTTACGGAGGCATTGTGGTAGTTCGATGGGGTATGCCAGGAATGCATCGGTCTTTTCGAAGACAACTGTAACCTTGACCCCGAGCCGAGTTAAGAAGGCGGATATACTACGAGTGGTAAATACAAATCTCAATGTGAAGAACGGCCCATACTCTTGTGCAGATTTTCCACCTCCAACCACGAGGACAGAGTAGTCTGGGATTGCCTTTTGATCTTGAAGTATCCTGTTGAGGTATCTAGGCGAACTCGGAAGAGTGGCACACTAAGCCATGGAAGCCGGCCTTGACAGCAGTGTCAGGGCTCAGACTCTCTGGAATGGAAGGTTCGCTGCACCCCTGTAGATTTAACTACAGTTATACGGAACATGTCTCCATAGAAATTTGATACCAACTCCAGTGCAAAGAACGATGCGATCATAGACCAGAACTTGCTTTACTTTCGATCGCAGGTCTTCAACTTCAACTTCCCAGCCGGAATCAGCGGCGCGACGTATATTCAAAACTTCGGTTTCAAATCGTATTTTGCTTGGGTCTGCTAAGAAGCTGTCTGCGAATTTTTCCATGTAGGCGCACATGTCCTCTCCTCCGAGACGTTTTTGCATCGGATCCTGAGGAGGGGGCATCGGAAGGGAGGAGAAACAAAATTCTCCATAGACACTGAATAATGTTTCGAGCCCTCGTTGACCAGTATGGCTCTGGAAACTCACTTGTTGAGCGCTATGCCAGGGTATATGCGCCGTCTCTCCCAGACACCTCCCACGGACCTGTCCCGAGTTAGTAATTGAACACGCTCAAACCCATCCTGCAGGAGGATATGTGCAGTGATGAGACCAGCAGCACCAGCACCAATAATGCCAACACTCTGTCTGCGAACTGTGTCTGGGTCAAATGAGGCCATTATCTGAAGCACAGAAGGCAGAGTTGGCAAGAGAGCCGAAACACGAACGAAGGTAAGCCATGTGAGTGAAATTAAAATATCCAGGACCCAGGAACCCTCTCAGATGAGCTAAGGTCTGTTCAACATTGACACCGAGATCAAGACGGGCTTGTTAATCGGCAAACGTGTGAGACCAATTACCTCCGTGGTGCCCATGAACATCCGTATGGTACGATTAGGGCAAGGCGGAAAGGCAGTTAAGTCACGACGACTGCATGCATATGGACTGGGCTCCTTGGCTGGATGAATCCATCATCCGTGACAACAATGACATACCTGCCGTCATCATCAATTTTCATTTCTCCCCGTATGTAGCGGTTTCTGCGGCTTCCTGCATAGCAGGCAACTTCAAGCCACGAGCCCCCCGTCATCCCCGACGGCCGCGCGTTGGAATTGACATCGATTCAATGGGTCACTAGAAACGAGTTTAGTGCGGCGAAACAATCCCCCTTGGTGTTCCACAAAGGCAGCCAAACTGGAGCTCGGGAATCGGTGCTATGCAGTGGGAAAATTGAAGTGTCCGTGACAGACCCTCGCACCACGAGTCATTGACGGTTCCGGAATCCCAATTGTAAGAACTTGAAGACGCTCGCGTTAGAATCATCACCGATAGAGACGCAGTTGCAACGACTTGACCAGTGAGTCGTTTGGATTCTAAGTTACAGGCAGTCAATCATCCTCAGGCGACGGTGATGGGTCGACAAACCCATCTTCTGGTAGTATCACCATTCTCAAAGCTGAGAACCACCGATCCCCCGCGATACTGCTCGCCTAATGTGCGAAATAAAATCCATGTTGGTGGTCATTTGTGTAAACCATCGCAAACCAGGATGGCCACAGACACCATAGCTACTAGGTTATAGTAAGGTAACTGGTTCCCCACGAGTGCTACACTTTTTCGCTGCAGTTCTCATCCAGAATGTCGCGTCCTCACTCATTGTCTTCCCTTGGTTGTTAAAAAGGCTCCATTTGATGGAATATGAGTTACCATCGCTTTCCCGCGACACCGTGTTATCTTGACCCCCTCCTCGACGAACTATACGATGTCGAACAGAGCTAGGCTCGAGGCCCTTCTGGCACTTATCAACTCGTCTGCTGGACAGGCTATGGCCCTGTATGAGCAAGTAAATGGCACAGTGCCATCTATTGATTCCACGGAGTTGCACCCGCTGGACGAGGCACTTGACCAAGTGGAACTGAAGGCTGCGATCTGCACACTTGAAGGCGCATGCGCCCAGCTGTGCACGACCTTGGCTCCTCCCGGACACACAGCAATTAACGTAAGTCCTAGTCATCTCTGTTTCCCGACTCTCGTTCATTAACTCTTTTAACAGCTCGTTCAAGTTTATGACTACTCATGTGTTTGCCTCGCCGTTCGGGAAAACATCACAAATATCCTCATGGACTATCCCAAAGGCTTACACGTCAATGAACTCTCCAAGAAAATCAATGTCGAGCCCAAAAAGCTGTCCCGCATAATGAGACTGCTCGCAACAAGAGGCTGCTACTCCGAAGGTATTTACTATTGGCAGATGTTCGAAAGAGATTCGCTCGGGTACTGAATCTCTCGCTAGTCGCCAAGGACGTGTTCACGAACACACGGTTGTCCCTTGTCCTGCACAGCGAAAATCCCGTTCGCCATATGGCTAACCTGCATACTGAGTCGGCGTCAAAGGGAGGTAACAAAGAGGTGTCACTGGGGCATTCTTGGGCTGGATGAGACAGAGGGTACGGTAACCGTCGAAACGTATTTGAGTTCCGCTTGCATTTCACCTGAGTGTAGGATTCCACACGAGAGGTAGCTGCTTTGCTTGCTACAAATCCCCTCGTGCTCACTTTGATGTAGAGCTACCACCGTTCAATCCAAGGGCTTTCCATTATCATGGGTTCTTCCGCCGTTCTTACCCGTACGTACATCCATATGAATTCCACGCAACACTACTATATGTGCTGGATCAGAGTTCCCCTTCGGCAAATACTCCACTGTTGTGGATGTCGGCGGAGGCATTGATGCTTTCTCACTTCCTCTTGCCAAGATACACAAACACGTGAAAATCACGGTCCACGATCTTCCCGAAGTTCTGACCCAGGCCAGGAGTGTACGATGTTTCACTTCACCAGTGATCACTCTCTGACAAGTGATGCAGGCCTGGGCAAGAGACTGCCCCGAAGCTCTCCAGGAAAATCGGGTGGAGTTTTCGGAATTATACTTCTTTACGCAAGTGCCGGTACCAGGCCAGGATATCTACTATGTGAGGTTCTCGTTTCCGAAAGACGATCCTCAGCTCACTTCCCTGTTGTAGCTTCGTAACATTATTCACGACTGGCCAGATGAAGAATCTCTGGTAATCCTCCAAAACGTCCGGAAAAGCGATGGGCATCAACAGCCGTGTCCTCATCCGTAAGGACTTCGGACCCAACACGTTGAACTTACGAATTTATTAAAGCCCCCCCCCCATATGATTACGTGGTCCGTCAGCTGAATCGCGAACAAGCAGCACCTGAGGCTTCTAAATTTGGAGATACAATGGTTAGTGGATGTTTCAGATAGGCTTGTCAAACACTTCCATCTTTACGTGGTCGCGCTATGCAGGCTCCTGAACCTATGCTGCCAAACTTCGGAGTTGGCAACATGCGGACCTACCAACAAGATGTGACAATGTTCATCATGCACAATGTGAGGGAGCGCATGCTACCGGAGTTTCTGGAGCTTTCGTGGGTTCCTCATCTGATTGACAATTACAATTCGTGAGTGTTGGCACTGATTCTTCTTTACAGGAACGCGGCTGGGTTGAAATTGGAGAAAATTTGGGATCTGTCAGAAGCACGCGTTCTGGAGTCTGCCGCCGCTTGACGATGATACATCAAACAGCCGCATTGCAACATGTCTTCATGAGTTCAACACAGTATGACCAGCACGGAGGGATGGGCATGCAACGCAACGACATTCCACGTAGATCAGGTGGGTAGGTAGACTCACATATGAGATGAAACAAGGGAACGATGAGTAATCGAATATCGTTATTCCCATAAGGCCTTCGTAAGTTTCCATACTTTCATTACACCAGTTCCGATACTGCGGCCAAGGTGAGTCGTGTGAGAAAGTCGAGTCGACAGAAGAAAAAATAAATACCCACTTAGCACTCTCAACCTCTTCTAAGGGCACCCACTGGGGTGTGGTGTTCGCATTACCACCCTTAGGCGTGCGTGAGACCTTTCTCCGTTTGTCCTTCCCATTTCCCTCGATCATCTCACGGGTGGGTACGGTCGATAGACATGATTCGCTCTGCAGCTCTGGTGGCTTATCACCTCCACCTTCGAGAATTACCCACTGAATGCGATAGGTCTTCTTGATGTGAGAGAAGACGTGTACAACATCTCCCACAGGCTTGATCATGGCCACTCGAAGCGCCCCCTTGTTCCCACAGCCAACTTCCTGGGCATTCGGTTCCTTAAAGAAAGGAGGCGGTGGGTTTACAAACAAGTTAAATAGCACCTTGCCCACGATCTCTGGGTCATTTCCGCATGTGGATAGTGAATCCGAGACGGCTGGCACTGTAGGAAACTCGTGCAATCCGGCCAGAAGACCTGAGAACAGGTTAACTTATTCCCAAAAAGCACAAGGAACAACACAAACCCCCTTCTGGGCGACGAACTAGTATGAACCATCGTTGGGAATTGTATTCCTTACGCCACTCGATGACGTGAACGATGTCCAACTCCTCTCTTGCCTTTTTTCGTTCAACCTTCATCGGATATATAGTAACGAGGCCAGCCTCCCTATCATCTGCTGGGAGCGGTTTCGCATAGAGTGCACGATGCTTCAATACCAGTGTCACGCCCAGTTCCGTCTTGTGACTGTCAACGTGGGTGTAAGACGACAGTTGGAGAAGGAACTGATCATTATTCACAGAAGCACCCTGAGTTCGTTTGTACGCCCGACACCATGAACTTATCGCGCATCCGGAGCATGCAGGCTCTCGCACTTTACAAACCGTGCTTCCAAGCTCGATCAAAGCTTGGTTAATGTCACCAGGCCGCGAAGAATTCTGGACGAAAGCCGTAGCTCCAGCCCACAGTACATCCAGGGTCTGCTTTCCTTTCGGAGGGGCATAGAGTGCTAAGAATCGACTGAGTAATCTGTGAACATTCCCATCCAGCTAGAGGCAACGCGGAAGTTAAAATTGGCCTCGGGCGAACTATGCGGCCCTCAGGATCGGTTAATGATGCAGGAACTCACCACGGGAACACATTCATTATAAGCAATCGAACAAATGGCACCGGCGCTATACCGGCCGACACCCGGAATCTTCGCTTGCATGTCCTTTGCATTGTCAGGAAGACGGCCATCAAGCTCCTTAACGACTTTTTGAGCAGCTTGTAGAAGCCGTGCTGCTCGCGAGTAATAACCAAGACCTTTCCAAAGGCCGTTAACCGTCTCGATATCTGATCCTGCTAGATGTGCAATAGTGGGGAATCTAAGATTACGAAAAGAAGTCAGAACTCAAACCGCGTGCACGTTGACAGGAAGGTCACGAGCATACTTTGCCATCCATCTGTTATAGTATGGTATCACAGTCGCCACCTGTGTCTGCTGGAGCATGATCTCAGATATCCAAACCTTCAAGTCACATGAGTGCACTTTCTTCGCAGTGATTCAATGCAGGAAGTGGGAACGGCCGCACCTCGTATGCCCGTTGGGCCCTACCCTCTCCCCCTAGCGAAGGATCGTATCGCTTTCGCCATGGCATTCCTCGGACGTCGTGAACTTTATCGTACCACTCAAGCAAGGACGCCCGAACTTCATCTATCTCCGAATCCGCAACGACATGTGTAGAGATAGAATGTGTGGGGGCTGTCGAAGACGCGTCGTTTTCCGCTATTTTTGGTGGTTGAAATGATGTTCGTGTTTTACGTGTCGATTTTGGTGCCTTTCTTCGCGTTGGAACATCGGAAAAGGATAGGTCAGAATCTTCCTCACTTAGACGTTCGCTGAATGAGTCTGATTCGCATGTTGTGCTGCCACGCCGCCGTTTAGGCATGGCTCGAAACTAGAATAAAGGAAAGAGAAAGAAGAAACGCGTAGTGTCCAGGCTTTAACAATACTGTCAAGTCCTGCTAAGTCAATTGCGAACACTTACTCCAGCGGTTGTTGAACGCGAGCTTGAAACGGTGGCACAGCAGTACTAAAGAATATTCGGCCCCTGTCGAGATCGATGGTCACGTGCACCTTGTTCCTACACCCGCTTAGCCGCCCAGACTGGGTCTGGTCCTTGGGTATTATCGATCACGATGTCCTAGCGGCCACCACGTTAGGCACCCAATCGTTAGCATAAAAGTCTTCGTGGTGCCCGTGAAAACAAGCCATCTATACCCCTGCCCTTCCAATCCTTCCCCACACATACCGGTGAGAAAGCAAACAGGCTCTATGATGACAATCGCTAGACACTGACAATCAAAAACTCGTCCAACTACCAGGTAGAAGCACAGGCTATGGTCTACATCACAACTAATCGGCCGCTTGGAGCATCTGTCCACCTAGATCGTGGATCTCTTTACGTCTGCACTGTTCCGCTGCTCAGCGGAAAGTTCCACTGGTCTTTGATCCATATCACCGAGACTGGGGTTGCCACTCGTCATCATTGGGCAGCAGTTGGTGCCAATCCCCAAGGAAGAGAAACATATGTCAAACAAACTTTGCCAAGGGGACCGCTCACGGCTTCCGCGACCCAGATCCTAGGCTACTTTAAGGTGACGGCATACCGGACTGGCAACGGTGTCGTTCGGGACCCAGATGGATTCTGGGAAGTCTGCAAGTCAGTCTTCCCGCAGAGCTACCCAACTGCGGAGGAGAACAGGCAACACAATATTTCCTGCAGGACGTGGGTGACTAACGTCCTGCAGGGTCTTGGCATAGCAAGGGCGCAGGCCCTAAAAGTGGAGCAGGCTGTGACATCCCACAGCCAGGCCTGCGAGACACGGTACTTGAGATCTTACCTTAACAGCGAGCCATATCAGATTGTGATCGATGAGATTTGACCGGTAGTTTGATGTTTCATCGGGCAGTAGTATACCTATGGGACACTTGGTTTGGGTACCGCGGTTTATACTTATCGGCTGGCACCGTACTTCGCTATCCCCAACTAGGCGGTTTCTCGACTTGCCTTGCACGGGAACCTCTTCCGCACGCAATACTTACAATAGATTAAGGTACTATAGGGGGTATACAAGTACGCCGTCTAAGGAAGCATCGTAGGCTTCTTCAGTGACGTCATCACAACGGAACTCCGACTGCCAGTACACGACCCAAGCGCCCATACACCCCCACTGTGGTCGACGCAGAATATGTAGCTGCCAATGTCTTGGAAGCCATCCCGAATCCTCCCAGTCAACAATCCCCGTGACATGGCCCTCGTCATCGACCAGTATATTCTGCATCCTCAGGTCGGTGTGAACCCAAACTATCGGGTCTTGGCTAAGGGCGTTGGTGATACGCGGAGAGACGTTCGACATCTTCGTATCCGACATGCTATCGTAGCACTCGAGCGTGGAGAGATATGGGCCACCTAACGACTCGCGTAGTGTCCGTGGATGAGGTAGGACCGTGGCTACTGGCACTCATCATTACTTTTCCTTTAATATCAACGGGTTGCGAAATGTCCCAAAGCTGATAAAGGATCGTTGTGACCTCTTTCACAATTACGTCCGTGCATTGTTTTGCGGATATCTGTGGCCATTTATCCAGTAACCGATGGCCCGGGAGTTTCGTCATGATCGTGTAAACTTTGCCGTCCAATTCGAAGGAACCGATGAGTTTTGGTATCGGGAGACGGGGCGCGACTTGGTTGAGGTATCGTAGAGCGTCTGCTTCAGTGCTGACGGTTCTGTGTGTGACTTTCATCACAAGAGGAATCCCAAATCGGAACACGTATGTACGAGGTTCATACTCGTTGTCGGGAAGTGTGAGGAGCGTGCTTAAACGCAACCCAGCGCGACGGAGAAATCGGCCTAACTTCGCCACGATACCGTCGTTTCCTCGGGCCTGGGCACGTTTAATACACAGAATGCGGACGAGACTGAAAATGCGAAACAAAAAAATGTCTTACCATGTTTCCAAGGAACACTGTCTGTTCCTTGTGGTATTTTGGCGAGGAGAACGAAGTATACTTTGAAGACGTGGATGATGAGAAGTCGTCGTAGACGTGCCACGCTGTACTTACGCCGTTCAGGAGGTGAGGGTTGCGGTCAAGTGACATTGACAGCCACGGAAGACCGCGGTTTTTATATATGTTTTTTCATTGAGTCGACAGCTGATGTCACTGTCCACTCATCGAGTTCCCACGGCCATCCACACGGACAGCGGCTTCCTCTAGCCGTGGAAGACTGAAAGTGCTGGTTGTTACGTCCTCCGAGAAATTTTGACAGTGTGCTATGACCAGCAGTTCGATATGGATACAGTGAATAAAGCATGCCCAGCGACCCCACAGCACTAGTGGAGTTGCGTGGAGTTGCGTCATCCGAATCAAACTTACTCCCAGTGGCGTTCACCTGGCAATTTCCGCATGTTGTTTGTAATATATCACTCAGTCGGACAACGGTCCAAGAGAACCGGCAGATGCGGGAGCGCTATACTAATACACTAAACAATAGGGACCTACCACAACACATTCCCAGAATTGAAAGGGATACCGTCTTGTCACCAATGCGTTGCAGATTGGATAAATCCAGCGTGCATGCAGAGGTCAGATCGTTTGGTGAAGCATTGAAATTTGAAGGCCCATATATGTACAAGTATGTTGTTGGCCTTGCACGCCTAATCAGGCAGGACCCAACCGACGCATTAGGGGCCAAGCGGTGCTTTTGATGGAAGGTGTATATTTTAGTGCAGACAGTTCCACCGCCCAACCTGCGATATTCCGGTCACCACATCACTGAGATACCCGCATGTAGATGGAAGCTGGATGGGAGTAAAGTTCGATAAGATCCGAGGCTCCTTTGTTCGGCATACAGAAAACGAATAAAGTGCACTACTCTGAGGGTGGAGCTGGGAATGTGGGTATGCTGTAAGTAGCTATACATACAGATGTGTGAGCTTCCAACTTCACATCCTCCTTCAGGTCAATCATCCTCGTTCGTGCTTTAACCCTAGACCTCCTAGTACGTGGATACCTATGTACGTCTGCGAAACTCCGAAATCCGATCCAAACGGGGAAACAGATCCTCTCTATAACACACGAAGCGGAGACTGCCCGGCGAGCAGCGGAAGCCTTGCAGCTGGGTTTGAATTTCGGGCAAATGCCTCGCCCTCACAACACCCGTGATGTCATGGACGACCTACCTACAAAATATGAAAGGCCTGCTCGACTGGTAAGCTTATCTCAAGTTTGGTTTCCTTCGCTCGACAGAGACAGTACACCAGCATCCCGCACTTGGCGACGGTCGTGAACAAAGTTAGGCGCGCGAAGATGTGATTCAAGTCTGCGCTTCACACACACACACGCACACACATGTCATTCAAATTCAAATTAGTCGTCTTATACTATCTTGGTTATCTGTGGGCGCAGGCACAAATTCTCGGTGCCGTCCAAGGGGGGAGCTCTTGTGCTTCTAATAGACACCACAGCACGGAGACGCACCAGACGGGCGGGAAATTTGGAGAACTTTTGTCTTGGCGGTATGAACAAGACTCAAGTGAACACTATCCTTCACGCATCAGGTACGCCTCTGCGAGTAAGTTAGGGGCTGCTCTACTTATGACAGGAATGCCCTAGAAAGGGCAATTCCAACGTCATGAACGAGACACTCTTCGTAACGACCGACAACCCAGAAACTATCCCTCCATGAAGGACGCTGACGTGTCCCACAGATCCATCGAGACAAAGTTTGATCCGGCGATTTGTTGCTTAACATCTCGGCGGAGAAGGTGCTAATCTGATAACGGCGTAACGGTAACCCGAAGTCTGTCTCTCAATTTTGACCAGCCTTGCACGCACCATTATCCCACTATCAGTGAACATCGAACGGCTCGCCGCGATAGTACATGATAATGGTTAGTGCTTGTTCAGGACGTACCTCATGGTCGCTAAAGACATCGGCGGACTATCATTAGGAGTATGCTGGTCAACAATTACAGATGCGGAGTTGAACAGAATTATTCTTCCACGTTGCGACGAGGTCAAATTCAAGATTACGGTAATTGGCTTCCCAACGAGAACGTGCAGAGTTTGTACAGAAGGGGTGAACCTCGTGCGGAGGACTCTCCAAAATCGACCAATGGGGAATCCCGGTGGTGGCCGCATGGGGCGCAAAGAAGATATGACTCCGCTCGCGAATCCTGGCCAAGCTTGCAAAATACCGAGAAGCTCAGCACCCGTTGTTCACTGGCGTCAGAAGGTCATGGATTCCGCAGACGCCTTCGTCGACAGCAAGTTGGCATTTTACAGGGCGGCGTGAGCGGGAAAGGTGCACCAGAGAAGAACGTCCCCATAGGCCCGAAGATACGGTGCCAACGGAGGATTGAGGAAGGTTCAATCGGTGCTTTCACATTATCATAGTCGTGGGTGGTATCACAGAAGGAGAAGAGACGAAGATGCGGTGCTGAAGACCGGAGGAGGCTATGTATGCAGACATGAGGTGGTGACGTCACAATGACGGTGAAGTAGATAAACCAAAGCACCCTCTTAAGTTCTGCGCCCTTACTTTCACTCGAAAAGTGACAGGTAAGTGTTACACTCGCAGCCTCTGCCTGACTGACGGTTGACTCGCATACCTGCAGTGCTTCTGTCTGAAACATAACAATGTCTCACGTTTTGTATTGGCCTGGTCGAAATCTCTTCCGCCCGCTTGGCAGTGCATCTGCCGTATGCCTCACTGAAAACTTACCCCTCGAATGCAAGGCAGACATCCTGTTGCTTGGCTGTGGGGATCCAAGGCATATTTTGTACACAATCCACGCTGACACTTCGACATCGGGTGGTTAGTATGATGTCGTATTGTTCCCCAGTGGACTTTGTGTCTGACTTTTGGAATAGAGTCCCCGCAAACTTGACGTAACCTGTTGTGACATCGAAGCTGCTGTCCTTGGTACGTGCTGACAAACGTTTCGAGCGTCCATACTAATTTATCACTGACGTCGTCGTTTTGCAGCGCGTAACGCGTTGCTCTTTACGCTCTTGGCCGATCATGATGGCACTGAAGACAGACAGAGCTGTATATGGAACATATTTTATCATTTGATGCTGGATGAAGGCTCTCTTTCACTGCTCACCGAACAATGCCGCAAGCTCGTCCCGCTCACGGAAAGTATGGATACGTGGAGACAGGGCCCTTACTCCCATTTCATCACGATGTGCAACTCGGATACTCTGTCCGAGATCGGCAGGTTCTGGAAGCTTTGGCTTGGAACATCCAATTTCAATGCGGGGCAAGCTAGACTCTTCAAGGAGAGATTTCAGGACGGTATCAAAACGGTCCGGGAGCTATTCGAAGATTGTAAAGTCATCGGGTCGATACGTTCAGCCGGCCCTCTGGCTCCTGTAGCGATTGGTGCCGCTGCGGAGCAGTTCAAACGTTTTTGGGCGACTGGCGTTACGGATGACGGATTGCGAAATGTGAAGCCAGCAAATCATGTCAATCCTACTTTCGCGTTCTCTGCTACATCTGGGGATGAGTTTTCCTTGCACTGCGTTACAGACCCCGTGTCGGGTTTCCACCTCGCAGAAACCTTACCATCTTGCGGTCTGGGATTCTGGGACGAAACACCGTCTGTGATCTTCAAAATTGTACAGGCTGCCCACCAGCAGTTCAGTAGGTGGTGCAAAGACGTTTTACACCGTATCCGGAACACAAGTGCCTCCTCAGCGCTTTTCGTGGTGCGAATGTACGCTGGAGATGCACTTGCGTTCTGTCAAACACTCCATTCCGCGAACGCTGCTGAACTTGCTGATCACTCACCAGTATTCACCGCTCCGTGGAAGCGAACAGTCGTGCAGCTCGACAATGCGTCATATGGCCCGAGCGCTCCGTCCCCCGCTCCAACTTCTTTCGACGTCATTGAGACGTCCAATATGCTGGATCATCTTGGGTTGCAAAACCTACTCATCGCTACTACTCCCCTGCTCTGTCACTCACCTTCGTCAACGCTTTATACGGAGGTTTTACTGCCGGTAGCCAATTCACCTGCGGAAGGTATCCTGGAACATGCGTGCAGTGATCTTTCTACCATCTCCTTACTGCTGGGTGTCACCCCTTCCACTTATGTCTCCCGATTCACTACACGTTCCAACTCCTCGGAAAAATTGCTGCTGGCCCTAAAAGGCCCCTTTGCAACTCAGTATCAGGATCGTCTTGCTTGGAAGCTCATCGGTTTCGGCCATAACACTAATTGCTCACAAAAAACTCTATTGTTTACCCCGAACCAGCTGACTGAAGCTTTGTTCGACATATACTTGAAGATGTTCTCGGATGAGGATCCTAGTAAACAGATGGAGGCCATGTCTCTTGGCGAGCCTTGGGCACTGCAGAAGTTGCGGTCCTTAAGCACTATCCACTATACGCGCCGCACGTTCGCCTTACTGCTCGCACACACCAAGACAAGAGTTCAGTGCGACTGGGACACGGTCATAGATGACCTAGGCGCTCGTGTTTTGCAAAATCGTACTCTTATCACCGGATCCAGCTTTTACCAGGAGATGGTTAGCCAGTTACATCTCGCAGGCTTCCGACCCTCTTGGTTGTCACCGACGGCAGTGCAAGAACTTCGCTTCAACGAGGACCCTCCTATTTTCAGGCAGTGGGGTACGGTTCCGGAAGTTGTAACAATCATTCTAGTGGTTCCGCGGCACGCTATCACCAAGGTGCAGTCTGACCTCTCAGACGCTGGTACCCCCTATTTGCAGTGCGAAACGTGGGCGGACTTCAGCCACAACGCTTTTGCATGTATCTCGGCATCGTTCGGTAAGCTCGAGGTTTCAGGCCAAGGCGAGAATAAGGTGGCAGTCGTCGTTGAGGATGGAGCTGGGATCAAAGGCACGTCGCCTTTGATCGTTTCCTTCCCCATTCTTTCTACCTGTCTCATGATTATGACGGGCGGAACGGTCTGCCTAGCTGTTCGTCCTACCTTCGACACCATGCCGTTGTCACGGAAGTTAGGATTGGGAATGTGCCTCTTCAAGGCTTCATTAACGGACGAACGATTCGTCCACGTTCTAGCAAGGGCACCAACGACCAGCAATGACGCGACGACTGAGGTGCAGCCACTTGCGTCTCCTACATTATTAGACGCGACAGATGAGGGCTATTCGATCCATGTGGAGATGGACAAGTCCAATACACGGATCCAGACGCTTACCGCTCACATCGACATCGTTGATCCTGCAGAACAGGCTGCACTTGAAGGGGGTTACGCGATTACTGCAGTGCAATTGTCCCCAGATAAAGCCAAGTTGCAGGTTGGCGAGTACCAGCGGGTCGTTTCCTTCCCCCTCCCCGTTGACATAGCGGATGCTAAGCTCCGCGTAGCACGGAAATCCAAATACGTCGAGGTGAGTCGTATCGTCGGTACTTGCATGCTATTCGTGACCTAACATTAGAACAGGTTATTGCACCGATGGCACTGACGCTCGGCGTTAAGGAGGAACGTAATATAACTGGGAGTTTCAAGACGGCCTTTGATTCTGGTGTGCCAACGCTCTGGGGTATGCACCGTGTAAATTTGGACCGTTGTCCTTCCTTCAAGCTCTCCCAAAGTCAAAATGCATTCGATTGGTTCGGCGCGCACACCCTGCACATGTTTTCAGAGAGGGAACACACGTCGCGCGTCCAGAGGGCGTTGCTTGGACGCATACCAGACACCATTACAAGTTTGAAGGAAACCCTTCGGACCCTCTTCCATTTGGCCACCGGACTGGGAGGCGAGACTCATGCCGAGTTTGCACTGTGTAACCCTTCGAAGGGAGACCTGTACGCAATCATCCTCGTGACTGGTATCCGGCTCGACCTTGCCGCCCACACAGTTGTAGCTGATTCGTGGATCATACCAAAGTCAGACAAGCTTCAAGACAAGCTGAGGAGAGAGATACCATCCTTAGTTCTCATCAAGACAAATGACCACGGATCGGAAGCGTGGAGACATTTGCTTCCACTCTTGATCGAGCGGTGCCGCACTTGGAAGCATAAGGCAAGTTGCGAATACCTCGTTCATAACTCTATTCCGCTCTATCCGAATGCCGGATCGGATCCCAACAAAGTACCGTGGTGCTCTTGTGGGATGGGCGTCGGAGCGGAGGTGCTGCGGGGCCGCTACGGCAGCGTCGCGGCAAAATATGCGAACGAGGGCAGCAATCAGTCCTCTATTCACCGTGTCCTACTTGGAAGGCATTGGGATGAAACCTACGGGTGTCCCGCCGGTTGAACCAGCATTAGCAAGATGTGCGGCGTGTGGAAAAGGAGGTGTGCCGTTGTCCTGGTGTAGCAGGTGCAAGGCAATCAAGTACTGCTCGAAGGACTGTCAGGTGAAGCATTGGAAGATACACAAGAGGAGCTGCACGTCGACGTGAGAGCCCTATTAGCACTGTAATACTGTACTTTCTGTTGTGTTTTGGTTGTGTTTCCTAGGTTAGCGCGTGAGACCGAGAATGCACTGCACATGACATACGTCACTCAGTGGATTCCCACCAGCTGTTCGTTACCCACCTGATGTTGGCTGTGGAGATACACGGAACAAGCTAGCATTGTACCCAGTGCTCATCCACTGGGCCCAGCGAATTACATGTACGGCTTGGGGCCATCACAAATTTTTCTGCCATTGTTCTAATTTCTCTCCGGACCAATCATGAAAATGGAATCAGTCACCAGCGAGGGCATCCTTGCCCACGCCAACAACCCCGTTTGGAACCTCAAACTCTGGTACAGACTCATATCGCCAAGCCAGAAGTCAGGTAAACGCCCCTGCTATGCCTCCACCGGATCCCAAGACCATCGCAAGAACTCCCGGAGTACCTGACTGTATACCTCGCCAAGACATGGTGTAAGTAACCCGAATGCCAGAATTCCTATTTAGACCAGCAAGACTAATTAGACAGCGCGAAAGAACCCATCTGAGCTAAAGATGCGGGGTATGGAACAGGCAATCTTGGATGTCGGTATGAAGAACGAAGCGGCTCCAGTGCAACACTACATGAAGGTCAATGCATATAACGCAACAGTGAGTCGCAGAGCTCACCAGTAGCCCAACGGTTGATGGACGTCTGGGAATGGGAGATCAGGATGTTGTGGTCTACGAGAAGCACTGCGTTTAGTCGCCCATATCCTACCTTGTGTGGGCAGTGGATTTCTGCGTATTCGATAGATCCAGCTTCTCGATCAGCTCCCTTCATTTGGGAGGACCCTATGATCAACACAATGATGGTACCGCTGAATCCACGCTGCCAGGTTGTACGTAGCTCTCAGTAACTGTCATGTAAGTCACAAGACCTTCTCATCGCCGGGCGCTGAAGTGCTGAACACACGGGGTTGTAAGTACTCACGCTCAACTGGCACGGAAGCTTTCCTGCGCTGGACTGAGATACTCCTAACACAGTTGGGGCGCGTCTCGGTTAGAATGAACAAGAAGCGTGCAGATGGTTCCACTTCACATCTATCCTCTGCGTCGTCCAAGCCGGAGCTCTGCTTGTTCTCATCCTGTTGTTTACCTTCGTATGGTTGTGCGGTGACTTTAGGGTTCGGGACTCGCCTTCTACAACCACCTGACTCGTCGATGGGGACTATATGACAGACAACCACACGGGAGGCCTAGGAGAATGAACAAGATCCAATCCTTCATGCGGACATCATCCTTCACGCACCAGGTTTGCCTCTGCGGGTGGGTTACAGTTAACTCTACCTATGTCAGGAGTGCAGGACCATATTCGACAATTTCGACGTCATGAACGGGCACCCCTTCGTGATGATTGACAACCTATCCCTCCGTGGGAGGCTGACGCCCGCTGGTCCATCGAGATAAAGTTCGGTCCCGTGATTTGCTGCAGGTCATCCCTATCTCACCAGAGAAGGTGCGTGAGCTGGCGCAAGTATTATAGAGGGCGTAACGGTAACCGAAGTCTGTTTCCTAATTTTGACCAGTGCACACAGCATTCTCCATTTCCCACTATCAGTGGACAACGAACGACTCACCGCAATGGTACTTGATAATGGGCCAGTGGTTGCTCAGGACGTAGCTCGTGGTTGCTAAGAGCTTGTACAAAAGGGGTGAACCTTGTGTGGCGGGCTTTCCAAACTTAGTTAACGAGGATCCTGGTCATGACCCCGCAGGGCGCAAAGCCTGAAGAAATGACTCAGCTCGCGAGTCCTGCCTAAACTCGCAAAATACCAAGAAACTCGGCATCCGCTGTTCACTGGTGTCAGAACATCATGGACTCTGGTGACGCCCTCATTGACAGTGAGTTGGCGTTTTCCAGGGCAGCATAGGCGGGAAAGGTATACCAGAGAAGGAGAACATCCCCATAGGTCCGAAGATACGGTGCCAACGAAGGATTAAGGAAGGTACAATCGGTGCGCTCACGTTATCATAGGCAGCCTGTCAGGAAAATATTTGCGCGTGGTATCACAAGGAGAAGAGACGAAGATACGGTAATGAAGAACGGAGGAGGCTATGTATATAGAAAAGAGGTGGTGACGTCACGTTGACGGTGCAGTAGATAAACCAAAGCACCCTCTCCGGGTCTACGCTTTTCCTTTCACTCGAAAAGTAACAGGTAAGCACTACACTCGCAGCCTCCGCCTGACTGACGGTTGACTCGCGTACTTGCAGTGCTTCTGTCTGAAATATAACATGTCTCACGTTTTGTATTGGCCTGGTCGAAGTTTCTTCTACCCGCTTGGCAACACGTCTGCCGTATGCTTCACTGAAGATCTACCCCCCGAACGCAAGGCAGACGTCCTGTTGCTTGGCTGTGGAGATCCAAGGCACATTTTGTACACAGTGTACGCTGATGCTTTGGCGTTGGGTGGTTAGTATGATATCGTATTGTTCCCCAGTGGACTTTGCGTCTGACTTTTAGAATAGAGCCCCGCAAACTTGATGTCACCTGTTGCGACATCGAAGCTGCTGTCCTTGGTACGTGCTGACAAACGGTTAGAGCGTTAATGTTAACTTATCACCGACGTGGTCGTTTTGTAGCGCGCAACACTCTACTCTTTACGCTCTTGGCCGATCATGACGGGACTGAAGACAAGCAGACATGTATATGGAACATATTTTATCATTTGATGCTGGACGAAGGCTCCCTTTCACTGCTCACCGAACAATGCTGTAAGCTCGCCCCCCTTGCGGAAAGTATGGATTCGTGGAGACAGGGCCCTTATTCCCATATCATCGCCATGTGTAACTCGGATACTCTGTCCGAGATCGGCAGGTTCTGGAAGCTTTGGCTGGGAACAGCCAATTTCAATGTCGAGCAAGCTAGACACTTCGAGGAGAGATTTCAGGACGGTATCAAGAGGGTTCGGAAGCCAATGGAAGACCGTGAAGTCATCGGGTCGATACGTTCAGCCGGCCCTCTAGCTCCTGTAGCGATGAGCGCCGCTGCGGAGCAGTTCAAACGTTTTTGGGCGACAGGTGTTACAGACGATGGAATGCGAAACGTGAAACCAGCAAATCGCGTCAACCCTACCTTCGGGTTCTCTACCACGTCCGGAGAGGAATTCTCCTTGCATTACGGTACAGACCCCCTCTTGGGTTTCCATCTTGCAGAATCTTTAGCGTCTTCCGGTCTGGAATTCCGTGACGAGGCGCCGTCTGTAGTCTTCGAAATTGTGCAGGCTGCGCGCCGACAATTCAGTGCCTGGTGCAAAGCCACTGCACACCGTGTTCAGAATACAGATGCCTCCTCAGCGCCCTTCGTGGTTCGAATGTACGCTGGAGATGCACTTGCGTTCTGTCGGGCCCTCCATTTTGTGAACAATCCCAATGAATTCACTATACATCCACCTGCATTCACTGCGCCGTGGAGGTCATCGGTCGTGCAGCTGGACATGGCTTCATACGGTCCGACCGCACTGCCCCGCGATCCGACTTCCTTCGACGTCATCGAGACATCCAACCTGCTGGATCATCTTGGGTTGCAAAACCTGTTCATTGTCACCACTCCCCTGCTCTGTCATTCGCCTTCGTCAACGCTTTATACAGAGGCTCTACTTTCTGCAGCTGATTCGCCTGCGGACGGTATTCTGGAACACGTCTGTGGTGACCTTTCTACCATCTCGTTACTATTAGGCGTCATCCCTTCTACCTATGTTTCCCGATTCACCACACGTTCCAACTCCTCCGAAACGCTGCTACTGGCCATTAGAGCCCCCTTTGCAGGTCAGTATCAGGATCGTCTTGCCTGGAAGCTTATCGGCTTCGGCCATAACACCAATTGGTCACAAAAAACTCTTTCGTTTACCCCGAACCAGCTGACCGAAGCTTTGTTCGACATATACTTGAAGATGCTCTCAAATGAAGATCTCGGTAAACAGACGGAAGCCGTATCTCTTGACGAGCCTCAGGCACTGCAGAAGTTGCGATATTCAAGCATTATCCACTATACGCGTAGCACTTTTGCCTTATTGCTCACACACATCAGGAAAAGGGTCCAGTGCGACTGGGACACAGTCATAGATGACCTAGGCGCACTGGTTCTGCAGAACCATACTCTTACCACCGGATCCAATTTTTACCAGGAGATGGTTAGCCAGTTACATCTCGCGGGCTTCCGACCTTCTTGGTTGTCACCGACGGCAGTGCAAGAACTTCGCTTCAACGAGGACCCTCCTATTTTCAGGCGATGGGGCACGGTTCCGGAAGTTGTAATAATCATTCTAGTGGTTCCGCGGCACGCTATCACCAAGGTGCAGTCTGACCTCTCAGACGCTGGTACCCCCTATTTGCAGTGCGAAACGTGGGCGAACTTCAGCCACAACGCTTTTGCATGTATCTCGGCATCGTTCGGTAAGCTCGAGGTTTCAGGCCAAGGCGAGAATAAGGTGGCGGTTGTCGTTGAAGATAGAGCTGGGATCGAGGGCACGTCGCCTTTGATTATTTCCTTCCCCATTCCTTTCTACCTGTCTCATGATTATGACGGGCGGAACGGTCTGCCTAGCCGTTCGTCCTACCCTCAAAACTTTACCGTTGTCACAGAAGTTAGGATTGGGAATGTGCCTCTTCAAGGCTTCATTAACGGACGAACGATTCGTCCACGTTCTAGCAAGGGCACCGACCTAGCAACGACACGACGAATGAGGTCCGGCCACTTGTGTCTCCCACATTATTAGACGCGACAGATCAGGGCTATTCGATCCATGTGGAGATGGACAAGTCGAATACACGGATCCAGACGCTCACCTGCCCACGTTGACATCGTAAATTCTGCAGAACAGGCTGCACTTGAAGGGGGTTACGCGATTACTGCAGGTACAATTGTCCCTAGATAAAGCCAAGTTGCAGGTTGGCGAGTACCAGCGGATCGTTTCCTTCCCTCTCCCCGTTGACATAACGGATGCTAAGCTCCTGCGTAGCACGGAAATCTAAATACGTCGAGGTGAGTTGTACCGTCAGCACTTGCATGGTATTCATGATCTAACATTAGAACAGGTTATTGCACCGATGGTACTAGCGCTCGACGTTAAGGGGGAACGTAATATAACCGGGGGTTTCAGGACGACCTTTGATTCTGGTGTGCCAACGCTCTGGGGTATGCACCGTGTAAATTTGGACCGTTGTCCTTCCTTCAAGCTCTCCCAAAGTCAAAATGCATTCGATTGGTTCGGCGCGCACACACTGCACATGTTTTCAGAGAGGGAACACACGTCGCGCGTCCAGAGGGCGTTGCTTGGACGCATACCAGACACCATTACAAGTTTGAAGGAAACCCTTCGAACCCTTTTCTGTTTGGCCACCGGACTGGGAGGCGAGACTCATGCCGAGTTTGCACTGTGTAATCCCTTCGAAGGGAGACCTGTACGCAATCATCCTCGTGACTGGTATCCGGCTCGACCTTGCGGCCCACACAGTTGTAGCTGATTCGTGGATCATACCAAAGTCAGACAAGGTTCAAGACAAGCTGAGGAGAGGGAGAGAGATACCGTCCTTAGTTGCCATCAAAACAAATGCCGACGAATCGGAAGCGTGGAGACATTTGCTTCCACTCTTGATCGAGCGGTGCCGCACTTGGAAGCATAAGGCAAGTTGCGAATACCTCATTCATAAGCTCTATTCCGCTCTATCCGAATGCCGGATCGGATCCCAACAAAGTACCGTGGTGCTCTTGTGGGATGGGCGTCGGAGCGGAGGTGCTGCGGGGCCGCTACGGTAACGTCACCGCCGAATATGCGACGAGGGCAGCAATCAGTCCGTTATTCGCCGTGCCCTACTTGGAAGGCGTTAGAATGATGAAGCCTACGGATGTCCCGCCGATTGAACCAGCACTAGTAAGATGTGCGGCGTGTGGAAAAGGAGGTATGCCGTTGTCCAGGTGTAGGCAGGTGCAAGGCAATCAAATACTGCTCCAAGGACTGTCAAGTAACCCATTGGAAGATACACAAGAGGAGCTGCACGTCGACGTGAGAGCCCTATTAGTACTGTAATTGTATACATACTGTTCGTCGTGTTTTGGTCGTGTTACTGAAGTTAGCCGCGTGAGAATGACGAGTCGGACATGAGGTAGCAGCGTTGTCGAACCGGTATTCTGAGACACGACATACGTCAAAGGACCACCACCTGTACGTTACCCACCGAGTCTCTGTGGAGAGACACGGAACAAGCCAACATCGTATTCAGTGCTTACCCGCCGGGCTTGACGAACTACGTTTACGGGACATCACACACCTTTGCGCTGTTGTTCTAACTTTTCTCCGAACCAATTATGAAACGGAATCAGTCATCAGCGAGGGCATCCTCGCCCACGCCAACAACCCTGTCTGGAATCTCAAACTATCGCACAGACTCGTATCGCCCAATCAAAGATCAGGCAAATGTCCCCGCCGTGCCTCCACCTGATCCGAAGACCATCGCAAGGACCCACTACCTGGAAATCTCGCAGTACCTGACCGCATACCTCGCCAAGGGTCAGCCTCGCTTGGTTAGAAGGGCTCGTTTATTGTCTGATAATCCTCCCTACAGCACCGCCGAATTCGCGGTCTACCGCTCGCCAGAAGTTGACGCGGCTGACAAAACAGCAATTCCAGGAACTCTCGACAGATGTATATGATGAACTCATTCGGAGGCAGACTAATACTGCAAACAACGAAGGTATATTCAAGCTTGCAAACGGCGAGTGAACCACTTCATTCATCTCGTTATTTTGTAGTACCCTGTCTGCCCGCCCGAGAAGATTTCCATCCGAAGCGTAATCAGGCCCGGCAGAAACTCGCCACGCTTCCAACGGCGAGATTTGAGGATCTTTCCTCTGATGTTTTCTTTGAACTTTCAAGGCGGTACCCGGAGTTTAAAGAAGAGGTACGCCCCGATCATCCTTTTGCCATGCTCTAACCTCGTATTGTACGCTTATTGTTAGGGTGAGGGTGGTCTAGCAGCAGCGGGCTCACCACAGTCGACCTATGGCGAAATGCCTTCATCTGATTTTCACGCCTCGCCACGCTCTGATGCTGTCAACCTTCCGCCAAATTTGCGATCAGGGCGTCTGTCAGAAGACCGAGCGATGGACAGTGGTTATGGTAGCGGCACGCTCGGTAGGAAATCGTCTGAAGACGGATTCAACAGAAGTAGGCCAAGTGGTGATGAAGCGTCGGCCGGGCGTCGGAGTGAAGATTTGTACAGCAGATCCGCACATGGAGACGATCCGATCAACGCGTATGCAGCTCGCAGGAAACCCTCGCAGGATATGCGTGCGACCGCAGTAGCGAATGCAGCCGGTGCTAGAGTAGGTGCCGGTCCCGATTTTGGGCGACGCCCGAGTGCCACTGGCAGTCTACGTAGCGATTCATCAAGCACAACCAATGCCCAGAGTGCGACGGCCACCAGCGGGATGATCATCCCTAACAAAAGCACGATCGCCGAGGAGGATATCGAAGTCCCTTTCGGAAGGGAAATCAGGGACAGCTCTATTGCGACAATAGATGATCGGAGTCAGGAGATTGGAAAGGATGTCGATGCAGAAGCCGGAACGGATGGAGAGAACGATACTCCCTTGGTAGGGCTCAGCGGCTTGAGCGTCCGCTTGAGATCGCAGGGTGACTTCGATGATGATGGGGTCCGGAGCGGGGACGATTACTTCGAGAAGGTATCACTTGGCAGAACCTCTGTGACATCGGATCGCTCCACTAGCGGAGCTGGTTCCAGGGTCATGGGTGGTCGCACGAGTGTAGGGGGTGACGAGCCAGAGAGGTTGAGACATGAGTACGAATTCAAGATTGTAGGGATGCAAAACCGCATCGTGACACTCGAGCGCGATTTGGCGAACGCCGAGCAGCGGGAAGAACAGTTGCGAGAAAGTCAGCAGCGCATAAAGTTACTAGAGGAAGAAGTCGTTGGGTTTCGCAAGGTAAGTAATCTATCTATTCAGCCTCATTGGCAGCGGTCCTCATCTTGATACAAGCGCGCGGAAGAGCACTCGACAGCGACGAGAGTATTGCAGGCGGAGCTGGACGAACTTCGTGAACTTCGGGCAAGGGAGGAAGAGCGCACCCAAGACGATCAAGCAGAGTTGCGAAACCTCCGCGATCGGTGCAAGCGTCTCGAGGAAGAGTACCAGGGAGGTTCGGGACAAGTATGTCTTTTTCACGTGCTCCGCGTCTATCTACGTACAACTGATCGTATCTGTAGGTTGACAATGAATTGATAGAACAGTTACGTTCTGATATGGAAAGCCTCATGGCCGAGTTAATGGATCTGGGACGTCGTAATGACGAGCTCATGGCTGGGAAGGAGGCTGACCTTGCACTTATCCGGGACCTTGATAGTCAGTTAAAGGAGTACAAACGCCGTTACGAGCAGGCCAAGACGGAGCTAAGGAGTGTGAAAGGTCAGATGGTTTATTACTGCGGGGTGTAACATTGTACTGATTCGTCTCGATACACCAAAGCTACGTCTCAGTTGTTTACGCAGACTCCTAGGATGGACGACCAACTTCCGGTGGCCCAAGATGGAGGCTTGCTTGACATTCATGTCACGGCGTTCATATCATCTATCGACAGCCTTCTTGCGGCGGCAAGATCGAATGCACCCACCAGAGTCCTCACGCCTATGAAGGCCGTGGTGACAAGCACATCCGCTATCATCGACGATGTGCGGGCATACGAATCTCGGCCTATGAGGGAGGACATCGACGTTAATAGCCTACGTTCCCTGCGCGAACGAGTGGAAGTCACATTGTCCAATCTCGTTGCAGTTTCCAAAACTCATGCCACCAGCTCGGGAATGTCGCCGGTCAGTCTTTTGGATGCCGCCGCAAGCCACGTCTCCGTCACCGTCACAGAGATTGCCAGAATGATTTTTATTCGCAAGGCTACACGTATTGAGCAGGACCTCCCCGCGCCACCACCTCAAGCCCAGTCTGTAACACCATCCTTCGCTACTATACCTGCTGCTCCTCCTCTTCGCTCGTTAGAAGAGTTGCGAACTTCCAACCATGACCGCATGTCGTCAAGCGGTAGCTCCAAAAACGGAGATTCCCCGCCTCCCCTACCTGACCGATCTGCTGGGCCCTTTGGGAGTGGCGGGATCGACATAAGCCCAGCACCGCCTGAGGGCGGAGAGGACGCCTGGTCCGAATTAAAGGTGTGCTCTATATCTTTCCGCATCCATAAAACTCCAGTGACACGAGCCGTTCACGCAGCCATACCTCGAAGCTCAAACTGGATCCATTGTATACGCCATACAGAGCGTTCTCTCAGGCGTCCGCAGCCCTAATCCATCACCCAGTCTCAGCGAGAACTTAACAGAAATTATTACCATCGTATCGAGCATCGTAGCTGTATGCAGTGACAACTTACCGCCGGCGTCGGCCCAACAAGGTGCCGAGATTTTGAAGGACCTCCGGGACCACGCTAAGACACTGGAAGGCGTTCAGCGGTTACCGGAGGTTCACTAAAGAGTCGAGGCAGATTATGGCAAAATCGAGCTTTGCGATCGCGAACGCGATGAAGGGGCTCATGAGGTTATAAGCTGGTTTGATCGATCGATATACATATCAGGTTGGTTTTCACTTGATCTGGTTTGGGACATTTGGGCAGCTATGCGCGCTGGCTCGCGCTCTTCTTACTACTGTATACCCCTACTTCGTGTTACCCTACTACACCATGTTACTCAGATCCCCGGCAAATGTAAACGGTAGGAATACAGTTATGATTTATACATTACATGGCTGTTATATAGCAAAGGTGTCCAATAAAGAAATGCCTAATGAGCAATCCAGCTCTACGATTCATTTGCTGTTATCGAACATGGTCACCGTTTCTTGTACGAGCTGTTCTTGATCAGTAGTTTCTTGGGGGTTGAGAAGCTCCCCGGCAGCACATAGGAGGGATCCTAGAGACTCCCAGAACTCGGACAGATCAGCACCTGGGAGGTTACTCCCTGCGATGAAAAGTGAGTGTATCGGTGGAACTGTCACTGGTGTTTAGCAGAGCCTTACCAAGTGCGGCAGAATTGAGCATTGTTTTCGTCACCGAGAGCTCCAAGCATTTCCGAGTCGGCGTCTGGGGCAGACGGCGGTAAAGACGAGGATATATCACCAAAAATCGCATCGGAGTCCGTAAACCACGTCCGCATCAGAATCCGTAAGCCATGCTGCATCGGAGTCCGTGAACCACGCTTGTGTCTTCGCTATCTGTGAACCAGGCAGCACCACCCTCCGTTTCCGTAAGCAGCGCGCTATCCGGGTCAGACTGACCAGGAGCTTCTCCAGTATTCGTTGTCGGACCTCGGTGCGGTCCTAAGCTCCCCCGATGTGGTAAAAGGTAGGGTGTCCGAGTCGGATAGCAGGCTATCGTGTCCAACGTGAAGTCGTTTCACAGGGCTTGAAAGCGGACTCGTAGGCGGAAGTGGGGAGGAAGGAGGTAGGGGGCTTGATGGCATGCGCGAGTCCTCGCTCTGTCCACCATCGTCATCGCACTCATCACTTCCGTCGACCGAAGGGATGCTTTGATGCTCGGGATTCCCCTCACCCTCAAGATGCTGCTCAGTGTTGATTCCCATCAGGAAGTTCACTGTTATGACCGTTAGCCTCACGCGAAGGTTGCGAAATCGCGTGCAGTCCAAGCGACCCCTCCTGCGGTTCCTTGTTCAACATCTCTTTCTGGGAAACATTTACTGGTTGTCGTGCCCAGCTTGGATCATTGGTTTTCCAGGCACCAGAAGACAAGCTGTTGAATGGAGTCGCACACAATGGCGAGTTCTGCGGTGCACCTGATAGAGTAGAAGATGACGTGGTTGTCCTTGTATTTTTCCGGGTGGGCGTCTTCAGAACCAGAGGTGGTCCAATAAATGTCCTCGCAGTGACCTGAATATTTGCTGTTTGAGCGTGGGAGGTGGGTGAGCCAGAGCTTGTTTGTATCGTTGGCTTATGAGAGGTAGAGCCTCCAAGATACTTGCACAAGCGCTTTCCCGGAGTGTGGTGAGGCGACCGATGGATCGGAGTGCGTGAGATCATCTGTGTGGCATCCCTACACGGTGTGTACAGAGCTGAACGGCGGTGGGCAGACGGTGATTTAGGGGTAAACGTGTATCGGGCCGTGGATGTAGGAGTGCTTGGAGTAAACAGCGACCCAGAAGGGGAAAACAGAGAACCTGCCCCAGTTCCAGGGGTGGACACGGCTTCTGCTGCCGACGGTGTCCGCAGTGGGCCCGACCCACTAGGTGGGGAAGAGGCTTGACCCGTCTTGTCGGAGTCCACCTTCCCGGAGCCATAGTGGGCATTCGTGAGCTTCCGTCGTGAAGGGGTACTAGGAAGAAGCACGGGACATGCTTTGGGAGATGATGAGGAGATGGGAATCACATCGGAAGCAAATACTGGGAGGGATGGTAGGTTCTCTTGTTTTGGCATACTCGACATAGGGCGAGCAAGATGAACATGTCCTTGCGCTGGGGAGCGACATGGGCCCTTACTAGCATCTTCGTCATCACTACCATCCGACGATTCTTTGGATGGTACCACTACTTTTCGCCTCCTAGTTGGGTAGACAGTGTGCAACCCCCCTTTACGCCTCCTTTCCTTTGCTTCTCGTCTGCGTTGTTCAGCTTCTTTTTCTTTCTTTTCTTCAGCAGCCTTTCGTCGTGCCAGTGCCTCCTCGGATAAACGTGGAAGGGTGGCAGTATTAGTACGAGCCCAAGCTGGAAGAATAAATTTTTTCAGAGGATTTTCGGCAATGGCAGTGGGTTTCTGTGTCGATGGCTCCGAACTGTCTAAAATGTGAAGTGGTGGAGCCGTAGCTGACGGGCCTGCATGCGTGGACGCCGAGTACTGCGAAGACGAAGAGCGTGGTTTGTAACCTGCGCGAGACAACTGTACTTTCCCAAGTGATATGTAGCGACAGGGAGAGGTCTCCGATTGCGTGGCCTGCGTAATGTCGGAACCTTGGCGCGCAGCTAAAGCCCAAATGAACAAATGTCAGTAACTAGTCAACTGGCGAAGCTGAGGAATGCTATATGTTGGTAGGCAGCAATCGCATACATGGGGTTGTTAAGAATGGTCCAGAGATGCCTACCTGACACTCTCCTGGTGCTCTCCCGTTTCTTTGATTTGTCTTGGCGACGAGCCTCCTGTTCAGCCATGAACTCTCCAAGGGTACGCTTACGCAAGACCGTTGACTTAATCGTCTGCGGACCAGGCTTGCTTACAGAAGTCGATATTCGTGAGCTTGCAGTCTGAGAAGACGGCGGTGAGGTTGCAGAAGTGGAGGGAGAATACTGCTGAGAGATCATGTCGCTTACGGACAGTGGGGATCGGCAGTTGGATAAAGTCGAAGTTCGACGAGAAGAGGATGGTTTGCGTATGGTGCTTAGCATCGAAGGGAGTCGCTCTGGTGGGGAAGAGTCTGCGAGTTTGATATTCCCGGGACCAATATCTCGCCCGGAACCGGAGATCCTGCGGCCAGCGTAGGGAGAAGTGCGGAGGTGCGCCATTGCAGAGGGAAGACGATCATTACTTTGATCAAGCCGCGAGCGCTTCCCAATTCGTGTCGAGGTGGGGGTTACTGGAACATGCGTCGGGGAACATGGCGGAGTTTTCTCTTCGTTCCACTTCAAAGGAGCACACCTGGAAGTTGGGGTCTCAGGTTCATGACCATAAGAACGACTGGAATCGCTTTCAGGGGTACGAATCGAGGAAGCCGGAGTTGTTTCCTGCGTAGACGGGGGTGTACTAGCAGGCATGGGGGATGGGGTCGCATCTTGCGAACCTGAGGGTGTCCGACGCAAGTAGATATTGTGTGTTCGGATAGGATTCCACCATTTCAGAGGCCGAATCACTAGCTCGTTTGCGGAACGCCGTGGGGTCTACGACAGATGAGTCGAGTATGATGATGTCAGAGTCCCCGTCGTCCGCCTCATTAATATCCTCTTTCTTCTCAGAGGAGCTTCGGGGAACGGCTGCGCTTGCAGTGGGAACAGAATTTAGGACCTGGGGATTAGTGGAAATGAATTGCGCGAGTGCCATTAGTAAAGTAGCATTCTGTGCTGGCGGGTTTGCGGTTGTCGAGTCCGGCGTGGGAGCGGTAGACGATAGAGCGGAAAACAAAGCCAAGAGGGCGCTTTGTCCATTATCCTGTCGCGGAGGTTGCTGTGATTGGGGTGCATGTTGAGTTTGAGGTGTGTGTTGGGGGACAGTGGGAGATAAATTGGCGTAGCTGTATGGTGTGGGTGGGTTGCGCACTAATGGTGCACAAATGAACGGAGGTCTTGTTGGCAGAGGTTGTGATCGCGGACCTCTCGTCTTCGTTTTCTTGTTGGGGTTCGAACCGAGAGAGGAAGAGACCAGTGGTTCTGTTTTCTCTCGGACATTTTCTGTCATCTGATGGTTGGCTATTCCAATAGATGGTACACTAGTCTCCCGTTTTGGCTTCGACCTGGATTTGGAAGACATTGAGCCTTCAGGACGCCCGGGGCCACGTCGAGGCGGACCTATGTACACCTCTGGAAAATCGGCAGATTTGCTGAATGTTTGAGGTTCTGCATGCTCTGGCTGAGGGACAGGTGCAGGTTGAAAGGACAACGAGCTAGGGGTATAGCTCATAAAGGAAGACACAGAGACTTGACCCCATGACTTCGAGTCACTTAGCATGGATTTCCGTACGCGCTTTGTCTGTCGATGGAAAGCACATCAGCGGACCTGCAATTGCCAGTCGTAGTGATTAGTACGTATTTACAACTCACCTCTCGTAAAGCGAAACACCACTTCAAGTGCTGCGGACCCCGGAAGGATGGTCCCCGTGACATGGATACATCCAGACTCCTCCGATTCAAGGGCACAGGACATGAGGCCCAAGGCGACTGCTACACCACGCGGCGAAGACCCACTTGCACATGCATTTGGGGGTGCGGGTTGGGCCTCAAGCGGATCAAGGACGTAGAGTGAAAAATCTCGTGAAGAGTCCTGTAGAAGTTCTGGGCTGAGAGATTAGAAGCGCCAGCCTAGGGTGAGATGATTGGTACGCTTCCATACTTCAAGGTAACATACCTGGAGTTGCATATGGCTGTGAGACAAGCTTTGAGAGGCGCCTGCGCGTACTGGGGTTGTGTTACATCGTGCCCTTCTGGTAGCTGTTGTGCATAAGCGCATCGGATTACCGGGACCGGCTCATGTATCTTTGCAAGGATATACTGTGGAGAGCTGTTAACAGTGTAGAGGACACGTACTGAGAAGAGGCCAGGGTGAGCAAGCACCTCTCATGTCAATCCCAGTCACTGAGTACTCACAGGAAAGTTTTTGAACAGGTTCACTACCAGTGGTCGCCGACATCGCCAACAGACTAATGGCGGTGGGCGGGCCTTCTGGGGAAATATCGAAGTAAATGGATGATCTACGCGTCCGACACGGGGCACGTGACCGCGCGGTCCACACAAATATTTTTCCACCCGCCAGCCTGACACCGCTAAGGAAACCATTTCAGCTCCCTGTTGTGTATCACAAAAAGAAACTCTGCATTCAGTGCGTAGTAGTGGTAGCTCAGATTTCTTAGAACTCATGTGGAGTTTGGTGCTGAAAGGCTCTTCTCTAACAATAGGGTTACTACATAAGCAGGCTGAAGTGAGAAAGAAAAGAAAAAGTAGCTGAGTGCTGATATAGCGAAAGTATATGTACGGTGTGGGCAAGCAGCATGCACATAGGGAACTGCAGCAACCGGCGACAACAGCATCATTACTGGCCTCATTCCTTGATATTCCTTGATATTCCATTGGCCTTGCTTTGGTTCACCTTTGTCACTGCTTTATATAAACGTTGTAAAGCTATGTAAAGCTATATCCATGTATAAGGCTGGACTTGATGAGTAGGGGAGACCCAGGAGGTGGTCGAACGTAATCAAAGTCTCGTTCGAAGTCATACGCCCTACCTCTGCTCCGTCTGTCAGCGTCTAAGCCCCTCTTTGATGACAGCTCAAAGTATCGGTTTGCCGTAGGCGTATTCTGTGTTCACGGTGTGAATTCAGAGGACTGGTGTTGGTTGGGGGTTCGAAACCTTCGGCATCTGAACCGAGCGCTTCATCGAACTCGCAGTCGACGTTCCTAGATGGCCGCCGCATTGGGAATGATACGTATCGACCAGGCATATAATTTTTGTGGAACCCTTACCACTATGACGGAGTGCCACAGTTGTTCCGTCAATCCAAACCACTACCAATAGGTACAGGTAATCCTAGCACCCGGAGGACAGTATATTGACTCGTGGAAAATGCTACAGCCAGTCAGCCACGGGGAGGAATAATTAATGTTACTTAGATGGTGAATGTTCTACTGAACTTCTCCGGTTGCGCATTGCCATTCCTCTAATGCAGCCTTTCCCTCTAGACATAGAATCTCGTACGCATGTTTAATATGATCCTCCGATGTCCGGGTCGCTCCAACGGCCACGCGAACACAAAAAGTGCCACTCAAATCCGTTTGCGTAAACGCAATATCACTCCGAGCTGATACTCGTGCATAGAACACCCTATTTAATTCGTTCAGTTTTGCGAGGGAGACTGGCGGTGAGGCCCGAGGTTCGAGTCGGAAAACAGTCAATGCCAAAGATGGCGGTGTGACCAAGGCGAACTCAGTAGATTCCCGGATGAGGGACGCGAACATATTGCCGAGCTTTACGGTCTGTCGGAATGGTCAAACCAAGATGAGTGCTTGGACATCGACGTCACTAATCCCACCTCTCGAATGTACCGCTGAAAGCCTTCGACACCGAAAGACCGCAGGACGAACCACAGCTTCAGTGATCTAAATTTTCGCCCGAGCCCAAAATGCCAATTTCGATAATCAATCACGGTGCCTTGTGTGTTGTGAGAGAAAGAAGTACAGAGGAAATAGAGTACCCCACCCGCATCCCCGTGTTTTGTACGCAAAAACTCGGGTGTGACGTCCAGTGCATCTATCAAGCTCGCCCTGTCCCGAACCCAAAATCCGGAACAATCAAAATTTACGAGTCCCCACTACAGTTCCACAGGTTGAGTGGGACCACAGATGTAAATAATTCGCATACCTTGTGGAAATTCGTGCAGAATGAATCCCCATATTTGTTAATATCACCAAGGGCGCAGACATCCCGATACTCAGGGCACACCATCGCTATCCCTGCCCATGCAGCGTCAACATGTAGCCATATGAAGGGGTAGTCCTCCACTTCCAAGCAAAGGATGAATGAGCAGAGCTCCACATCGCCAAAATCCCGACTCACAAACTAGTCCTACTTCACCAAGGCAATCGACAGCACCTGAGGAGGTCGTTCCGACGGTCCCAACTGTGAAGTTTGTAGTAATTCAGAGCATATCTATGCCGAGTGGTCTCTCCTAACGTACTCATTATAAATGGGTGTAGCCCGGCAGCACGGTCTTCCTCGAGTGCACGGCGCAATGTATCTCCACGAAGGGCGAAATTATCTTGAGCCGCAACTTCTAGTGCACGAATATCCAAGCCAAGCACAAGACCAGCTTTCTTCCCTAGTGAATGCGTCTGTGTGGTAGTGTATATCCGTAGTGTTTCGGAAGGAACACCTCGGTGTTGTTTGGTATACCGAGACCTAGCTGCTACAACGGCAACAAGTGCTGAGTCTGATGCAGTGGTCTGACACGGCAACACTCTGTGTAAGAACGCTTAACAGCACATGGCAGGAAGCAAGTTACCTGGATGACGCCTCCGCCAACGTTTGCGCTATTGTGAAAGGTTGGGTCCAAACCCAGCATTTTAGCGGCCCAGTCCATGACAACTGTCTCTAGCTCTGTGCAAGCCGGACTAGCAGACCACTAAAGGAGTCGATTAGGCACTCAAAACGAGCTTTCAACACAAAAAGCATCACGTTGAAACCGGGATTGGGGACACTGCTTGCATACAAATCACCAAGGACCGCCTCGAAGGTACTGCCGATAGGGAAATACGCAAAGAAGGACGGGTGGTGCCAGTGGGTAAGACCTCACGGAGCATGAGATATGTACAAGGATGGAGTGAGGAACGGCTTCCCCCGTACCTGGCATGATATAAGTCTCATAATCCTGCGCAATCAAGTCAAAGTTCTCGCTGGTCTGAGGTGCTTCGGCTGTACAAGGGTCGGGCATAGTGTCCGTTAGCACGAGCTCGTGTCTAAATTAAAGCACCATTACATGGGAGCGTCCTTCTCAGGTACCCTGGTTCTACTCTTGCAGTTACTGGCCTGTCTTGAAGAGTGTAATAGTATTCGCATATCCGGTCGATAGCCTGGTAACCAGCACGGCGAAATCTGCCAGGGGCATCTGTTAGTAAACAGACGTCAGCCGATCTCTAACTGACTGTTCGATATCCATGATAAATCACGTTGAGCCTAAGGTTGAAATCGTCGTAGAGTTGAATACCTAGCAGTGATAAGCTAAGCTACCCAGCGATGCGCACTTTCATACATTCACATCACATTTCCCATCAATTGGCTGAAACAGGCACTGTATACACACCAACTCCAAAGGCGGCCGCGACCCGGTCGCCGCAGGCTTTGGTCCCAGCTTGGTCCCACCTCCGATAGCATCCGAGCGTGCCCCACGGACCAGGGAATCGAATCACCGCCATCATCATCGTTCGAAATTGCGCAAGTCGTGGTCAACGTACATAATATACTGAACGACCGTTCAACGCTATATCATATCGAAATATCGCTCGCAAAAGCAAGGCACGGAAGCGTGAATGAACAGGTGACTGTGCTCACAGCCACTGCATAAGCGAAGTATGCTGGATAAGAATACGACCAAGCATCTCTCTAAGTTCTTACCGCCACTAGATCATGCATCCGAGTTCGTGCCTCTACGCGGAGTAGATTCCGCGACTCGTATTCCGATGCATTGAAAAATCACTTGACATCGTGTGCATTGGCTAGGACATGCCACACCTCTTCAAGAAACCGTTGAACCAGGTTTTGCTCCCATCACTTCCGATATTCTGCAAGGTTTTTGACGAGAAAATCTGTAAGAACTTGCAATGAAAACGTCTAGATTGCCTCCGAAATTATTGGCCACGTCACACACCCGTCTACCTGGTGGCTGCCCATCTTGAAATCCTACCAAGCTTGCCCTCACCTCAAGGTCATTGCGTTGCAGGTGTCTTGTAGCCTGACACTTGCAAACAATGACTTGGGACATGGTCAAGGTTTTGCCCCACTTAGAGGTTTTCGACGTATTTCCTGATGGCAGAGTGGACCCTCCAGTTCATCTCACCCTATGAGGAGCTACTGCCCTTCTATATCATAGTGCAAAACCCAAGGTTTTACCCCGCTGTTCGATGCAACCAGAGTTCCTGAATGTGTCACTGGACGTAGTAAGTAGAGCACTGGTGCAGAACAACGCAGTGAGGTGTTTGGTACTGGGTCTCTGGTAGCAACGTGGGGGGTAAGTGATTAGGATCCAAAAGAGCCAGCCAGACAAGCTAGAAAATGCGACAATGTCGCAAGGTGCTCTGCAGCTAGTTTGTCCTTGGTACTTGAATTCGGGCCATTCTGCCAAGTTAGACGCCGTGACCGGCGAGTGAAGAGCCGCCGCTTCCTTACACTGGGGAGGCCACTTAACGCTCTTTTCTGACTGAACTGCAGGCCTTACAGTTGGAGTACAGAAGGATCCTCCCATTGCTCCTCAGCTCGCAGACACTTGCAAGGCGGAGTTAGCATATCGAATAGTGTCTAGATACTCATGGCGTTATGATATCCATAATGTTATCAGTCTGTTCGCCACGTTATGTAGGACATTACAGCTCCATCAGTAAACTGCAAACCTTGTGCAAGCACCTACTGACAGGGAACTTGGCACAGCCAAGTCTGTACGTTGACTCGTGGAAAATGCTACAGACACGGAGGAAAACATTGTTAAATGGAGAGATGAACTACTCAATACCTCCGGTTGCGCATCGCCATTCCTCTAACGCAGCCCTTCCCTCTAGACATAAAATCTCAAACGCACGTTTAATATGATCCTCCGATGTCCGAATCGCTCCAACAGCCATGCGAACACAAAAAGTGCCACTCAAATCCGTCTGCGTAAACGCGATATCACTCCGAGCTGATACTCGTGCATAGAATTCCCTATTTAATTCGTTCAGTTTTGCGGGGGGGACAGATGATGGGAAGTAAGGTTCGAGTCGGAAAACAGTCAGTGCCAGAGATGGAGGTGTGACCAAGGCAAACTCAGCAGATTCCCGGATGAGGGACGCGAACATATTGCCGAGCTTTACGGTCTGTTGGAAAGGTCAAACCAAGATGAGTGCTTGGACATCGACGTTACTAATCCCACCTCTCGAATGTACCGCTGAAAGCCTTCGACACCAAAAGACCGCAAGACAAACCACAGCTTCAATGATCTAAATTTTCGACAGAGTCCAAAATGCCAATTCCGATAATCAATCACAGTGCCTTAGACATTGTCAGGGAAAGAATTACAGAAGAAATTAAGCGCCTCACCGGCATCCCCGTGTCGTGTACGTAGAAACTCGGGCGTGACGTCCAGTGCATCTATCAAGCTTGCCCTGGCCCGAACCCAAAATCCGGAACAATCAACATTCACGAGTCCCCACTACAGTTCCCCAGTTGAGCAGGACCACAGACGTATATAAACTCGTACCTTGTGAAAATTGGTGCAGAATGAATCCCCATATTTGTTGATATCACCAAGGGCGCAAACATCTCGATACTCAGGGCACACCATCGCTATGTCCCTGCCCACGCAGCGTCAACATGTAGCCATATGAAGGGGTAATCCTCCACTTCCAAGCAAAGGATGAATGAGCACAACTCCTCATCGCCAAAATCCCAACTCACAAACTAGCCCTATTTCACCAAGACAATCGACAGCACCTGAGGAGGTCGTCCCGACAGTCCCAACTGAAATGTGTAGTTCAGAGCATATCTATGTCGATGTGGTCTTTCCTGACGCACTTAGAATGAACGGGTGTAGCCCAGCAGGCACAGTCGTCCTCGAGTGCGCGACGCAATGTATCTCCGCGAAGGGCGAAATTATCTTCCACCGTCACTTCTAGTGCACGAACATTCAAGCCAAGGACCAGGCCAGCTTTCTTCCCCAGCGAATGTGTCTGCGTGGTAATGTATATCAAAAGTTTTTCTGAAGAAACATCTGGATGTTGTTTGGTATACCGAGATCTAGCTGCTACCACGGCAACGAGGGCCGATTCTGACGCAGTCGTCTGACACAGCACTCTGCGTAAGGTTGTTTGGCGGTACGTGATGGGAAGCAAATTACCTGGATAACGCCTCCGCCAACGTTTGCTGCAATTGTGGAAGCTTGAATCCAAACCCAGCATTTTAGCTGCCCAGTCCATGACGACTGTCTCTAGTTCTGTGGAAGCCGGGCTAGCAGACCACTAAAGGACACGGTTAGGCATTGTAAACAAGTGTTTACTTAAATGAAAGCATCACATTGAAACCGGGATTAGGAACGCTGCCTGAGTATAGATCACCAAGGACCGCCTCAAAGGTACTTCCGGTCGGGAAATAAGCAAAGAATGACGGATGGTGCCAGAGGGTAAGACCTCCTGGAGTATGAGATACAAACGTGGAGCGAAGGACGGCTCCTCCGTACCTGGCATGATATACTTCTCGTAATCCTGCGTAATCAAGTCAAAGTTCTCGCCGGACTGAGGTGCTTCGGCTGTGCAAGGGTCGGGCATAATGTCCTTTAACTCGCGCCTAAATCAAAGCACCCTTACACGGGAGCGCCCTTCTGAGATACCCTGGTTCCACCCTGGCCGTTACTGGCCTGTCTTGAAGAGTGTAATAGTATTCGCATATCCGGTCGATGGCCTCGTGACCAGCGCGGCGAAATCTGCCGAGGGCGTCTGTTAGTGAAGGATCGTCAGTCCGGTTCCAACTGACTGTTCGATGTCCATGACAAATCGCGTCGAGCCTCAAGTTGTGGTTGTCGTAGAGATGGATACCTGACAATGGTAAGCCAGGCTACCACCGGATTGAAATAGCCTACACACCATCTCCGAAGGCGCCCGCGACCCCGGTGGATGCCGCAGTCATTGGTCTCACCGCTGCCGACACCATCCGAGTGTACTCCAAGAGGCCTGACCTGCGTCGTGGCAAAAGATCTAGGGTGAACGGCAAAAGTTGATGTGGTGTACTCACTGTATTAGAGTGACATCCCAGTACATAGCCACAGTTCAAATGCAACCTAACTCGGTGCCTTTGATCTCTTGGTCTTCCTTTATTTAGTGGAGGAATTTCATACCATTCACATTCATCGGACTTTGACCCGAATGTTCGAATGTGTACGGTGGTGGTGTTTGGCTACTAGAGGTGCTAGGATGAGGCTCTTGTTCGCCAGCGCAGACTAGGTTAGGGAGTCTTATGTGGTGACAGAGAAACGGACAACTGACTTTGTATACCATTGCTTGATCATAACCTAGGTATGTGTATCTCATAGTTTTCATTTGCTGGCGGGCCGATGCTGCCAATTAGAGCAGGAATGGAACGGGACCGGATGATTACGCCGCCATTCTACAGGGGTGTGATAGCCCTTTCTATGGTGTGCCCAGAACCCACCCGCTAAAAGCATCGATGACCAAGATGTTCCTATGTAAACCTGGATTGTGACTTCGTCCAGGAATACCATGCATCTGTGCCTCTGCGTGGACGACATTCTGCGACTCGTATTTCGATGCATCGAAGATCGCTCGACGTTGTGTGCATTAGCCAGGATATGCCGCACCTTCAAGGAACCAGCTGTAGATTTGATTTGGGAGACTTTGACCGCTGTGGAACCTATCTTGCAAGCGTCTCCCTTCTGCGAGGTTTGAGACGGAGTGTGCGACCTGTAAGCATTTATTGTCTCGTTATAAACACCACCAATAGTTAGTGGGCGACCGACGGCAGTACCTGGTACTATCACGTCCACTCAGTGACGATGACTGGAACATCATCCGGCGACTCTCAAGCCGTGTTCGCAGATTGATTGTGTTCTTACTATGCACCACCACGTGACAAAATGGATACCGACATTTTCCGGTTCAGTGCGCTCCTGGCGTGACGTAATGAATATCGGGGTTCCCAACTGGTTTGGTTTCCGTCGCCTCTCCGCCAGATCCAAGCTTCCTTTTCCCAAACCCTCGCGCTTTATCAATCGAAGTGCCCTGTTCACTTTCTTCGATTAGAGCCAAGAATGTGCACGCAGAGGCTTACAAGGTCGTCTTTCGTTTCTTCCGTCTTCTTATTGGACCACACCTGTCTGCCCTTCGGTTTGACATTCCTAACGAATTCTACGCCCATCTCGACATCTCTTCCATACCAGCGCTTTGCCCAAACGTCTGCATGTTGAGCATACGAGGGTTCGACTCCCAAAGGTCTGAAAAAACCATGCATTTGTTGTACCGGGCAGTTTCCGAGCTCAGCCGTGTAGAGATTGTCAGGTCTAGTGTACCCTCCTGGCATATACTGAGCAGTCTCGCTCAGGCGAATGCACTGCGACGGTTGTCGGTGAATTTTCCTTATCACCTTGGCCCTGCGACAGGGCACCTCAGCGGCGACGTTTTCCCTCGACTTCGCGCTCTGGAAATTTGGGCGAGCTCCATTGCACAATGCACAGATCTGTTCCGCTGGATTCCCCTCAATCAAGTCGCTGAGATGTTTATCTGTTTAGCATCCCACAAATACCGCGATCCTTTGCAAGCACTAGTTGAGGTGTCATCTCTGGTTTCATCCCAGTGCCAGTCTCTAGATTTCCTCTGGATTTCGATTCCCCTGAATGCTTCCACCCGCCACGTCACATCTACTTGGTGGCGATGTATGTTGGAACCCTACCAAACTTGTCATCACCTCAAGGTTATTGCATTGCAGGTTTCAAGCAGCTTGACACTTGCAGACAATGACTTGGAGGACATGGTCAAGGCTTGGCCACACTTGGAGGTGTTTCACCTATTTCCTGATAACAGTGAGGACCCTCCAGTTCAGCTCACGTTTCGAGGAGTTATCGCCCTGCTACATCGTTGCCTCAAGCTCAAGGATTTTACCTTGATGTTCCGTGCGACCCCATTTCAACGCGTCGCTCGACTTAGCAACGGAAAACTCGTACGGAACACCTCGGTGAAGCGTATGGGAGTCCACACGTCCTGTGTTTCGGAAAATAGCGATGTCGCTGAATATCTCTCCATTATCATGCCGTCTTTGAAGATCATTCGTCTCACAGAAAGGGCTCATGAGGCTTCATGGTCCTAGATATGCGCCCAGCTTCTACAGAAGCCCACAATTCACGTGAACCTGCCGCCCATGACGTTATACTCTACTAATTGGGGGTACCGAATCTGCGAGCGATGAGCAGATTTATGGCAGAGAGTGGCGTTGGATCTCTCCTGGTGGCAAGCGGAACCGATGTTAGGCACTGTGCAATAACCTGCGTATAGCCAGAAGAATGGAGTCATTCGTCAGGTAATTAAAGTGGTCAACTAGTTTGAAGCTCTCTACATCTGTGGCAGCTTGTAATATCACTGGCAAACAAAGAGATCTGCCTATTGTGGCACTTCCCAAGTTAGAGATGTTCATTGGTTATATTGCATGTTCAGGGTGTCATCAGGAAGTTCTTTATATCGAAATTTGATGTCATACCGAGGTAGCATGAGGAACTTGTGTCCAGTCAGGCATGCGGGATGGTAGCTGACGATACCATAGTGGCTCGTTAGTTCCTAGAGATCAGCGTATCCATAGATTTTGTTTTTTGGTGTTACGGTGTCGGTGTCTGCATCTGAGATTCGCTGCAGCTTGTTGGGTCCATCATTCGCCCTTCACCATCGCAGAATTTCCTGACGCAGGTGGTTTTCTAACTGTCAGGATAACGTCGATAAAAATGCAGCCCAGCAGACCAAGTATGTTTGAAAGACGGCGAGACGTCACCAAGTTCCGGGCCCCCTGCAAATATCTTGCCATGACTGATGCTGTCTGCAAACAGTTTTGCCAACATCTGCCAAGCGCTTCAAAGTTTCGTTGGAATAGTTGTAAGGTTTCCGAGATAACCACACATAAAGGAAGACAATCCAGTACGGGAGGAGGTGCAGAATTGAGCGGGATAAGAAATGTGACAATACATAATGGAGATAAAATGGAATAGTGGAGGGCACATCGTTACTTGATAGAAAGCTTCATCCTAAACGCGAAATATTAGTATGTAGAAAGTCATTGTGATGTATATGCAAGAAACGCTGCGTACTTCAGTGAATAACTACCGGGAGCCTGGTCAACGGGTCAAAAGGGGCGAACTGCCAACATCTGGAAGAAAGGGCATGAAACGGGAACAAAGCCATACTGACGGAAACTCGCTCTTCGTGTGCTTTCAGAAGAACTGGGAGCGCTTGCATCCCTTGCTCTTGGACAGGTGGCCAGTAGGACGTGTTAGGATCATGATGGGATATGACGAATCTAGGTGCTCTTGAACATCTCACCCACAATAGAAGCACATGTAAGTCAACGCACGGAAGGAGGAATGTCATGTCCGAGTGCGAGGCGAACCATTCGATGTTAGCTAAGGGCATTTGGAATGGTTTGTAATGTAAGGTAGCTCAGAAATGCACCTTGTATCATTCGGTGAAGATCATCGTCCGAAATGGTGACAGATGTACACTCGAAAGTCAGATATTTCACCTGCAGCCACTCTTAAAGTTGTAACGATCAACGTAAGACGGACCGACCTGGGCTTGCATGCGAGACACCATGGAGAAGCCGAATTGTAAATGCTCCTGTAGAACACTTGCTGAGTATGTGTCAGGAGCCTGTATGTGCTCGATTGAGAGGGGGCGGTGGTGGATAACGTGATCCTCTTCACTTTGATCCACTCAGCAAGAACACCAGCGAGGGTTGTGAGGGCCTCGGTAGCTCCACTGAAGTTGGGATAGCAATCTGGGCGCAGAGCTTCTGTGAGGGGCCGTCCATCGGAACAGGTGGTGTAGAATAGACGGTCGCCTGAAAGAAATGAGTGGGCTACTCTGCCAGCAGTACAGCAATGATGATTCACCTTCTAAATGGACCTGCAAAAGGTCAACGACGGATTTCACGTACTGCAGAAAATATAAAATTCTTTGATCGCTGGATGGGAACCGAATCGAAATCGCGTAGACATGGTTAAGTGCCCTTATGAAAGCGTTCTATCCATCACAAGTTGAGACACAATCAGACTTGAGGGTCATGCTCGACGTACCTTCATGGAGGACATCAGGCAAGGAAGTGCCTCCCTTGAGCTGCGTATCCCGTGAACGTCGGAACCAAGGTTTATGAAGGTGGAACGTACTCGATGGCATAGATATCGCATGACAGTGTAGGTAGCAAGGGGAGTGGATACCCGCCAATAGCTGCAGGGTCTGTACCGCACATGATTAGTGTAAGAGAAACAAAATCCGGGTTCCAATTCCACAAGCATCATGGGTCCCCATTTATAATCCGCCCGCTTGTGTTTCACAAAGAACATTGAAAGGACAAGGACCACTTTTGGACGCGTCAATATAGGTCACGTGCTGCGAATCGAGCACGCCATAGGCAGAAGGGCACGATAAATGACAGCGATCGACAAGAATCTTATGCTCTTCCACCTGTGACTGGTACTAATGCACTTGCTAGCATGGATTCCTGCTGCATTTGGTCTGACTCGTCGTCCATCGCGTTTGCCGTGGTATGCATCATTCTGCGCGGGTAAGCAGTCGATGGGTCTATGCCGAGCCGATTCGAAGTCACGGGACAGACAAGCAAGTCAGCCACAAGCCGGACCAAGTTGTTCCGCCATGTCTCGTGTCCGCCATGGCCGCGCCAAATCCAAAGCGCAATATTCGACATATTTTGGTCACTTGGGGCACATGACGACCAACGCGGTATTCATCCTTTGGGGATCCACCGGTGTCAGTTTGTCCGTCAAGCTTTAAGCCATACTCGGATTCCCCAGCACCTTTTTTTTTTGGCCAAGTAGTTCGCTTACGCTGACGATAAGTCGCAGTCCTCGGCCTCTCTTTTTCCGCCAAACACAGCTGCTGGCGGTCCCACCTTCGCCCTGTCAGCCGTGTGGAACTCCTAGGTGGTCCAAATTGTGTGGCTGACTCTAAGACCTCGTCGGGTATCCAGCCACCCTTTGAACTCCGACCGTTCCAGTTGAACGGTAATATCACTGGCGGTGGTGATATTACGCACTTCGTTGCGCTGCGACTCGGTTAATGGGCAAACGTGAGCACTCGCTATCACCATTTCATTTTTTCCCCTGTACATTATGGGGTCTACCCCGAGATCATCCGGAGATTACGAGACATCGGTGAAGTGGCTTTGTTTTCTCAACTCTTTGTTTGTACGCACTTCAACGTATAAATGATACGGACCTTTCACGATCACTCCGGTTGCCCGCTGTGAGATTTTCATACTGCGATGGACACCTATTCAACAGCAAGTTCCAGTTCTATCTCTGTGCGCTCCGTTTCGACTGCACCCAGCAGCCCAACCTCTGAATCTTCACTTGTTACATATCTTCTCCTGCCGCCCATCCTCGACGGCACTTCTTTGAAGGACTTTCGCCACTAAACTCGAAAAGGGCTCGAACCACAAGATTCTTGTCTCTATCCAACACGCTACATCCGTTTCAGATGTCGAAGTACTCTTGCAGGGTTTGCTGACATTGGTTCGGCATGCGATTCCTACAGCTGTGGGGCCACGGCTGGTTACAATCGGACAAGGTAAATTTGACCCGACATTGGAATGCCTGCAGTCGTTAATATGTCGTCAGGCGGATTGCGTGAAACTAGCGCTTCAATCGATGACTTCGTGCAGCTGCACGATGGCAAAGCCAACCCAGTAAGAATCGCAGATCCGTCCACTCCTCAGCTGCCTAAAGCTCTCCTTCCTTCCTCACAGGTAACGCTCTCCGAAGCATTGAACATGTTCTCTGCTAGCGGACTCCGCTCCATTTACTCTGTTTCCTCTGCCGACGGTTCCCTTACGCTTCACTGCCTCGAGTGCCCTCAGGTTTCATTCCCTCCTCTTCCCCTGACCTCGCCTTCGTTCTCCCCGTTTGGAGTACCTACTGTGGACGAGTGGCGTGATCTCTGGGCTGCTTGGGACCTAGTCACTCTCGGTATGATCCCACAAGAAATGCTGCATCAGAAACCGATCGACTTAAGGCATAAATGCCTTTTCTACATTGGTCACATCCCTACGTATGTTGGAACTTCCCCGTGGCATCGTTCATTGACTTCGGCTCTAGTTTCTTGGACATGTTGATGTCGAAGGCATTGAAAGAGCCCAACACAGAGCCGAAGAACTTCACCCTTATCTTCGAGGTAACTACTTACCTTCCGGTTTCGTCTGTCTGTATGCGTACCCATAACTTTCCCAGCGAGGCATTGATCCTCATGTCGATGATCCTGAGCATTGTCACGTACGTTTATCTGTCAAAAGTCGTAGAGTGCCTCTCCTTATCCTCGGCTCCAGGGGCATTCAGAAGTACCCGAGAAAGACGAGGAATGGCCATCGCTTGGTTCAATCCTCGCCTTCCGCGATCGCGTGCGGACTCGTCTTCTGAAGCTCTACGGTGATTTACGGAACGGCAGTCGTAAGCTCAACCGCCACATCGCACGTATGCTGGCTATGACCCACGAACATGAGGGCTGGCATGTCGAGGTTGGTACCATTCCTGTACTACTAATTGGTGACGCTCATGTTCCGTAAGACACTGCTCTATATGCTCATCCAGAGGGCTGGAACCGGCACTCTTCCTCCTCCGGGGTTCGCAGTTCCTCACTGGGAGGCACTCGCCGAACAATGGGACGCCATCGCTCCTCCCAACACACCAACTATCACAATCGGTCCTGCGAGAATCACACTGGGACATGACGACTGCGAGGGCGACGATTTCTCCTCCGACGTTGCTGAGATCATCGACGGCCACGCGTTTGGATGGGACAATGAAAGCCCGGCGCGCGTCGTAGAAGTGAAGCAAGTTAAAATGGAATGGAGACCAGTCACGAACGCGGAATTTTTCACGTTTTATAAGGATAGCAAGGAAGCCGGACTTCCCGCTAACTGGATAGAAGACGAAGATGGAATCAAGGTTCAACATTCGATTGTGTTTCCCGTGCACGTCTCCTTATCTGTCCCTCTATTTGTCAGGTACGAACCGTGTATGGGCCCGTTTCGATGGCTATCGCACAGCACTGGCCTGTGCTCACCTCCTATGACGCACTCTTGGCGTATGCGACATCCAAGGGTGGTCGACTCCCAACGGAGCCTGAACTTCGGTTGTTCTTTGACATTTATGGAGTGGGACACTGGGGCGGTGCGAATGTTGGCTTTAGGAATTGGCATCCCGTACCGTGTGTAATCCTGATAAGATGCTTGAAACTGGTCTTTCTTACGAGATCATGTCAGGGCCACCACTGGTCGGGAAGAATTCGGCGGCCACGGTTCGAACGGTGGGATTTGGGAGTGGACATCAACTCTCTTTAGTAACCACGAGGGACTTTTCCCAACGAACCACTTCCCTGGGTAAGCCTCTTCATTTGAAGCACAGACTGATGGGAAGACAGGTAACTGACTGATCCACAGCTATTCCACCGACTTTTTCGACGGGAAACATCACGTCGTTGTGAGTAACGATGTTTCACCGTGGATGAGTTTATCGTTGATGCTTCCTGTCTCTCAGTTAGGAGCTTCTTATGCTACGATTCCCAGGCTCGCCGAACGACGTACCGTGCGCAATTTCTATCAGCATAACTATCCATACGCGTGGGTCGGCGCTCGTGTCGTGTATGATGTCCTCGATGTGTAGATTTCAGTGTACTTGCGTCTCCTCTGGTGTACCTATATCTCGACGTCGTGGAACGAAGAATATGTACCATCTTTCTGAAGGAATGAACATGATATATGTAGTCTGAAGTGGCCGACGAACGCTGCGATCCTAGAGCGATCGATGAGAAGATTTGCAAGTCAAAAATTTATTGCAGACTAAATCAGGTCCTAGCTAAGACTGATGCGTGATCTCCCCACAACCTAATGTGAGCTCAGGACGGCGCTGTTCCAGGCTTCATCCCTTTGGAGCTCGGGCCCCTCTTTATCACGAAGCTCGTCGCGCCGCTATCTCCACGGAGGTAATTACATAATGCTCATGATTGAAAATTGTGTTCGCCCACAGCACTAAGTCAGGGGGTGGTAGCAAGTACAAAACCTGCACCTAAGGGTCAAGTTGGTCGGCCTCGGTGCATCCCCCTTCATTTCCACTATATAACAATCGCCCACAGACCGTCCTCAGCGAAACTCACAACCATCGTTGTTGCTTCCGGGCGTCTCCAACGGTGCTACTGCGTCGTATGTCCTATATGAGGTTACCACTCAGTGCGTGAAGCTCGCCCCCGTCTTCTATTCACTCGGTTCCGCAGCCACTGGGACGCAACGCCCGTTCCCAGCTTCTAACCACTTTCTTTTCGCGATAGTAATAACAGGAATAAGTTTTTTACTTTCGCCATCGTTGCGTTCTTTGCGTCCGCATAAAAGCCGCTTGGTGATTACAATTACTGGCCCCTGCTTTCTGCCAGAATCACCCACTTACTCTCAGTTGTGCCAGTAAGTGACAGCGACCATGGCGAACCTACCGGTATGTCTGACAGGATTCTGATAGGTTTTGCTGATTAGCAGCCAATTCCTGTATCCTAGCTCCTTGTCTCAATACATCTTGCCAATGTTAACGTCATGACACATGTCACCAACGATTCCCGCCGCAGACCACCATTCTCGAATGCCCTCACGTTAATTTTGGACGAGGCCGAAAAGTCTCGCCCATTGACTCGAATACCTGGAACTGCTATAGCCAATTGATGATAATGGTGCCAACGTCCACAAATATTTGCATCAGGAGTTATCAGTCTCTGGACTGAATGCCATTCATTCTTACCTGTGGATGGCCGGGAGGATGGATGGAGTTCGCGCTCTTCATCGGCAACGAATGATAAAAAGAGACATCGTGGTCGCAGAAGACCCTGGACTTCATCTCCTTTGGTATGACTCTACTATCTTCGTGAAGCCTCTCCCTGTTTGTCTCCTCGATTACAACTTCTTCGTCACCCACATATGTCCCAACGATACCCTCTATACTGCTGCATGCGGCTTCCTCCGCTCCTACACTCTCCTTATCCGGCATGAGAGCGACTTCCGTATAGCACATCACCTCGGAATCCTGCCAGCAGGACATGACGTGGATGCAGTGGAGCGAATTTGCCTTCTATATATCCAGCATCCCTCTATCTGACGTCAACAAACGGTTTCGATACGGCGAGCTTCGGCTGAGCCGCGTGAATCTAATTTACAACATTTTCCGGTATCGTCCATGGTACTACAAGATCCATCGGGACTACCAATCGTGGTTTTCGTACGAACTCGGGTTCATGCTCGTTGTCTTCGCCTACGTGAGCGTGGTAATGAGCGCCATGCAAGTCATGCTCACGACGTCGTTCATATCCCTGGAGGTCTCAGCTCTGTGCTACTGGGCAGGCATTATAACAACTGTGCTCATTGTCGCGGTTTTTACGTGGCAATTTGTTGGGATTGTCTTTGTTTATCTTTTCAGCTTCTTCCGAGCACTCAGCTCGGGACTTCCACCACACTAGTGTATCATGCTTTGCGACACATGTCATTTACTCCCATTTCTAGACGTTGGTGTGCATGTGTTTCATGTACTGTATTATGACAGACTTGGAGCTTGATGCGAATAGGTTTAACAACCACCAATGGCCACATCGATTTACTCAGCAGGTGCAAAATGTAGTCATTACATTGCGGTAACGCTGTACAACCATATTGCCTATATCGTTGTGGAGGTTTTCTTGTGTGGTTTTCCGACCTCTTACTTGGAGCCCTGCCGTAGTGTCCCTGCAGCGCTTGCCTTCCGATGCCCATCTTACAAAAGCACCATGGCACCTTGTTGGGATCCGATCCAGCATTGGATAGAGTGAAATAGAGTTATGCACGAGATAGTCGTAACGTGGCATATGCTTCCAAGTACAGCAAATATTATGTTTTAGATTGAACACTAGCCGCGAGAGGGGTTATTACTTCATAAACCTCGCATTTCTCATCTTTTTTTTTTTGAATGACGTCTGTCCCCGCAATTATTCACGACCTTGTGAGAGGGGAGGTCGAGGCGCATGCCAGTGACAAGGATAATTGCATAGATTTCTTCCTTTAAAGGGTGCCTCAAAGCAAACTTGGCATGCATCCCAACTCCTGCCCGGAAAGGAAAAGTGTGTGAAGGCAGCTATCAACTTCATGAGGATCCAATATACGTACTCTTCACATGTGATACGCGCTTCCCGTGCGAAAAGGCAACCTGCGTTTTAACCCAGTTGAATGCTTTGAGATTCCTGCAAAGCTTAAAGGAAGGGCGACGATCCAAGTCCACAAAAAGCAGTCCTAAAACTCCCTGCGGTATTACGTTCTTTGACATCAGCTTTAACATCAAATCACAAATGGCACGCAAGGGCCCACGGTGCTGACCTCGACTTTCTGCGATTTAGGGAGCTCGGTGTTTGGGAGAGGAAAGAAAATCCTACGGAGGTGTTGACCGATGTGCAACTTGACTTTATCTACAAAGCAACTGCTCAGCAACCACAACCAGTCGGGCCGTGAGTGCTGCCCGCTCTGCAGGATTTGCGATGTCGACGAGCGCAGTGAGTGAATATATCCGCGTATTGGACTTGCCTACCTCTACATGGATGGAGTAGCCCTTACACGCTGCATCCAATTTTATAAGAAGTATAGATAGGCGTACCTCATTTGTCGTGACGCTAGTGACGGCTCTTGCCAGAGCATGGACATATCGTTCGTCGGTAAGCCAAGACTAAAAATAGATACATTTCGACTCCCAACTTCCCCATCAACTGTCTCATCCGTAGGCGAAATGACCCCTTGCGAAGTAGAACTGCTATCTGTGTTCATAAGTTACCTGGGTGACCATCAAGTAGCAAACCACGTGCCACTACTAACAGCAAACTAGTGATGGATATTATGCACTAAAGTACAAGAAAGAAAAGAAGGGACTTACTAGTGACAACATGATAGAAGGCTATCACAAGGTGATGTGCGTCGCATCGTGGATACAGCTAGGATCCTCAACTGATGCCAAGGCCCAAGCTTCCTGAGCGATGCCGTGATAAATACGAAGGAATTCCGCTTGTCCGTGGAAAAACAGGCGTACTTAAGATAATTTGTGAGGTTAAATCGCACCCTGCTACTTAATAGCGTGGCGAGGAACCACCAACGTAACTGATATGATTTCGTGAACTGTCTGAAGATCGGAGGGTCGTTCTTGGAGTGAACTTGATGCACTTTCCCGCTGATGCCTCTCCGAGATGAAGACCAGTCATGCCATGGTCAACGTCGTGTTGGTACACAGCAACTCGCCGTCGGACGCAAAGAATATGAACATTTCGTGATCCGTCATTCGAAACATCAAACATCCAATCACGTTTGAATTGCTCCAAAACAGCACCTATCGCCGCCACTGTGGCCAGAGGAGCGGCCCAGAGAGTGGAGGTCACTGGAGGATGACTTACCTTCGAGATCAAGGCTTTTTCCATGCCGTTCTGAATGTTCTCCTTGGAACGCATAGCTTCCTTAGCGTTGAGGTTGGATATGCCTTCCGGAACCAACGAATCTCAGAAAGGATATCGATATCTGATTTATACATGGTAACAATGTGAGAATGAGGTCTTCGGCTCCATAAGTCCAACCTTTCAGTAAACAGATGAGGTTCACACCATTATTCAATGAGCAATGAGAGCAAGTTTGTGCCTAGCACCATGTGCTAAAACATGTTCCATATAGTGGAAAGTCTGTTCATCTGTCTTCAGCACAAATTGTCAAATAACTACCTGTTGGAAATACCACTTACCAGTGTTTCTCATAGCCAGTTCTAGACTTGCTTATTTGATGAGTTTTACTCATATAATGTCATGCTTGCTAAGTACTCCACTTAGCTCCACTTTATTCTATAATGTTCCATGACATTCCTTACTATACATAGTAGGTACTTTTCTTACTTACCATATGTGCTCATGGTCTGTGCACATTCCTACATGTATATAAATAAACCCAGGGGTTTCCACCAAGTCCCCTCAGTGAATTCACATTCCTCTTACCTGACTATGAGCCCCACTCTTAAGTCAGAACTACTTCCTCTACAAAAACCATTTATTACTTCAAGCTCTATCCACTAACAAAGGCAAGTGCTTGCCTAGTTCTCACCCCTTTCCCCTTTCCTCTGCCAATGCTACCAAGACTAACACATCACAAACTGTGCACCTACCAGGGAGAGGTTTGACCAGTGGATGATTGGCTTCTGTCAAGTGCTGGGTCTGCCTAATGGAGACTGGGTTTGATTTTACCAACACAAGACATGGGATAGGGTTCAAATAGAACTACTGAAAGTTATTTAGTAGGAAGTATGTAGCAGCGAGAGGAAGACTTGCCCTGTCGCTTTTCAAGCACCTCATTGGCAGCCAAGGTATCGGATAACACACACAGGAGGGTACAGGAGGACCTAAATCTAAAAGTGCTGATCATGAGATGGATGGCATCGAATCACAGCCAGAATCTATTCTATTTGCCTATGCACCCGTCTCGGTTGTGTCAAATTCTGCATTCTTTTTATTCAGTGGAAGCGGACTGAGGTGCAAGCAATCAGTTTGGTATCCGCTGAGCAATGTCAGTGGGCAACTCCGTTTGATCACATCTCAGCTACATTCGGGATTGCGGACTTAGCCAGCAGGTGAATCGCCTGCGGACATTAAAGTCTCCATATAGGAGTTGGATGGAAGGTTGCAGGGGTACTGACGGTGTTGGGAATTTGTAATACAGGATCGTCGGATAGATAATGACGTCGGAGCGGAAGATGGAGCACTCGGCTCTTGTGATGTGCTATTGACTGCACGACTGATCGCTTCCACGGTAGCAGCAAGTGAAGTGTAAAACACTAGGCTGCCTCTGTCATGTCATTGAAATGGAGGACCAAATACCGAAAGTGCTTCTCCAGCCATACTATTCGCAGCACAGAGTGGACTTGTGTTATGGACATGAAAGGGTGAATCTGACAACAGCTTTGCACCACGTTGGCCATCGTCCAAACTAATACCAAGACGGAAGACACTAGAGTTTCGGCGAAATGAAACCCAAGATTGGCATGAGTCTGTACCGGGTTAGTGCACAACAAACTCAATCTCCGAGCACAGAGAAAGGGAAAGTCGGATATTTACCGCTATTTGCTAATTTCATGTCTCGTTATCCGTCAATCCGGCAACGATTGAACCGTTCCGAAGTGACGATATACATTTAACGTTACCTGGACAAGCGGAAGTGTTTTTCGCGCAACCCTTGAGGTCACGTCCAAAAACCAAACCACCCCAGCGCAACTTGGCATGGAAGGCCATTACAATCTAGTTGGAAACTCGGAGCCGCTCTCGAACCCTCTTAATTCGCATCCTGAAAGCTCTTCTCGAAGCGTCAGGCTGAAGCTGCAGAGGATTATTCAATATTCCCGGCCGAAGTTTCCAGAATCGATCAATCTCCGAAAAAAAGCATCTGAAGATATTACACAAGGTGACGACATGAGAATAAAATCGCCATCTCATCTCTAAAAGTTCCATGAGTGGCGAAAGTGAGCTCCCGTCCAGAATCATGAAATAGAATACCTTCCATACAATCCATAATCCAAAATTATGGAAAGTCTGCTATCAGCGCGGCGACATCGGCCAGAAGCATAATAAAAAACAATGTGTTGCGACATATAAATCGACTGGATTGCCAGTAAGATATGTAACAATCAGTTGGTAAGTCACGTAAAGGTCTATCACATACCAAGAACGAGCTTCAATATCACAAGTGACGTCAAGTTTGGGGGGTGTCAGCTGGAAAGTATTATAAAGGGCACAACACGACACTGCACCACGCATTGTGTATAAAATATTATGACTGGGTTCGCCAAGCCATCCGAGGACCAGTACGGCTGCCTTGCGTTAGCGGAGCAATTCTTCCGGTCAAACGATCCGCATTGCAGCAAACTTATCTGAGCCCCGGTAGGTTGAAGGTATTCACCATGTCGATCACAACTGTGTCGTTACTCTGGAAACAAGCAGGAACACGGGCTTGTAAACTCACCATCGGGCAGATAGTACATGACGGAAACATTGCCAAATACGGTGAAATTGGATAGGTTGTTTTGTCAAAGTCGGTAAAAGATCCTCCTCTGCTTGTTCAAATCCGTTATTGTCTGTCGTTGTGACTAGTATACCACTAGGTCAAAGGCATCATAGCTGTCTTGCAGCTTGGCGGAGGTAGGCGAGGCTCCACCTGGAACAATATGCCCGCCATACCATACTTCAAGTAGTTAGTCCGAAATACGCTATCAGTCAGCGTATGCTAGCGTATGTTCCATTTTTGGAAGCAGCCGCAAAGAAAGCGTACGGATTCTCGGAGCGAATGTCCCATCGCTAATCGGTTGGCACGGCGTACGCACAGCTCCAAGTTCGCGAATTGCGCCAAACTATACTTACTAGATTGTGATCGGGGCGCACTTGCATTTCAGCCCTTCGGGGAACGAGGACGCCGGAGTCGATCGTTAGTCGAGGCGCGGTATGGCGTTTCTCTTGCGCACGACTGAACGCCGGTTGCATAGGCATTATCCTTTTTGCCACCCTGGGCGCTCTCTTTGTCGCCGCTTGTTTCAGAGCCGGATTTTTGAGGCCACCGACTTCGGAGGTCATAGCGCCCGCCCATGAACCCAATGATGGAAAGATCCGGAAGAGATGATAGTTACCCCTAACATACTTCCCTACTTCCGAGCCAGGGCCTGGGTTCTTTGGACAGCCCAGTTAATCCAACTACGATAAGGGCTAGAACTGACCATTATTCAGCCTTACAAGGAGGATTCAATCCGGGGTTCTGGATAGCAGTAATAACCGGACATAGCCAAGGATAGATTGATGCCACATAACTTGGCAATGGCCGCCAGCCCCAGTCAGCCTCTTTGAGTGAGTCAGTCGCAAAAGAAAGGAAGAAAAAAACCCGCCGAACAATCGAACTACGGTTCACGGTGCGATTCACATAGCGTGCAACGGTATGTAGTTGAACGTTTGTCGCCGTGTCGCTTGTCACACGTCACCAACAATTGCTTTCTTTACTCGGTTACATAACTCAAAGACATGCCTCACCGAGACACGTCACTTGCACGAGGCCATTTAGTGGACGCCTGCCAGATCTGTACACAGATCAAATGTCAACGTGACGTCACAAGGCTCCATTACACAAACATGTGTCTGAGATGCACTGAGCTACGATCAAGGGTACCCTCCACGCGCTGGACAGCAGCCTCGGGTTGTTTTGGTGACCACCGTGATTCAGACCATTTGGCCACAGGGGTGATGTCGAAGGTTCGCAGGAACATGGCAGCTCGCTGGAGTTCGCACATGACCGCAGTGTATCTACCCCTTCAGACGATCATGGTGAAGTGGGTGAGTTAAGTGAGGCGCACCAAGTGTTCTGCCGACACTGAGGCAAACCACGGTTATCGTTCGGGGGCACTCGTCCTTGATAGTACTCGCGGTGGGCAAACCCATTGAATACGGGCTCGTGGTCGTCGGCACAAGTTTTCATCAGATGCGCAGCTTGCATGTTGCCTTCCCTTTTGTATTGCCGAGGTTTTTCCTCCTTTAACTGTCAATCAACACCTGACGATATAGAAAACAATAGAAAACAATGGTAGGGAGAGGGAACGACTCCACTGGCTCAGATCTGACTCCTTGGGCTTCGCGTTGGCGGCTAAAAATGTTACCTGTTCACCGAAGTCCGGTTAACGTAATCGCCTCCCTCCCGCACTGCTACAAGGATCGCGATCGGTGAGTAAGAACAGGAACGCACCGACGTTCCTGCTACGTAGGACCTATTTGTACGAAGGCGGCTGTGGCGAAGAGGGTACCACGGGCCTGATCAAATGCGGTGAGGCGAAGTTCGCATTGAGATATATTCATGCATCCATTCCCCTGGTGATTTTGTTCTCAGAATTTATACACGAGGTACTACTCGGCTGATATGTCTTTGCGGCGGCAGATACGGCGAGATTACGTCTCCTACTAGAAGCTTACTAGAAGTTTATTATATTCACTCACCACAAGCTCTGCAATCGCTGATACACGCACCCCTGGGTTCGGGGACCTGCCAATCTCAGGCGTGGGCTGTGCTTAGGTCGAGAGCCACCGGCGCGGGATCATACTGATTACCAAATATAGAACATAGAGTGTATAATCTTAGTATCCTTCCACTTATCATGTACTTGCCGAGTCAGGCAATACTTCCTGCCGACAACCACGAGTTACTTCTCTACCGAGTCTCAACCGAGGGACCGAAGTAGACTTGACAGGATTGAGAGGTGTGAAAGAAACTTGAAGGGCTTGGAAGTCGGTTAAATAGGGCCGATCGGGTGGTCTGGCCGCGCATCAATGAGAAGCCGTGCCTATTATACCATGAAACACTTGAATCATTCACGACGGCCTGTGTTCATGTCCCTGCCTAGCCACGCAGTTTGAGTAGCACGTATGAGACTGCAGTCTGCTGTGCGCGTGCCGTATCTTGGGAATATATTGAGTTTCATAATCCGTGGCTTTGGCCACCCCGGTGATGTCCGCTCTTCAGGGGGCAGGCGAGCCGCTAAACGGAACCACTCCAACCTGTGCGTTATCTGCACGGAAACAGTGCTTATGACATGCCTCCGCTCAATCAGCACTAATCAGCATGGACTGGCTAGGAATGGTAAGCGAAAAAGGGGGGCTGACATTGACGTAGATTTCCTCCGAACAAGGAGCGTGGTCGACATTCTTCGGGACCCATTAAAGTAGCGGGGGGTGTCTGTTTTTCACCCTCGGAATGATCATTGCTCCCCCCTTCCTCCTCGTACGAAGATGTCTCTACTTGTAGTTGGCTTCATCGCAATTGCGATCGTGTTTGCCTTCTCATCACTCTCTTCGAAACGCCCAGCATCTTCTCCTCCACGAGTACCAAGTGTCTTGCCTTGGTTCGGGACTGCCTTGTCTTTCATCTCCAGTCCAGATGAATTTCTAGCACGCTGCAGGTGAGTAGGGTTCTCGGAAAGTGTAGTGGGTTATACTGATCCTCCGTTACTAATAGAAAGCAGTATGGCAATGTCTTTAGAATGTTGCTTGGTGGTAGAGAAGTCGTCGTCGTCTCGTCCATATCTGCTATCTCGTCCATTTATGCGGCCGACCACAACGTACTGGGAACCCATGAAACGCATAACGCATTGTACGCCGCAGTGTCGGGAGGCAAGGGCAATAGCACTGAGGTTTATCGTGTCGTGTCTCACCTCATATTCCCCATGGTGGACCAGCGCCTCTCGCGACGCTCCATGGGGGATCTGACTGCGCCTATCGCCCAGGCTCTGTATGGCAAACTGAAACCTTACACTCAGATGAAAAATGCTCGCGTAACGCTCATGAAATTCCTCACTGAGCCACTGTGCTTCGCGACCAACCTCATTATGTTTGGCACTCGGTACCCCCAAGACACATACGAGGACCTGCGTATTCTTGATGAGACCATGCCTGAACGTTTCTACAGCGTACCATTTTGGTGGTGGCCATCGATGAAAGCACGAAAGAGAATGCTTCAGCAGATCGATGACTATCTCAGTACCAGAGATTTCTCCGCCGAGGAGGATGGGTGGATAGGTTCTGCCTTCAAGAAATTATTCCGCGAAAACGACGTTGCTCGCCACGAGGCGTGTTGTCATCTTCTTACCTTCCAGTGGGGCATGCACACGAACACGTTCGGGATAGCGCTATGGTTTTTCTTGTTCCTCTTCAGTCATCCTGATGCGTTACATGCGATACGGAACGAAGTCGACAGAGCAATCAAGGAAGACTTCGGAGACCTAGACTCCTTCTTGGCCAGTGTCAACCCGCAGGTGCTGGATAGGCCGTGCTTCACGTCGTTGACTTCAGCACTTCTGGAGACAATGAGGCTCACTGCTATATTCGTTGCTTTGCGCGTTGCAGAGACAGACCTGCAGTTGAAGGATCGGGGCGGGACAGTAACGGTGCGCAAGGGAGAGTATGTTCTGGGCAATGTTCAAGCCGTCCATATGGATGAGAGCGAGTATCCGGACCACCGTAAATTCGTGTTCGATCGTTTCGCTCACAATGATCACCGAGAGGGGAGACTGCCCACGGATGGTCAACCATGGTTCTCTTTCGCGGCTGGGAGGCATTTGGTAAGTGTCGCTTTCGGAACGTCTACGGCCTGAATGTTGACCAGTTCTTGTGTAACGTCACCAGTGCAAGGGCAGATATTTGGCCATGTATGAGCTGAAATTGGTGGCCATCATTTATCTATACCTCTTCGACTTCACACCTGTGAACCATGAATCTAGGTCGTGGTGGCCGCCCCGTACGACCAGAAGAAACCTTGGCATCCCACGCGCTGAGGAGGTCTTCGTAGATATCCGTCTCCGACATCACGCTTGATACGTGCTTGAGCACATCGGGAAAGACGTCTAGAGACCGCCTCACTGATTATTGTTAGCCACTTCATGCGGACACTTACAACGTTTGTCTTACGTTTGCCTTATCCATCATAGTTTATCCATCAAGGGCCTCCTTGTATTTGTTAAGTGAACTAGACATCACAAGTTATTCATTTTCGCCAGCGCCCAGGTGTTATTGTTATTAATGTGATCCGAAGATCGCAGAAATCGGTGTGGGAACTCACGTTGCGTACTTCGGCACTGTATGGCTGGGAGTCTGATGCAATGGCGTATATTCATCGAGCATTGTAGTTGTTGCGTGCTGTGCCTCCACCAACAACGTTCCAAACTAGGCTACATTCAGATAACTTGTGTACTTACTCCAATATTACCGTTTCCCACTGCACAGGATCAGCTAAGTGAGAGAAATTCCCTTCCCAATATGATTTGAATTGAACCTAACACCATGCATAAACTGGTGAGAATGTTCCTCGCTGGCGAAAGTCCGTCAACCACCCTTGTGGGTACGGACTTCCCGCCAAAGCTTGCCTTCGGGGAGATCGCTGTGGTCTTGTGAATAGCTGTCGTGGAGGAATTTACGAGACAAGACAAGACATACTCTCTCCCCTCTGGCATGCCGATTTCCCCTGTTTGCATGTTGATTTTAGCGATGTTTGTTATCTCGACCGCTGGACGGTCAGGGCACCTAGTAGATACCAGTGCTGTGTGAGTTGATGTAGAATAGGTACATTAAGGCAACCAGAATTCACATCTTGAATAGACGAGGAGTCGGGAAGCAATGAGGAGTGACACCGTGTTGCTTTTGCTCCATTTCGCAGAAATACTGCACTAAAAAAAGATGAGACACGCTGTGACCGCAACGCCCACAATGCAATTCTGGACCTATCTCGAAAAAATAGCATTTGTCAGGTTTGTCTTGGTGTGTCTTGGCCATTGGAGTACTGGAAGCCGAGTAGCTGTGCTAGGCAACTCGATGAAACGTTCAATTGTCAAGAAGCCGTGTGATGCTGCAACCGAACAGTGTCCCCAATCGAGGTTCTCATATCCTGAACCTTCGAAACTTGATATTTACGGTATGTAGGAGGGGCAACGGATTCGATCAATCACCCCACGAAGAAAAGCCCATCATCGATTGAACTGCAGGTTATCTGATAGCAAATCCAAATATACCTGTTACACTACGGGTGAAATATACGGGCCGAAGCTATTGATGGATGTCACATAAGAAAGTCATCAAGTGGTACGACAATAAAACAGTAGAAGGAGGGAGTGGAACAATCGACAATTATGCTACACGTATGAGTGATATTTCGTAGATCATAATGTGTCCGTATGCAGTGTCTGTCGTAGGGCAAGTTAACCTTGGGGACGACATTATCCATGGATGTATCGCAAATTACGAGGTCATCGTTGCGTTCTGGCATACACCGCACCCGGCGACGGAGACGTTTGTTCCTGCAACATTGCACGTTTGTAACGTGTTGACGCTGCAGGCAAAAGCGCCAGTTAGGGCTGAGTTCTCGCCAAGTTGGAGCACCTTGAGTGTGCTTGGCATGGCTGGCACAGTGCCAGTGAGGTTATTAGAACTCAGTAAGAGTTGCGTCAAATTCTTGAAAGACGAGATGGAAGTTGGGATTGTCCCGGTTAACGACGTTGAAGTGAGATCAAGAGTCTGTAGAGAGGCAGCGAGCGTAGAGGAGTTCACTATAGTAGACAGCGGCGATGGAGATAAGACCTGTGAGTTGACGAGCCTAGGAAAGGGGGTCAGCAATGCGAAGCAAATTGTAGCCACTGAACTGACAGGCTGTGCAATCCCGTTAGCTCGGTGATGCTGGTGGGCAGGGATGTGCCCATATCTGAGTTGCGTAATAGAGCCAAGGTAGATATGTTTGTCAACCCTGGGGAAGAGAACAGCGTATCTGGGAGTGCGGTAATGGCGGTTGACTCTAGATGAAGAGTGGTCATGGCAGTGAGATTTACGAAAGACTCTGGAAGAGAGCCAGCTGTACGTGTCACATGTCAGTCTCTGGCCCAAAGATTAGGTTCAAAAGCTTGGCACACATACCAGGTATCGTATTTCCTCCAACTACGGTCAAGACCTGAAGGTCCGAAAGCGCGCCAATCTCATTAGGAAGTGTAGCAGGTACACCAGGATACGTCAGTGCTCTGTAAGGCAAAGCGTGAATCAACATGTTCCTGGTATCTGCTTATCAGACACTCACAGTGAGGAAACACGTCCAGAAGTATCACATGTGACGCCTGTCCAAGTGCAGAAGTTAAGGTTTTGCGACCAACTACCATTACCAAGGGTAGTTTGACCCTGTGCACTCGCTGTTTCGTATACCGCACGAAGGCTGCAGAACTGAACAACGTTGTTTATTGTCTGAGCATCTTGGGCGTTGGCAGAATTTGACATAAACGAAGAAGGAACGCCCTGGAGAGCTAGCAAGCAACTTGAACAGGGATAGGAGGAGGGTGATGAGGGTGCGTTCAGTGTGTATTGTGATATACATTGGAGAGCGTCCGCGGAGAGCACTTGAGTCGTTGGATTCTGAGATAAGGAAGATGCAAGGGAGAGGACGCGGACGTTCAAGTAGATTACGTTTCCAATCAAGAAGAGAAGAATGATTATCAGCAGAATCAAGAGACACCGCGACCTGCGCTTGCGTTTCTTCTTCTTCGCTTCGTGACGAGGATCGTGTTGACATGTACATCGCCGCTTCTCGACGTTGAGCGGTGGCCACTGAGATAAACGCGAGTCCTGAACTCGAGCAGGCACCACGTTATGAATCGTTCGAAGGTCGAAGAAGAGCTTGGTAAATCTGTCACGCAAGCTTGAGGACGACTGGGGGGTCCCCGCCTCGACATCCTTCGGGGACAGCGGGTGAAACGGATTCCGCATGGACTCTGAATATCGCGGTGACGGGTCTATTGTCGATGCTGGGGAGAATTTGGACTGCTCAACAGGGAGGTCGAGGTGGCCAGGCGGCAGAGTGAGTGAGAGGTGTTCACGAAACTTGCTCATCGGCGAGCGCAATGTGCTAAATGATAGAAGAAAAGAGAAAACGGTCGTCGCCGCTGTTCCACGGGCTTGTCTCGGGACTCCATAGCAATAATATTAATGTCGGCAGGGGAACAATGGCCACCGCAAGTACAATAGCACAACATAGAGTCGGCATGCCCAAATTAGGAAGGACGGGTGTTTGTATTTGTATGTACACAAAGATAGGGGCTTATATACTATGTCGGGCGATCGCTATTCGAGGTCGCCTTCTTGCGATGTCGACGACGCTTTTTCTGAGGTGCTCTGTTCTCTTCAGAGATACTTGGAGCTTGGTCTTCATATTCCCACTTCTTGGATGGTCCATCCATGGGTTCACCGAGGGGCTGCTCTGCTCCACCGTGCGCAGCTGTTTTGTCCCCTGCCTCATCTTTCAATTTGGCCCTTTCTTTCTTTCCAAGCCGTTTCTTCTTTCCATTTTCAGCTCCGTCCCCTGTCCGTCTTCCATCCGCGCCAATGGACCAACCCCCTGAATATCCACTGCCAATGCGTGCCTGCAACGTCTGCCGGAACTCCTTAAGACGCTCATTACGCTTCGGATCCCAATCCTTGCCCTTTCCTGACGCTCCTGTGCGCCGGTATGGTGCCATCTTCTTAAGGCCGACGTACGAATTAAGTTCCGCATCCTTGGCGAGAAGGATCTCGGCTGGCAACAGGCCATAATCATCTGCGGCTGTTTGTATGTAGTGAAAACGTGTGGGTATGTGGGCCGTCTGTCCCCCACTTTAGCAAAAGCGCATCATGAACAGGAATGAGCCACTGGCGGAAACTCACAATGTCATTGAACCCTAGGCGATTCACGACTTCCTCCATATATTGATCCATTTTGCGCTTCCGCATTTCTTCAGTACCGTCCCACTCTTCTCCGTCTGCCTCCTCCCAATCGCCTCCGTCGGCATCCACGTCCATGGCATCTATATCGACCCCATCCTCTTCGTCAGAATCACCTCTTTTCCTCTTCGCTTTCTTTTTCTCTCTCTTCTTAATCTTCTTCAGCTCCTCTTTCGACATCGTGCCAGTTGGTGGAATAATATCATCGGTGTCGATGTCGTCATCCCATGTCGGCTTCTCCACGTCCGCGTCATTGTCAAAATCGTCTGTAGCATATAGGGCGGCCATCTGCTTGTCATGCTTTTCTGGGTCCCAAGGCGCGTCAAGGTCAAGCCCCACGAGAGCTACGGTACGCAGCTGAGAAAACTGGGTACACCAATTGTCTTTGTGAAGGAACATACCCTCTTTGTCGACACCTTTCAATCCACCTTCTGCACTTACCTGTTCCAACTTGCGCAGGAGGTCCTTAGTCTGAAGGTCTTTGAGACGGGCTAGTTCGCCCTTCTTCCCCTCCTGCTTCAATTTCTTTTGTTCTCCAATATTTTCCTCCTCGTGTCCAGGCTCCTCAGCTAGCTCGTGTGCAAGACGTTTTTCGATTCCATCGCGTTCACGCCTGATCTCTTCCTTCCTTGCAGTGATCATCTCCTTTTTCTCGGCATCCTTTCTTTCTTTCTTTCGTTGCCGGGCTTCCTGGCGGGTGGTGGACTCCCGCCGAACGGAAGGGACGTTGCGAGGGTGGGAGGGGATGAGAGCACCATCGCTGATTTATAACCGGTGTTCGATCAATTCGTAAGTGGTGGCCAGACACGGGCGGAATCATTAACACAGTGAAGACTGCGTGTACTTACGGTTCTTCGAATCGAAAGTTGTATGACGATTCAAACGCGTCTGCCAGGTCATCGAACGATTCTTCGTCAGAAAAGGTTGGCCCTTGTTCTTCATTCCTTGGTCTCAGGACTCAACATTTAAAGTAGATTTTGACGGCTTGGAGGAATTGACGATCTCCGCGTACGTGGGGATCCTCCGGTTCGTTCGGTCTATCCAACCACGATTGAAGATATAGCTTCACGTGATGTAAGTTATCAACACGGATAAGGCCGCGGCATGCATCAGACATAAACGTGGAGCCCAGATGCACCTCCGTTCGAAGTCCACGACACACTCACTTCAATAAAAATTCATGGTCCTCGTCCTCCTTGGATTTCTTCTTGCTCTTCTTGCTCTCTTTGTCACCTTTCGCGTCCAGTTTCTCTTTCTTCCTTTTCATTCCTATCCTTCTTGTCGACCTGATCTTCCTTAGAAGAAGCGATTTCCTGATCGCGGTCTGTGGTGTTGCCGACGTCCCCAGTGATGAGCTCGCCGTAGTTCCTCTCCAACCTCTCTCTCTAAGAAGGCTTTGTACTCCTCTTCTTCTTGCTCGACCTCGTCGCGCGTGCGAGAACGTGGAATCAGAAGGTCATCTTCAACATCGTCACCTAATACATTCAACAGCATATGTACTGTATTTATAAACATGAAAGCATACCTTTGTCTAACGAGTCTACGGCACTGTGAAAAACAGCGCGCATTTCGGACTGCAAGATGCTCTGTTCTTCGACGTGCGTGAGGGGTGGAGGCGATGGGGAGCGGGACGGTGCTTCGCCATCTTCGAGGGCGGACAGCAAGTGCAGCTTGGCGAATTGTTAACGGTTTCGACTTAATAAATGAGAAAATTAGTTGTCGCGGATTGAATATCCAAGAAATAAGGGGTAGAAGACCTTGTCCTTCGTTTTCGCCTTGACGAGTGGTGCACGGTGCTTGGTCCGGCCTTCTTCTTCTACAGCCACCAGCGAAGGAGTCAGTCGAGGCCTCAATGGTGATAACAGGGAATATATTACCGTCGAATACCTGTCTACCCCCATCATATATGTTCGGATCCTTCTTTTTGATACGCGCCAACGTACGAAGGATAGCGGCATCGACCGCGGGCGTGAGTTCAACACCATCCGAGTCTTCCGAAGTATCGTCTGAGTCCTCGGAATCTCCCTCAGCAGATACGTCTGAGATGTCTGAGCCATATTTTTCCTTAACTATATGTACCAAGGTGAGTTTCGTTGCGACAGAAGCATCAGCTGCACCCACGTTTCACGAGTTCCTCTCTCTCCTTCTTATACTGGAAGGCTTTGGCGTAGTGCTCATTTATCGTGAGGGTGTGGACATCATCGGTTTCCGCTTCAGAATCCGACAACATTTCTGCTGGTCGTCTTAGTTGGTGAAAGCTCGCGTGACAACCCTAACTCCGGTACAAGGTTAGGGTTTACTCTGCGGACGCTTTATTAATAACCACAGTCAGGCTTTTTTGTGCTGTCAACCCAGTACCAGAGACAAAACTATTCTTCGCAAATCACGCCTCACTGTTTGAAAAGCCCACAGATGGCGCAAAGGCTGGATGTTCTTGCCTTGCCTGCATACTTCCTTCCGGAATCCGATCCGAGCATGGCAAGAATCCACGTGATCATCTAAAACATATGCCACGTTGTTTTTTGGCTTGGCTTCTGGAGTCTTGGCTGTCTGATGCCCTGATCCGGACACATGTCGTCCGCTTCCAAGGCTTTCAATGAAGCAGAGGTACCATTTGTGGTTCCCTTGACAAGTCTCGTGCACTCGCATTTCTAACTGAACCGTCAGGCTGCCTACGCGAGAGGCGCTAAATCAGAGTTGTCGTCAGACTTTTCTGCTGCATTCCGTCTTTACCTCGCAGCTGCTGATGCCTTCTTACATCTATCTCGATCGGAGTCATTGAATCCTGTCTTCCGGACTAGGTGTAAGGCTAACGCGGCGAAAGCCTTAGAGAGGGCAGAGAAAATCAAGAAAGCGAGTGAGCAGCCAGGAGCAACCTTTGAAGTCGATGCCGTCCCGATAGATTGGTTTGCCCAGGGTTAGTGTATGATTCTAGCTCGCTCTTTGTTGCCTGTAGAACGGCGGATTAACATGCGGCCGTTGCAGAACAACAGCAATATATCCTACGAAAGTCGTCGGTCATTAACAGTATCCGTTATCCAATTTGGACGGACGCCGTGCCTATGGCTGGACCCAACGTTTTGTATACGTACGTTCCGGTCTCGTCCGGTTTTTCGTATGCGTTGGTCATCCTTGGTCATCTCAATTATTCAGTGATCCGGATGGGCAGCCGTCTGTTCCGCAGTATGCCATATTTTCCGCAGATGGTAGTTCGCGCTTTCTCAGCTGGAATCGTCCCGTAAATGCGGCACCCACGCTCCCACCATTACCTTCCCCAACGTTTTCCACCCCTTCCGTCGTTTCGGAACCAAATGTGGACTTAGCTCCTGCGGACATCGAACAACATCTGATCAATGACTGTTCTGTCTGTGCTGTGCTTGCAGTCTGTGTGCAACATACAAAGACATTTAACTCCAAGGCAAGTATGCTTTTTGGCTACATAGTATAAGCGACGTCAGGCGGGGGATGACCGTGACAGGGTGCATTAAAGGTTCACGAGTGAAGGGGTGCCTTGCTTAGCTACCTGAATGACCATAATGTGTCAGACACGCCGTGGGAGTCGACGTTGGCCGTAATCTCTGCGTCACGAGCCTGGTCATGTTCATTACCAAAGAGTGCTCAATTAGCTTCTGTTTGACAGCTCCTTTCCTCTATTTATCCTGGCCGGCAGCCTGGGCGATACGACATCAAAGTCTTAATTAACGGTGCGCATCGACGAGTAAGTCACCTATTGTACTTTGGCGTTCCATACGGTTTGGGGGCCTCTCCGCTATTTCATACTAATAGTCAGTGGTCCTTAATGGTCCGGACGCTAACGTTCACGTAGATAAGTGAGTGCGTTTGTCGTCGAGTTTGCGTTGAGCAACCTCTCATCAATTCTTTTATCGTGTTTCTTGCCGGAAAGCCATTGATGATGCCCTCCCATTTGACTCGAATGGCAATCCAATCGGGATCTCTACTGGTGCTAAAAATATTTTGTGGCCAGCTCTGATTGAGAAAGCCGTAAGTCTTACGTGTTCTCTCCAGGCGAGATAGTTCGCGTCACTCATGCGCACCATGGACGCAGTACATGAAGTTAATGGGAGGATACGACTTCCCTGGATCGTACGCACTGTGATTCGTCTGGTGTTCACTTGCTGAGAAATGATACCAGGAATTCTGCTATAGACCTACAGTGCGTTTTCACCAATTTGCAAACCCACCTGCTTACAACTCCCCCTTTGTTTTTGGCTTGCTTGCCGACGATGTTCTATCACTTCAACCTTCTGGACCCTTGTTTCCTTTACCATTAGTGCTCTCAGCGGATGGATTCCCGAGTTTATTGACTTGCACAGGTATGAATTGTCCTCTGTGTTTTTGAGATTCATGTATTTCTGCTTTCTTCCCTTTTCGATACTGAGATTTCATATGTGGCTGACGGTTGGGAGGTTGAAAGCTGACTAGATCATGTGTAGCACGTCCTTTGAGAAGGAAAGAACTTGGACAAGGCTTATGCGCGGTTTTCACAATGGTTGGTGTGATCTCCTCCAGGAAGTTTCACTGACGCGGACGTGATTACCTTAGGTCATTGCGTCCTGACCGTTGGTACAGACTCCAAGACTACACGGAGAATCAAAGGTCTTAGATTATTACCCTCGCATAACTATGCTGTGATTGGTATACTTGGTTACTTTCATCTTTTCTCACAATTTGAAACCTCGCACAGATGTCAGAGAAACAGCCGCTGACCGGTGGATGACGTTGCTAGACTCGAGGGTACCTGGTCGGTCCTCTCCGTTAATGAGCGAATATGAATCGCGTGAGTACCTCGTCTTCCTCTACTGCAACACTCCCCATGAACGCAAGCGGGTTTCTCGACTTTTGCAGATGCCCTCGACATGCGATGGGATGACTTATGTGCAACATTTGAGGGGGTGTATGCGAGTTGGGACCCTAGACTTTTTCATCGAGAGCTAAGCTTTCACGGGTTGGCCGGTTTTCTATATCGTGGAATCAGTGATTAACATGTCCATTAATTGCAGTATGTGGAAGCCAGGGAATGCGGAAGATATGGAACAATGTAGGTCGTGCTCCGCACTCTGAATCGTACTCGTTCTGACATGACCAGCGTGTGTCCGCCATCTGCGGTTGTTGTACACATACACGCCGAGCTCATCTCAAACTGGCTGCGACACGTATCCAGTTTCCGATAATGAGGTCTGGGTCCTTCTTGTACGGCATCGACCTGACGCACCACGAACCGGGGAGTATATTACGGCAACCGTGGATGCGGAAGACGAGTGGATGGATGCAGGAGTGTCGTTGGGGAGGCTCCCTCCATTGGCCGGAGGGAGGGCCAAGGCGGAAGCCAAAATTAAGGTGCGTTCAGACTGACCCACACACCCCAGTCAGTTAAGCTGGATGTTTGCAGGGAATATATACCACCTCTACGCACGTCCTAGTTCGGACGAAGGTCTGCATTAGCCAGGTCCCGCATAGCCAGTGCGGGAGTTCCACCCCATCCTTTCTCTCGCCATCCCCCGCACGATGGCCTGCTACTCCAGGCTCTCCGACAAGTTCCTCGTTGAGCCAGAACTCCGTCAGCTCGGTTTCAGGCGCTCTCGCTGTGCTGGCTTGCTATGACGGACCATTCGATGACGTTTGTTTCACGGTCAGTGTGTTCTGCGGATCAGGGCTCTCAATAAAGTGGGATGAAAGTGCTGGTGTGGGAGGGATTGGTGTGAAAGGACACAGCATGAAGGTAGTTCAACGAAAGCTCTAAGCGAAAGTGGGGTATCTTATCTTCTACGTGCAGGTGGAAGGTGTCTTCACCACGAAGAACTCTGGCGGGAATCATTCGCACCCAACCTATATGCTCAACCCGCAATGGCATCTGCGCATATTCGAGCAAGAGGCCATAAGGTCTGTCTCTCCAGCTGCTGGAGCGAGTTCGTCGAGAGCGTCCGGTACGGCGCAAAGTCCGAGTGGATCACATGGAGACAAGGCAGCAGTTATTGTCACTGCTCGGAGTCCGAGAGACGTCCCACTCAATCTGACGGTGGTTTGGTCAACGGGAGAACGAGTCGTCGAGTGCGCATAGAGCCACTGGTCAATTTGGGTGTACTAAATATGCTATTTAGACTTGCACAAAGGGAAGTAGTTGCAACCTCTGGAGCGTATGGGTATGGGTATGCCAGGGCATTTGCGAATCTGCCATGTGAGCGACACCTATTATACTTTTGCATTTTCCAACGTAGCAACTGACGGGGACAATTATAGTGGGAAACTACACGGTCATATTATCCACATTTGAGCCACAAGTCCATTTTGGAGCCTTCACGCTCAAAGTTGAAAGCTCCCGCAAGTTCGAATTTGAACCGATTCCGCAAGAGGGAGCTGGGATGTATGCTAGAGTCACCAGAGGACGATGGTGAGTTATTGTTTTTGCATGCACTTTCTCTGCTTAAGGACTCAACCAACTCCCAGGGACATGCAATCGGCCGCGGGGAGTCCAATCCATAACCGCTACCACCTCAATCCGGTGTATGAGGTGGACATTCCATCTACGGCGCAGTTTGGGTACGCGATATTGTTGAATTGGACATTGGTTGCTTAATTCTGCCACAGTGCCCGACTACACCTGACGTCAGGGCCCCAATCGGCCCCCCTCAATCTATCACTCTTTCCAGCTGTTGAGCCTCTTTCCATAAATTGTCCTCTAGCTTCCTCTGGTCCATACAGCGACGCCCTTGCGGGCGTAGACATTCCGAAGCGGACACTGCGAGCAGGGAAGTACTGGCTAGTTCCGTCTACTTGGGTAGCAGGCATTCAAGCCGAGTTCAAACTTGTGGTATATTGCTCGGACTCTGGGTGCGCAGTACGTAAAAGGACATCAGAGTGAGTCCCGTTGTCCGCGTATGCCACTCTTTGTGTCGTTAAGGGTACTCGATCCCCCGGACAAAGGCGATAACAGGAAATCATTCACTCTCTTCAAAGTTGTACGGGTTGGGTTTGCCTTTGGGTAACTGCTTATGATCCATTGAAGACGGGTATTTAGAATCGCTTTCGCTGAATCAAAATTATCAATGTGTATAGTATCATTAGCTGTCGATCATCTAGACGATTTCTGGAACTCCTTACATAAGTTGTGTTGTCCGTTTTCCAGAGGGTTGAAAGACCCGTCTTCGCGGAAGAACAGCGCTAAAACAGTCATGCATACGCCTACACTGGTATCTGACCCAGAGTCGCACGCAATACAAACCTTGTGCCCGTCAACAAGGTGTCGTTTGATGAAAGGCACAGATTGTGGCAGAACGGTTCGTAAGAAATCGTGCTGTCCTTTCTTACCCTCCGGAACTTGTATGCATAACCACCGAGAAGGTTCTGCGGTGCTCGCATTCCAAACCTGGCACAAGTCGTTGGACGTCAAACACACCACGGCCATACCAGAAGTCGCTATTAATGGCATGGCAAACTGTAGCGTGCTCGTAGAGCATAGAGAAATTAGACTAGAAACGTGCTTTATTGGGGTCAAGCATAATTCATCGGTACCCCTACCACGAGGTGTGTCAGAGCAAGAGGTCAACCCATGGACGAGGTCCGGTAGTGCTGAGCGCGTCGCGTTCAGTAGCTGGTCGCGATTTCTCCAGAATACATTCGATGTGAGTCCCTGGGACGGCGTAAACAAAGATTTACTCTGCATTGAAATTGTGAAGACGGACCATGCTCCACAATTCATGATCGTCCCCAGATCCTTGAATGTAAGTGAACCCGGCAGTACGGCGCTCTAAGCCGTCTGTGACCTGCTTCGAAGCAGACAAACATACGACAGGATAGAAAGACAACGCATTTGATGATAGATCGGGATACGTGCTTGTTGCAGGCGTGATCCATACTGGCCTCAAAGGATGTTGCAACTCGGGGATTTCGTAAAAGGATGCCTGGCCAAGGTATTAGTGCGGAATATAGCAGACATGATCGTATCAGTAGTACAGCTAATTCTGCAGCCCATTCATCCAGTTTCGTTTCAATCTGACAGTGCTCCTGTGTGCTCACGACCCCAGGAGGTGTGTATAGTGCAGTGTCCCAACCGTCGAAGCTGGATGGATGTTTGAGAGCAAGAGCACGATTTATGACCGAGCACCATATTGGCACTGTCTTCGAAAGTGCATCTGGCATACGTTTCCCGGCGCGAGTTGAGTCGACCAGGATGAGCCTACAGCATGACGTTACAGGATTGTCCTTGTAGATTTAATCGGACCCACCCATGGTACTGTACTATCAATGGCAGTATATGCAGGTTGGGCCTGCGCAAGTTAAAACTCCAGTTATTCGTATGACCGTCCGTGGATTTAAAATATGTATGTTGCGATGGACTCTGGTTGAAAGGGGTGAATTACAGCTGGTTCACTGGAGGGAGAGCCAACCCCCTACGATGTCCGGATCGACATACCAAGCGCCGCATCGCATGTTGGCTGGCATTCGCTGGGTATGAGCACGACAGAGGTGTAAGACGACAGATCAGTGCCTTGATACTCACGCAGAAGTGGAAGATCGCCATAGTGATAGCGGACCTGTTTGACGAATTCTGCATCTTCAGCGATGGAATGGATGCGGTTGTATATGTCTTGCGACTCTCTGCGAAGCTCTGCGAGTGCTGTTGCTGCTAAATCCCTTGAACTCGTCGTGCTGCCCAGTGAAGGAAGGATCATGGACATGACATTCGAACCCGTCGTCACTCGACGAGACAGGATACTTTTGGCAACTACATATAACTCACCATCACTACAGAGTATTGTGAACCCCCAACTCCACGCCGTCAGACGTCTACTGTCCGATGTTCAAATCAGCTCCACCACCGCTGCCAGTTGCTGCGGCCGTCTAAATTCGGCTTGGTTACCGTTACGGGGACGTAAGTCGTCGCTTGGCCGTCGCGTACTAAGTACCCTGCTATGCTAATCCAGGAATTCCACTCCTACGTTCTCGACCTCGACGTCCATTAGATTCTGGGAGATTCACTCCTGGCATTCACTCCCGGTATTCTTCGTGGCGTTCGACTTGTTCAAGCTGGCCACCAGCATATCATTCACGCTCGTTACATAGTTTCCGTTGTCGTTCGTTTCCCTCTGTTCCCTTTCTAGATCTCTACCAGCGTGGTCGTGCTAGAGACCCATGGTAGCCTGCTTTCGTCTCAGGCGTCTCTCGAACCAGCTTTTATATTTCTTGAGTTGTGCGTTTCTTGCCGCACTCGCCATCCCCGGTGCTGCTGCCCAGTACGATACCATCGTTGCCTCCAATGGTGAAATTCTACAACGTCTTCAAGACCCTAACGTCGCCTTCATCAATAGCAATGGCACGATCATCATCTACAGTCTTACCACTGGCGAGGAAATCCCCCAAGGTCTTGCAACTGATGGAAGCGGCAGCGGTTTCGATGCATGCGCAATAGCGTGGATAGTCTTCTCGTTTATGGTCGGTATACCGTTGCTATTTCTTGGAATCCGTGGATGGCGTTTTACTACCGCGGCAGCCATCGGACTGGCTGGGGCCCTCACTTGTGAGTCGTATCCCTCAATGTTTTCCCTCTCTTCTCTTAATCCGAAGCTTCCCCTCAGCTTGGGCAGTTTTTGTCAACACCTTGGACAATCTCGGTGTCTCTGATGTGGCTTTGACCGTCTTTGTTCTTTCTCTCTTTGGTTTGGGTTTCTTTCTTGGTGCTCTCGAGCTTTCTCGCGTCATTGGAATTTTAATACTGGGCACTCTCGGAGGGTTGGCTCTTGGGATTCGAATCGTCATCCTTCGGAGCGGATTGCTAATATCGGACCCATCCATCTTCTTCGTTAACTGGCTCATAATTGGATTTTGCGGCTTCTTGTGTAGTATATTGGTCTTATGGAAGCAGAGAGTTGGCGTTGTGAGTCGGCGCTGCAGCAAATTTTCTCGCCCATCACTCACCTGACCCATGCTTCTTCCATCCTAGCTCAATGGATGTGCTTCCACAGGGTCCTTCCTCTGCGCCCTCGGGGCTGATCTTGTGATCAATCAACAGTCCGGGATGAGTCGCGGACTGCGGTATCTCATAGACAGAAACCGGTATCACGTTGTGGTAATTCCGACAGGTCTTTGAAGAGTTTATTTGCTGATAGTTTCCAAGGATAACGTATTTAGTGGGTATTCACCACCTATGACGACGGTCGTCATCCTTGCAGTTTCGATTGCTATAACGTGAGCCTCTTGGTGATGAATCATCCACTGCTAACAGTTTTGCAACAGGCCCGCATTTGCATTTGCTCAGCACATGGCGTTTAAGCGGCCATTCTGGGGCGTCACTACGCAGTATGACCTTGAATCGCTACCTCCTCATGATGAAGAGCTACCACAGGATGAGGAGTCAGCTGCAACTGCTACCACTTCCGTTGTCTCCAGTGCTATGCCGGAAACTCCGATTTCGGAGAAGTCGCCGTTCCCGTCCGACGATGAGAAGAAGGTTAACAAAGTTGAACCACCACGAACTTCTCGATGAGCCACGATTAGAATAGACGCCGCGTGCGGGCCTCCGCTTTGACCATCTTCACGCGCAGAAAGTCACATTTAAACAATGCCACGGCCGTTGTTAGCATCCTCACAGCTTTCATATTTTACCAGTACACGCATATCCACTTAGTACATTGGCATCTGATTCGCACATACGAACATTTGATTTTCGACCAGTTAGGTATTAGAGGTAATAAATTATCTCATCCAACCTGATGAGTTAGGGGCTTACGCCGAGCAAGTACTGGAATTTCAGAAAACTGGGTGTTGTCGGGTCCACTTGTGCATCGTAATAGCTCGGGCACCTGTCGAGAGACGGAAAAAGAGCGGGCCTGATTAGCAGAAACACCAGGACCGTCGGCGCTAGCGCGGACACAAACGCCGGAACGGATGTCGGTGTGCACAGAAATTCACGTGTTATCCGCACGTAACTAACTTGTCTTCGAGATATTTAGAATTGTTGAGGGAACAAGCGTAAAATCTCTCCCATACTCTACGTTTTTATTACGAAGTACCGTACCCAGGTGAACGCACTACGGCCCGGAGAAGCATCATGCCACGAAACGAAAGCAGAAAGCAAGTGGGCTTTGCTACCCATATCACCGCTGGAGGGATGGCTGGTGCCATGGAAGCTGTGGGTTTATCTTCTCAAGCTCATGGTCAGCAGTACCAATAGGTTTTCTTGTCAGCTATGCTGCCAGCCCCTCGATACCATCAAGGTCCGCATGCAGCTCTCCAGGTCTGGGCGGGCACCAGGGGTACGTCCATCCCAGACTACCTTTCCACCGAAGTCTGACGGTTAAGGAACTGACAGACAAAACCTAGAGGATTTATAGCGACAGGAGCCATGATCGTTCGGCGAGAAACACCCCTTGCGTTGTACAAGGGGCTCGGAGCTGTATTGTCGGGGATCATACCTAAGATGGCTATTCGATTTGCAAGCTTCGAGACATACAAAGCGTGGCTTGCTGACAAGGCGACAGGGGAAACAAGTGTCGGCAACATTTTCATAGGTAAGTCGTATCTGGTTCCCAGTACTGTTACGAACCACGAATATTTTTTAGCTGGTCTGGCTGCGGGAACAACGGAAGCGGTCGCGGTGGTGTGTCCAATGGAAGTGGTGAAGATCCGTCTTCAGGCACAGCAACATTCGCTGGCAGATCCAATGGAAATGCCACGGTACCGCAATGCAGCCCATGCTGTCTATACCATAGTCCGCGAGGAAGGTGCAACGACCTTGTATAGAGGAGTTGGCCTCACTGCCTTGCGGCAAGCTACTAATCAAGGTGGGTATCTTACCTTTACCTATATTGCTCTGGAAGAAACCCGGCTCTGTCAGGCGTAAACTTCACGACATACCAAGAACTTAAGAAATTGGCATATAGATACCAACCTGAATTAGCAGAGCTTCCGTCATATCAGCATATGGTAATTGGGCTCATATCCGGCGCAATGGGTCCGTTCTCCAATGCTCCGGTAGATACGATCAAGACACGTATGATCCGTTGCTCACTGGGAGAGCACAGCTGAATGTGAATATCCAAACAGGGCTACAAAAAGCAACTTACGAATCAGGGACATCCGGATTTCAAAAGGTAGTCGCCATTGCACAGGACATGTGGAAGCAGGAAGGCTTTCGATCGTTCTACAAGGGAATTACTCCACGGGTGCTTCGCGTAGCTCCGGGTCAGGCAATCGTATTCGCCGTCTACGAGAGAGTAAGAGCGATCATAGAGAAGCTGAATGTGACGCCGTCTCAAGATCACTACACGGAGTAGCAAGAAGAGTGAGAAGAGCGTAGTGTACTGCTAGTGTCTTATGTAATCCAATAATAGCCCCTGAAGTGCATAGTCAAAGTTTTGATTTCCTTTTTCCTTCCTGACAGTCAGGCGCATGCGCACCCGCTACTCCATTAAAACAAGGTCCAGAAAGAGTTTCATTTATACCTTTGTACCAACAAAGACAAGACGAGGAAAACTGACTTACAAGGAAGTTCCACTATACGAACATTCTGCCTCTCCGGTTGGAGCCCAACCCAAAGGGTCTAACAGGGTTAGATCTTCCCGATCACCTAATTCAGTATCAAAAGTTGGTGGAGTAAGAGTAAGCAGGCCCATGTCGGCAGCTCGTAAGATACTGATGCTTCATGGGCAAGTTCTGTTTGGCGTTCGCTTTTAAGCTACGGGACTGACGCGCGCATTGCAGTCACTCGCAAAATGGGGATATATTCAGCAAGCGGGTAGGCACGGCGATGTATGCCACCCTGACATTATCGCTTAACTGCTCATTATCCGCTGTAAAAAAATCTAGGTAGGAGCTTTACGAAAGGTGATGGGCAAGGACATCGAGATGGGTGTGTCGTATGTTCAGCGTTTTTGAATCCTTGGTCGACCAGATGCATGTGCGGATCTACGCAGTGTTTATAGATGCACCGATCATCTTGCAACCAATCGACCTTGATGGCGATCCATCCAATGTATCTTTGAATTCATTCGGTGCTTCTGAGGCGAATGCGGCATCATCCGACCCAGCACTGACTCCTAGAGCATGGTGGAAGGCAAATCCCGAACGCACTACGGCACATGGTCTGGAGGAGTCACTAATGGTGCTGAGGGATGTACTAACGCGGGATCGGTTTGACGTGAGTGATTGGCTCGCCTAGCTATGTATGTCTCACAAAATCGCGTTAGGGTGTATTCGGTTTCAGGTTAGTGAACTGCAGGTGAAATGCTGCTTGGTTTACTCTAGTGTGTATTAGTCAAGGCGCGGCCATGGCAGCTCTCCTCGCGGCATTGGTTCGTAGACGTTTGTCTAAATTGTTCAGTCAGGCGACCTCTTATACAATATCAGTTGGAGAAGCCCCATGCATATGAGCCCTTCCTCATAGGCGGAGAAGCTCCCCATCCTCGATTGTGCGTTGATTGTGTTTCACCGATCGAAAACGTGGAAGTCACGGTGTTTTAGCCAGTTTTGCGTGGCTGTCTCGGGATTTAAAGTATCGGACCCGATAAGCGATAAGATATTTGGAGGCTCATATTGAGACTCCAACGCTACATGTTATCGGAAAGACGGATGTCATTGTAGTCGAGGAACGGTCTAAGGCGCTCTTGAGTGTGTCTGCCAATGCTAGGGTGGAGGTGCATGAAGGAGGTGCGTAATTCGTTCTCATTTGCACAAAGTAGAGGATATGGTTACTTAGATGCCTGCTCTCCAGGACACTTCGTGCCGTCCCAGGCCAAATGGCGAGTTTTTTGGCGCGAGTACCTACGAGATCCGAGTGAACACGTCCCCTCTCCGGGCCTCGTGTCAAAATCCCAGACCAACTCCGGAATGAATACTCCGCCGGCGTTAGACTATCCATAATTATGCAAGTGATACCTTTGCAAGTCAGAGTATTAGAATTCTGCCAGTGGAGTGTAGATTGAGGAACGGAATGGAAGGTTTTAGTGATTCGATTCATTTCCATCCAATCTGTCAATGAGTTTGTTGCTGTCCTGGGCGTTACTTGAGGAACGTGCTGGAACAGTGTTCTAATCTGAATTTCATCTATCAAATTTGCAAAGCGTGCTATGGAATTCGTGAAATTATCCACACCCGAGCTACCCAGAACAGCTGATTCACAATTACATAATAAGGGCCGACGGGATGCTATAGTTATGAGAGTCTCTATTAGCCCTTTCGCAGTGCAGGGTGGGGCTTGAGTCAGAGTGTGACAACCAGTCACGCCCCATGTGACTGATTTTGCGGGATCGGTTCCCACGGTGGTAAACAGCTGTACACACTTGTAATAGTGTGGCTTACTCGAGGAGAAAGGGAGAGCCCGCATCTTTTCTTCCTCGCAGCGCGTTTCCCCCAGTATTTCTTATTTGCACGCGTTGAGCTCGTGTACGATGGCGTCTTGGACTCCCCAACCTGCAGGATTGCAGGAAATCCTGCAGACAATCCGTGACTCAACCGACACTCAAAACAAAGTACAGCGGGCCATAACCCATGTATGTACATTCATTATCTCTCAATTCGATCACGGTCGCCTATACGTTGTCCAGAAACTCAACAGTTTCACCCGGGTGCCCGACTACATTGCATATCTGGCATATATATTGTCTGCTATGCCACAAGAGGAGGACCAGATCCGAACAATTGCTGGATATCTACTCAAGAATAATGCGCGTCTGATACTCATCGCATTGCCCGAGGTGGCAGAGTATGCCAAGTCAGCGGTGTTGTCAGCTTTCCGTGACTCGTCTGCTCTCATTCGCACCGCCGCTGGCCAAGACATCGTCGCATTTCTTGGTGCTCTCGAGCCTAGGAACTGGCCCGATTGTCTGGAGCAGCTTCTCGCCATGTTAGACGATCCCAATAGCCAAGAGGTGAGTGACAGGTTAAAAAAACATCGAAGCACTGGGCGCCACACCTTGCCAACGTCGGATCAGTACTTCCCCTTCTATCATCTGTCGCACGGATCATTGTTTTGCATGCACAATCTGAGCACGAGCATGACGGGGGTTCATTCTATGGATGCATGTTCCACGAATATTGTCGTAAATTGCCGGACGGACGAGCCATTCTTCGTCCTCTAGGGACTGCTCAAAGTGGTTGCAGTGTTTCCTATCAGCTTTCATACTTGCCGTCAAAAACCCAGTTACTGAACTCCGCCCCCCTAGGCTGCGTTCAGCGTCTTTGAGAAAGCTTGCGAAGATTTTCCTCGCAAGCTAGACATCGAGATCAACGGGACACGTCCATTAGACTTCATGATCCCCAAATTCCTCATGCTATCCGAACATCCTTCTCCAAAAATGCGATCGCACGCTGTAGCCTGTCTCTCGTACTTCGTGCCAGTGAGCTCTCAGTCGCTATTCGCTCACATCGATGCATTCATCGCATGTCTCTTCAAACGAGCCTCTGACGAGGACCCGAGTGTCCGTCGTCATGTATGCCAAGCTTTGGTATTACTCCTAGCCGCCCGCCCGGAGAAACTCATGCCGGAGATGGCAAATGTTGCCGAGTACATGCTCTATTCTACCAAGGACAAGAACGAGAGCGTGGCACTGGAGGCGTGTGAGTTTTGGTTGACTTTTGCCGAGGATCCTGAGCTTGCGCCCTACTTGCGTCCGTTGCTGGGCCGTGTCGCGCCTGTCTTGCTCGACTGCATGATATACGGGGAAGATGACCTCATCTGGTTGGAGGGCGACGCGGAGGATACGAATGTTCCGGACAAGGAGTCCGACATCAAACCACGTCATTATGGAGGGAAGGCACATGGTATGGAGCGGGAGGGACCTCAGAATGGTGAAGGGGGTACGAAGCGGAGTGCCTATGCTGAAGACAATTTGGATGACGAAGAAGATGACGATTACGACTTGGACGACGACGACGATTTCGCTGACGAGATGTCTACTGAATGGAATCTGCGCAAGTGTGCGGCTGCTGCGCTGGATGTGCTCGCAGTTCGCTTTGGCGCTGAGCTTCTGAATGTTCTGCTCTCGCCATTGAAAGATAAACTTTGGAGTACCGATTGGTTGGAGAGGGAGAGTGCTATTCTTGCTCTAGGTGCCATGGCAGAAGGTGAGTGTCTATGCAAATCACGTGAACGGCATTTGAGTATTGGCAGGTTGCATCGATGCTATCGAAGAACATCTTAAGGTTCTGGTCCCATATCTCATCAACACGTTAAACGATCCGAAGGTGGAGACTCTCGGTGTTTGGTAGCCCCTAGTCTCACGCATATTTTTAGCCCCTTGTGCGATCTATCACGTGCTGGACTTTGGGCAGGTATGCGAGCTGGTGCACGCAACCCGTATCGGAAGAGCATAAGAACCAGTATTTCATCCCGACGATGGAAGGTGTAAGCCGAGTTTCAGCATCTTACTTCAAGCTTTTAACGTTGTGTTAGCTTCTTCGGATGGTCCTGGACGACAACAAACGTGTGCAAGAGGCGGGTTGCAGCGCATTTGCCACTCTCGAAGAAGATGCTGGCTCTGAGCTGATTCCTTACCTCGAGCCAGTACTGCGGAATTTAGTCTTCGCGTTCCAGAAATATCAACATAAAAACATGCTTATTTTGTACGACGCTGTTGGGACCCTCGCCGATTCCGTCGGACGCGCGCTGTCAAATCCTACCTTCGTCGACATATTAATGCCGCCGCTTACTGCTCGGTGGAACAAGCTACAAGACGATGATGACGACTTAATCCCTCTCCTCGAGGTATGACACACGAGCTTTTAATGATACCGAAGCTTATTTTTGCACTCTTCAGTGTCTCGCATCAGTCACTATCGCGATGGGGCCTGGATTTGCTCCATATGCTCCCCTGGTGTTCCAACGCTGCATAAACATCGTACATCAGCAACTTCTTTACTACCAAGCATACCAACAGAATCCGGACCTAGACGAGCCCGAAAAATCGTTCCTGGTCGTGTCATTGGATTTGTTGTCTGGACTGGCGCAGGGATTGGGCATGGGATTGGAGTCTTTGATTTCGCAGATGCAACCAAGCCTCTTCCAGTTGCTTACCGTATGCCTCAAGCACCCACAAGCCCCCGTCCGGCAATCCGCTTACGCTCTTGTTGGTGACCTCGCCATGGGCTGCTTCACCTTGTTGCGTCCTCACCTTCCAGCGATCATGAACGAGCTCATCCAGCAACTGGATCCTGAGCCTAAGGTTGAGTTTATCAGCGCGTGCAATAATGCTGCCTGGTCAGTGGGTGAAGTTGCCCTGCGTTACGGGCGAGGTGAGATTCTTTCTTGCAGCATGTATGATCTTGGCTAAAATATACATAGACGATGCGGAATTCCAGCAGTGGGTGAACCCACTTATATCCCGCCTCATTCCTATCTTGTTGCATCCCAAAGCCCCACGAAGTCTCCATGAGAACGCTGCTGTATCCATTGGTCGAATTGGCCTTATGCACCCGGTCGTTGTGGCACCCCTCTTACCCGAATTTGCCCAGGCTTGGTGCCAAGCGTTGTACGAGATCCGAGACAACGAGGAAAAAGATTCTGCTTTCCGGGGCATCTGCACACTTGTTCAGGTCAACCCGGCTGGCATTGCCAAGGTTCGCAGTCCTGTTTCTGAGGAATTCTTTTTGAAAGTTAACAAGGTGGATGAACTTCCAGAGTTTATTGTGGTTCTGTAATGCGATAGTGCGGTGGAACAACCCTTCGCCAGAACTTAACGCGATGTTCGCGCAGCTCTTGACTGGTCTCAGGAACCATGATCCCAACGGATGGAGAGCCCAGGTCGCCACGTTCCCTCCTACTATTCAAGAACGCCTCGCTGCACGCTACGGGGTCTAAGTGAAACCTCCAATTATGCGTCCCATAACCATGTATGAAAATTTGGATACCTTTGACCAGGGTGTCCCTGTTCATCTTTGTATATCGGCATCTGCCCATCTTATCTGTGTGACGCTGTAACCTGCCTTCATCTTTTCTTCTTACGTACCGGTAGCAGTAGCATCGTTCATTTCCCTTGCCTCGTTTCTTTCGCAACGTCAGTTTTTCTGTAGTTACAACTCACCCACATTTCCTCCTTCCAATTGGGTTACTCGTTTACGGTTCTGTCGAAGGAAGAAGGAAGGGGGTAGTACCACTTGATATCACTGATACGACCTGGCATGACCACTCTTTGCTTGTATATTGGCCCATTTTTCTTTACGTAGTAGTACTAGTAGTTAGTTAGCCTTTTCCCGCACACTCATTGAACTTCAGTAGATAGGAAGTAGATACAACAATATTGCAGAGTACAATTTCATTGGCGCAACTTATCATATCGATTGATCACCCCACGAGATGGCATGATACCGAAGTGCATCGGGAGGTACAAGGAGATGTTAAATAAAGGAAGGAGGTAGGTTTAATATACGCGTGATCGAAAATGCAACACTGAAACCTGCATGTGAGGCGTCCGACTAAAACCGTCTCTGGTTGCTGTACCCATACCCATCTCCAAATCCACCAAACGTTGGCGTTGCACTAGTCCCAAAGCCGCCAAATCTGGATCTGAGCATGTACGCTTTGTATCCATATGCCGCCCCGATGCACACGCCCACGAAGAGGAGGACTTTGACAAAAAAGCCGGACCAAGTTCGTTGACCTGATGGTCGGCGCGAGAAGAAGCTTCCTGAGTCGAGCTTGTCTAGTGGAGCATCTGTCGAAGAGAGGATCGCGGACCACGTGGTCACTGATATCACACTGGGAGTGGCCCGCATAAGACAACAATTCAACAAAAGACGGTTGGATACGTACTCGTGTGCATCGTATACCTCTCCGGTGAGTGCCGACATACCAAGGAATGGTGTTTTGGGCAAGCTGATGCCGTCGACGCGGAAACAGTTAGTCCACTCATCCCCTGGAATTAGACTTATTCAGCCGAAATTGTCATAGACGAAGTTTGAATGCGTACATGCTTTATACTGAACCTTAACCTGGTGCAAGTTAAGCTCAAATCAGATGGCAAGGTTACGAAACAACTTACGTCGAGATATGTGTCTCTCACATATATAATCTTCAATTTCGTCACGGCATTCGTGCGCCGGAACATAGCCTAGGATGCGGGTACTCAATGTGTGAGGACAATCAAATAAGAGCGACGTCATACTCACCGAACACGATCCAAGGCTGTTTGCATCGCCATCATGAGCTTGGTCATACTCGGTCTTCCCATCACCCAGCATGGCCATAATACGAGGGAAACCATAAGGATGCCTTGAGTTCGCGTAGCTGCTCAACGTTCAGACGGGCGTCCTGACAACCAACCGTGGAGCTCACGTGTCCAAAAAGATACCCAAACCCTCGAATTTGTCTGGAGGTGGCGTGGCGTGAGGACAGTACAGAAGAGCGTAATCTTAAAGCCTGACCTTTGCTTCCGAAGACAGGTCCTGGCTGTGTTCTCTCTTTTGTTAACCATATAGCCATACCATCGCCATATAAATGTGTGGAATCGCCAAAAATCTGTGAATGCGGTTAGGAAAGGGGTTGGAAAAGAAATCATGCACGGCAGATATACTTTGAATTCAATCTCAATAACGTAGTTGGACGCCGTTAATGGCAGACGCGACCATAACCATCCCTAGGGACATGACGTGTAAGTGAAGTGCTTGAATGCAACGAGTATGGTAGTTTGAGTACCATTTGGGATGGGACAGCTCGCGTAAGACGAATATGTTTATTGGTGTTCTACGGTGAGTTCAGCGACATATACTTCGACCAATCCAGGAACTTTTATGACCTACAATGTATGCGTCCGCCCCAAAATCCCACCATCTAAACAGAACCAGCATGTTGGAAAGGAGCCACAACCAAAGTCTCGAAAAAGAACCCCCACCGATTTTGTAAATCTTCGTCAATATACGGAGGATGTATCGAATGCGTTCGTAGTTGAACAGTCTGAATTCAAAACAGACAAGAACACACGGGTTATTACTATCGCTGGCGGTTTGGTCGGAGTGGAAGAATGGTGACTTGCCCTCTCGATAGTCCTATTGTTCACTTTCGTGTCGGCTGCGCCGGACACGCAAGGAAACGCGCTGAACAGGGAAAATGCAAGGTAGAGCGCGGCAAAACATGGCAAGAGCATCGTTAAATCTTGAGCTTGAGCCAGCGGTCCAAGCTGGCTGGCGTGTCACAGTCTTGCAAAGGTCGTCGTCGAAATGTCCTGACGTTAGTGACGCTCACGTGCCACATCACACATGTCCGTGTCGGGCCGTTCCGACTGTGTGGCGGTGACCACCACTCCCTCTCCTCGTCCACTGATTTTTTTCTCAGTAGTCGATTCTTGGGCTTTGTAAAATCATCCAGCTGCCATATCCAACCTTCCTTCGGTAGTCAACTCATTCCCGAATTCAGGAGACGGTGTTGGTCGATCTGCACAAGGATCGTCGCCGCAGGATTCCGCTTGCGACGTCACTTCGACTGCCGGGTCATCGATCATCGGCCGTTGCTCAGGCCAGGAGTCATTATAATGTCATTTGTGCTTCCGTGGAGCATAATAGCTAGGCACTGTTTCTTGCAGACACGAGCTATCTTCCCTAGAGCGGTCACGTGGTGACGATGTCGAACTCCTTTTTGTCATGTGACTGACGGAACTGGCCCACCAAAAACATTGGACTATCTTATCATGTAGACCTGGACTGTGACTGCCTCCAGGAATACCATGCATCCGTGCCTCTGTGTGGATGAGATTCTGCGAGTCGTATTTCGATGCATCGAAGATCGCTCGACGTGGTGTGCGTTGGCCAGGACGTGTCGCGCCTTCACCGAACCAGCTACAGATCTGATCTGGGAGACCCTGACCGCCGTGGAACCTATTCTGCAGCATCTGCCTTCTGCAAGGACAGAGAGATTAGGATTTGTAAGTACCTACTATTATGTTGTTGTTCGGAAAGGTACCACCAACAATTACAGGGCGACCGGGGCCGGTGCCTGGCGCTATCACGTCCACTCAGCGACGATGACTGGAGCATCATCCGGCGGCTCTCAAGCCGTGTTCACAGATTACATACGCTCTTCAACGCAATGAATAACGCCGTTCCCTAATGGGTTGACTTCCTCGCCTCTCCGCCAGATCCAAGCTTTCTTTTCCCAAACCTTCGCGCTTTATCAATCGAAGTGCCCTCCCCACTTTTCGGTACTAGTGTCATGGATGTCCGCACAGGAGCTTACCGGGCCGTCATTCGTTTCTTCCATCTTCTTCTTGGACCACATCTGTCCGCCCTTCGATTTAGCATCCCTAACGAATTTTACACCGATCTGGACATTTCTTCCATACCAGCACTTTGCCCGAACATTCGCATGTTGGACATAGCAGGGTTCATGTCCGTCTGGAATGTCAAGATTCCTGAAGAAACCGTGCATCTGTTTTCTAGGGCAGTCTCCGAGCTCAGCCGTATGGAGATTGTTGGGTCATCTGGGCCTTCGTGGCAGTTGCTTAGCAGTCTCGCTCGGGCAAAGAAACTGCGACGGCTGCGGGTGAAACTTCCACATAGACTTGTCCCTGAGCCAAGGCTCCTCAGCGGCGACGCTTTCCCTCAACTTCGCACTCTAGATATTTGGGCGGACTCCCTTGCATCGTGCATAGACCTATTCCGCTGGACTTCTCTCAATCAAGTCACTGAGATGTCTATCCGCTGTCTAGCATCCTACTATAACCGCGATCCCTTACAAGGACTAGTTGGCATGTCATCTCTGATTTCATCGCAGTGCCAATCTTTGGATTTCCTCTGGATTTCCTGCGGATTGATTCGCAACCGCAACGACACACCCTCGTCTGCTCGGTGGCGACCTGTGTTGGAACCCTACCAAGCTTGTCATCACCTCAGAATCATTGCATTGCAGGTGCCCTGTAGCCTGACACTTGCAGACAATGACTTAGAAGACATGGTCAAGGCTTGGCCACACTTAGCGGTATTCCACCTATTTCCTGGTGGCAAGGCGGTGCCTCCAGTTCATCGCACGTTACTGAGGAATTACCGCTCTTCTATACCATTGCCCCGAACTTAAGGATTTTACCCTGATGTTCGATGCAACCCGGGTTCCTGAATGTATCGCTCAACCTAGCTGCGGAAAACTCGTTGGGAACCCCTCGGTGAAGTATATGGGAGTTCACACGTCTCCTGTTTCAGCGAGTAGCGACATCGCTGCATATCTCTCCATCATTATGCCATCCTTGAAGATCATTCGCCTCAAACAAAGAGCTTATGAGGCTGCATGGTCCTGGATTTGCACCCGACACCCACAGAAGCCTACGATACACGTGGACCTGCCGCCGATGAAGTTATACTATCTACTCACGGCTGGTACTGAGTCTAGTAATGAGGATATATTCGGCAGAGAGTGGTGCTGGATCCGTAGTAGCGACGCGGGGCGGAGGTGATGCTAGGTACTGTATAATCACCTGCACATAGCCAGAAGTTCCCTACATCAGAATCTTACGGAGTCATTTCGTTCTCAGGGTTATACCTCTGATTGGTGTTGGTGCAGAGAAGTGCCGCTTACTCGTCGAGGAAATTCATTAAGTGGGACAATAGTGTCCAAAGTGGTAAAGACAAGCAAGAAACATCATGCCGGTAGTTCAAATTTCTGTCCTTGGAGTACTCTGATGACGGAGCACACAGGTTAGTTCTGTCTTTACAGGTGAAAAAAAGACCAGCTTACTTTGTAACATAAACGTAGAAAAAGTCAAGGTAGAGCCCGGTTTGCACGATGCCAGCCACAACAGCTATCGGATCTACTGTACCTTCCGTGAAGTACCTAAACGGCCCGTCGATCTGGGGACTACGGTAGCTGAAGAACAATTACTTACCTGTATATCCAGTTAGGAATGTACAACGCCCGGTAGGTGCCCAAAGCAGCAAGGTAATGCGTCGTGATAGTTTCAGCCTCTCCCGTCCGTTGCATCATGAACAGTTGCGGGAAGATAGCAACAGCCTCCAAGTATATAGAAAAAGTCCACAAGATTTCGGTTACCTCGAACCGATAGTTGAATATCAGGGCAAGGGCGAAGCATGGCCCGACGAGGTATTCAACTTTGAATGTATCAAGGGAAGGGTCATGAGTCGGCCTGTAGGAAGCGTCAGTTTGTGCGAAGAGTGTGCGAAGAAGCGGGAGCCTTACCGGAAACGATATTTCATGAGGTAGAGGATGTAACCGCTGCTGGAGATAAAGAAAACCTTCATAACAAAGTTGTACAATGAGATCCACGTATATAACAGGTCGATGTAACGCGTCAGGAACACGAGAACGTAGAGTGCCTGGGTCTTGAACGAGATGCCTGCACACATTTCACGTTTACATGCCCCTCTGTTGCGGGAGTACGGTTGTATTACGCACCTCGGCAGGACCTCGTAGTATGCATCTTGTGCACGAGGATGAAAATGGAGGCTAGATGAGCCAAGTCACCTGTAAAGTGTCCCCGCCTGTTCAGAAGTTGGCGAAGCAGAGCACGTCGACTACTCACCCAGTAGCCTGAAAATGTTCATGATTGAATATCCTCTAGACGGTTACCAGAACCAAAAGGGCAGCGTAGTACTGGCGTAAGTTATTCCCGAGTAACTGGTCACCAGTAAATTTTGCGAGGGTTCGCGGTTGACAAGGAGCGTCTGCAGCGACGTGTAACTTTGGACGGATTTGGGACTAACTTGTTGGTGTATTGATTAGTCAACCTATCCCACGCTCCACCTTTCAGTGCCACTACGACGACCGGATTGACAGACTCAAGTATTCACTGGAGACCAGTTCTCAGAGGCTATCACACGGATACAAGGCGAGTCTCTATCCCCCCTCAACGCGATGATGTTATAGTAAAAGGGTCGACCGTGACCCGAACCCCGCCATCGAATAAACCCTGGTGACTGAGCCCAAGAAAGCGTCCGTTCACCTGTTGCACTGCATGAAGATACAGCTGTGCTTCGTAAGGCAGGACCAACATTATAGCTCTTTTATGGCTGGCATGACTGCGAGGATCACGGTCTGCTGGCAAAGGTCGAGCCGCCAGCGCCGGATGTTTGCTTGTGTGCCATATACGCAGCAGAGTCCGGCATACGTTCATCAGCCGAGCCCGCACAGATGAGGTCCATAACTGTTGTGGGTGGTCTCTAGATGTGGATATATTCTGAACGATACATTTTGTCATTGTGGCACCGCACGCATAAAAGCGCCTAGCCTCGAGAATGCGGTGTTGGGCGCGTGGTTGTGTGCGTACAATTGCTGGCACGGTCGCTACGGGGTTGTTGATAGTAGGGGTTACGGATCAGATGGAATGAGATCCACATCGACCGCCTTGCGGTCCTGAGCTTTCGACTACCTCGTGGCCTTGCACCGAAGCATGAATACTGAACATACTATTTTCTATTCGCAGATGTCGTCATCCCTGCTCCAGATTGCTGGATGGTCGATCCTTCCGGACCTATTGACTAGACACACCCTATCCTTTGTCTACCAAACTGTCTTCAAATTCATTCACCGGTCCCCACCTCTGCAGGGTTCGCCTGCGTACGTCCGCCACTACCGATACACCTACACGGCTGTTGTGCTTGGTTATCTCCTGTACAATTTCCTCGCAGCGTCAACTGCGCTCCCGAAGAATTTCTACCAGCTACTGGATGTTCGTCCGGATAATGGCGATAATAACGAGCTCAAGATGGCATTCCGTGCGTTTGCCAGGAAATATCACCCGGATCGTGTGGGTCCTCAGGGTGAAACATATTTTATCCAAGTGCGGGACGCTTTCGAGGCACTCAAAGATCCTGTTGTGCGGTTTGCTTATGATAGGTAAGCTACAGGTTGATTGCACACACAACGGCTTTCTGAGCTGAATGACTGAATAATAGGTTTGGCCCAGATGTCTTGCGATGGAAAGAGTGTAACACAATGAAGGAGTACCTTCGCCGTGGCCTTCTCAGTTCACTGGCATATCACGTTATGACGGGTGTGGGGCTTGCATTAGTATCCATGATTGGCAAACCCAATCCCATTGCGGCAGTGTGTGCGCTCTCCAACTGCTTTGAAGGCTTGCGCTGACCGTTTTCACTTCAAGTGGAGATACTTGTTGTTTGCAGTGGCGCTTGCGCTGGAGTTACACCTCCTTCTTGCACCGTCTTCCCAAATAACTGAACAAAGTCCCTTCGTAGACCATGTGTCCTCAAGTGGGACCTTCTTCGACCGCTTCTTCCCTCGCCGGGTGGCGTACCAGCATATTCAGTTATTGCACCAAGTTTTCTTTTTTCTGTCTGTTGCATTATCTCGTGTAGCTCCAGTGCTCTTCCCATCTGTGATGCGCTCAGATCCTGCAGTTGATCGGCAGGTGATGAATGCGGTAGCGGAGAGACTCAGCATGCTTGCTAAGTTGACAGAACGAGAAAGTGCGTGAGCGTCCCTTGTGTGCCTATGAGCCACGTGCTTAAGCTAACATAAATAAAAATCAGTTTCGATCATGCAGAACGCAACATTGCACGCGATTCTTGACCACGATTCTTCGAAGGAGGGTATGTCAACCGAGCCGTCTGAGCTTCCAAACAAGCTAGATGGTGATATCGTGCGGATACTCACTGATGCAATGGAGGACGTTCTCATAGAGTCCCGGTTGAAGAGCGAAGCTGGGCCGATGAGGAGTGCGTGGGATCGAGCGGTGGAGAAAAAGAGGCAACAGCTGAGGTTGGAAAGGCAGGTCGGTGGTGTGGTGTCTTCCCTTGTGGATGTGCCCAGGGGAAAATCAGATCCAGAAGGAGAGAAGATACCTTCAACTCGACGACAATCTCTTCGTGCACGATCGATGTCACTTTAGATCAGCAATCATTTCATGTCTTGTAATATCATGGGCTTTGGCCAAGCACTCCCATCATCCTATGCTCCTCTATGGGGATATTAATTATTACAATGATGTATGAACATGTTGAATAGTGATTCATGTCACTTATATAAGTGCTTAGACTGCACAAGTTATGTTGGAGTGTCTCAGATTACCCTACTGTCACTTTGGAGGAGAGGAATAGCATTGGGGATTTTAGAGTTAAAACCCAAAAGTCAACCCAAGTGAGGTCTCTGGGCAACCTATACTACAGAGATGTCCCTACACATGTCCAGTGCATGTAGCCAAAGCAGCAATCATGACACCACCAGTGACATCAAGGAGAAATGTGAGGAAGCAACATGTAACTAAAAGAAAGGTCCAGAAGGGTGTAGAACCATGTGCCAAGATCAGATGAGATGCAGTAACTATGACAAGATAAGACAAGATGTGGATAGAAAAAAGAAAAAAAAAAGAAAAGTCCATTACACAAAGTTAGTGCAGGTAAGAAAGACTATGATAAGAAGAAAGGGGCTGACAGAGTCAAGAAGCTGACATTGTCCAAGTAAAACCATGGTGAATCATGAGTACAATGTCAACAAATTGCATGTGCTCAGCTCTCTTCATTGACATCATCATGTGGGATCTGGACTAGTGCAAGTAGTGATTTGCAGCAACCAGCTATGGCAAGACTGTGGACCTTTGTGAACACTGCAAACTTTACAGCTACATTAATGACATAAGAACAATATCAATACCACACCCCTTCACATTCACAATACCCTACATGTCAGTGAATGTACTAAATTCAGTGCTGATCTACCAGTATTGAGAGGAAATGGTACAGGAAATGAAAAAGGGCTGCATATGATGAGGTGGTGGGGGGATATAAGGACATCACCTGGATGAGGCTCATAACCAGGGGAATGACACAGGACTCAAGGGACATTTGACAGTATGCAACAACTGTCTGGGAAAAATCATTGTAGGCAGTGAGCACTGTGAGTTTATATATGCCAAAGAGTGGGCAGAGGGGTGGGAAAGAATAGCAGCTGGGGGCATGGTGACCAGTTAAGGGGTCTTCCTGGTGAATTATGATGTAAGTGCTTGGATGCAATTTGTACTTCTCACCAGGCAGCACATCATGGAGTATGAATGAAAGTGGGGTGTGATAACATGTACTAAGTGATGTCAGAGGACATGGGTGCAATTAGCAGGGTAAAATGATCATTGAACAAATATGGGGTATGAACTAATTTGTGGCAGTATGACAGCAGATATACCCAACATCAAAATACAATTTGAACCATCATTCACTGGGTGAAATGGAAACATTTGCACCATTCTTTGCCATGGACCATCTGACTTAAGTCCAACTCTGTGCAGCAGCCTCTGGGAATGACTGCTGTGTTCCATATTGAGTAAAATGGTATCCTAATTTTTTGGGGGATCCAAAGTAGCAGTTGTCCCTTTGGGCCATTCGATCCAGCCATCATCATGCAGCTTGACTGCTGCACCCAGCATAACCTTCTGTTGTATCAACCCATTCAACAAGTGGGTTACTATTAAGCAGAGCATGTGAGGGGTCAAATGAAAAGCAAATGGGATATCCCTTGACATCTGCACTTGTTAAGTGAAATAAGAATGGATAGAAGGTGGAGGTACATACCATCTACAGGAGGGAATGGATGAAGCATGCTGGAGGGGTGGGATGCAACCATTGTCAACATCTCACTCTCCCAGACCCTCACAGTGTTGTCCCTTGAGCCTGAGACAATCCTCTTCCCATCAGGGGAGAATGCAACTGACTTGACTGCATCTGTATGGCCCTCAAGAGGGCTGCCAATCTGCACACCTCCCTCAACATCCCAGACCCTCACAGTCTTGTCCCTTGAGCCTGAGACAATCCTCTTCCCATCAGGGGAGAATGCAACTGAACTGACTCCATTTGTATGGCCCTCAAGAGGGCTGCCAATCTGCACACCTCCCTCAACATCCCAGACCCTCACAGTGTTGTCCTCTGAGCTTGAGACAATCCTCTTCCCATCAGGGGAGAATGCAACAGAATAGACTCCACCTGTATGGCCCTCAAGAGGGCTGCCAATCTGTACACCCCCCTCAACATCCCAGACACTCACAGTCTTGTCCTCCTGAGCCTGAGACAATCCTCTTTCCATCAGGGGAGAATGCAACTGGACAGACTCTAAGTGCATGGCCTTACAGTAGCTGCTGTTCAACTGGCCATCCTTTCAAACCTCCTACAGCAACTCTAGCCAGCCTTGGGAATTTTGGCAGGAGCATCATTGATAACAATGCATTGGAAGGAATGAATGACAATGCAGAAGCATACAGGTGTGGAGTGCTGTGCACTATCACACTGCCAAAATTCCGAATCAACTTGATTCCATCTTCTACCAATGCCAACACATCCTTGAAGCCTATCATGTCCCTTCATTGTTTTGTCAGATGTCATCAAATACTGTACATAAGGTACTCACCTGTAGCCATGTTGCAACAGTACCAAGAGCATCCACACCCTTTCCAGCCATTCCCAGAAGGCTTATTATCTCTAGCCAGAACAGAAATTTTTTCACTTCCAACAATAGCCTTCACCAACCCTGCAAGTTCCAAGTCAAATGCTGTCTTCCGCAGATGCCGGGTCCAGAATTGACTGGAGAAGGAGAGATGTTGTGGAATCTTCTCCTTAATTCTCTTCGACAAATCAGGAACTTCAGCATTGGCAAGGTAGGAGCTTTCCAATTCACAGGTGTTGAATTGAAGGTTATCGCTGAGAATCTGCAATGTGGCAAATGCCAGGTCTTTTCCATCAGAGGTGTCAATGCAGTAGACATCACTCCGTGAGCGATCCATCAGGAAGTCATAGAAGGATGCATGAAGGGGCCGCACAGCAGAGCCACGGTCCACAATACCACCCAACACCGGAGACATGAACTCGAGGATGAGAATAATGTCATAGTGATCCTGCTTGTTTGGGAATTTTTTACGCATCGAATTCAAGGCCGCCATAGGGAGAGGTTCAAGCGTCATCACGACTTGCCGCATCACGGAGCGATATCGTTCCAAGCCTTTCCCCGATCGAGGAATGCCCCCCTGCAGGATTGCGAGGTAAGTTGTGTCCAGGAGCGTTCTTCCTTCTTCCGATTCGAGCGCCATCAGTTCGTCGTAGCGTTCCTTCCAAGTTTCTCCAGCTCTACCTGGCCTGATGAACTCACAAGCCAGACGAGCCCACTCGAACAGACCACTGGATTTCTTGACGACGTTCTGATTTCTGTTGCTTCAATGGTGGCAAGACCGTCCAGTTCCTTCGAAACATATAGCCGGATATCATGTTCCACCAAATCCAGACAAACGTCGTCCAATGAGATTGCCTTCACATGTGTAACATCCCTCATAACACGTGCGATGTCCGGCAATGGTCTGGACGTCAAAAGGATCCGGAAATTGGCTGGCAGATGTGCAGCTTCTGACGATTTCAGAAGGCTCAGGATATCCTTGCCTCGATTTCTCCGGCCCACTTTCGTCCAACGCATCGATTACCACGACCACATTCCCAACTATCTCTCCATTAATCTTCGATAGCGGCTCCAAGATGAATCGTTTCCACTGCTGCACCACATCGCGTGTGGTCTTGAGAGCGAGGTTATTTGACACCACATTCGACAATGCTCGTCGAAATGCCGGATCACGATCCGCCAGATCACGCGCAATGGTAGTCAGAATCTTTTCCTCCCGCCGTTCGGCCTGCCTGTCGCGCGCGAAGCAAAAACAGGCCCCGGGAGCTCCCACATCCTCGACCCATGATGCGATTGTATGGGCAATGGCGGACTTTCCTCTTCCGGCCTGCCCGTGGAGCCACAAGCTACGAGGGGCGTTGACGTCGCATGCGGTAATCCAGTCGGTGACTATCCTTCAAAATTTCTGTCCTGGTACCGTCGAGGCATTTCTTGGTCGTATTCAGGCCCGCGCCAGCGGCGTAAGCCATGCCTTCGAGGTTCAGGTCTTCAAGAACATGGTACATGTTGATCTGGATGTCCCGTATCGCGCGATCCCGATATTGTTGCATCAAGTCACCCAGATTCTTTACGTGGCCACGGGCGACAGTCTGCAGGGTCGGAAACAAGGCTGTTCCCGATTCTTATCACTGACGATGTATCACATCAGCACCCTGAAGCGGATCAGAGGACCATGACCATAGGACCTACAGATGTTCTTCTTTTCGCAATATTTTATGACGAACAGGGCCGCGGCACTCATCTCCTGTGAAATCTTCCGTAACGTCTCTTTCATGCTATCCATATTCTCAATGGTATCCTTTTCCATAAGAAACTCGTAGAGATCCTTTACTGTATTGAGGAGGCCGAACACCTCGTTGTCCATGTTTGATTGGTCAATGAGCAACTAATGAGGACTACATAAGCGAGGGATCCATGAGAGGGATGGGAAAAGTACTTGAGAAGCAACGGTGAGAATTCCTAGCGCAAACTGGACATAAGGGTGGACCTGTGCGCTTACATCAGAGCATGCAGGCAGCAGAAGCTTAAAGCGCCTCCATTCGATAGAGTGGTAACAAAGGAGTTGAACGATTTAAGAGGCTGAAGAATCGCCTCGATACTTTGGATTGTCGTCACCGCAGTATCGGCCTGCCCGACAAGGCCGGCGGCTGTTTGCAATACCTGGGGGACGGGCTTCATCTCAACCATTGCCTGTTGTGCAACGTTGACTTGGCTGCCAATTGTGGTGTCGGCTGTCTCTGCAGTGGGAGTCTCTGATGGAGTCTGGCTCGACCGATGGAAGAGGTGTCCCATCCTGGAGAACAGCATTCGAGATGTATTCACCGATGGTCCGGCGACTGAGGAGACGTCGGCAGAGGGGCGAGAGGCCCCTTGTAACTGTTTGGGCAGAGATTAATAAATACCATCGCGTGCAAGGTATAAAATAGGAGGGTTAGGTGCGGACGAACTGGATCTTTCGGAGCTAAACAAACGATGTTTCTTCAACTGCTTGCGGGCCATTGAGAAATCCGTATTTTGTGCAAGGTTGGTAGTTTGGATTTGAGGTTGAGGGATGTAAATCAGACAGTTTCAGACTCAGGAGTTGAAAGCGCCGACATGCTGTGGACACGTTGCAGATGCCTGGCACTGGGAGCACGGGCCAGATACATACGCAGTTGCGCTATCTTCTATATCTAATGCTTATGATTGACTCGCTCATGCTCGCGTTGAAGAGAACATCGATGCCATGTCTACGACCGCTTTCGCTATGCAGTGGTAGCCGTAGTCCCTCGATCATAACTCGTGGACGAGGGCCCCAGTCGTTGATCAAGTTCAGTTCAGCAGTAAAGATTCAGCTAGCTCCGAGTCAGGGTTGGCTCGTGCATTTCACAATGCACGAATTCCACATTTCAACGAGTTTACCCACTGCTTCAGTTGCGCACTGATTAGTAGAATGACTGCGGGCTGACACCACTCCTCGATGACGAGGACTCCGTTTCGCTATCACCACAGCAACGCCAGCGGTGAGGACGCTCGATGTCAGTCCAGCTATTCACAAGCTCACCGCGAGGATCCAATTCGCTAGCTTCGATTTCAGGCTTGTCAGACTTCTTAGCTTGTTGTCCGGTTTGTATCTCGTCCATCGACGATGTCAACGACAAGACCATCGTCGCCTCGTGATACCATCCCATCGATCTTACACCCTTCCACCCACCATGCCGCTTTCCTCACAGGCCGATAGACACGCAGGAGTGTAGACACCAGAGGATGGCTCGCTACTCTTCAAACCAGGCCCCCCTAGGGAACTAGCATTCTACCAGTTCGTGCGCGATGGCGTCTAGGGGTGCTGTCGCTCTGAAGCCACCTTGTTGATAACGCACTGGAAGTGGCAGCCGCGCATAGCCTACCCGCCATCGGATCACCCAATGGAACAACAACCACGATCGTCCTCGAGAATTTCACGTATGGATTCCACATACCATGCATTCCCGATGTCAAATTGGGAACCGTACCCTATGATGAGGACGTTCCGCCAGCCAAAAAGGAGCGTGTGATCCGCACCTCTGCGCACACGACCGGTCTCAGCACTAGCGTACGTCTTACAGGCTTCCAGGTACACCCCCTTGTTGATGTTCAGGAACTGAGTGATCACTCAGATCCCGTACTTACTCCCGGGAAATATTGTAAAACAATCAAGCCAGAACATCTCCCAGATAGGACGTCTGTTCAGACTCTCCTTAGCATACACACGACTCTCTCCTGGACAGGGACCTGGCCTGGACGTGCCGCTTGGTATAGAGACGCTTATCTGACTCATTCGCTAGCGGTGGGGCGTGGTTCAGGCATTGGTCGAAGACGGCTTCCATGCTGACAACACTGGTCGTTACGCATAGATGCGATACGCCATGCCATGGTCTACGTGTCCAGCGGATTTACACTTGGCCTGTGCCTCATAAGTGTTCTCCTCGCCTCCACAAAGATTTGATCTCTCTCCCTCTTCTCTTCTATCCTATTCCGTAATACCTCAGGACAAAACTACTAGCGGAAAGACAGAGTGAAACGGAAGGGGTTATTATCTGCCGAGGACGATCCCCTTTTTCGATGACTCCACGCCGAGGGATCCTCTCCGAAGAAGCAGAGTGCTAGCCATTGCGTCGACAAAGATACCACTTAAACCAGCGTACAGCGATGGATGGAGGTATTCAAACTAATACACCGAAATACTACAAGTCCGAAATATTTGTAGTAGGCGAAACCCAAAAATGAATATGGGCCCGAGTCTGTCCAGTATAAAAGTGCTGGCACGAGATAACAGCCTTATCGATGGACGGCAAGTTCGCATATCCCCTGGAATCCCAGGTCGATCATTCACCAGTGGTCACCCAAATATTTCCATTGCCGACATCCGCGCTCCCGCGAGGAGTCCCCGAGCCTGCAACATGACCCATCCCCACACTAACAATGGCGGGTCCGAACCCCACCTCTGCGCCCCGCGAATCACTGACAACCACCCTGATCCCCTCCCTCGCCTGCGGGATTACTTCTGTCCATGCACGTGCTTCTCGGACGTTGGGAGCACGTAGTACGAGGGTCTCCCCGCCCCGAGGGTAGGCACGATGGATGCGTATGTAGGCATCGTCGGTCGTGCGCGGTTTCGTGCAGTGTAGATTTCGAGTTCGTGGACGGGGAGGGGCTAGGAGTGATGACAGGTTAATACAACGAATGGGTGTTTACGAATTGGGGGACTTGTCACATGGTATAACCCTCCACCGCCGGACTCGTTGAGGAGTAAGAGGATATCGCTACGAAGTATTACGCGCAGCTTACGCCCGCTTTTTGCTTTCGTCAGTACACCCCCTTTGAGGAGTGTTCGAGGATCTAGGTGGTGAGTCGAAAGCGTGAGGTCAGGACAACTGTACAGCGGGGGGGAAGAAAAAAAAGGATGTCAGCGATATCTCATGTTAGCAGTAGCGAAACTAAACAGAACAAGAAAACATGATACTCACTTCTTGCCTATCCTCGCCCGGCTCTCCCGATCCCGCATTGTCTCATTCACCTCTTCTCATGGTTGCTCCGCCACTCCAGAGCATTCGCTATCGACTCGCATTCCGCGCACTCCGTAGGAAGGCATGGTGCCGAAGATAGATCGAGTGATGGCACAGGTGGGTCAGTGTATTGCAGAATTTGTCGGATGAGAAGAAGATATCGAGTCAGGCGCCGCACTGCAAACAAGTCATCGTCAATGTATCGTGTTCTTACGAGAAGGTGATTGGACGCATTGGGTACTAGAAGGTAACTGGACAAGTCGAGATTCCTGGCCAAGGGGTCATCCCGGAGGCTCTATCAAGGACTGACCACCAGGAAAAGGCAGACCAGTAAGAATTAAATGACTGAACCTGTAGCTGAGCAGACAATTCTGGGTTGGTATCCCTAAGCGATCGCAACACTTTCCCAGCATTGGCTTGGTTGACACAGTAGTCCTGTGATCAATTAGTCAACGAGCCTGCCTGGTCATCTGACAACACAACGAACCAGATACACTCGCATGCAAGGCATACGGGTTTCTAAAAAGTCTCCTACATGGTCTACGCAGAGTCGGCATTCACGCTGTCGCTCCTCCAGAGTAGATAGGAATGCCTGGAAGATGGGTGAGCTAGGAGTCAATGATATCCAAATGAACGCACTGTGTTCGTAAGAAGGATATCTCCGATGTTGGAAAATATGACCGACGTTGAATCCTCTCCAAGGATATCCACCAGACGCGAATAGAAGAGCTTCCAATGTCAATGTCAACTGATCGGGTAGTTTTATTGGGTCGACTTACCTCCACGATAAGTCGGAGATCTCTCACGTAGTCCGCTTCCGTCGAGATAAGTTCGAATATTGTCTCCTGTCGTTTCCTTTCCACCGCTGGTATTCCTTCGAGTGCTGTCCGGTCGACGAGGCTTGCCCATGACGTCCCAAATGCTGGGCTGTTATCGCGTGTCGTCGAGTTATGTGGTTCTCCAGGGACAGCTACTGTATTAGATGTCGAGATGTGAGCGGGACCAGATATAATTGGAATCTTGCGCTCGCGATCGATGTCCGGCGTAGTAGAACGCGTGTGACGCCCAAGGAAACTCAGCAAGTAAGACGCACGACTCTCTCCACCTCGTTCTTGTTCTCGATCTCGCAGCGAAGGCGACGGAGACACCGCAGGTGAGCGGGGAGGTGATGAAAATGCGAGCGAAGAAGCTGACAAACGGTTAGCGGCTAACGATCGTCCACCATGCAGTTTCTTAAGCGTTTCGTAACGCTCGAATGCATCGTCGACGCGCGATGTACCACTCGAGTCTGAGGTCGTCTTGAGGTGTGTGGGTTGAACGGACGTACTGAGTATTTCGGATATGGGTGAGAGCTTGGCGTTAGTACCTGTGTGACTGGTTGCCTCTATATCCTCTGAGAATTCCATCGTGGGGACTAGAGGAAGTTCCTTATGCCTCGCACAAGACAGAGGTTCATGTGCAGGAGGTAGAGATTCATGTCGCTTCCGTTGCAAGAGCGGTCCGCATGCCAAGAACGTGGAATTTCGATCGGTACTGAAATTGGTATTCTGGAGTTCCGGGAAGAACAGGATAAGGTTGATGGCACGGAGTACAAGGTACGAAGCAAGGAACATGCGAAAAACAAGAGAGAGAAAACGAAATATTTCAGCCTATATGCATCCCAGCGAACGAGGAGGTAAGAAGAACTCAGGGGATTGTTTTGTGCTAACAAAATGCAACTAACCCTCTGCCACCTCCACGTACGCTGCTGGGACGGCGCAGACGACACCATCCCGTTCGGCCTTCCACCAATCAGATTCCACCCGGTCGACGATGGAAAGAACGTCACCTTCACTGAACGAAATCTCATCGGGACTCGAGCCTTTGTACGAGTAAAGGGTAGTAGCTTGAACTAAAAAGCCGTGTAACTGCAGAGTCTATGAAAGTAAAATCCGTGCGCACCTGGCTCGAGTACTTGCACATAAGTCTGCGGGAAGAAACCCGATCTACCATCATTGGCGGCAGTGCTACATGGATAAGATCATAACGAGAATCACCACGGAATTACTGTAAAATCGCATTACAAGGTTGACTTGTTTGGACTGTTGTTTGTGTTCCATAGTACAATGGCATCTCGAGCTTGACTGTTCTCGGTCTGATAGTAACAAGATTTCTCTCCCCCAGCGAATACCCTCTGGACTCATCCTGTGCCATAGTTTCTGTTGTATTTCAGTGTAACATTTCATTGGCGTGCACAAGATGTAGCAGCACAGCAGATACCACGCACCTGTACAACCACCACAAGGACCTACCCGCAGACCCTTCGCTATATCTGTCCCGGACGCAAACTCAATTCCCAGATTGCTCTTACGGAGATTCCATCTCCACACTCTCCACCTCCCGCACATCTGCCAGTACCGAGTCGTCTGGGGAGCCGTTCCCACTCCAGCACGTGTCATCTCGACCGAAAGCATCTTACAGGCTCGCAGACTTCATCATTCATCAAACACTGGGAACGGGAAGCTTCGGGCGAGTGCATTTAGGTATGTTCTAATTGAAGTTGTATGTTTGACAGCAACTTACCTGTTCACTCTGCAGTACGGAGTAAACACAATCTCCGCTTTTATGCGATCAAGGTCCTGAGTAAGGACAAGGTCGTCAAAACCAAGCAAGTTGAACATACGAATAATGAAAAGACGATTCTTGAGGGTGTGCAACATCCTTTCATCGTCAATTTGTGGGGAGCTTTTCAAGATGCTTCGAATTTGTACATGATCATGGATTTCGTGCCTGGTGGTGAGTTGTTCACCCTCCTGCGCCGGTCGGGGGTACGTATTCGTAGTCTCGCCACATTCTGTGTGTTCCCCCTCTGATGAACCTCTCTGCCCACAGAGGTTCCCTGAACCCGTTACCAAATTTTATGCGGCGGAAGTCGCTATGGCACTGAATTACCTACACCGACTTGATGTCGTGTACCGCGACCTTAAGCCAGAGAATATCCTACTCAACTTCGACGGTCACATCAAAATTGCAGACTTTGGTTTCGCAAAGCGTTGCTCTGTCACTACTTGGACGCTCTGTGGCACACCCGACTATCTGGCTCCTGAGGTATATCCAACAACTCTTTGCTCTGTGGGTCCCATTTAATCTCGTGATAGATTGTGCTTCAGCAGCGGTACACCAGAAGCGTCGATTGGTACGCCCTGGGAGTGCTCATCTTTGAGATGTTGACCGGGTTCCCGCCATATTACCAACCCGATCGTAACACAAATATACTTTACGAGCGGATCCTTCAGGGGCCAAGTTTCATCCGATGGCCAGCGTTTCAGCCACATGCGACAGACATCATTCTGAAGTTGATGGAGAGTGATGCCGTGAAGCGCTACGGCAAAGTGGACTACGGGGCCGGTGACGTCTTCACTCATCCGTGGTTCAGCGAAGTAGATTGGGACCGACTTTACTCTCGGAAAATAGCAGCCCCGTACCTTCCGAAACTAAAGAGTGAAGGGGACGCAAGCGCGTAAGCAATTTCGTTTCTTTTTGTATAATGTGTGCGATGCTCATCAGAACGATCACCGTGATAGATTTGAACGATACCCTGAGGAGGAGGTCGCATCGACCTACGGCAAAGTTTGCCATGATCCACACGCACGGGAATTCCCTGATTTTGAATATACCAGCCCCGATACTTATCCGCCAGCATGCCAGGCCAGCGAGGCTTATAGATGTATCAGTCCTTCTATTGCTCGCAAGTGACAAAGACTATGGCGTTTGTTCTCACTTATCGCATTCATTATACTCCTTATTCTTCTGCAATTTGTGTTTTTTCTTGGCAATCCTAGTTTTCTTGTTGCACTCCTTAGCATTTGCATAGTCTGCATCAGAAATACCATCGAACGTTGCGGCGCACAGCATTTATCTGCGTTAGCGAAGAAACGTAAAAGCTTGCCATCTTACGGATTACAAAGATCGTTTGTACATGCCTCGAAGTGGCGATGGGAGGAGAATTGTTTGTTCTGGCCAAACACGAACATCATGTCCTCAAATACATATGGACCCGTGGACGCCTTTCGAAGAGCAAATTATCCGCCAACGGCGAAACACCCGGCACCCACGAACGGACGAGACGGCGCCGACGAGAGCTTTGTGGCCGTCCGAAAACTGTTCAAAACCGTGCAGGATCTACCGAGATCAAGCTTTGGTGCCTCATCGCCCTTTGACTCTTTTTGGGGCTACGACTCATTCGCTTAGACTTGGGACCTGAAGGTGCTGAAAACACAAAAATATTGTGGGTGCGGACGAGCTGAACAACCTCTTAATTGAACAAGAAGAGAATTGGGGAGAGGAATTTCGGTCGTTTGGATGGAATGGAGCGTAGGAAGAATATGGTCCTCAACAGTAGTGCAAAGAAGGCGAACCCGACCGCTGCTGAAAGAGACAAAGGCCAACCTAGTTTAAACGGGACATGGACTGACGAGGGTAAAAGCTGGCGACGGGAAAGTGATCGTGCTCGTGTTGATGCAGGCGGACCGACCCCCAATCACACTCGTTCGCATGCGAACGGGTCCGCCAATAATGTCGCCGAGGCAGATATTACACGCGAAAGGGCATCCTTACTGACAGAAAGGCAACGCCAGCTGGACCAGGTACTGGACAAACACGACGATTTAGTGAGTGCCTGAAATTGACATCTTATTCCCTCCTGCGATGGTGGCTCTGACGATGTTTGTTTCACGTGGACCCAGGTTCGGGAGAAGTTCCACCTCGAAAATTTCGTGACACTATTAGGCTATGACCCCTCATCTGCGAAGCAGGATGACTCGGTTGTGTTCCGGGAGGTATGTGTCCAGACTTCTTTATCCTCATGCATGTTCAATTGACTTCTGTCGGTTAGTATAAGGCGAAGTTCGACCTAGTGGAGCAAGTTGCTACCGAAGTGGGACCCTCTAGGAGTACTCGCAGCGCTCACAGTCAGCGCGTCATGAACATCACCTCTCAGACACAGTCCTCAGCCGGATTAGATAAGTATCCGTCCTCACCGTCCGTATCCTTTTCCGTTAGTGCACCGCCTACGAGGCCGTCCTTGAAAGCGAAGGGTAAACAGAAAATGGTTGACATGCCTGAAAGTATATCCAATGCGAAGCTCGCACCACCGGTGTCCAAGCGGGGTGCCCAGGGGGAAACGATGACAGTGACAACTCCCTCCCGGCCGGTAAAGGGAAGAGCACCCTCACCGATAATTCCTAGGCCTCCGCCCAAGACCCGCAGCCAACGGATATTACCGACGCCGAAACAGCCGACGAAAAGGACGAGCTTTAGCATGTCGTCCCCTACGCTCTCTCCGGTTCCTCTGAAGAAACGCAAGTCCACGGCAGACAAAGAGGTAGTTTCTTCCCGTACGAGAGCAGGAGAAGATGACGATGCTTCCACTTCGACGCCACCTCTGGTAGGTGCATGCGCAGTATTGTCCGAAGGCGCTCACTTACGAGGAACAGATCCCCCCGGTTTCTGCGTCTGACTTAGCGGTCGATGGCGTCACTAAAGCAGCGCCGCTACAGAAGACAACACCTTCCGTAAAGCGCATCCGTCTCATTGTGCGTCGTCCCCCTCCCTCTTACACAAACCCAAGGCAGCGGCCACCACCACCGCGGTTTAAGTCATCTCTAGAGTTGTTCTTGCGGTCATACACTACACTGAATGACCAAGACCAGACGGAAACGACTCTCCAGATGATGTCGATGCAAGAAGCGGTTCTTCGCAACAAGATTGATAGACTGCAGAGGCTTGGACGGTTTTTCCCCTATACCGAATTCCCACCGTCTGCATCTTTTGGTTCTGCTGGTGGAAGTAGTAGCATCAGTGGGAGCAGTGGGAATACCCTTAGCAAATGCTCTTTACTCCCTCAAGAACCCCAGCGTCCCAAGGATGCGTGGGACTGCGTAGTTGATGCTGTCGTGCAACGCGGCCGGCACGGCCTAGTGAAAGGACGGCAAGTGGCTGCCCACATTGCGAGTCGCATCCAAGTGTATTGGGATCACCATGCATCTAGAGAGAAGGCCGCTAAGATACAAGAAGAGAAGCGGCTGAGGACGCTCGCTAAGGCTACTATCAAGATGGTCACGAGCGAGTGGAAAAAAGCTGTTTTTGTACGTTATTATACTCGTATGCAGCCGTACCCGACGTGCCGTTGCTGATTTTGGTACATTTACAGTATATCCGTGAACAAGAGAGACTGCGTGCAGAAGCTGAGGAGAAGCGACGTGGACACGAACATCTAGACGCAATTCTGGACCAATCCGGGCAGATTCTGGAAACGCAGCAGTTCGCACTTGCAAAAGGTGATATGTCGAGATCGCGGAGCAGGTCCAGTAGCGTCTCGATGGAGGATGGGTGGCAGTCGTCGAGTGAAGAAGAGTCAGTGGAAGATGCGGAGAGCGCAGAGGAGTTTCGCGAGATTGATATGGTGGAAGATATTGTAGAAGGCGGGGACGTGCATGATGCGGACGAGTCAGATCTGGAGGATGGCGAAGGCGAGTCGACACGGGCGTTACTTGGTTTTGGAACAGGTAACGGGGAAGATTTTGAGGCTGCTGACACGCCCATACAAGAGGAGGATTCCTTGGACCATGAGAGTATGAAGACTGCAGATGGGGCGGACATCATTCCACCTGATGAAACGGAACAAATGGAGTCGGTGCATGATGGTCGCCTTCCTCTGCTGGAAAGCGTGCACGGTAATTCTACATCGCCTGCGTCCAATGCCATGACTCTTGATACATCACTGGATGAGCACTTCGCCATCAGCTTCCCTAGCGAGGATACATCCCGACAAGCAAGTCCAGGCCCCTCTCTATCCTCTGCAGTGGATAAGAACACAACACCTGGTCAACCCTGGCTTATGCCCGACGATGATACAGACAAAGAAAGAACTATTCTTTCACCCCCGAACGGCCTACTGACTGGAGCGACAGCAAAGGAAGATAGTCTGGAAGCCGTTGAATACCAACCTTCGTCGATGGATGACATGGCAAGCGGGCGGTCTGAGCAGACCCCTCGCGTACCCAATTATCTGAAACCTTTTGCCGTTGCACCCGTTGACTGGTCGCCAGACAGCAAAATAAAACCTCCCCTCCTTCTGCGAGGGGTACTGCGACCATATCAGCAGTCAGGTCTTGAATGGCTTGCATCCCTGCATTCCAACAATCTAAACGGCATTCTTGCTGATGAAATGGGACTTGGGTGAGTTCAACATTTTGCAAAACTTAAGTGGCGGGAATGTAACATCCCAAAAATTGTTTAGGAAAACCATTCAGACTATCGCGCTTCTCGCCCATCTGGCTTGTGATCGTGGCATTTGGGGACCACATCTTATCGTAAGTGTTCCTCAGTGCGACCTTCTTTTACAAATTCTTAGCCAATTAATTAGATTGTTCCGACCAGCGTACTTCTAAACTGGGAGATGGAATTCAAGAAATTTCTACCGGGTTTTAGGACTCTCAGTTACCACGGGACGACGAAACGTCGAAAGGAGTTGCGCCAAGGATGGTCTAATAAACATCACTTCAACGTGTGCATCACTTCGTACGCGTTGGCGAGTCGGGATGCGCACATATTCAAGCGCAAGATGTGGTATTATATGGTTCTTGACGAAGCACACATGATCAAGAACTTCAAGTCTCAGAGATGGAACATTCTTCTGATGTTTCGTTCGTTTCGACGACTTCTTTTAACCGGGACCCCGCTTCAAAATAATTTGACGGAGCTTTGGGCGCTACTACAGTTTTTGATGTCTGGAACCGATTTCGCCAATCTGAAGGAGTTCGGAGAGTGGTTTTCAAGTACGGATCGCTGATTCATTGAAATGTCCTTGTAACTCATATCTACCTCCCTTAGACCCCTTGGAACGTGCGATCGAGATGGGTGCGGTCCTCGACGATGAGAATCTTCAACGAGTATCCAAATTGCACACCGTGCTGCGTCCATATCTCCTCCGTCGCCTGAAAAGGGACGTCGAAAAGGAACTTCCGAGCAAATACGAGCACCTTGTTCTTTGCCCTCTCTCGAAACGGCAGCGTTTTCTATACGACGAATTCATGACCCGTGCCCAAACCCGTGAAGCCTTGCAGTCTGGTGTCTACCAGAAAATTGCCAACATCCTCATGCAGCTGCGCAAAGTGTGTAATCATCCAGATCTTTTCGAAGTTCGACCAGTCATTACTTCGTTTGCAATGCCTCGTTCTGCCGTTGCAGACTATGAAATTAAAGAGCTTCTTGTTCGGCGAAGGCTCCTACACGAGCACGACGAGGGGAAGGTTAATCTTGACCTTTTCGGGCTCCGTTTTATCAGTCAGCAAGACACCCCACTTATTGCTGCCCTTGAAACTCGACGTCTTAACGCAACCGGCCCCCTACTCCTTGCTACGGAACATATCGGAGAGCCGTCACCAAAGGACTCACGTACTATCCAAGGCTACCTTGCATACCGTGCCCACTACTTGCGGGCACAATCGGCGGCACGTCGAGCCCAGATCGGCTATGTCAATGCATTGCGCTGTTCACGTACACCCATCTATAGTCACGAAATGCTCAACATTGTGCGGCGATGTCGACGGTCCATTCTACCGCTATCCTACCTTGATCTAAAGACGTCCTATTTGGACACGGTGACAACGTCAAACGCAATGGTAATGTCTTACGAGCAACGTGCTCAGGACCTTGCGGGTGTGGTCGCAAAATTTGCATTCGTGCCGCCTCCTGTAGTAGCGATGGATATGCCCCGCTTTGCGCTTGCCAGTTGTCAAGATGCGCTTGCATCGTGTTCCCTCGAATTCGACCGCGTACTTCACCTGGCCAGTGTTAAGCTGCAGATCGCATTTCCCGACCCGTCGCTTCTTCAATATGACTGTGGTAAACTTCAAGAACTTAGCCGTCTACTTCGTCAGAAGAAAGCGGGGGGACACCGTGTCTTGATTTTTACCCAAATGACGCGGATTCTGGATATTCTAGAAATATTTCTCAACTTTCATGGATACCTGTATCTGCGCTTAGATGGCGCAACCAAGATTGAAGACAGACAGTATATCACAGAGCGTTTTAACGCAGATGCGAGGGTGTTCTGTTTTATCTCCTCTTCCCGTTCAGGTGGAGTTGGCATCAAGTGCGTGCTAGTATATTTTGTCGTTGTCTTATGCTAACAGCTTTCCAGCCTTACAGGAGCAGATACCGTTATCTTTTATGATAGCGACTTCAATCCTCAGATGGACAGGCAATGTGAAGATCGGTAAGGTCTATCGTTCTTGGAGTGGCTATGTAACTCACACTCGTTTTCAGAGCCCACCGCATTGGCCAAATTCGTGATGTCCATATCTACCGGTTTATATCTTCGCACACGGTGGAAGAGGCGATGCTCATGAAAGCCAACCAAAAGCGTTCTCTAGACGAGATTGTCATCCAGAAAGGAGAATTTGACTGGCGTACAATGTTTGAGGACGACGCCGAGCTAACGAAGGCTCTCGGGGAATTTGAGGATACGGAGGACGCCCATGCAGCAGCCGTCGCGGCAAGAGAAGAAGACGTACTAGAGGGTGCTGACAAAGCAGACTTTGGTGCAGAGGGCGACGTTGATGTGCCCGAAACCCGACAAAGTAAAGAGCCGGAGTTCGTTGAGCAGACCGACGACGTTAATGATGATCACGGAGGGGGTGGGACGGTTTCGGATTACATGGTCGGTTTTGTTCGCTCGGATTACGAGTTTTTCAGGGATTGGCGCCTGTAGTCTAGTACCCCCAATACTGTATCCAACTTCACTTCTGTATCGATTGCTCAGTTTGTTTATTTGCTCGGCGTCAGAATGAAAATCTGCGTTAGTCACAGGAAGCGATTGGCCGGGACCTTCGACACCCTTTTCTGCTACTTCGCACACCCTCAGTGCCGTTGCCTTGCAACCTGAACAATGTCTCTTCTTAGTTTCATTGGCCTAAAAAGACAAAATTACAACCGACCCCGTCTAACTCTACCAGATATACTGCACCGAACAGTCGTCACCGGTCTTGCAGCGCTCGCCGTGTATGGTGTATTCCTAGGTTACATGGTCCATAATGAGACCCTGGCTAAAGGACGAAGGTACGTGCATCGGTTCATGCGAAGTGTCACTCCTTCCTTAACTTTTCTTAAGAGGTGCGTGCCGGACTTGAAGAAAGAGGTGCCTTCGAGAGGTAACACCTTCCGTGCCAAATAGCTTATGGCCAAGCGAGAAGCTGAAGCAAAGGAACGGGGTTCAGCAGCAACTCAGGTGCGAAGTTTGCCTGCCCGACGTCGGATTTATTTTACCAGACGCTGTCGTTACAGGTAGTTGACGAAGCCAGGGAGCAAGCTTTAGCCGAGGCAGCACAATCCGCGCTCAAATCCAGATCGTCCTGAATCTTTGCGGAACCCAGCTTATCATTCGGCCTTGAGTTTGTCTTTGGGAGACTGCCTGGCTCTAAGTGAGGTTTCTCTATCTTGGTATATGCCGGGCGTTTTATCGTAGCATTTCTAGCTTTACGTACTTGGCCACGTCTGTGTTAATCCTCACTGGCCTGGACATCCACAGTCGATAGTTATGAACCCGGTTTCTTCGGCAACCTCAAATAACGATAATTTCGGCCTATTACACTACTGTATAAAAAAGGATCAATAAGAAGCAAAATATCCAGCCCGTAAAGACCAATCTAAGATTAAGGGAGCTCCAACCACGCAGCAAGGAGCTTGGGGAAGTCGGGAGTTCCTATATGACTTCCCGACCGCCAGGCGGGTATCGTTAATCGTTGTGAACGTGGGGCCGCCAACTGGTGAAGAGCACGAGGTTCCGTACGCAAGCGCAATTTGGCTGTTGACCTGTAATCTGGTCAAAAAGCGATTGTACAACTGCGAAGCTACTATTCCTTACAACGACATAGTCGGCGCCGTTGGTAGAAATGTCAGGGTATGCCCTAGACTGGAAGGGGATATCAAGAAGCTGGCTTCCGGTCCTCTAATGCCGGGTACATAGAATTCTAGATATCCGATGGAAAGTTTGGATAGTAGTCCTGGAGGTAGTAGCCAACAGCCTCCTTCTGGTATTCTGGCATCGCCAAGTAGTTGCTGAAACCCCCATCGGAATAAATGACTTCTTCGCATGCCGTCTCGGGTTCGTAAACGGCCGAACCCGGAGGTACCATAGTTGCGCTAACCGATGTAATGTAAGGACACGTGCAGGGGAAACTTGGATTGAACATCCTTCCCCCTAACATCTGGGTTCCTAGGACGGCGTCCTCAGTAAATGAAAAGAAGGGCGATGGAGAGTGCGCACACTGTCGGGGTTCAAACAAAGACCACCGTTACCGGCTACATCATAGTCGCCAGAACTATACGGCACGGTGACACCCATCAAGCCCAGCTTAGCGTACCAGCACGCCAGCGGGCGGGGTAGAATGGTGTAAGACCCGCTTCGTTATAGCTATACGATGTCGAGATTACATAGGTGGGTTTCGCAGTTCCGCATGCTTCATGACCTAAAGCCACAGCATTAGCTGCGGTCATTGTGGTGAGGATATCTAGTTAACCTTCATATCCACCTTCATATGGGTCTGGGCAAATGCCGTCTTGCGTTGGGTCATCACCCCCTCAAACGTTCGGTATGAACCGTCGATGGCGTCAAGGAAGTTATTGAATGAGACCCCTGAAGAACATCGACGACAGTCATGCAAGAGCCGAAGATATCGCAGATCCCCTACCTTTCACCATACCTCCATCCAGGTTTAGTGTGATTTCCTGTGCGGAAGTGACAAGGGTCATGCCGTATTGGAGATCCAGGTCGGATTCACCGTTGCAATCGAAGCTTTGACACTGCGTCTAAGCACAGCCTGAGTCGCAAGTCAAAGAACGCGTGTGCGCGTTCAGAAATCTGTTTACTGCCATCGATTGAAACCATGTGCGGCGCTTTCCCATAGAGCGCCTGAGAGAAGTTCTTCGCAAACATGTTGAGGGCAGACTGTAAGTACGACTGAGGAGTGTATTCCACTGGATTGACAATAGGCTTAAGCAGCACTCTCATGCGATTGAAGTCTGGATTGCTCACCTATTCCGTAACGGTCCTTACTCGCTGCTATAAGGGTGTAGTAATCCATAAAGAGCACGAAGGCAGTCCAGCGTTATGTACTGGTCGCAAGTAGATAGGTTACCGGCAATGGAGCCTGAAAAACCACCTGTGGTCTATGGAGATCCGATGCCTCGTGAAGGTTGTCCGTCACTAGATTCATAACAGCGTGTAAACCGGGCATCAAAGTGCACAGTAGGGGTGGCGAGGTCGGCGTGAGGAGCGATATGGGATCGCAGGTGGTAGGAATCACAGACTAAGGAAGAGATTAGCAATTCCTGAGTGCGTCGTAGCAAGGCAAAAAGCACCCAGGTGTTCCTTTCCAGTGATTTGGCTGTATATATTATAGTTTGTCTGTAGCAAGAGCTCGGCTTCCCCAATAGTCACGGAAACTTCAATCCACCCTTTGTTTGGCACCACTTCGACGCGATTGCTCTCGAAACCCTGTTCAATCAGCCACGCGCACACCGCTTCCAACCGCTTCGATAGTCTCCCTGCTAGGAGCGAACTTCTCCAGAACTTGACCGGCAGACCAATATTCCGAAGTTCTTGGAATTGGGGAACAATACCTCCATTAAGTACTCGCTAATGGTGTCGATGTTTCTATGAGTCAGGGCAAAACGGAGAGGAACGGTAGCATCGGGGTTGTGCTTGCTTTTTAACGACCATCACTTCGGAATGCGAGCCCGCTTCTCGTGTTGAACGTACAGTAAGATCGTAGGCTCCCCACCGACAAGGAAACCGAGCGCAAGTATCACGAAGGAAGAGAGGGATATCATGGTGGACCGAGGAAAATCTGGAGATTCTGCCATCTGTGAAGACACAGATCCGGCAGCCTCTTGTAGGACATGCGTGGGACAACCGACGGCCGCTACAGCATAGCGCAGGGCTCGGTAAGGTCGCGAGTACTGGCGAATAATGCGTGGCGAAGTGGAAATATCCCACCATTGCCGACCCCGCCTACCGTAGAATAATATGAACCTCCGCCATAAATTTGCCACAAGGTAACTTGCCCACCGAGGGACGTGCCGTCGAAGAAGTGGTCGCCGGTGCCGCTCTTCTGCCAAGGGCGGAACAGGTAGCTGGTAGATCTTGCTCAGCATCGGACACTGACAGCCAGCGTCTGTTGCGCTTCAGGCAGACCTAGCCGCGCTGTCTCAAGGAGGCCTCCATGGAATAGACGCGTTTCCCTGACTAGACGGGTTGACTGCCAAGAGCATATCGCCAAAGCCATGATCTGTGCTCTGCCACCCCTACGGCCAGGAGTCGCGTTGTCACACTGACGCAGAGAGGTAAACCGTTACAGTAGCGAAGTGCACGGATGCCCCATATCATATTGTTGCTTTCGTGTACCCTTCGTATGTTCTTGGCATTGAATTTCTCAGTCGAACGTCGGCAAATAATCCTAACGGCGGTGCGAAGTCACTGATATCAGGTTTCCGCCGCAACAATTGCCTCCACGTGTCCGCGATTCACGGGGGTGCTGGATTCCATGAGTCGCCCCTGCCTCGAGTATGGCTGAGGCAGTCGTAGGTTTCATAGGATACCCGATGCTCGTTGAACATTTCCATCATCGAAATGAGCAATGTCCTCAGTGTCGCTACGTTGGTGAGGTGTTTCCAAGGGCCCCAAGAATGAATTGCTTTTCCGGAGGAGGGGCTTACAGCAAATGGCCAGCTTCGGTGCGGCGGGCCGCGGCCACATTTGTAACCTGGCGTTGTAGAAGCCTCCACTGGCACGCTGTACCTCCACTGGTTGCATTATTATTCCGAGTCTGGGTGGGTCAGTCGGGCAGCCCGGCAGACTCAGTCATCATTGCCTGCCATAAAGCTCCCCCGACAGCTGTCAGTACTAGTGGTACACACAGCCTGCTCCTTTTGACTCATCTCACTGCATCTCTCGAGTTTCCACCAAGGTTCCATTGCTAGTGTTGGCAAGGTTAAACCATAATGGGGTTTATGGATGTGCTTGATTTCAGACTGTGGAGCTTAGCCTGGAATCACAAATGCGGTCAAGCTTGATATTTAATCGCCACTGTCCTTACGACGGGTGCTTGTGAACTCCCCCTACTCTTCAGCGCTGACCACTGTCGTGGTGAATAGGTACATATACCACGAGTCGTGAACGTGTCATCTTTTTGTTCTGACATCCAGGAAGGAGCCGCACATCCTGATACGATGGCGACGAAATCTACACACACATACCCCCAAGGTGGGTCTCAGGAATTCATCAATCCGGCTGCCAATTATCTGACGTGTCCTCAGTGTCAGCACCTCACGACTATAATGTGCCCCAGCGCTCCCGAACGGAGCCTGCAAAGGGCGGATTCATGACTGTAGTAATGAGACAACGTCAAGAGGAAACGGAAGATGAAGGCGTAGAAAACAACATTTATGGACAAACTCTGCGTGGATCGAAGCAATGTACACACACAACGCAGGCGGAACAGGACGAAATCGATGAGAAGGCAAGGAAAAAGGCTATGAAGAACCTCGTCGACTCATGGCAGGAGCGACTTCAACTGATCAGCGTCATTGTAGGTTCTGAAATGCGTCGTCTTTGGTATGGCATTTCGTCTCTGATATGTACCTCATAGACAACTTTCTTCGCGTCCGTGGAAGCGGGGATGCTAGTGAACACCCGCCCAGTTTCCAGCGACGACCAAGGGAACGGCCTTCTTAAGGCATCCAACGCTAGCCTCCTCGGCGCCCTCATCATGCATGTCTATGCTGGTACGTGTGCTGAGGAATGCGTAAATGAACCTCTCCAACTCAAATATACCTGCTTTTCTTGTCAGCTGGTCTCTCTTTTCTCGCAGCGTTTCTCCTAATACGCTACAAACTTAAGGAGGCTACTCGCCAGGAACTCATTGCCGAGGGTGTTAAAGTAGCGACGTCACCTCTCGGGGGTTCCCTACGCGTTAGAAATAAGGAGAATGACATTGAATCTATAGACGGTCGACGGGCCTTCACTATAGCCGAAGAACAGCCAACCAAAACGCCCGTGCAGGCTCGCCAACCCACGCTGCCTCTCTCGTCCTCGTTCCCCTGCTCAAAACAACCAACCTGTCCCTCGAAGTATGGGGTCCATACCTGAGCCACCGATACTAGCTCGCAATCCCCACCTCGAGCAGGTTGGCTTGTTTTGGTTCCGAAACGTTTCCTCCCACTTGCTCAGCAAGTTTCATACGCTCTGCATCACCCTCGCTGTCATCGGGTTCATACTTGCAACCGCAGGGATCGTCTTGTACGCTTGGGCGATACAACCCCGAGAGGTGTACATATTTGCGACCGCATGCCTGGCCGCAGCTGTACTAGCAATGGGAACCCTGGCGATGTGATGGCGAGGCGACTGCGCGCGCGGGCTCTCTCCTACACCTCCGGATTTGGGAGTCGCCGTTTTTCGGCAACATGTTTGTGCGTGAAGCTTATGATGGGAACTCTTTTGTATACCCAGCCATGTGTATATATCTGCAACTATACGTAGTAAGTAGATGCACGTTCGCATACCCTTTTCAGCTATGCTATGGACATAGACTATCATGTTTGTCCTGCATACTGTTTACCTGACTCCTGCGTTTGAAGCTAACGTGGTTGTTGGTGCCGGATCATTCCGCAGAACACAGCTTCCGCCAATATTCTGAAGTTCGGTGAGCCATATACCTCACTGATTGGTGTCGGTGTGCCAGAGACTGACCTGGTATGACTTGACTTTCCTGGGCAGTAGTGGCAGACAACGCTTCTGCCATAACAACAGCAAAACCTCTGATATACTTTGGTTAGAGCACATCTACAAAAGATTCCTCGTCACACGTACTTGTTGAGGTGCCAGTTAATGTGGCTAATGTGGACACGCAAGCGCACGATCAAATGAGGTAACTTTCTGAGCCCTAAAAAGAAAGCCCTACTTACCAGTGGAGAAACCAAGGTCCTGGATTGTTGGTGACGAAACAGTAACGTCACATTATCAGCATTTGCTTGAGTCCCAATTGTAACTGTGTCCCTCCTCACGGGGTTCACGAAGTTGTACGATTTATTTCCCGACACGCGGATAACGTCAAAAACATGCTGAATTCTGGCGTTAAGTGGAACTTTAAGGTGGAGATGTTACTCACACCATGAAGATGCAAGGTATGCTGTCGGTGACAACTCGTGTTAGAGGACCCCCTGTAAAATTTCAAGTTTAATGGTACTCACGGGACCACCAAGGGCGCCTCCAGGCGTGAGGTCAGTCGCAGGCATGCTAACTTCTATGGTTTTATTGTATGGCAGCTCGTAGATACTACCCTGAGGGAGAAATTGAGATGGATGCCGGGCGCCACTCAAAATCTGCAGGAGTATTGGAAGCGGCGGATCGACGAAAGAGATGTTGTTTATAGTGTAAAGGCCTGCGGTACCATTGAGACCCGGGTCAAGGTTGATGTTTATGTCCGCTTTCCCGGGTTCTGGAATACCAGGTGCACCAGAGTCAATGAGAGGGTGAAGGGCGCCTTCGTCAAACGGCAGTACGTATGGTCCATGCTCAGTCGTAGGGTCTTCTGAAGGTGCACCGTCGTACCTTAGGATGGCCGAGCTTAACCCTCCGTCAAATGTCTGATTGGGGAAGTTGGACAGGGCTCGAACCCAGTAGTTTCCAAGGGGTTGATCAGCATGGACGACGACGGAGTAGCGTTGACCTGCAAACACTGCCAGGGAGTCGACGTCAACTGGTTCCACCTCAATTCCATCTACTTCGATGATTGTCATTTGGTGCCCATCAATAGTGAAATTGAACCACGGATCGCAGGACGCTCCGACGATACGGAACCTATACCGCTTTCCCTGCTCCACATTGACGACCGCAAGCGGTGATTTTGGTCCCCCTGCATAGCGGCCGAGACCATTGATCAGGGTAGAGTCCGGCGTGAAGGGAGGATTGTACATCTGTGGGGAAAGCTTATGATACCTTTAAAGTATATTTAAAAAAACTGCTGCAAGGTACGAGAACATTCAAAACGAACCAATCAGAAAGCACGATCACTGTTGATTCTAGTATGACGTGCACGCTTGGGTTTAACTCTGGACAACGAATGGACGAAATCGGCGCACCATCGTCAACATCATACATATGAGCGAGAGGATCTTCAGGATCATAGATGACTAGGGGACCCCTCAGGCCATCGCAATACTGAGCCGACAGGTGTGAATGATACCAGAACGTTCCGGCTTGGTCCGGTACAGTAAATGTATGCAAGAAGCTTCCATTGGGTGGAATGGGACACTGTGTTACAAAAGCGGCACCGTCAGCCCAATTGGACCGGTGCTGCAGGATGCCATGCCAGTGCTGGGACAAATAAGCCTGTTAAATGCGGTGTTCGAACGTACGAACGCGACTCACGATACTAGTCGTGGTATTCATTAAGGTATCACTGAGTCGGTTTATGACATCGATGCGGAATTCGTCTCCCTGGGATGACCCAATCACTCTCTTTAAACCACAAACGAGAAAGGAAACCAGATACCTTTTGCGCCTGGATCAAGGGCCCCGGAAAGGTCCCACCGGCAAGGACAGTGCTTTGACGTGTCAGAGAAAAGCACTAGCCCTTGCGCGCGACTTACGAGCGAGCGTAACCGTCGGGGGAAAGAATTTTATTGGCAACCTCGAGTTTGGACACTGGCCCTAGGACACTTTTTGTCGCGGATGCACGACGTTGTTGTGGCCCAAAGGTAGGTGACGTCGCTGCAGCCACCTGGATAAAGAAGAGTGTGAGGATCATATGCGCAAAGGTAGACATTGTACCGACGTCTGCAAAATCCATGGACTCATTGCCCCTGCTTTTATACCGTAGAACAAAATAGATTTGTGGCCATTTAATTTGGGCTACGTGGATCTCAATGGAGTGTATACCGAGCTTTGGTTTGTGAACTCTCCGCAGCTCAACTTCGAATATTCTTCAGCGCATCCCAACATTCGTCATAATGGCATTGCTCACGTCCTTAGAGACTGATAATCAGTGCCGATTTTAGCGAGCTATTTTCGTACAAGAGTAAACATTTCAAAAGGGCCTTCGAATGCGCAGCACTCGATGCAGCTATTATAAATATCTCTAGCAAATAGGATGAACGAGCGATCGAGACAAGAATATCCTGGCACTCACCGTCTAAAAATGCAAACATGAGGTGTATCATTTTCCGACGCGTACCAGTCTGGCATTGGGACGCCCCATATACGAGGTCCCCATTTGAAAATGGGCAGCGCCGGTGGATTCATTCCTCTGTTATTATAAGATAACATCCGAGGAGAATGGATGGACATGGGCACAGGTCTGCGGTCCCTGCTGCTGTTCCCTCGGGAAAGACCGATCCGGGTCTCGAAGTTCTGGGGTGGGTAGCAACGAACTTGATACAGCGTGACCGGAGGCGGGGAATTCGGTGTACAAAATGCTGCTTCGATTGTCAAGATTACTCGAGCCTGAATGGTGGTTCCGACCTTAAAAAAACCCACCAGAGAACTCATTCGCAGGTAATAGGGACCAATAAGCTGACTTCAACGAACCGTAACGGGCATTCTCAGAGCTGTGTGGCGGGCGACGTGTCTTGCTACTGCTTGAAAAGTCGCAGAGGTCTGTCGTTTGTCAGTCAATAGCAATGGTACTGGAAACACAGGAGAACGAGGCCAATATGTGGCCCAGACTCCACTGCCACCGCAGGGAAATCTGTACCTCTGATAAGGATTCAGAGACATCAATTTCAATTTAACCGGGTACCCGGGAAGGCGAACGTGTCTCCGCCTCACGGACGAGGTTGCCAGCAAACCAGTTAGGCCGTTATCTTGTATCGTGCAGACACTTCCAGTCGGCCAGACAGTCTGGAACCTGTTATAGGCCTTGCTCCGTTCGAGTCACAGAACATATCCCAATGGTGGTCATTGACGTGGCGTATGCGCACTCAGAAAGTGGCGCTTTTGTGTGATGGAACGGCCACAGCGAACTTGACGAGACCGCAAGCTAACAGAGGCTATTGTAATGGCACCACACCGGCTGATAGACTGTCCTTTGCATTAAATCGCACATTAATGCAAATATTTGGATGAGATGGGATGGGATGTGGGAAGAGGTCATTGTGTTGGGATGGTATTCGTTACGCTGAGTCTGGCCCGGAAATTGCCTGGTAGCAACTCGTTTCCGGCTACCACGTAAATAACGCCGAACATAAATTACCGAGTAAAAGGCAGCGACAACACCACCACCTACTAGTACTACACATGAGTCCGACTCTGCAATGGGATGCCCTGATACTATCATACCACTAGGATTTGAGTAGATCGACATAAGTACCTGCTAAATCGCAAATTAAGATCGGAGAAGTCGAGGCAATCTAATAACAAACTTTGACTAGTTTACAATTGAGCAGTACCGAGAGGGAACCACTTTAAGCCCGGGTCTAAGCTGAGGTATCCATCTAGCAATGCACCTGTGGCACCGTTGCAGCTTGGAAGACGTTACGTTCTTGTTTGCAACTCGCATTCGCCATATCTCGGTGGGGCCTGTCCTGTTTCACTTTCGAGTCCTGACACAAGCCGTTCATAGAGCTCTCCATAACCAGAGGCCCCGTCTATGCGCGCCGGAGACCTGTTTTCTGCCGGAAAGGAACGTGGTAGAAAAGGTAGCGAGCCCTGACTCTCCCTTCCCCGATTTGATCGTTTATCCAGAGGGTCAGAAAGACGGTCCTGTGAACAGTCAGTGTTCCGATTATGGGAGCTGCTCGGGTTGGATTCCATCAGGCGCAAAGATGGAGATGAATATTTGGGGAGAGCAGTCCACTCCGCTGTACACAAGTTCTGTAGATGAGTAAGAGCACGAATAGTCAGCACTGTTTTGGCATAGGTTCCATGTACTCACCGACAGCATCCTGATAGGTACATGCATGAAGACATCATACAGACGTTTCTTCCCTGTTGCCACACCCTCGTCCCCCTTCTCTACTCTGATAAGAACCTTCAGCAGATGATCAATGCGTACGTTGCTCTTCAGGCTCCGCTCCGTCCCACCCTCACTATTCACCTTTGGTGTCGACGCATGAAACCCCTGCATCGCACCTGGCAGACGCAAGTCACATTTCACACTCCAGGGTCCTGGACCTGCGTAATGTAGAGCTTCTTTGCACTCGGCGTCCTGGCTTAACTGCCTGAGCCGGTAAAAAGGCGACGCCCGGAAGCTTTGGATGTCGGAAGATGTGAAGGGGAGAATGGGCTCGTTGGTTTCGTACGAGAGTGGAGAGTGCTGGAGTTGGAGGAGCGTCGCACGTGTTATCGTCTCCGTTCGGACGCGGACGCCTGAGCGGGTGAAGTACTCGACGAGTTCTACTCACGTCAGCAGTTCCAGATGATGTTCGTGCAGTGCAGGGGTGATTCTCACCGTCCAGATACACAGCAATCCGGTATATTTTGATCCCTGTAAGAGGCCGAATCTCGAGCTGAATTGATAAGGTTTCGTCCAAAGGAAAGCTATTCCGAGGGATGCTGAATTTGTACTCAAACTGGACATTCCAAGTTCGTTGTAATTGTATATCATCGGAAGTTTCTGATATTTCCCCGAACTCGTCGTCGACGGGTGAGTACACGACCTCAACTTCCTTACATGCCGCCATCATCAGCGTCGGCCAGGATCCACTATTGTTCCGCTTGACCGTTGCGTTGAGACGCCAAGTAAAGGAGCCATGTGCGGATTTTGTAGTCGGCGGTACGTTTCTTGGTAGCGTGAAATAGAATGGGTAATTGTATGTTCCTATATAATGATGTGACGCGTTTGCGCGACATACAAAAAAGTGGGAGGCTTACCCCTCTGGAACGTTACTATAGACTCAGAGTTGCCCTCAAGAGTAGTGCCGCATGACGAAGAATCCGTCGTTACCTCAGATGCATCTGCACCTGCCAGTGACCGACTACGTTCTTTGACAGTGCTGGGCGGCCGTCCGCGTTCAGAATGATCAGTAAGCATAGAACGAGACAAGGAAACGCCACGATGGGAAAGTGGCGACAGAGACCGCGCTGTGCGCTCCTTGATAGCACCAAGGACGTGGGCAATAGTAGTAAACGACAACCCCGGAGATCTTCCACGACGATCATGGTCGGCACCGACAGCAACATGACGTTCAGGACTCCAATTCCGTGAGGTGGCAGTAGAAACGTAGGACTCCCCCATAGCGTTCTCTTCATTAATCTCCGGAAGACTTCCAGGACCGGATGCTTGTGTTTGGTGGATAGCAACAGTAAGATCCAAGCGGGCGGTAGAACCCAAATCAGGCTGGGCCTCCAACTCACTCTCCGCGCCGGAATGCAAGTCTGATTCACAGACATCAATGCTTAACCATGTAATGACCAGGTGGATAAGGATGTTTAGGAACTTACCATTACCCGAGGCAGTGGGGCTGGCAACGCTACCTCCTCTAGATGTTGTGCCGACATCCGCGAGGGCGTAGCTTGGTGCTGGTTCTTGATTCTGGGAGCGTCGGCCCCTGGTGTCAAGTGAATTATCCCGCAAATGCAAGTTGCTGCGGTGTCCATTGCGCCAATTACGGTAACGTCCAGGGGAATCGACACTCGCGCTACGCATGCGTGAGCTCAGCATATTGGTGGGGGAGTCTTTAATGCGACCGTGGCTTGATAACGTCGATCGGTCGTCATCATCATTGATAGAGTGGCGTGCCCAGCCCCGCTGACTAGGACGATGGCCATCTCTTGAAAGTGGTGCAACCGAGGAAGCACGACGCGCATCGTTGTCATGGCTCAGAATTCCCGGCACTGCCATGAATAAAACCGTCGATGTAGAGTAGAGAGTATATTTCTCAGATCTCTCAAGACGACTACGGCCCGCACCTGCATCCATAGATTGGGGATTACCCAAAACCCGGAACCACGGAACCACGAAACGAGCCATGGTCAGCTAAGTAGCGTTTCCTACACATTGGCTGTCTTGGAAAACTGCATACCTTCCACCCAGGTTGTCACGGCACGTCCTTCCAATTCGACTTCGATACTTGATATCGGAACCGCGTTCGCAAGTGTCAACGTCAGGACACCGCGTATGAGTGCGCCAGACAATGGACCCCCTTCATCGGTGGGAGCGTTGTACCTTCGGCATTGGCGCTCGGAGACGCGCAGGAAGATAGCAGGTTCTGTAACTTGGACTTCAAGGGAGTCGTGAGTAGGGTCGTTTTGTAGTGGCATTTCTGATCATAGATCTCACTATCAGTATCACCACGTATCCCGAAGAGGCGGGTGTCCTGCAAAGTCCTTAACAGTATACCCGTATGCGTGGGCAGTAAGGAGCTGTTTGAGCTGCATCAGTCACCAGCACTGCGTCATGCACATGTTGACCCATCCTGGAGTCCACATGACGAGTCTATACTTTATCTGGGCTGTTTTTCTTAACTTGTCAAGTGCGGCACCCGCCGAGTCCTTTGTGATATTCATGAACGTCCGACGTGGTATGCTTCGCATACCGAGAAGCGTTTATGAACCAAGATGTACGCGTCCGCCTTGACCTCGCCAGGAACCAGTGGAAAAGAAACCACGGCAACCCCTACAAATCTTCATCAATATCGGAGGATGTATCGAGTGTGTTCGTAGGTGAACGGTTTGATTCAAGTAAACAGACAGTGTATATGTTTCGATAGCCCTTTCCACCCTCGCGTGGACACACCAGAATATGCCAAAAGAAAGAAGCGCCGGACAGAGCAACTTACTAGCAGCAAAACAGCTGAAGTACTTGTAACGCTGCGACGGAGTTGTCGCTTTCACAAGTGACGCTTTCGGACGCCGCCGGAAGTAATAATTGGGCACCGGGCCGTAGATTACCAAATCGGGAAATCGGGCAGGACGGTTGGTCCGTGAGTCAGCTCTGCCGCACACGTCTACACTTGTCTACACTAGGTACAGAAAGATGGTGCTTAACTTCTAATTCCTTGTCCCCTACGTCTCAACTCTCACACGAAATACTGGCCCACAAGCAGTCGAAGAAACATCCTTTCTTAGGCTTTCTAAGGTCCACTGCATTCCGACGCAGTTTGGTGGCGTATTTACAGATGGCCATTCACTTGAATCCACATCTGACGCCATTTCAGTGGGAGAAGTTCATTCTGGAGCTTCGTTAATGGAATATCGGGTCGCGTCCAGCCAACTAGGACAGCGACCATCTCCCGCAAACGGTACGATCAATGACGCACGAGGTCTCGGGTTACCATACGGCTCAGTGCGACCAGTTCCGCCAAGTACAAAACCGTCGATACGAAGTAGACAGTATATGTGCCATATATGTCAACGCGACATTGCAACCAGGACGCACGCCTGCATCCAGTAATTGGAGGTTACATGGAACCTAGAACCACGAGAGCACAAAGCGAGCGAAGGTCAGCTGGGAGTGTTTTCTAGTAGTGCACGCTTTCGGTCAAAAATGTCGCGGCATGTCCGACCAATTTAACATTGATGCCCGACATCTAAACGGCGTTTTCAAGCGTCGATGTCAATACATGGCGTATAAGTGCGCCTTATGATGGCCAGGCACTCGTCAAGAGGGTACAATATCTTCGGCATCGGCGTTCAAAGGTGTGAAGGGGGATGGGAGGTTCAGCAATTTGAACTTCAAGCAGTTGTACGCAGAGGAGTTTCGTACCACTGGCATTTACAATCATAAGTCTGTCTATCAGGATCAGCAGCCATCTCATGTGATGTCTTGTAGAGTGCTTTGCAACACAGTATCTTCGTGTTGTCCGTCTTGAAATAATTTAAAACATTCAGCTCCAAACCTTCATACGATACAGGAACTTGGACTGACAGTTGGTTTTCGGCCGCTAAGAATTCGTTTAAGTTGCACATGCTTACAGCTGTTTGCAAAACGATGCAGAAAATCTGTTCGACAATCAGACTGTTCGGATATAGCCGGGATAGGACCCCAGAAGTACCTTAGTGGGTAGCTACTGTCTGTTACCATAGTACACTAAGAATTGAACATACTGCCTGCATGCCCTCTCACATGGTATCCATCGACCTCAAGTCTCGTATTCCTGTCCTTCACCAAAATGGCTATAGCATCAAGCAAATCTGTAGTATTCTAGGCATCAAGAAAACACTCATTTACAAAACTCTCAGACTTCACACCAAGTAGGGTGTTGTGTACAACCCAAACACTTATTCCCATACCATCAGTCATCATTGCATTCTCAGCCTTGAAGACATCGTGTTTATCCTTGCCGTCGTTCAACATCACAGCACAATCTACCTAGATGAGCTTCAAGAGGAGCTCTGGCTCAAGCATCAAGTTCATATCACTCCATCTACACTTTCTTGAACTCTTCAGGGCCTCCACATCACTTGGAAGGTCATCTCCACATCTGCCTCTGAGAGGAATGAGGAGTTGCGCATGCTCTATATGAATCGCATCACAGCAGAAGTGCCAGACCCAAATATGCTCGTCTTCATTGACGAAGCTTCCAAGGACAAGCATACCTCCACTCACCTGCATGGGCAAACAGTCAGAGGTCTATGTTGCCAAGTCAGGAGGTACTTCGTATATGGAATGTGCTACTCTATTCTCCCTGCCATCACACTTGATGGCATCATCACATACGATATCATTGAGGGTGCTGTTGATGGAGAGCGAATTTCTGCGATTTCTGAAGGAGCACATTGTAAGTGAATCATCTTCAAGCCAGTACATGCTAATCTATCCAACAGATGCCTTTTACCAACCCATATCCTGGCCCCCACAGCATTATTATTATAGACAACTGCTGCATTCACCACAGTGAGGAAATTCGCAAGTTAGTTGAAGATATGCATCATACATGACTATCCATCAATTGATATTTCTTTTGCTGACATCTCACAGTCTGCAAGTTGATCTATCTCCCGCCATACTCACCAGACTACAACCCCATCAAGCAAGCGTTTTCTATGATCAAGGCATACTTGCGTCACCACTTGGACAACTTATCAATGATGGTGATTGTTCACGCATGTCAAAGTATTACACCTGAAAAGGCTGAGGGTTATTTCCACACATCTGGGTACATAGTGTAGTGACTGTATCACTGTGTCTAAGTAGATTCCCCCTTCAATTACCAGTTGATTTTGTGTGCAGGTTCAATGTAGTATGAATGTGAAAAATGGCCTCTAGGCCAACATTGCAATTGATACGATACCTATGTATGCGACATAGGCATTACATGAAGCAAGGTATGTAGGCATTATGTAGAAAAAATGTCATCCTCTGATTCCTCCCCAGTCTCATTGATGACGAAACCCTGGGGCACAGGTAACCACTGATCTTGACTCTTGCAGTGATAATAAAGGTCATAGTCGAGTGGGGCTGGCTTGCTACCATCATCATCTTTATTGATCATCATCGGAGATGCTGTGAAACAACACCCACCACCGTCCTTGAATCGCTTCTCATACGTGATCTTCTTTGATGGCCTGGTGGGTGGGGATGAGGCTTGGCCCACTCACTTGTTGCCTGACAATGCCCCAGTGTCGCTACACTTCCTCTTCACATCAGGACCATTCCACCAAAGTAAACTTCCCTTCTTGAGACAAATGATGTCACCAGTGGCAATACCAGCCCTAGCAAGTGTCTGGTCATTGATATCCATGAGGATGTCAGGCCTGATCGACTGCAGTTCAAGTTCCTGTTCATAGAGGGTGGCATTGCAAACACCAAGGTTCAATTCAGCATAGTGAAGAAAGTGGGAGAGATGAGATGGAGATGGGACGGGTGGTGAAATGGGAGGATCCTGTGGCATGCATGTGGGTGTCGCAGGAGGTGGAACTGGAGAAGTGCAGGCACTAGATACACTGGGTGACAAGAGGCTGGAATTTGCAAGTGTCTGAAGGAGAACACCAGTAATAGAGTTGATATCAATATTTTGTGATGCCTGGGCTTGCACTTTGCAGGCTGGATGCAAAAATGGCACTTTGTTGCTCCAATTGAAAGACTTGAGGTTTGGGGGAACCAACAATGTAGCTTGCCCTTCATCCTACAGATAGTTTAGGGATAGAATGTTCATGAGTAGTGAAAGACTTACCAATGCACAGCACCAGTCCAGTACCATCACAGGTGAAAGGGGGATTGGCCCCGCTGGCCCAACATAAGTCATTCCCTCATCATTCTCATTCTTGTACCGGCTCAGGAGTTTCATGTGCCATCGGGCAAGGCACATATCAAGGTCTGAATGTTTCTGCTTTCCACTATCCTCACCAGACAAGTTGCTCTCATCTCCAGAGCCATTGATAGTCAGAAGTTTCTCCACATGTTTCATATCGATGTAGATCTTCATTGGGCCAGGGTGAACACTACAAATCCTCTTGACCATATCCTTGTAGTCAACTTCATTATTGACATCAATCGCATTACTGACAGCTTGGCTAAGGTAAAGCATGGTTAGCACAGATTTGCAGAGTGAGAAACGACTTACCCCCACACTTTGGGTGGTACAAACTTGAAGGGAAAATGTTTACTGCTTGAGACCCTATATTGTCCTTGACCATGCTTGTCCAGTACATGCTGTAGAAAATCGAGGTAGTTAGTATCATTGACAGCAAAAGTAAGCTCTTTTGTCTTCATGGTTGCTTTTGGCACAGTCTTTCCCTTCTCCTTTTTCTTGGGTCCATAGACAGAAAGTGAAATCGTGAAAGAATGTAATTTTTCTGCAACAGGAGTGGGGGATCGCGACAGCGATGACATGTTGAAAAACAAGTCTGCTGTAGGGGCGAAGTCTAAGTACATGCTTACACTACACAATGTTACCATAGAGATGGTTTCGGGGTCCTATCCCGGCTATATCCGAACAGACTAATTGTCAAACAGATTTTCCGCATTGTTTTGCAAACAGCTGTAAGTATAGCATGTGGTAGGTACCGGCGACTCACAAAACTGGACAGACCGCAAAAAAATACCAGGTCGTATAAGGACACTTCCGGAAGGGTCATATAGCTCACAGGCACTTACTTGTGGGGGATGGTTTTTCCCGTCCATATACGTGGTAGGTGTGGTGTAGAAGACGTTCGTGCACACGAGAATGTATTCTATCAGTTCGACTCACGCAGGTATAGGAATAATCTGCTTATTTCAACTACCTACAACATCTGAGCATTCCATTTCATGGAGGAAAGAAAGAGCGACACTTCGATTAGAGGAATGTACGTTAGTCAAAAGAAGGGTATCAGTATCAAAGGACGGAAGTTAGTCTGTTTATGCGCATCGCTGATCGGTGTCTGCTTGTCCGCAACTCAAGGCAACTCCAGCCAGCGCGCTAACAATAGGGGGAATTGCGGCGTGCCCAAACCCGTGACAGGGTCCCACCCTTCCGTGGCGTTGAAACCGTTCGTACCACACCCAGGATTGTTACCCTCGGTGATGTCCTTGAATGCGCCGGCGAACTTGGATGAGTAGATCTACAACCAAATGCCTGATGAGCATCAGTCACTGAGGAGAGGAGTTAACTTACCGCAGGGTTAATAAAGCCAACGGGCTTCTTGCCGTTTGCGAGTCGGGCATCATTTACCATCGTCAGGAGAGCCCCAATAACGGGGGTCGAAGCCGATGTGCCGTATACAAGGAGAAATTCACCGTCAACCTACCGTCACCCAACATACGGGTGGAAAAAGCATAGATAAGGGCCAGACATGCAGAATAAAAAAAACTCGAAGGAACGTACCGCAACGGCGTAGTTAGCTCCGTTAGCCGAAACATCTGGAAACGCGCGACTCTGTCAAGCGCATCAGCCAAATAACCCCACGCACGATGAAAATCTGCTCACCCTTCCTGTTGAATTCCAAGCACCACCATATTCCACGACATACTCCTTCCCATATTCATCCATCCAACAACTGACAGCGTCCACCTGGTAGTCGGGAATAGCGAAGTAGTTACTAAATCCCCCACTTGAATAGATAATCTCATCGCACGCCTGTTCCGGTTGCAGGTCGTACACAGAGGCATTGGGCTTCATCATAGTGGCACCGACAGATGTGACGTAGGGGCATCCCGCAGGGAACGTTGGGTTAAAACGGGTACCGGAGGCACTTTGGGTACCTGTCGAATGTACGCAGGGAACGGAACGGAAGTGTCAGTGAGACCACGACTGCAATGAAATTGTCAACCAGACTCACCGTCGGGATTTAAGCACAGTCCTTCATTGCCTGCGACGCCATTGTCCCCAGAGCTATAGAGAACCGTAATACCCTGAAGCCCAAGCTTAGCGTACTCCGCGCACTGACGGGTTGCGTAGAAGGGTGTAAGGTCTGCTTCGTTATACGAGTAGGATGTAGAGATCACATAAGCTGGCTCCACGGTACCACATGCCTCCTTGCCTGTGCGGGGCATTTTAAATAGCGACTTCATCCTCCGTACGAGATGACGTGCAAGGATGGAACACACCTTGGTAACCTCCGGCCGCTGGATCCGGATAGATTGCATCTTGACTGGGGTCATCGCCACCTTCGAAAGTGCAATAACTTCCGTCGATGGCATCAAGGAAGTTGTTAAATGACGCTCCTGTCACAATAGTCGCGGAAGCGTAATCACTACACGAGTGTCCAGTAGGAGATTAGGTCCATACCCTCGATCATATCGCCCACTTGGTAAAGAGAGACAGGTTGCTCGCCAGTGACAAGAGACATGCCATATTGGAGATCAAGGTTAGATTCGCCATTGTAATCGAAGCCCGTGTCTTGGGTCTGATAGTAGCCTGTGGTAAGCGTGCGTTTAGAAGAGTGACGAGAGGTTGGAAAGCTACACAACCTACCACCGTCGATCGAAACCAGTACCGGTGATTTCCCAAGCAGATCCGTGGAAAAATTCTTCGCAAACATCTGCAAGTCACTCTGTACAAATGCCTGGGGAGTGTACTCGACTGGTATACAATCAAGTGCAATTAGCAACGGACCCCTCAAGGTTGCGTGATACACACCGATTCCGTAGCTGTTCTCTTCCGTCACGACAGGATGGTAATACAAGCCATAGAGAGCCCTGAGGCACTCAGGAGTTATGACCATGTCGCATTGCGCGAGTTGAGTATAATTGACTGGCAAAGAACCCGTCGTTTTGGGGCCATCAAATCCGCTGCCGGGCTGTCCGATCTTGATAAGGGGCTGGTTGCCATCGCGGCGCCTTATCCTCGCGTCGAAGTGCACGGAAGGGAGTACGAAGTCGATATGGTGGCTGACGTGTTTGGGAAGATGGTACGCTTCACAAGCTGTGCACGAGAGCGATTAACGAAAGACGAGCTGGTTGTGTACTTCCCAGAAGACATGACTTACCAACGTGCTCCATGCCGGATACGTGTTTGTATACATTGTATTCCGTGTTCATCAGTTGCTCAGCTTCCTCGACGGAGACGTCAACATGAATCCATCCTCTGGATGGACTAAGCTGAATGCGGCGAGAGTCGATGCCCGTGGACACGAGCCATTCGCGGACGGCGTCAATGGTATCAGAGCTCGGAGAGAATTTGTAAGCGATGTCGGAAGGGGTCCAATGGTTACCGTAATTGGGAGAGTCGGGGCGGGACACGTCGAGAAGGAAATCGCCAATTTTTTCCATGTTTCTCTGCTTCAAGGCAAAGCGGAGAGGAAGGGTAGAGGATGCATAGTGACGGCGCAGAAGAGACCAGTCTGGAGGTATAGTAGTGCGCTTTTCGTGCACGACGTACGGGCTGGTAGCTGGCGCAGAAAGCGCGAGACTAAGGGTAGCGAAGGAAACGAAGGAAGAGAAGGACGTCAGTGGGCCGCGCATGTTGAATTGTAAGGACCATTAACGACCAGGACGAGGTGAGAAACCAACCTCAGTCAAACTGTGGGCGGATTTATGCCACTAATTACATTTAGATTTAAATCCGAGTTGTGTCCATACGTACAAGCAGCAAACGTCGTCCCCCCGTCAACATGACCTGTTTTGAGTATTCGCTCCTTAGTCGGGAATCAGATCAGATTCACTCCTGCACACGAATGTCAATCGCACATACATACATACGAATAGGCCCCGCAACCACTGCTCAGCGTTCCGCCCAAACTGCTATTCGGTTGAGTATGCTCGACGGTTTTGACAGTATCACTTCCGCTCTCTTCGCACGGCTCCTGGAACATTTCGTTAGCCATACGTACCACCGCTGACAACTTGAGTGATGAAATCTCGAGAGACCGAGAGGCTGGACATGACACTGGCAGGCTTCGATCGCGATGAGTCACGTGGCAAATCAGAAAGGCTCCGGCGCTACCCTCCCCGCATGCTACTGGTACATATCAACACTGATCAGCATCCTCCTCACTTTGCAGAGACCATAGCCGACCGTTGCAACGAACGTCTCTGCATGAACCCAAACCCAGCATCGGAACACATGGAGCTTCTTGCCATGCTCCTGGACAGATGTCCGTGAGTGCGAATGATGACATTTTTGTGTTACACCCTCAGGATCAGTTGTCAATGTCAGTACTACCGTTGAGATCATTCCCGGTGACGCCACTTCGTGGTCGCCAGACAGCACCGATCGTGGACCTTATCATCCCTTCTTGTTCATAGATGGTAACCTCGGGGTTCCGCAAAAAGTGCTGTATGCGCTCTACCCGTATGCAGTCAATGTTTTCAATGATTTCCGGAAGGCCTGTTTGTCGTCTCGTGAGACCCCTCAAGCGTCCTCGCGCTCCAAACCCACGGATCTCCTGGAATCGTCATCAGTAATTCTCCTCGCCAATCCCTCCCATCAGACCACCCTCAACGCTCGCAAGCGCTTGGTTCGCGAGGGAACGATCGATCCAGAGAAAGAATTGCGTTTCACCTCTTCTCTGCTGTCTTGCCAGCACTGCACCAAACACGGTGAGCTTTGGTACCACAGGCGGTGGATGTTCGCCTTCTCCCAACAGCTTAGTTCTGGAGAACATTCTCGTTCTTCATTCCATATTCCTTTAGCCAGTTTGGGGAAGGAGCTGGCTTTGATTGCTCGTGCATGCGAGCTTTACCCACGGAACTATTTCGCATGGATGCACAGGTTTATCTGCTTCCGTAGCGTCGTCCACTGTCATCCGATAGGAGCTCTTTCGAACCAACTTAGCGACATACTGAACAACGAGATCGATGATATAAAGCGATGGATGGAATGCCATGTCTCGGACTACAGTGCGGTTCACTACCTTATAAGCCTCTCCCAGCTTTTCCCTCAATTGCAAGGGTTAAATGATGGATTGTACCATCATTCCACCTCGCTCGTCCGTGCATATCCATCCCACGAGACTCTTTGGATATATGCTTATGCTGCTTGTTTGATGCCTGGGACACATGGCGAGGATCCTGGGGAGTTCCTGGAGGGTTTCGTTCGACCATTGGCTCAGCTGCGGTCTACAGACGTGCTCACTGACGATGACTCGGCACAGGCATCGCAACATGGCCAGCGATTCCTGGCAAGGAGGGAACTTGGATTGGGAGGGGAGCTTGGGACCGGGTGTTGAATGTGCACTTTGCGGATAGGGAAATGCAAATTGAGGTACTGTAATAGGATGCATCACTGGTTTGTGCTTGGTGTTTTCACCTCGCAATTGCAATGGTTTCATCCGCAATGTGTCGCGCAGGAAGTTCCCTCACTCAACGATAGAACCACTCGTGATCGCAAGTATAAATCGATGTAAGGGGTGACTATCACCCATCGCATCAAACCATTGTAGCCAACCCTTTGGGCACACCGGCATTTACTTGGGGCTTTCGTGGGCGACGACTTCGACAAAGTCTTGGTTTGGCACAACAATCCACTCAAGTGGGAAGCCATTCAGTGCAGTCACCACGAGGCCGCCGACTTCGTGAGGTCTTTGGCAGAAAGTGCAACACTGTGGGTTTCAAGGGAAGGGATAAGTACAATCTCTTCCATCACGGGCTGAGGGACGCCGGAATGATATTATAGATATGGAATTGCTGCAAGGAGAGTGGGCTTTACTTGATGAATGGGATAGCTCAGGGTAACCAATCAGATCACACTCCGTGGCATTCATTGTGCGTCTTACAAACGGCACTGTTGGTCCACACTGGGTGTCACTGTATACCCACGTACATGAAGCAGGCAACCCAACAATCAAGGAGATAGCGGTTTACGGAAGATATTCTCTCGATACCAAGTAAGCTCTGCAAAATGTGAGCGACAGGCGACCGTTCCGATCTATGGATGGACGAACCCTTGATCGAGTGCCTGATGTCATCGAGGGCCCTATTTTCGTCAATAAACCGAACAACCATAGTTATTGTTGCTCTTACCTATGACTTCCCCCCGACGTAGACCTCGGAAGCTCGAGGGTTGGGTACCATCTACGACACAATTCCTAACGGACGCTGCAGCTTGAGAGTCAAAGTGAACAATTCAAAGATTATACCTTTATGGATGAAACATCTTCGATAGTTGTCAGATTGGCAAAACGGGGGGAGTTATGGGAGTAGTAGATGAGAATGGTCTACCCACCAATAATACTAACAACAATTAGGTCGAAGTCAGGTAGAGGATATCGCATGATAACTTAAACGTACCGGTAATGAAGCCGATCGACAACCTCAGGCATTTCTGCGCTCAGAAACGTTCGGTCCACATGAACAGAGTTTCCTGCAAGGACTCCGGTCCGCTGTTCTGGTACCCATTTTTTGATGTATTGCAGGACTGCGTTGGAGACGTAATCCTTAGTGTATGGAGATGCAAGGCAAGCTTGGGTCAGGCCTGACTTAGTATATTTTTCAGCGCCTTGGGTTCACGGCAGAGAGACTCATTGCATGTACTACGTACTTGACCGTGTTGAGTTGTACACCACTCGTCCATACTGCGAGTTCAGTGAGCAATACACAACGGAATATTACTGGGAAGGACTCACTTTTCCAAGGCGGATTTATCAGCTTTGATGACGAACTCGAGGCCATCGTCCACGAGTTCTAAATTCCCATTGGTTATAAGGACAGCAATCTCAAGGAGCTTGTCTTTCTTTGGGTCGAGTCCGGTCATTTCGCAGTCGACCCAGACGATGGGTCCCACTTGAAAGTTCAGAGGTGCTGGCGTTGCCATGGATGACAGCGTTGGCATTGCGCGAAATTCTCTTCGCGCGGTTCGGAAGACGTGGCGTTGCGACTGCCCGAACTTCGTGATGAGGTGTCGCGCAAAAAGAAAATGCATTAAAGGAGGATCATGCAAGTCACTGGCACTAATTGTATTTACAGTAACAGTCCCTGGTTTAAAATGGGCTGAGGGGCCCAACATGCAGTACGTAAAAACTGAGCGACTCCTTTCATCCCAAGGTCTCAACTTTGTTTCCCAGAATATTCTGCTCAATTAGCAACTGCTTGACCAGTGATCACCATCAGAAACCGGAGAAGCAATTATGTCCCTGCCATCGCTGCTGCCCGAGGGCGGTGATTCCTCCCTGACCTTGGCCGCCACCACGCACGACAATGCTCCATTGCTTTCCAGCGAATCGCAAGTGCTAGGATCGCGTGCCCTCGAAACGCCCAACGCGACCCGGACATGACTTGTAGATATCCCAGAGAGATCGACAGCGGAGTGCCGGCAGGTGCTCAAATCAGATATCGACGAAGAGGTTTCCCCAACATCGATATGAGTGGTCACATCGTTACTCGAATCCTTCAATAGCTCAACCTTGGAATGATTGACAATAATCCTGCTCAACTGGTAACGGTATCTGCAGTCAGTACATTTTGTCGCTGTGAAAGTCTCCTATGAACTGACCGATATCCACATTGTGCAATATAGCCAACTAAGGACATGGGTGTCAGAACTGCCCGCTCGAGCAATGGTAGCTCGCAACGCACCAGTAGAAGACGTTGCCATTCAGAGATGTTTGGATGACACCAGTATTGCAGAGTACCATGATGCCCGTCAAAGCTGAACATGTAAGCCTTGCACGATGGCACACATCCAGATACGAGACCTACCTGATATGATCAAGGGGGAAAGTGCGGAATCACGCAACACGACACGGCCAAAAGTATCGCGCGTCCACTCCAATGGCAATTCGAGACCTCTCCAAAATATCATGAAGAACATAACTAGATGAGTTGCCATGGTTGTTGTCCTTGCTCGATCTTAGAGAGCACGCCCATATCGCCATGATTAGTGGACTTACGCAAAATAAATGGTGTCGATGTTGGGTTTGAGGACATAACATGTTTCCGAATGTTTCGTGTTCGGTATGGCTAGCCATGCACTGGCGCCCAGGGACAATAACTGAAGAGAGCAAAATATGGCCAAAACGGATAATATGGAGCAGTTTCTTTGAAATAAAGCGTAAACTGGACACAGCTCAACTTGCCTTTTTCATTCAAGAGTAGTAATGTCACGTACTTCGATGAATTAATGCACATTCGATGGATAACAGAAGAATTTGGACGGTGATGGCTTGGTACACGAACCATGCCTTGCAGTATGAAGGCGGTGTAGACAAGACAGAGGCGATTCGCAGGCTGACATAGACGTTGAAACTTAAAATGAAGTGAGCCAGATGGACAGAAAGAGTGCGCATCTCCACAGTTCAAATACTTACCCCTGTCCTGCCAAACCCAAGTATCTTTCGATAACGTAGACCAGTGAGTAGGGGCGGCAACGACGGATGTTACTGCAAGGTTGATTGGTCAGTTGCTCGCCTCCCAATTAATCGGCGAGACTCACGGCCATACAAAAGTAATCTCATCTCGCAATAGCCAAAAGAAGTCCACGAGCATCACACCTAAGGAAGCGCCTGCGGACATGGGTCAACCTATTTCCGCCTCGGGTCCGTCACCTACATGCAGATATAGCTGCCTTGCGAGCGAGAGCTTCCATGGCATCTGACATGGCCCACACAGACGTGGTCCCCGCAATTCTTCTCTCAGTAGGCAATGAGACGAAGCCGGAGAGTTAGTAGAAAGGAGAGCGTCGTCGTTGCGAGTAAGTAGCTAGTGGGAGTCCTTGCATTTCCAATGGGGCTGACTTGACGGACTTGTCCGCAAAGTCCGAAGGTAGTTCGTGAACAAACGTAACTTCGAGTGAGAACCGTCAGGGATGGTACACTAACGGAAAGTCGCTAACTGCATCTAGGAAGTACATGCGAACTACCTTTAGTTCCTCTCCCAAACCATCTTTCCCATGACCCATGTACTAAGTACCTCCCCATGTCGGTCGAGTACAACAAGGTCTGCATGTGCCCCTGACCTGAGACTGCCTTTTTTGTTCTCAATGCCAAGACACCTGGAAGTGGAACACCCGTCAGAATCAGGGACGTCCACAAAGCGTAATCAGGGACTCACTTCGCTGGGTTCAGAGTCGCACACTTGACGGCTTCCGCGAGGGAGCACCCGGTGAACCGAGAAAAGTTTCGGACACACTTGTCCATGGTGACGACGCTTAAATTTGACGTCAGCAAAGGAAGAGCCAGGTACGGTTGACCTTGAAAAGAGAACTCCTCACCTTCCAGCAAGAGTCGTCGTACCCTCAAGATAGAGCCTGTCACCATCTTTGTAGAATCGCCGCCCGTCACGCCATTCGTGGAAGCCATCCTTGAGGTGTGGATCAAGAATTTTCATTGCTAACGCCTGTTAGGATATACTCCAATGCGTCTAGACTGTTGCGTACCATCAGTAATCAAGATGCACCCTTCGGGATGCGCAGAGTAAGCAAGCTGGGAATATTCCATTAATCGTTGACCACACTGCAAAGCCAGGGGAGTCACTCACCCTGACAGAGTTGGGATGCGAGTGAACACCATCAACAATCAACTCGTAGAATGGTCTCTCAAAAGGAGAAAATGGCATCCTCTCACTTCCGCCAGAGAACCTGCTCTCAGATGGTGTCGTGGGCACTGTACTTGACGAAGAAAGCACTTCCGAGGGATTACGAGAATGATAATCCCTACCCATGGGAGTCTGCGGTGGTGAGCGGATGTCATCAAATGCTTCAGAGGCGTAAGGCCCAGGGGAAACCGCTTTCAGGGGAGTAGAAGTTCCTGTTCTCGACTTTGCCTTGCTGGTGAAACATGGCAAGTTAGCTGGCTTTGCGGCCAAATAGGGAGAAGATCCAAGTAGTCCGATGATTGAGGGGTCACGATGATGCAACTGCGGCATAGCATTGAACAGATGGGTAATACAGCGAGCACCATTTTGGACTGCCGCTGTTGCAGCGTCCGTTGAGCAAATGCTGGTCGGTGCAAGGTTAAACACTTCTATGCACCTCCGTAGAGACCTACCTGTGACCGATGTTGAAGCATATCCCCCTTTTACTAACTTCTAGGATGGCGTCCATCACGCCCTCTATCTCAGGGGCGGCAGTGATGATACGAGCCCCTACTGTCCCCTGACTGACGCCATCTCTCATTAGCCAATCCTCTGCATCAGCGAGATTTTCCGGTTGATATATAGCTTCAAAAGTCTTGTAACCTTCCGAGGCTGGAATGATCAACGGAGGTGAATGTGCACCACGTTTAGTCATGTGAAGGAATGGGCCTTCTACGTGCCAACCCAGTAAATGTGCTGCATTGGGAGGAGACCAAGGACGAAGAAGCCTCAATATCTTAGCGTAGAGCGACTTCTCTTGTGTCTAAGACTAACGTCAGTCATCCGTAACGTCACCCAAGGTATGTCGCGGCTAACAATTATGGTTGGCACGATGGCAGTCACCCCAGTTTCTACGATTTTCTCAGCCACGCACTTAAGGCCATTCCGATATTTTTCGTCGCCCTCATATACAGAGAAATCAAAGCCGAAGGCTCCGTTTATCTGAATGTCAATAAATCCCGGACTGAAAGATAGATCAGTGGTGATTCGTTGGATGTGACCCCTAAAACGCTACCTCAGAATGTTTCCGCCTAGATCGACAACCCTGTGTGGCCTTTGTTTCCTCAGATAGAAGGTTCGCTAATTTCAGCGTCCTTGGTTGGTCGCGAGTGTCATATAGCCTTATACCGAATCAGTACTGACCTGAGCATCCAAAATGATACCACGGTGTTCGTCTATCCATAGGTCCTTCTCGATTAGACTGCCATCTTCCTGGGGCAGGAGGCAGTTGGTAAAGCACAACAGACCGTTTGAAGGCTCTTTAGTGGTAGCGACTGGCATGATGGGAGTATTGGTGAAGACGCTGGTTACAGAGCATCCTCAAGGGTAACTTAGGGGAGATCCGGGCCGCTGGGAAAACCCCTCCTGAAACATTTCCGCTACAGGATCTTGGTATAGGGGGACATTTCATTGGACTCTATCTGAGGGCGCTCCAAGTGATGATAGTGGGTGCGCACGTGGACGGTGTCGATGTGTACGTAAATTTTCTGCAGTGGACCCTCCGTCTCGCGACTGAACACAATTGTGAGTTTGGTACCGCTGAGAGCCATGTGGTCCAGCTGGTCTGCATAGGGGAGACTAGGATAAGAGTGGTTTTTGCTAAGTATTTGGTTGCCTTGTCCTGAGCCTGATACATTCTTCTGACTTCTAATAGAACAAGGGTTGTCATACAGTCAACTGCTTGGAGCCTAGGTGCCAGAATACAGTCATTCTATGACTCAATGCGCAACCTTGATCGGCAATGCTCTGTGCATCTGATGATGCTTCGATGGAACGTTTTTGGCGCACACGGGTCTGACCCCAACACACCTCTGCACACCCTCAAACCTTTATCATGCTCGACCCCGGTGACTAGACTACGTGCAGCTGGCCCTGTTCCGTTTCCACACCGTCCTTGAAGTGGTTTGGCTATCCGCTTTTGCTGCTTGTGGCAGAAGGTAAGACGTATCGGGCTACATGGATAAATACCGGCACGCTACTAAGGGATTGCCTTAACTAGTCTATGAGAGTGGCAAGAAGTGCAATAGTCCGTGCCACGGCCCGCTACGTATAGCCTCACCTAACACTGGCCATAGTTGCTTCCCCGAACCCAGAGACACGGACCGACACCGATGGATGAAAGGATAGTCCAGAATTTGCTGCGCACTAACGGACCTTACAGGCCACTATTGGGAAGTTCATTCTGTATAACGCCACCTGAACCTCAGGTTCGCGGGGGAATGCAATCGCAACCACAGCGCTCTCTTCCACAATTCGCAAAGCTTGAAAACTGCTTAAGCTCCACCAGATCCGGCCTGCGGATTAGGAAATATCTTAACTGGCCTATGTATGTGGCAAGAAGTGCAGTAGTCCGTGCCACTACATATAACCTTGCCCCTGTCACTGGCTATGATTGCTGCCCCTAACTTAGAGGTACGGGCCGGCGCCGATGGATGAAAGGATAGTCCAAGGTCTGCTGTGCTCAGCTGCGCCCTGACGACTTTACAGGAAACTGTTGCGAACTTCATCGTGTATAACACCACCTGAGTTTCAGGTTCACGGGGGAATACAATCGGTTGGCATGCAACGGCTGTGTTCTCCGCCAATTCGCAAGCTTTCAGAGTTGCTTTGGTTCCGCCATATCGGTCACCGTAGGAGTGCCTCTATGCGTCGTTTCCGTCTCTGTCAGAAAGCAATATCAGAAAGCAGCTTTCACGTCGGCAGTCACGAAGGATCCTATGTACCATCGTGGTATCACCAAGTGGTTTCTGCGCGTCTGTTTGAGGCTAAGAATAGCACCTTGTGTTAGATCATGGTAGTTACACCGACGAGTGTAAGGACTAAAATTTTGCAGATTTGGTCGAATCATACGCGATACGCCCAACGGATCCTGGACCATATGGTGTGCACCGATGATTTTTTTAAAGGCAGCTCCGTTGGCATTGTGATGAGATTATTCATCTTTGACGGATCATTCGTGGTGTATGCCGACGATGGATCATGATATCAGCGACTACACCTGTGGGGTAGCCCCTCTGGAGATCGAGTGTGAGGTAAGCTTCGGTCTACATTCGCAAAACCGCCCTTTGGCAACCGTACGTCATGGATCCTTGGTGAGTCGATAGGCTGGTTTATTTTCTGGTCACCATTCGACGATTCCACGCCCCCCGGTTGCAAGCTACACTTCCACCTCTGTGGCATGCCACTCAAGCATCGGGAAGAGCGGCATTCCAACCCGCCCGCCTAGTCTACCAAGACTAGGTGGCCGGTTGTGCAAAATTTTCCCGAAAGCCCAGGTGCCAAGATGATGGAGGTATACACTGTGGGTTGTTCTGTACCCGGAATGCCGCATACTCAAAACGCCAGCGCAACTTACCCTCCGTGCCACGGACTTCGCAATATGTATATCTCGGGTTGCTTGTGATGTGGTCTCTCGATGTTTTCCACATCAGACTGTTTTTATTTCGGGTTCCCTAACCAATTTAGCAGGTGTGTTCCAGTGTCTTCTCCAGTATACATGATGGAATCTTTGCAGAACATTCCTATGTACAAATCCCTCTAGTATGGATGTGCCCATTTACAAGAGGTATCGCAACGAGTGACGCCTATCCTAGTATTCATCCCCCCGTCCCAATTTCCTTTTCTTTCCCCTTCTCAGATCCCGACCCATCCTCTAGATACAGGCGGTTCTCTTCAATGTAGTCCACGACAGCTGAGGGGAGTAGGTACCGCACGGAAAGGCCCCGGCGGAGGAACAGCCGGACCTTTGTTGAAGAGACATCATTCTGGATGAGCTGAGGTACTAGATAGATGTTATGACGCCAGCGAGCCAAGCTATCTACAGCTTGATCCATTGTTGAACCTGCACGTTCAATGATAAACGTGCCATATCGTCCAAGGATGTGTTCGAGCTAGGGACAAGGATAGTTCAACCCCTTTGACACGGTACCGCAGCACAGGAAGATGCGATACGGGAACAAGCGAACGGGTGAACAACTCACATCCGTGTGGGACCAAACACCAGGTTCGGACATTGTGCATATAAGGTCTGACCCGGCCAAGAGCATAACCCGGACATCACGATGTTCCCCGTCCTGCGTGTGGACACCGCCTTGCACTTCGTTTATTTCGTAATCGAAATGGTCGAGCACTACAGCCGTGCGTTGATAATTCTGGAAAGCTTCCCATGCGTCAACCATGAGCCATGAAGACGTTTCCTCGGCGGCGACGGTGCACATGTTAACCCTGAAGAATGGAGAAGACAATGTGAGACATGTATTCGCATGCACGATAGTCTAGGAAATAGGGAGGTAATTGGGGGAAAGATAGGTGGCAACGGATCCCTAAGCAGGCAGAAAGACCGGCGAGGGGCTCCGGTGTGGGAGCCCCAATGTAAACAGTCAATCCACCCCAACCCCCACAGCCTAAAACATTCACCGGTCCGGCAGCACGGCATTCCCGTTAAGGGGGAATGTTGATGGTAAACCGGTGCGGGCGCCCTGTTCGAGATCTGTGCGCTCACCTGTGATGGGCATTGAGTAGACCGGGTTTCTTGTACTGATCACTGACAGGACTGAGATATGCTCCGACAATCTCGAAGTCAGTGTGCTGTCGAACATAGTCTTTGGCCATTTCGAACATCCGGAGATGGAGATAGGTGACTGGGCTAAAGGATCCACATGCTACGAGAACGATAGGTTGTTTGGTGGAGTCACGGAGGACTGTTTGAAGGCGGTGGTGGGGGAAAGAGTAGTTGGGTGGATAGGTGAATGTACTCGTCCTGCGAGGAGGTACCTCGGGAGGCATCGTGTGGTATGATCACAGGCGTTAGTGTGTAAGATGTTTCTCCCGGCTGGTGACAGCCCGCGGTTGGAACGTTGGCTGCCAAGCTGTGGAAACGGAAACATATCCAGTCAATTGTACCCACGATGGCGTTGCCGGACGCTGATATTAGGAGTCAACCATAGTAGGCTTTTATACACTGTGATTACTACATCGCTACAATCGTGTGTTGATAATGATAAATCCGTCGGCTACTACTAGAATTCTGGCGTGCTTCGCCGCTGGCAAAATCCTATGTGTGCGCTACCACCGTGGCGTGGCCACCTCAAGTGGGTTTGCCAATGATTTTTTGCACAGGACCACCCGACCCTATGGCAATCATGGAAACTCGTACACGCAGAGAGAGGAAATTAATAAAATGAATGAATAGATAAACTGAAAGGGTGTCCTTAGCAGACTGGAACCTGCCAACTCCCTTCGCCACCGAGATGCGACGGAAATGTCCGCCCGTGATATTTCGCTTTCTCTTCTGCGGCATGGTCGAACGAGTTGGGGAACAAGTCGAAGGGCGGCTGGTCGGTGACGTGGCTGTATGACGGTTGCACGTATGGCATCATTAGCCCCTGGTAATCTGAACTGGGAAGTGGGCCGCTCGATCCCAAAAATCCACAAAAATTGTTGATGTTTGGCGCAGGCGTCGGCGGCTCCATGGATAGAGACGAGGGCGTCGATGCCAGTTGTTGTAGCTCGAATGGTGGCCCATATGGAGTAACCTCTGACCCTGACCATGTTTCCAGCGACGATGACTTGGTTTTATCTCCGACCTTTGCGCGCGACACAGGATTCGAGTGGACCCGGTTGACTGGACGCCTACATTGGATAGACATTTGTACCATACGGTCCTCTGCCAACCGTTCGAAGGAAACGACCTACGTTGTCGAGTCCGCGTAAAATCTCCGCGTCAAGGGGAGGACAGTCGGATAACGAGTAGGGGGGCATTGGACCGACACCGCCATCGTTGCGAGAGAACGCCGCAGACGGTTGTTCCCCTGGCCTCATCTCAGCTAGGGGAACTGTCACGGCAATCGGCAATGTGGATTTGGGTGACAGAGACTGAAGATATGGCAAGGCCCGAGCGAGGATATGTCGCTGGTTATTTGTCAGCGTCGGAAACACGGCCAGACACTTTCCCTTACCGTGAGGCCGAAGGTCTTCGGAGAAGTCTGTGATTCTGGAGAATGCGCAGCAGGAGATAAGCAGTCCACCGCCATTTCTGCCTTCACTGCTAATGGATTTGAATGCCTCGCAATCTCCATCGATAGACTGAGCTCGCGTTTCTCGGCGGCTTGGAGCTGTGCCTGCAAGTGTTCGATCTCTGAGCGGAGCTCCTCGTATTGGTTGCCCTTCTGGGCAAGCTGCTGAAGACGAGCATTTTCGTCCTCGAGCTCCCTCACGCGCCTAGATTTCCAAAGTACGTTAGACGTTTACCACTAATGGTGGTGCAGGAAACAGATACATACACTTCCATAGCCTCGAATTCCTCTCGCTTCCGCTGCCTGCTAAGGAAGGCTGCTGCGCGGTTCTTGACGAGGCGAGCCTCGCGCTTGCTCAGCCCAGAAACGTCTGGTGGAACAAAATCTTTGGTACTAATCCTCTCCCCGGTTCCGCGGGTCCTTCTCGCTCCAGGATTGGTGGTGGCAAAAAACTTCTTGCATGCAAGGAGCGAGTTGGTGTTGGACATCGGTTGAGAAAGCGAAGACGCTGATGATACTTGTGCTTCCGGAAGGTCAAATACCTTTTGGGTAGGTACACACCGCTGGTGCTCGCCTTCAAGTTGTCTGTCGGGTGAGGCACTCAGCCTCAGCTTTTTAGTTGGCGGCTCAGGGGAATCGCTGATGTTAGAAGAGAGGGAGGTAGGGGGTGAAAGCGGCATTGTGTAGTATCCCCAGTCGGCGGTGTCCATCGAGTTAGCTGAGTATGGTGACTGTTGTAGGTCCCATGTAGCATCCGTCATCAGCGTCTGGGGTAGGGAAGAAGAGTCCCCAGTCATAATCGGAGGGGGGGTGTTCTGGAGCATGGTAAGCAACGGCTTCAGCGCTGGGGCCATAGCGAGGTCGGGAAGGAATAACGAAGTTCCCCCATGGGCCGTACATTTTATAGGATAGCATTTGCGGGACAGTCCCCTTGCGAACTTGGTGACCCATCCAAATCGAGCTTGCAGGGTCAGATTGGAACATATGGCTCTCACGTGCATCTCAGTTGCCATACACTCCAGAATGAGCCGACGGGGCGCATCAGATCTATCTTGGAACGCACCAGGCAAAACATTTCTTCTAGGTGATGCAGGGAACATAACAAGTTCGGACCTTTCCAGATCATCTTGACATCATGGCAGTGCCGCTGCCCTTTTCCCGACAATTGCGCCCCCACTACGCAAGCGAAATAAATTTGATGCCGGTACTATGATTGGCCACCAACTGTCCAAGCCGCGTGGCAGCAGTTAGATATTCACTGACAGGGATGCGGGTTGAGCCCATCTTGATGACACCTTCGGAGGAAATTTAACCGGGCGGACTACGTAACTGTGGGGCTACCGAGCAGACTGAAGGCAAACGCGAAAGTCCATCCCCCAATCAACAACTGAGTAAAAAAATACAGCAAAACATAACAACCTCTTCCTATTTGATGCGAACGGCGGATATGGAAGGAGCATGGGAATAGATCCCGATATTTTTAATGGCCCCGCTCTAGCAACAAGCGCACACTTCTTATTTCGGAGGAGGTAGCCCGTTACGGAAATGAACTCACTCCGATCTTTCACGGTAACTTGAGGATCATACAGGCCATATGTTGCAGGGAAGGTGGGTAGTACTCATACTCGTGAAATTTGCTTTCGTTGACCATGAAATTGTTCTGCCAGCCTCGGCAATCATCAGATGTAAACCACCCTGCTGGGGAACGTCCATACTGGGGACCGAGCTCATCCGTGAGAACAGTGATCAACCACATCCCACCGGTCGTCGTAGTATTATTGAACAGGAACATTATTTGAACTTGCGGACAACTGACTGCACGTGGTCTTTCGGTTGTAATGGACGTGAGTATGTGGGCGGGCGGATCTGTTTGCATGCAATCTTCACATTGCTGTGGCAGCTGGATATTATATGCCTCACTAAGCTCAAGCATCTTATCGATGCGCCTCGGCAGCTCTTTTTGGAAGGCGGGGCGGGGCCCCACCCGGTGGGGCCGCTCTGTTCGCGATCCTTCCCCCTGGTGTCCCGACTTCTATAAACCTTGCACCACTGCAAGTCAACAACGCAGCACAGAGAATTTGCTGTCTCCAGTCCCGGTCCGCTTGCAAGACAGATTCTTATTGCCGGGTAGGTAGACAGGTTTTAACACGTGCACTATGTCAACTTTCCTGGGGTATATTTATTGGCAGAGAGCATCGCAGCCCTGCATACAGGAATAATATCTAAGTGCATAGTAAAAAAAAGCCAAAAAAATCAAGGCCCCTGTATGATATAAGAGTCACAAACTACACACTGGCAATGATACTAATAATAAGTCCGGATATTCCTTTGACAGAGCTCCGCGTGCCGCCGTCAAGCTCTGCGGGTGTCGATAACGTGGGCGAGATCAGTGTGCATCGATGAACTAAGATCTCTGATTGTTGTTGGCGTACCGTAAGTAACCCCCCTGACGGTCATAAACCACGTTGATGGAAACCATAACTTTAACTTTTCTGCTATGGGGCCACGTGGTCGTCATCACTATGACTAAGCAGTCATCACGGGTCCGAATACGTGCTTCAGCGAGCTGCAAAACCGCCCATCGCCACAACCCTGGCGCGGTCAACAGCCAGCCAACTAACACTGATGTCTCCTAAAAGAACTCGCAAGCCCACTCCTAAGAGCGATGGTGAAGACTCGAGTGATTCGTACAGCGACTTTCGGCACGACCTAAAGCGTCCACGATCAAATTCGCCCTGGAATATCACAGACAATACTAGCGCGGATAATTCCCCTCTCAAGATTTACGTCTTATCTGTTAAGTTTGACGCAACCACATATCAAAGTTTAGTCTGCCTCGTGGAAGACTGCCTTCTGCGTGTCGGGAAAGACGAACACTCACCTGCAACTCTGCGGAGGGTTGAGCTCAGTGCAAACCTCGAGGAAGCCGACGTCATCGTCACGGCGATTCGCACTCGTCCCAGGTTGGAGAGGCATGTTAACCCGTCGCTTGCCGTAGGCATTTTTGTGTCGGACCTATATGACGTCGCTTATTTTGATCATTGACCAGAAATCAAGGCCGATAGTCACGGCGGAGTGGCTGCAGAACAGTGTTAGATCAGGTTTTTTGCTACCTTGTGCCGATTACGCTGCGCTACGCAATCTTCGCCAGGAAACTGCAAGGCTGTGTCCTGACCAAAAGCAGGGAGACGTTATCGCACCCGAACGGCTGGGCGCGCCGCCGAAACCTCGAGTCTTTCGTGATCCCGAGGAACTTGTGGATGCGCGCGACGCGGCCGCTCTAGATCATACTTCACGCTACTCGTGTCAGCGAGGATCGCCACTTTCTTGCCCAAATCAGGGTCTTGTGCGAGAGCTCGACGTCATACGTCGGTGCAGGTTTGTTGACGGTGAAGAGAGAAGTGTGCTTAGTTATTCTAGGGCGATCGCCGTTAGTCACCTTTCTTTTCCCTTGAAAAAGTGCGGAAGTCATGTCACCATCGTTTCGTAGACGATTAAGGGTTGGCATTTAGAATCGTCTTTGGACCAGAGCTGACCAGCATGGCAGCATATCCCAGTCCCATCACCGCGGAAAAGTTACACAGCGGAGTGGCGAAGCTACCCTTTCTCGGCGAGAAGATCCTGTCGATGGTGAGCATTATTTGACCTTCTTTACGCCACACCTTATGGCCCCTATAGATTGAGGAATACACCGGAGCTGGAAAAATTGCCGAGGCTCGTGAGTGCCATAACCTCCCAAACTAATTGATTCTGAGATTATGACCCGGAAGAAACTATACTGTCTTCCCCACGTTTCCAGTCATTGTCGGCATTCACCGCTATTTACGGGATAGGTCCCCACACTGCCAGAAAGCTGTATGCCCTCGGCTTGCGAACGTTGGAAGAGCTCGACCGATACTATGAAGTCACCCCTGGCGACGTGAGCACAGAGGCCCCGTCACATGTTGCCTCAGACAAGCACTATACCGAAGAGGTGGCGGCGGAAATATCCATTAAGGTCGGCTTGGCTCTTAGACACGATTTCGGTCAACTGTGAGTGTTTCGGTCCGGGGGTGTTCGCCCTGGATGACCAGCGGCTAATCTCGTTGGCAGGATCTCACGCGAGGAGGCGGAAGAAATTAATCGCGTCGTCATGGAAGTGCTGGCATCCATTCAAGAGGACTGTAAAAGTTTGATTGTCGGCGGGTCGGTGCAGTTTTCCTTCCGTCTTCCGAGATTACTCCCCCCTCCTCGTACAGTTACCGGAGGGGGAAGCCACAGAGCAATGACGTTGACATAGTAATTACCCATTCGGACTGGAATTCGGGGTCCAAAGAAGTGAAGGGGCTCTCCAAGAAACTTGTTCAAGTGTTGCACGAGCGGAGTACGTCTCTCTACTTCTCCGGTGAGGGTTCAGTTACCATTTTCCCTTAGACCTTGTCACCCATGTAATGCGTACGTATGGTGTAGCATGTCATCTCACAGTTAATCTCATCTGCTGTAGACCTTTCCGGCTTCCATGAGCATAACGCACTTCGTACACACCACTGGGATTCTCTCGAGAAGGCTCTTATCGTACTCCGTCTTCCTTCAAATGCTGGCGGGAGGCGGATTCATCGGCGCGTAGATCTCATTTTCGCGACTCCTGAAGTGTTTTGGACTGCTGTCGTTGGGTGGTAAGTGAAGCCGTCAATATTTTTGCAGATAGCATACAGGCGATTCTAGGACCGGTTCCACGATGTTTCAGAGAGACCTACGACTTTGGGCAAAACAGCAAAAGTATGCACGGACTACCATCAAATTCTTTGCTCGCTAACCTGCATGTTAGAGGAATGAAATTCGATTCATCAGGAATGTAAGTGGGCCATCGTCTCTAGCCGGAAACCAAGCAATGACTTGCCCTTCCCTCGGTTGCAATGCAAGATCTCGCCGTCGCGACTCCAAACTTTACTTCCCCAAGTCTGAGCGCGAGGTTTTTGAAATACTCGGGTTGGCATATGTCCATCCCTCCCTCAGAAATGCAGATGTGTAGTTGGAGATCTTACTGCAAGAATACCTATTCCGACCTTCGCCGTGGGGTTCCGGACCCTCTTGCGGAGCCCCGGGCCTCATGTAATTTTAGTTTCTTCGTATCTTTACTGTTCTGCAAAGGTTATCAGCGTTCTCACAAAATTGAAATTGTAACGAGGGTTTTATTAACGAATGGGATTGCACGTTCTTATCCTCCAAGGCACCGGAAGGAATGGGGACTATCGAGCTTAGACGCATCGGTCAGAGAAGGCTAAAAAATATGCAAGTACTGCAGTTCTGGGTCTGATAGCGGCGCCCTACCATATCCATATGACAGAGGAATAACTACTCATTCGCGCAACTCCGCGGGATCTGCCCCCGCCCTTGTTTCGGAAAACATCAGGGACTGTGGTCCGCCGATTGCAAGAACAGTGAAGATATGGAATGATCAACAACTGGGAGTCAAATTCCCAACCACGCGATGCTAATAACAAATATCAGCAACCGTTAATAGTCGAAACCCAACTCTGACGGGAGGACGTAAAACCATGAAGTCCCGTTTCCAGGGGGGTAGGAGGCGTAATTCACCTGGTGGCCAAGCGTCGGAGTATCGGCCACCTCTGGGGTTCTGTCCTCACGATCTTATAATGCGCTTCCGCCCAGACAGGTCTTTGACACTGGTCAGTTCACCAACATTCCAAGAGCCAACGCCGTGGAGCTAGTCAAACGTGTGAATTTGCAATGTCATAGTGTACAAGTCCCGAGTTCCACGCGACGGCAAGTGGCCATGAGAAGGACAAAACTAATTGGCAAAAGCCTGAATACCAGTCATTGCCTTACCCAGGATAAGGCTGTGTATGTCCTGGGAAATGAGAAGTCGTCATAAGTGTCTTGCGCCCGCGAACAGAAGCGATGAAATACTCACATGAGTTCCTGTGGCAAATCAGCAAAAAGAAGCCCCGTCGAACGAGAATTTACTTACCTTCGTAGGTGTTAACGATCTGCAGGTTTGCAGCATGTCGACCAACGTGATACCTTGATGCAGGTTCATCCAGTAATGGATAATACAGGTCAGCGACTGTGCACTTACTCGTCGGAGGATGCATTTCCACCGAGGATGTCCAAGACCACCCTCGCATGCTGGAGGGCCTTGCCACAATTATTGCGTTTCACCATGCTAATCATCTCCGGTGCAGCCTTGCCCGCATCCTTTAATCTGCCAACCTGTAAACTTGCCAACAAGCCCAGAGCAACTTCAGTCTGAGCATCAACAAGTTTCTTCTGCACGAGCTGGAAAGAAGCCAAAGGGCGCTTAAACTGATTACGCTCAAGAGCATAGTTAAGTGTTCTGTTGACACAATCCTCTAATGCACCCATAGCCCCCCATGAGATACCATAGCTGATTCCAAGTCAGCGGGGACTTCAGCCTTGGGCAGTGCGACCTACCGAGCATTGTTCAGGCAGGAAAATGGGGCACTGAGACCCTGTCCTTTGGGCAAAAGCGAATCATGAGGAACCTCAACCGAGTCCATAAATATAGACCCTGTGAGGGAGGCTCTCAAACCAATTTTGTTCTTAATTACTGGGGCTTCCAGCCCTTTCATACCCTGGCCGACAAGTGTAAGACAGACAAACGTTCAATAAGTACTGTAAGACATACCTTCTCGAGGATGAACCCACGGACTCTTCCATCCCATTTGCAGCGCGCCCAGACAATGAAAACGTCGCTAGAAGCCGGGTTGTCAACGAGAAAAATCCTCGGCGGACTACAGGTACACACGCTACGGGGGCATTTGTTATCCAGGTTTTGATCCCATTTAGTACGAATCCTCCATCTGTCTCATCAGCACTGGTTTCCATGCCTGCGGGGTCGGAACCGTGATTCGGTTCAGTTAATCCCTAGTAGGCTCTTAGAGAACCAAAGGAGAAGTGTTTTTGCGTCGTAAACCCACGAAGCAGCCAATAATTTCTCCCTTTGCTGCGGTAATACTGTTTACCAAAAAGCCTGGCTTGGTAGGGACAGTCTGTAACACTTACCTAGACGGGGTAAATATCGCTCTTTCTGAGCTTCTGTGCCGAATTCGTGAATGGGATGCATGACTAAGGAGGACTGTACAGAAGCCGTCGAGCGGTACCCCGAGTCCACGCTACATCGTGTCAACGTGCCAACATTGATAGCATTTTTGATCCAGCTAACCTTTCGATCTCTCGAGCAATAAGCCCATATGCCACGTAACTGACTCCGGCGCAACCGTAGCCTTGGATAGTAGGACCGAGAAGACCGAGTCCGCCCATTTCAGGCAGGATATCATGATTAAACTCTGCAATAACAATCAAACCATGGGCAACGACGACCAGATATTAAGGAGGGCTTCATACGCTCCGTTCTCCATCCTTCCAGAATGCGAGGCAAGAGGTTCTCCTGGAAATACCCGAAGTTAGTCGATCTAATTCTCGGGAGAATTGGTGTGGGCTCGCCTGGCAATACCCGCGAGCAGTGTCCCTGGGGTGCGTAAATTTTGATCAGCAAGAGGAGGCACTAGGCAAGTCTCCGAAATATCCCGACCGTACGGCAATCTCTTCCTCGGTAAGTAGGGAGTCCAAGTTCAGGGGGTCCTGGACTTCGCGTCAGTTATGTTCGTTCAGCCTCAGCCACGATGGCACGCACTTGAGGATGAAACTGTGCGTAGTTTCGAGCTTGAGAGGGACGCGTAACAATAAACACGCCGCCAAGTGGCATTTGTACTGTGCAACTTACCGCGAAGTGTTTGTATGGATCCAATGGTCGTGCGATTTCCCCTGGGCAATGCCTGTCTCGCCCAAGCCAGCGAGCGACCTGGTGACAGTAAGCGCGAGACCAACATGACTTGCAACCCCAGAGCTGGATGCTGGGAGAACACAAGACGGCGGAATACAATTACCAGTGCTGCCCGGAACGGAACCTAACCTTCGTGTCGCACGACCAATGTGCGGGGCCGGCTAGCACCCGCCCGCATTTCACTCAAAGCCTCAAATTTGACAAGGGAATCGACAGAAAAACAACCTATTGGACAGTATAAAGTTTACGAGTAAAGACAGAGGTAGAGACAACACGGCAGAGTATCCAATCTACTCTTAAAGCCAGTTCCAAAATCCCTTTTTCTTCGACTCTTTAGTATCTAGTTCTTCGTCTCGGGCAGTTGTAGATGCACCCATTTCCTTCGAAATGTCAGATTGCTTCTCTCGGCCCGGTGAAGTCTCTAAAGCACTCTCGAGGTTCCTCCTCCAGCCCATCGAAACCTTGGGGATTCCCTGATGCACTTTTCAGTTGAACCAGTCGGTCACGGGCCTGTTCACGAGCTATGCGTCGGGCCCGTTCAAGTACTCGCTCTTTCTTTGGTAGCTTCGGAGCCTCGGAAATGCTGAGGGATGGGGTTTTCGGTAAAGGTTGTTTGAGTTTAACTTTAAAGTCCTTTACAGGTTCCCAACCATCTTTTGACCGAATTGACGTTGGTTTGATGACGTCGGTGACCGGCTTTGGGGATGACTGGCCAGCCCGTTTTGCTGAACTCGCAGCTGTGGTCAATCTTGCGACTGCATCAACAAAATCTTCGCTACTCGGTGGTGGCTCCCTAACAATTTCTTCCCTTTTCGTCTGCATTTCCGGGAATGATGGATCTGGCCGGTCAAGAACTTGACTCCATTTATTAAGGGCAAGCCGCATATTATCCATTCCCGGTTCTTTAAGGTCCTGCGTTGGGTTTGTGAAAGGGGAGGTCTCGTAAAGCGGTGGTAAGGAAGCGAATCCTCCCCAATCTAAGAAGGCGTGGCCTATCGCAGCTTTCATAGCCCTTGATCGTATTGGAGGCCTCTCCGTATTTCGATAGCGAATTTCAGTCTCTTGAAGATATTGAGTCAACGGTTCTCAGTGTAGATTAGGGACGTACCTGTGACCCGACGGACTTCGACGTCAATTGTCCGAACGGTATCATCAGACTTGTCTTTGTCGGAATTTTTGAAAAGCGGAGTGGCAGGATGATCAAGTCTGCCTCTTTCTCGAGGTTCCAGCAGACCGAGAATGTCGGTCAGACCTGGTCCACCCTCCTGATTCTCCCGAGCAGAGACGGGAACTTTAAGAGTAATTCCAGAAGGAGGGACAAGTTTGAAGGACTCGGGGGACTCAAAAGCTGCCCAGAATATTGCCTGATATTCTGAGGGGCGGTCGGCGTCCTACTTTTGAGGTGAGTCAGTAGACAGTAGATATGCAACAATCACCCACTCGCAAAGGACGGTAATCTCGGATACGGCCGAAATTGCGCTCGACCTCACGTATGGCAGAGAGCGCATCTACCATAGATTCAGGGACGTAGGCAAACCGGAGCTGAATGACCCGCTTTGGCCGATCGGCGCTCTTGCTAACCCATACTTGACGTCCACGGTCGTCTATGGTGAAACGGGGTTCTGATTGAGGCCGCTGGCCATGCCCGCCATCGTTTGGCGCACCACCAGCTGGTGTATATCTGTGTCGCTGGGTGACAATGCGAGCGGCGGGTCGACGGACGCTGGCTAGCATGGTCTGGTCGTCTTATGTAATGCGCTAGTCAGTGAAAAGTTTTCAATGCCAACTCTTCGTCAGTCCTACCACAACGCTCTGACATCTCTGTCGGCGAGGACGGGCACGCCGTTGCCGTCTCTCATCCTTTCTTTCGCTGTTCTTCATGAATTAACTGCAATCATCCCTCTGGCTGGCATTTTCTTCGCCTCGAGGCAGTTGGGCCTTGGTGAACGTGTCGTTGGCCGGTTCGTTCACAGCAACGCAGTTCGCCATGAACCATCTTGGTTGAATGATCATCTAACACAGTGGGTTGGTGAAGGGGAGCGATGGGCCGAGCGTGTTGGGCGCCGTTATGGCGTTTTTGGCTTTTCTAAAGGTCAACCACCTGTTTCCGCAGCCGACGATATCCAACCCCGTCGAGTCTCCAGTGTCATAGCTGGAGATGTTGCCAATGCGGTCCTCGCGTATGCAATGGTCAAGGTAATTTGTCCGTTCCGTTTTCATAACTCCACGACTAAAGCCCGGCCCAGGTATTACTCCCCGTTCGTATTGGCCTCTCATTATACCTGTCCCCTTCGTTCTCGAGGCGTGTGCTCGATCCTATCCGCCTGAGGGCTGTCAAGTTCTTCAGGAAGAACTGATCCTTGTAAGTGATTTTTCTACGTCATTTTTTTAATGATGATTTCGCTTGCCGCCCCAGTCGTAGCCTGTAGGCACTGACGAACGGCAGAGCATACAGCCAATTTTGCACCTCTGACAATACTTGCTCTACATTTGAGACGTCGCAATGAAACTGAAATTTTTACAGGCCTCTCGCAAGACGGACCGTCAAATCTGTGGAGTTGGAATGCAGTGCAGTGGAACATGTATCCAGCTGTAAATATGCTTGTGTGCTTTTATCATTTGTCCCCACCCTTTTGCTTGGCAATCAACGATTTCACGGCCTGAATAGCACTTTCTCTTGCATGAATGAGCCGCTTTGCTTTGGAAAGATCCAGAGCATCCCGTACAGCACTGTAGTCGTGGACTTTGTTCATTGCCTGTCTTCCGCCTGTATCAGTGGTTGTTTCAGAAGTGCTGCTAGACCCCGACTTGAGGGCATTGAGCTCTTCCCTGAGGGTAGCCAAGATGTCGTCTAGTGTGGATAGTGTTTGGATGGATTCGTCCATCTCAACTGCCTTGTTGAATTTGCGGCATACTTCGCTTGTGCAGGTCTCGATGTGTCTGAATCGTGTTGGGCCCAGTAGCGTTCCTCCGAACCTACATACCGCGGTCCACCAAGTCAGCAAAAGCGATCGAGACTTCTTTTTTTTTTTGACAAACCATCGACTAACGATGACGATGGCATCGATGACCCCCTCTGTTTGCATAGTCTTGAGTACTCTACTCCCGGCCCACTGCTCTCCGCCATCGTCAAATCCCGTTCGTAGCTCAAAATCGTCCGGTCCCGCTAAACCAGTATGACCTGATTTGAGAACCATACACCTCCACGCAGAGATCTCATAGACGTCTTTCCCCGCGTGTATGACGTGCTTATGGTAGTGCAGTGCAGCTTGGGCCTCTTCCGGGCTGGTTGCCCGGTAGACACTCCCGACGAAGATTGACCCACGGTCTCGAATCTCTTGCGACGTGGCAACGACTACTGGAGTAGGTCGGGACGATCGGACGAACGTATCCAATTTCGACATGGTCGTCGGACACTGACCGCCACTGCGCAGTAATTACGACTTGCGCCACCACACGACGAGGAGCGCATCTTCAACTCCAAATGGTTTTCTCTTTATTCGCAGCTTCACGGTATAGGCTAATTTGAACGGCACCAACGGACCGTCTCTTTCCAAGGCGACGAGCACATGCAAATGTGCTTCCGGTGACCAGTCTCGAGCTAGAACAAATTAATTGAGGGTGGTAACTGCACGACCACTTTCTCCTGTTCAAGCTGCGATCTTAACCGATCGCGGAACCCCATAGTTCTGCCGTAACTGCAGGCGGACCGGACTTCCATTTCCACATGAGATCAGCATCACTCGACGCCACCAAGTCACTCTTTTCCGTCTTCGTCCAGCCAGAGTACGCCACCGGCAGTCGTCGCGGAAACGATTGATCCGGAATTATTCCGGCGAAGAGTAAACCTAAATGCAAATGCGATCGTTCGTGTGAAGCTGGATATTGTTGCCCCAGAACCAAGGGAACGGATCGGCGCCGATTTTGACTTTCGTCCAAGTTGTCGCGTACTCCCCAAACGGCAGTCATTTTCACTTCGTGGGTGGCGATAACTTTGTGTATGTGTTGCTTGCCAAACCGCGCTGGCAGGCTGTGGCTCATTTGTCGGCTCTGGAAACGCCATTGGACCCCGGACCCTAAACTCCATGCTTACGATGCATCGGTGAAGACATGTTCTGGCAATGGGTTGCTCACCTCGACAGTCGAGTGTTCTCGGCGACCCGTATGAGCTGCAAAGTTGAACAAGTCAGCAATCTACTGACAAGAACCTGGCATGGTAATGTTCAACAACAACCAACCCGAGAGTAATTGTCCATTATGCATACACAGAATCGGAGGGCCCAAAAGCAATTCGGGGGAAATAGTACAAGACTATGGCTAGAAACACTGGAAACACCACCTAGCAGTACCCTCTGGTTTCCATCTGCCTGCTGTAGTCCAACGCATCTTAAACCATCGGACACAAACGAGTGTAGTGTATGGAAGTCCGCTCGCAGAAAATGTTATGTATGTTATGTACCTGCCACGAGTATAAAGGGAATGACGAGGGCATAAATGACAGTATGAGCCATAAGGAAACGTATGGGTGCAAGGGCCCTCGTAGCAAACGTCGTGCAGGTTCTATTAAAGAGGGGCTGCAGTGTTTAAATCACTAGTACGGACGATGTGTGCCGCGGCCGGCTAGATTATATTGTGGTGGATCGGTCGAATAACTGGATCCTGGCCGCGAATGTGTGTAGGGACGATGCAGAGGGGCCTCCCTGAACTCCTCCGCCGAGTGTACAGCATCCTCAGGTGCATACGGGGGGGTCGGCGACGCGAAGCGCGGCGGAAGAGTGGGTATTGGTGGTGGCGTTTGCCGACCCATCGGGTAGCCATATTCTCGGTCACGTAGAAGGGGTAGATTATCGGCACTCTGCCCTAGGGGGGAAAGCTCAATTTCACTTTGCGTGATTGTACGACTATAGGTCACAGGTGCTGGGGACGAGCGTCCGCTTTCACCACCTGCTGCATAAAAGGCTGCCTTCTGCTGATAGGCAGAAGCGCTCTCGCTAGGGCGGTGACCAAAGATCGCAGCGGAAGCCATCGAACGTGCGTCCCAATCAAGTTCCCCACGATCGCGTTTATATAATGCCGGGTCGTATTCCAAATCACGCTGTAAATCAGGTGTCAACCGAGTCGAGGATACACGAGTGTATTGTCACTAACCTGTTCGACTCCAGCAAATTTGATTCCACAGTCGATGACTTGTGCATTTAACTTTCTGCCGCCGTACTCGCCCAACTTCGCCTTATCACTACCAATTGGACCCTTGTATACCTCCCCAAGGAGAGGCACCATCTTAGCATGCAACATCGGGGTAAAGAGTTCCATGTGAAGAGCCGGATGGCCGAAACGCCTTTCGATACGGTTGCCGGATGCATCAGCACGGGACGAGTGGATATGGGGACGTTGAATCTCTTCTTGGGAAGGAGTGTAGTATAGGAACTGGTGGTAAAATTTTTTGTTTATCCAGACCTTGAAGGCAATGATGAACAAGACAGGTGGAACAGTCGTAAGCCACAAGAACGACTTGAAGCCATATTGCAGACCGATCGCTGGATGGATGGTCAGAGACATACAACGATTCCCGCGCTAATACGTACTGAGGGCCATGAGCAGCTGCATCAGGATGACAGACACGAGTAACCGGTTGACGACCATGTTCCAGAGGCGCTGCGGAGATGTCAGTCTTAATGAACAGTTTGGGAACGCACGTTACCTACACCACCACTTTCAACCTTTGTGACGAACACAAACATTAACTGGTATTTGTATACCCAGGAGCTCGCCCAAAATACTACTGCGCCAGCCAGCGCCACTAATGGTGCGAGCGGCGCGAACACGAGTGCGACGGTGCCCATGAACAGCTAGGGGAAATAGGTTAAGACTTCAGCCATTGTCTCCTAGTATCACGTACTAAGGTTGAGCTAGCGAACAGCCTTAATCACTGGACACAACGCAAGCCATGAAAATGCTTACTAGTAAATGGCATACTCAAATTCTGGTGGCTGTGTCCATTCCCGTATGTCACGAGGGGTTCGGCCAAAGACCCTAGTAACAAACTCAGCAAGCCATACCGTTGGTAAAGAACTGAACATACTTCTTCTTGAAGAAGACCCATACAAGGTTCACGACCTGAGCCAAGTCAAAAACGGTGAGAAACCCGCGAAGGCTACACAAGTCGTCAGATACATTTTCCCCAACTAGCATATGTAGGACTTAACGGGAAGAATGTTAGCCAATAGGAGGACTGATTAATGTAAGTCGCGTTAATGGTCGCTGGTAGACCTATAGGTCGTTAACTAGACGAATTCCAACATGTGGAAAAAATTCATTACTATGCAAATTATTGATGATGTCTTTGAAACTGACATGTTCGCCAATTTCGTTCACTACTTGCTCAGCAGCAACTGCCAAGTTTGTTAGACTTGGCGCCAAACACGGGAACATATTGCGACTCACTAAACCCTACGCCAATGAGAGTAAAGATAACCAATTGAGAGATGACCAGGAATGCGAAATAACGTGCAACTACAGCGCGATCCAGCCTTCGATGCGTGTAAGCTGGACTCCGCTAGTTCAAAAACAGGAGCAATCTTACCGGCTGTGAGTGAGGGCGCCTTGGAAGCGACTCAAGTAGCGCATTAGAATTGGCAGAGCAACGCCGAAGAGTGCGGAAATGCTGGGTGGAAGAACACCAGATACAAATGCAAAGGAGCCAGGGGAAGCGGTAGACCATGCACTAAGAAAACCGACGTATGCTGATATCTGGTGACGAGTCAACGCCATGAGCTTATTCGCAATCCCTGGAGTACTTACCGAGGATAAGTTGGCAAGAATGGAGATAATGAACAACGGAATGGTATTGAAGGAACACACGAGAACCAGTAACGAGAAACCGATGATTTTCTTTTGAAATAATTCGGCGGGCGATTTGTTCATGTTCGCCCATATCTGGAGAGACATATGAAAAAACAAGAAATACCGTAAAAACTCATAAGAACTGACTATATCTTTGGGATTCGGCGCCAAGGTCACGTCGGTTCCTTTGGGATGTTTCTTTCGAAGTATATTAGCCACTGTATGTGCGTAAGATACGGCGGCCATTGACGCGAAACCATAATTCTCCGCTCGACGGGTATCGATTTCCTGGCGGTAGTCCTCTATTGCCTTGTTTACACGTTCAAGTTTAGCGCTGTACAAGGAGTTACATAAAAACTTTTCGGGGCCGCAGGACAGCAGTTTCTTACGTGTAAAAATCAATGGCATCCTTCTTAACCCCGCCCATCCCTAGAAAGCCACCAATACGAATTGTAGGGCGTTCTTTAGCAATTTTTCCATCCTTAAGATACGTAACGAGTACTTGTTCAAGCTGCCGCACGATGTCATTATGGTAGTCGATTAGTTCCGGTAGGCGTCCGACTTTTCGACCGATGTGGACCGATGTGGTTGGGTATGGGACTTGCACACTTTCGAAAATGGCACGAATACCAGCATCAGATTGGTATTTCTTGGGGACACGCATGATGGCAAGAGTCCGGGCATAAAATGATTCCATGTACTCCGGTGAACGAAACCATTGCTTGCGGAGATGCAGCATAATTTTCCAATGTCGCCAGACAAAGAACATCACGAGAAGGGATATCATGTACGTGACGGCCACATGAGCAAAGAGGTATGATCCTTCGACATCGCGGATGGTGAGCATAGACAGTATGTCGCGTCCTGAAGAAGGAACGTGCTTGAGGTTGTAGACGGCATCGACGGGGAGGAGGATGGCGCAACATATGAACGCCACAGCAGTGAATATCGATCGCATCATCCAAGTAAAACGAAGGAAGGTGACAGCATCGAGACCGAATTTCTCGAGGAGCTCGGGCTCCTTCGTCCGAATGAGAGGCGGCAGCCATCCTAACAGTGAATCGGATATTGGTGGTGGCTTCTTGTCGCCAACATGGTACTTGACCTTTGGCTCATAGATTGCCTATCACAACCATTCGTTTTTTTAGCGATGCGAATGGAATAGGGTAGACAAGGACATACCTTATTCTTGGGCCGAAGGATGTTGAATGTTACCACTGCCGCAACCTGGAAGGCGTTCACATCTGAACGAAGACCTGTTTGGTTGACCTACCGAAATCACTGTCATAAAGGCCACTTGCGAGGCAACTGCAGCGGGTGCCAGTGTCCTTGAAGAGTTTTCATCGATTATCTGCCCGATACTGGTCATAGTTTAGATAAAAAGAAGTGAGTCCAGCTACTCCAGGCGTTGAAAAAGAGGGGAAGTGGTCGGCAAACGATGAGCTGTATGACGGAGGGCGCAGGAGGGTATGTGGAGTCGGCTCCCAAGGAGACGGAACCACAGACGGCAAGTATTGTTCTAATTGTTGTTATTCACCCCGATTTACTAAAACAATGGTCAACTCGACCTTTGTTCTTGCTTTGTCGTATCGGACCTCTTCTATCTAGCTTTGCCGTAGCTGGAGGATGTGGACGAACACTTGAAACGGGGAGAAGAACATGCAACAGGACTCTACGGCCTCTCCTCTCCGTCCCTTAACTTCTCAGGCATTGCCCTGTCAAACCCCGGGGATGTATCAAGAACGCAAGGCGGCACTGCTAGGTACTCCTTGAAACGTGATTATAGTTACAGTACCCAGAGATCTACTGCGAGGTGGGGTCCAATACTTTGTGTGTGCTTCACGGGTTCATGGATTATATCGTAGTCCGCACTACTGTCAAAGAATGAGTATCCGGAACGCCACCGGGAAATTACGTAAGCACCGATCCTTCGCTGAAGTTTAAATTGGCCACCTAAGTTGACCCGAGTACCCTGGCTAGTAAGTAGCTCATCTCAATGGCTCGGGAGCGCGATACGGCTCAAGGTATAGTAAGAACGAACGAGGCAGATGCTGAAATACGTGAGAAGGAAAAACTAGGACCACGTGTTATGTGACGGAAATAAATGGAGGTGGCTCAACCTTAGAACGACAGGAACGATTCCCCTCGGAAATGTGAAGCCTGGACCGCAAGCTATAGACGGAAGTGACTCGACAAGCACTTCTGGAAAGCCATCCACATGGGAAGACTGTCTAACCGGAAGCTCGTTGCGTAGCAAACTTGATGGCACGCGGAACAAGTACACTAAGCACGAACGGGATCCACAGAACGTACCCTACCATGGTTTCTGACTCGGCACGCTTTGAGTAATAGATTTTTGGTGTATGCTCTGGGAGAAGTGCGTCATTTATCCCGGTTGCATGTGCCAGTCTGAACCAATGATGTTCAGCGGTTGGAAATTACTCGTCAGCATCAAATCAATGGACAATAATGCACCGCGAGCTGTTCGCCACTAGACCGGAGGGGAAATAGTTCAGGATGTTTCCCTAAACCTGGCGTTACGGACGCTGTCACTCCGGTAGGTATTCCGTATAAGGGGTCGGTCAGTCGATGTACGAGGGCACAACGATGAGCAAGTCCAGATTTGCGGATCGATACATACCGGCGTGAACCACAAAGAGTTGCGAATTTTTCCAAGGCAAAGCTATGACCCGACCAGCGTAATGAGGAGTACAAATGACTTTTTGTGGGAATCCAGTGAATTGGATGTGGGGAAGACGGTTGGCGCCAGGGGGTTTTAAACGAATAGGTGTTTCTTGAGAAGCAGGAAATTCGGCCCGTTCATCGGCGGTGGGGAAGCAACTAGAAACAAAAAGTTTATCCCCTCGAATTAATCGTGACGGATACCTCGACCATATGTCCACAGGAAATGTGGACGCCCACGGGGACGAGGGGACATTACTGCGATAGACGCAAGGAAATTATATTCTCCTGTAACCTCGGAAAATACAGTACTTTGTACCGGATTTCAAGGTATCCCGTTGACATGACCAGCAGGCGCCCCCATTATGTGACTCCTCTTGATTCTGAGCTCCGAGGGGCAAGCTCGGAGGGCCAAAATGGGGTTTGGAGTGAGAAAAGAAGAGTCCCCAGTCGCGTTGGTATCCGGCAGCAGCGAATTTGACCACTTAGTGCTTAGGGGAAAGGTAGCGCCTCCTGCCCTAATTTCCGCTCTGCTGCCTCACGGGAACAGCGGTGAACTATGACATTAGTTTTGAGAAGCATGTCTTGCTCTTCACTAGAACAAATTGCTTACGTTGGAATATGCCAGACATGCACCACTAGGATCGCGCGCCCATGAGCGCGTTGAGCACCCTGGCAATCTGACCAATTGCCTCTCTGACCCGATCTCTATCGGTGGCTAATACTCGCTGCATGACCCGACCTTCAAACTTGTCCGGATGAAAGCGCAAAATCGTCTCCCTCAGCTTCTCTTTCCCAACCTTATCCTCACATTTGTCAGTGTTAGCGCCCGGGTGCGTTGTCTTCACCGTCAAAAACTTGGATATGGCCTCTTCGGTGAAATCCTCGATCCTGTGCGTGCGATAGGTTGTGTGACCATCGACAACTAAGGAAGAACCCGGGGAAAGCGGCCATGGGATGTCCATGAACGCAAGTGGATTCATGCCTGTGTCTCCCGGGTTCAAAAGTTCCTGCCAACGAGTCTCGTAGTAACTTTGGTATTCGTGTTGGCGCAGTTCTTCTTTTTCCCGTCTCTTCTGTTCCCTTCGCTCGGAGGTGGCCTTCTCGAGGCGAACAGTTTCCGCTCTGGCTTGAGCTTCGCGGGCCCGACGAGCTGTTCTTTCAGACTCTTTCCTAGCTCGTTCTTCATATTCCCGAGCATGTTTCCGCCTGAATATATAAAATAAGCCCGAAGGTCAATGGACCATAGTAGTTGACATACCTCCACATTCCTTCCCTGACCCATTCTGCGTATTCATCATCATCCATATACTGGGGATCCCTTGCCAAATGACTATCCTGTCCTGTGCGATTGTCGGCCCACCGACCAGGGATGTGAACATAACTGTCAAATTTCGAGTGTATGGTATCCAAACGTTCATCGTCTTCGAAGGCTCCGCACATCTTTTCCATAAATGCCTCCTTTTCTATTTCGTCTCGAATGGCATCTGAATCTATTTCTCGAGGTGGAGACGGTTGTGATGCTAAACCGTCTACATTACTACCTCGTCGATGTTTGCGTCTCTTGCTTCTGGGTTTTTCCTTGGAGCCGCTACTGTCCGAAGTAAAGGATCCGTCGGCAGTGGCCCTCCTCAGCCGCTTGGCAGCCTTTCGTGCAGCCTTGAGAGCCTTGCGGCGGGCTCGTTCTGCCTGTTCGGCAGGGGTGCGCTTCAGATGTAACTTCGACGGTGACGGATGGCTGTCAGCCATACATGAGCTTCAAGTCGGCGTGGTGTGGTGATGTAATGTCCGTGTCTGCTTAGTCAGTGAGCATAGTCCAATTCCTACTAGTATGCTTTCCGTCTAGAGACTAGCACTATCACGATGCTCCTAACATACGATAGTGAGCACGCCCGGAAGTCCCTTGTCTGTTCATTCTCGACTAACAACTTCTGGCACAGTCATAAGCAAGGGGTTTGTTGTTATCGCGGCTGCGACGTGTCCGTTGCTGTTGTTCGTCAACGCCCCATTTGGGAGGTTCACTCTGCCTAATGACCACGCCTTAACCATCTTCAACGTTGACGGAATAAAGTCATGGATTTTTATGGAGCTATTCTCACCGATAACCTTCACATACGCCTTCACGCAAGCGCCGCTCCTCGACCACGTGTCCCGCGTATCGGCGCCTCAAGGTCTCCTTGCAGGCCTTTTCCTCGCCCACTACTTGAACCGTGCTTTGGTCTCTCCACTACGGACTCCCTCTCGGTCCAGGTCGCATCTCTCCGTGGTTCTTGCTGGAATGTGCTTCAACATTTTTAATGGTCTAATGATGGGGACATATCTCCGCTCGGACATTGCCCATGCATTTCTCTCAGTCGCATTCCGGCGTCCTTCATATTGGGGTGGGATCCTTATTTGGCTTGCTGGGTTCACTGGAAACATCTTGCATGATGAAATACTCCTCAATATTCGTCGCAATGCAAAGGCAAAAGGTAAAGCCAAGTACGAAGACGATCCAGCTAAGAAGAGAGCGGAACACTACGCCATTCCGCACGGATACCTTTACAAATACATATCATACCCCAACTATTTTTGCGAATGGGTGGAGTGGATAGCGTTTGCGTTTGCTGCCGCTCCCTTGCCTCCCCTGTCGTCTCCCGCTGCATTCATGGAAAATATCCACGGTCCCTGGGTGTTTGTGTTGTCCGAGATTCTCCTGATGCTTCCCAGGGCGTACAAAGGGCACCAATGGTACCTTGACAAATTTGCGGAGTATCCGAAGGAACGCAAAGCTGTTGTGCCCTTCATAATCTAAATGTTTTCTGGTACTTATCTATGCTGGAGCACTTCTACGGAATTGGGTGCAAACCTTACAATACTGCGTAACTAAACGTCCCCCTCGCTGCATAGTTACCTATAGCGGCCCAACACGCCGTTTTTGTTTCGAAGTGGAAACAATCAATCGCGCTCTTTGACGTCTGCTACTTCTTCGTGGACTAGTAAGCCATTGGTCATTGAACAATCTCCGGGCATACTGCTTTTCCAGCCACACCTGTGGCTCATACTAACAAGAACAGGGGCATCTTTCCGCCGTCCCACAGAGCACGCAAGGCAGAAGCTTGCGACGCTTCTCTAAATTCCATCGCAACAGCTTTCGCCATCTATTCGAGGGAGGGCTCCCAGATTTTTTCCAGTTGCTTTGCAAGTTACTAGTTGCACCTGACGTGCACCCGAAAAACGAGAATCCAATTAACTCATCCAGAAACGGTCCTCGCGAGGCCATATCGATCCACCTAGAAAGCTAAGTCAATCATGCCTTGTGTGCACTCCTCTATATTTGGATGAATTGAACTTGCCTGGAGATTCGCAGGCACGGAGACTTCCCGCACCAGAGGAAAATACTGACCATGAGACGTCGGCGGACGGGCCACCGAGATTGCGACCCTACGTGCGCGATGCCCGTCTCCAAGGTTTACTAGATGCAAGTCGTATTACCTCGAGGACATAACCAAAAATCTCTGGAAGTCACAAATAAACCATTAGATTCTAGTACGGCGGCGATCGCTACTCGCGTATCCGATGCTGGGCACGTTGTCAGAACGCCGGCAAGTAATGTTGCGCACCTATCCCACATCCAGAGGATCACCAGCCCCGTCCTCTGCCCCAGGACCTGGGATCTCTGGCAATGGCGCCATGCTAACCGCACAGTCATGTCGAGAGATCACTACTACGGATTAAATTTCAAAACCAGACCATGCTGAAGCTTTTCTTGCATTAATGAAACGTTATGCTCTCACATATACGACTTGGCTCGTCACCTGTAGATATTAGTGTACACCTTCTAGTTGTTGTCGGCGTCTGCTATGCTGGCTCAGCACGAGATTTCAGACTCCGAAAGACTCCGCGCCAACTGAAGTTCTGACAGTTGAAGTTCAAACATTCACGCCTGGTCAGTAAAACCCAAGCAAAAACGCGCACAACGCCATTAACGTTGTTTTGCCAACCCCAGTTCATATTTTACGACTCAAGATGATGTCCTCTGATGAACCTGCGGCCCCTCTGCCGCTTGCAGCTGCTCAACTTCAGTTTGCAAAGCTTCAGCGTCAATACCAACAGACGCTTGACAGGTGGACACCGCACGTCCTCCAGCGGTGGTTGGGAACATTGGGATTGCTTATCATTTTCATGCTAAGGATTGTGCTATCCGAGGGGGTGAGGCGTGTCTCGCTATGATCACGGGAGTATGGCTGACAGTCATCTAGTGGTATATCGGTTAGTACAAACGACTATTAAGGCACACTTCAGTCTAACCCAGTTACTTGTTGCTCTGAGCAGTATGCTGTGGGTACCTCGGATTGTCATTGCTTTGCTAGGAGCTGACCACAAACACAGATGCACTTGCCATTTACCTTCTCAACCTCTTGTTGGCATTTTTGCAACCCAGATTTGATCCTTCCATTCAGGACGACTTAATGGCGGATGAAATCGAGGAAGGTGCCGGAGATGACGGCCCAGCTCTCCCGTCCCAGCGGGATGACGAGTTTCGGCCCTTCGTCAGGAGGTTGCCTGAGTGGCAGTTTTGGTAAGCACACGCAATGAACTCGGCCACATAACCTGTGTTGTGACCCTGAAACCCTAGGCTAAGTTCCACCCGGGCGGTGTTAGTTGCCCTGTTCTGCACCATTTCCGAAATCTTCGATGTACCGGTGTACTGGCCAATACTCGTCGTCTACTTCTGTGTGCTGTTTGCGCTAACAATGAGACGACAAATACAGTACGCCCGGTTCTTGTTTTTCCAAGTCTCCCTGTTGATTTATCTTACCAGACATATGATCAAGTACAAGTACATACCATTCGACATCGGCCGCAAAACACGGTACGGTGGAAGCAATTAATGTCTTATCTGGGCTTCTAGATCTTCGTTACGTGCGGAACCTTGTTGAGGATTAATAGACATTGCCGTCCACACCTGCGCCGGTAGTGTTAGGGACGCTTAGTACGACGCAAGAATTTCTTGCATGGCTATTTAGTACATCTCTACCTGATATTATAGACCACGTTGAGAATACCAAGAACCTTCTGATGAGGTGAAAGGAGAGTCACGTGATATGGCCGTCTAGCAGTATAGCGCGCTCTAAGCCATGCAGTTATCAAGTTGACCATGTCCACCACTTTGCAGCTGTCCGTAGTGCGACACATGACAGAACATGTCCTGAGTTGCTTAAAGAACCATCGTTCAACATTTGTTGGCTCGCGTTCTCCGCCGCTGTTTGTTGGCGTTCAAGGACCTCAGGGTAGTGGGAAGACCTTCCTCACGTCGCACCTCCACAAACAACTTTCAATCCTCGCCTCACTTACTTTCAGTTGCCGTCCTTTCGATTGACGATCTTTATCTGCCCCATGATGGCCTGGCTTCTCTTGCAAGGAATCACTCCCAGAACCGGCTGCTGCAGGGACGTGGACTACCTGGCACACATGACATCGAGCTCGGAAACGCTCTCTTGGAGAACATTAAGAAAATCAATGGGAATTACTGATGAATTAGAGCTGCCAATATTTGACAAGAGCTTGTTCGGAGGAGAGGGTGATCGACTTCCTCACGGTAAAGTCATACGTCCACCCGTTGATGTTTTCATACTGGAGGGATGGTGTGTTGGATTCTATCCGACAAGCATATCACTCATCGAGGAGCGCTGGGATAAGCCAGTGTCTGGTTTGGAGGATCAATTTGATTTGAAATCGTTCGTGAGGATGGAAGACGTGCTCACCATCAACGATCAGCTGAAAGCATACGTGAAGTGGTGGGATGCCCTAGGATGCTTTTATTCAGGTAAGCGACGTTTGTACCCAAGTTTGCGGTTGAGAAGGACGAGGAAACGTTGGCAGATCAAGGGTCCTTCGTCATCCCCCTATAATATAATTTACAAGTGGCGATTGGAGCAAGAGCATTTCATGAAAGCTAGAAACGGCGGCAATGGAATGACAGACGAGCAGGTAAAAGCGTCGGTATCTCTCACTGAGTCGTTTGGTCCTCCTACTCTTACACGATTTCGTGACTAGCTTCGTCGACCGCTACATACCAGGGTACGTCTTCTTCGGAGATGGCGTCACCAATGGTCTCCTGGATACAGGGGGAAAGGCACCGAGGTGGATCGGAAGTGGTCTGGTGGTCACTATCGGACAAGATAGGGAGCTCATCCAGACATCTAAGTTCTGAGAGCAGTCTGAACATATCTATCGGACATTCTTTTTGATGATGGCGGAAAGGTATATCTCGCTGATCCTTGAGCGCAGCAGTCTGTTGAAGGGTGTTCCAATAACGAATAGCAGAACTAACTTCGAACGTGCGAGATAATCTTACCGCATCAATCCGAGTGAGTGGACGGAAATAACCCATGAGTTTGTCCTTGCCCTCCCCATTTGACCCGCTCTCATGAAGTGGTTCGGAAATCTCGCCTCTAAGGTGAAAATGAAAACCTAAGTTTGTCTTCGTCTTTACAGCGGTCATCACAGAAGGTCGAGTCACATATGTAATTGCAACAGTCCAAATCAACACCATCGCTTATCCCGAAGTAGAGGGGTGGACAGCGGAAGTAAAATCATACTCTCCCACCCAGCACAATGCGGGATTGACAGGACGTTTCTTTAGTCTCGCATGGTTCTTCATTTAAAGTACCTGCGAAGCGCATCATAAGAGTCATCGAACATGTCGGCATACGGGGCAATTTCTTGTGTACCCCGAACGTCTTATCTTCCATCTACAATATGGCCCCACCCGGCACCTGCCAACCCAAATCAACGGAAGGAGAACGCCAATACCATATGCATTCATCATATCGACCTACAATTTGCGATCAAACAAGAACACGAAGGCCTATTCGAATATCTGCATGTCGTGTTTGCAGATGAGGTTGACAAGGGCATGACATACCCCCAGGAGGACATGCGTGACCCTGCAACTTTCGCAAACTACTTTTTTGCTGCAGATGTCATCGTCGCGATCGTGGGTGCCAGATCGCCGGATGAGGACACTCCCGTTGGAATGTCCACCTCTGAAGTGAACGAGGCCGTGAGGGAGGTGAATCTAAGTCTCGAGGCATCCAGGAGGGGTCGATCCTGGGCAGAGTGCGTAGCTGGCTTTTACTACGTACGTCTTTCGAATAGGACGAGAGAGCCATATAACCAATCTGGTCTTTGTTACAGGTAAAATCCAACTACCCAGGTCGTTCCTCACACGTGAGTAGTCTCTCATGTGTTGTGGCACAGTGCGGCCGCCCCCCATCACCCCTACATACATACTGCTATGACTGATGGTGGTGTACATACTCATTATGTCCCAGGCTTCGCACATGTGTGCCCCGGCAGGGCGGCTACGGAATACTCACTAACTCCACCGTGCTTAGATATGCAATGCGGGGTTCGTCGTTCCCCCAACACAACGGGGACGCGGTTATGGACGCGTTCTTGCGAAGTCCTATCTCCACTACGCCCCAAGGCTCGGGTACAAGGCGAGTATCTTCAACCTTGTGTACGTGAACAACGAGGCTAGCATCAGGTCAGTTCATCCATTACCCTTCTTTTTTTTCTCTCATTAGCGCTTGTTGTGCCGTATGTCCCACTGTTGTCCATCACCTTCTTCCACGCATATCTCCGACAATCATGGTCATATCACTCACGTCATAATCGGCTGCTGGACAAGCAGGTTGTGGGAGAATCTTGGCTTCATTAAGGCTGGGCGGATACCGAAAGCGGGGCGACTCAAACGTTCGGATGGGAAAGGGGAAGAATACGTTGATGCCTGGGTGTTTTACAGGAGTTTCAGTGATTTGGGCAGTGAGGGAGAAGCGCCATGATGTTGCGCTTATGCTTAGTTTTCATGTTCTATCCAAGTCACCAATGAACAAAGGGGGTCAATTCTCAGTGCTGTGTGATCAACTAGTGGCTTTGGTCATCAAGCAGACAGTAGATATCAGACTCGGGTGAGTGGAGCAGTACCAGTGATATAGAATCTTCTGTTTTCTCTGGATATATGTGGAGGGGCACCTGACAGGTCATATATCATACGCCGATGTAGGGGGTCCTATTGTTCGACGTTACTGGAACATAAATGCCAAGACAGATTGATTTAGGTCACTCCCTCCACCTGTCAATCGATGATCATTCTTCCAATCTTGATCGAGTTCGTTGCAGAAAACCGGGAATTTTGCTATATTGCTAGCCCAAGAGATGGGTAGATGTCCGAAAACTTCCTCCAATCAAGACTCTTATGATTCTGATTATCGATTAGACAAGATCGGTCGGCACGACATTGTTCCGTTCTTCTACGCGATCATGGGCAATGGGGCTCGGAGAACGAGACCCAAGGAGTCCATATGTAGAAGTCGCAAGCAACAGTGAAAGGACAAATCCGAGTTGTATGACGTCCAGCTTATGTTGAATCTATGCGATATCCCAGTATATCTCCGAACATACTTACTGGGGAGGGTATACGAAATAACGAGCGCTATGGAGAATAGCAGAAACTTCCACAAGATCCACGACAATAAGGTCTCTCGACCTAATCAAGTTGACGAGGGGAGTGATTCCACAAGCACGCACCGTAATGGAAGCAAACACTATAAATATACGTGGATCCCGACGCCTTCCGCGAGGTCTCTGTTGTTCCGGAGACCTAGTTTGTTATATATGATATAGCCAAATACCATGACAACCAGGAATGTCCCCCCCCAAAAAAAAACAGACTTACCGCTCGAAAAAGTAGTACGGACGCAGACCAGATAAATGTGGATCAGTCAATACTTACGGATCAATTTGGAATGCTCAGAGGGTGGGTCGCGACATACTATTTGGGCAAAAGGAAGGGACGAGATGTGTGAACCTGAAGAAAGGAATTGGGAAGACTATGCGTGTCCTCCGAAATCGTATCGCAAAATACATCCACATTATTCGCTGCACGGCACTATAACTCAACTGCGCCGTACAGAGTTTGGTGGAGTCGCTGTGGCAGGCCTCATTGCTATCACAACGAGGACTCGCGACTAACGATAGTTTTTCCCATGAGATGTCTAGCGCCTGGAGGAGGCGGTGACCACTCACTTGTAGTGCCGTTAAAGAGGTCGCGTTTCTAAATGACGCTAACGCCCGCCAACGGGATGAGTCGAACTCGGTGGCGCCATGGACTCTCCTATAATAAATAAGACTATTAGACTGCTAACTAAATCGACCATAGTAGTAGGTCCGTTCTACGAGGCTGTTCTCAGCTTCCCTGGGCTTCCACGTTCAGAGCTCCCTGCAGGCAGATAAAGGGGTATAGAAAGAACGCGCCCTAGTATGCAGCCACGTCAGAGCGGCGCCATTTCAGTTGCGCAGCGGCGCAGAGTTGATCCCCTTCAACCTTCCATATAACACACTCTGCGGCAAATAATGCGCAGTAGCCACAGGGTTAGGGTACGTTCCATGCATCTACAGGGTCAGGGGTCCACTTGACTTGGGAGAGTCAGAGTTTTGAAACCCACGGGCCTAGTCACCGATAGTGACAATGAAGAAATATCGGAGAGTGGAACCGAAGCCGGTCTTCCAATCCTGCGCGCCGAGGGCCTGAGTCTCCTGCCGAGTCCTTCGTGTGTGCCTCTAATGATCCGGGCCAGAAATCGAAGGCTGTGCAGCACCAGTTTGTAAACTGGGAAAGCCATTGTTAGGTGGCTCCGCTGATGCTCCGGGAGTTCATGTGCGCAAGCGATCAAAACGGGTACTGGCGCAAGTCATGTATAGGCGGGACGCGTGCGCTGGGACGGAGGGAAAAAAGGACACTGAGGACACGAGCGAAACATCGGGAAGGTACACCCCTGCATCAAATAGAGCTTAGCACCGTGCATCGGACCGGGGTTGTAGGTCCGAATACGCAGATTGCGGCTTGCGGCGGCGCAAGCAAGACTCTGGATGCAGTCAAAAAAAAAAAAAAAGGCAGAGTGGAATTCTTCTTTGAATGCCGAACAGACGACAGTTGAACGTTAGAACGGCACTAGTACAGCCGCAGTTTGCACCATCCCAATACAAGCGGTTCAGCCCGTGTGGCTATGGTAAGGGTGGTGTTGCATCTGTGAATGATACTATCAAAGTTATGAGTCGGAATGAGTATAGACAGCGGTCGGACATCACTAGCAGGCGAAGCTAGCGCAAGTGCACCCACATACATTTTTGTCTCTGCGCCGATATGTCCCTGATAGCCCAGCGGGAACGCGGCGCGTCAGACAAACCAAACCACAGCAGGTTCGACCTTCGCCACGTCATGCAGTGGGGTGCAAGTGATAAGCACGCGAACCAAGTTGAACGGGACCTGTTAGAAGGAAGAAAGAAAACGCAAGGTATTCAATCTCCGTGGAAGCAGGATGATAAGACGGCCTTCTTTCTTGAATGTTCCAATCCATTGGGGTGGGGGGTTACAATGAGTATAGGTTCCGGCAGCGTCTACGGTAGACTTGCCACTTGGTCGAAGTGCTATCATTTCAACCTAAAACGCGGACGCACTGATCACGTTCGTCTCGTCACCACATGCAGGCGCAAGTTGGTCGAAAGCTGTCGTTGCATCGATACGTATCGCCTCGTTTGTCTTGCGCAGCTCGTTTTTCTGACAAGTGGTATACGATAACTTGCGTCCAGTCGCAGCCTATAGTCGGTTCAACAGGTGGGTCCACTGCGAACATCGTACTCCTTTCAATAGAGAGATGGGCAAGCCTCGAAGTGAGAACCGCATGAGCCATTCGCGCGAACGACACGCGAATGCTTCCGAGTAACGGCAGAACAGAAAATTGAATTCATAACCGTTGATAACAAGTGGATAAGTAACAATGAGGCCGCAGGCTGAAACGTCTCAGCATCTCTCTCTTTCATCTCGCATCACATATTCTCTGGAAGCATGTCATATCGTACAAAGGCTGTACAATACCACCGCAAAACCACCTTGCAGGCCACGGTAGCTGGCCGAAACATCTCAACGGAACAAGCGTCATGAACGCGTTGGTGGTTCAGAACCAGGAATACGTGCACCGTCACCACCGAATCTTGAAACAACTGGAAGTTGGCAATACCGGACGTGGAACAGGCAAGACCTTCTCCACGATTAGATATCAACCTGGCCGTCCCGAATACACACTGGATGGCACGTACTCACCAGGGGTGACGACATGCGTTCTTCCGAAACGTCTATGTATCCGTCATCATGGTGGCATTTTGATTCACGCCACCAACAGTACATCCGCACGACTCCGCCACTGGCAAGGTACGTATCACGGACATGATGACACGAGAAACGCACGGACTGTATTCATCACACGTTGTATTGGTCGTCGAAGTCTCCGTTTTTTTGTGAAATTATGCGTACCCGCATGGTGTCTTTAGTTTGAACCACAATAAAGGGATTTAGAGCGTACACCGCCGACTGCTTTGACAAATGCAAATGCGGGAGCGAACAAGCCCATAATATGAATCATGATGACAAGACAATGGAGGGGGGCCGTGGCACAGCTTGCACAAAGGACACCTCGAAGTGCTGCCGACACATTTCATTGAAGACTTCCAAATACACTCGTTACATTGTCCCCCTTGTCTATCTAAAGAAGTCAACTCGACACGTGAAGAATGAAGGAGAAAATGTACCATGTGTACCAGACCACCGCAAGCCCCGATGGGCGGCCCGGATCGACATTGATTATATCACCAGACCAACGGGTTCCCACGACGGAGGCATTTTTTGGAGTACTCGTTCAAGGCATGAGGATGTCGCATGTCCAGCTTAAAAAACTTCTCGCGCTTTCCCCAACCCCCTTTCCCACTTCACAGTCCGCGCTGACCGTGTCGGAGTCGGAGCGAAGGCGGTACAGAATGTCAGATTCGGATTCTTGTTCATAGTAGTGGCGTATCTTGTCTTTCTGACTTAAGATGACTATAGTAGGTTCCTTCATCTTGCAAGCACATACTTGCCTGTTACGATAGAGACGCCGTTCCTGTGTGGATTATGAAAGACAATTTAGCCTTTCCGATCAACCAAGATTCAAAACAAAGTACTTCCTGTACGAACCTGCGCCGCATACCCAAACCTAGGGTACTATGATGTGAGACCTCCAATCAACTATATAATTTGCTGTCCGACACAGGGCACTGTTGGCGAGGCGGGGTGATAGCTGACTCAATAAGATCAGCAGCGCTGTCAGTTGGCCTCGTCGCCTCGCTCATGTCGCGGGATCCAAGCACAGGAGGGCTCGAAAACCTATCATTGATGTGCTGATCGATCAAGTGGCTCAATTAACCACCAAGGGCCTCGGGAGCCTCCAAATGACGCGCATTAACGTTTGAGTCAGATTAAAACCGCGGTGTGGGTCCACTCGGGAATGGTTACCACCGGAGGCCTCCTAGCGGGTATGGACTGGAGCAAATGACTCGTTGAAAGCATGATTTGAGTCGTGCCAGCATGCTGGGAACTTAACACGACCAATACGTCCACGGACGGCCGAAACCCTGTGTGCTGTGAATGCCCGTGGACTTACAGGTGAACCAAAGAAAACCTCGCGTGAGGGGTGCTGAACCGGCGTCGAAAACGTTTATCACGCACTCCCTATCTCACTTCCTGAGCAAGAGAAGATGGATAAGCAGTGGTTCTGGAAGATTATGATTATCCTTCTGATTCCCTGAGGTGTGTGATATGGATCAGCAATAAATGGAGTTGCTGCGTAGAAATCAACGTGAATATGTGACAGTGGATTGCGAGAGAGGTTAGACATTCCCTTCTCTCGATTCTAAATCGGTATGGTACAAGGTAGAATGGAGGGCGGTTCGAGCTTGACAGGGCGCTAGGTCTGGACGCCCAATGGAGGGCCCAACAGGGCGCAAGAACACAGACGTCGAGTTCATTTCAATTGTTCCCAGAGCAACTGAATGGCCCGAGGCTCGCATTGGAGAGCCACTCCAAATGCTATGCAATCACCTACGACGATGAGTAACACTGGCCTTTGGACAAGACCTACCTAGGCCCCCAAGAACAACGTTTTGGTGGAAGGTTAGCGAAGCAGTGCGTGCCCTCATTAATCTCATTCATTTGATGCCCTTTCGGGTCAATTTGACTGTGCATTGTGTGTGGAACACCAGATCGTTCCAATCGATGGATCAAAATGGCATTGCAACAAGATTGTGGATGGACTGCCAGCACCGGAATGATGGCTAACAATAATGAAATAGGGGATACAAAACAAGGAAGTGGTGCGGGTGGGTGAAGGGAGGGGGGGAACCCTCTCTGGCACGTTCGTTAGTACGCAGTCCAGACCACTCGAGATAACACAATGTCCGAATAGCAAAATGCGTTGAATGGGCGACGATCGCGTTTTATGGCACACCACTACATCGAGGCGTGCACTGCAGACCAGACCACAGACCCACGGAGCTTAGAGTCCGTTGCCGAATCCTCCCCAAACGACGAGGATCCATGGCTAGTGCTGGGATGATAGTTACTAGCTCCCAAGATAAGTAACTCCTACATCGGAGGATAGTAGTGCTTATCGCGGAATGTTTGTCTTCGGAAGCAAATAAGCGCAGCAGCGTATATATCGGGAAAGTGTTGTCTTAAAACGGTGATGCCATGTCTTCTGTGCACGCCACGGAGTTCCACGTAGAATGTTCTGATTGTAAGAGAGCCGTCTTTGGCGCTGACAAGTGACACAACCCCTTTGTAAAATTGTATCTGTCATTCTACCCACGATCCCCGACCAATATCCTTTGGCTGGAGTAGCCAGTCTGGTTTTGGCGTATTGTTTTGTGTTTTCCGTATTCGTGTCAGTCTTTTACAGCGACTACAGCACAAATGCCAACGAGCAGGGTCCTTGGAAGGACGGAGGGGCTGTGCGTAGTAGGGTCGGGAGGCCGGCATAGTCAATAATTATGAGAGTGTGCGCCAATCAATATCAAGCCCCATCACTCACTGGTTACAGTGACTGCGATTGCGCTCTCCGTTCGGCTGTGCTGAATCATTCCGTTACGATCGTTTTGTAGGCGGCAACGGCGACTTGTGAAGAAAACGTCGTATGTACCGTAGAACGGATGCGGTCAAAAAATACATCAGACATACACAACGTTCTCATTGTAGACAGGCGGTGGATATTTGAATATTATCTGATCGTATCCAGAAGGCGTTGCAACGGCGACCGACGTCCGCAAGTATTCCTTTGTGCGGGGTTAAAGCGGCATGTCGAATACAAGGCATTCGGACTCACTTCGATATTCGCTCAAGTGCGGTCTCAAACACAAACCCAAAACAAAGTTAGTTGGAGAGCATTTTGTTTTCTTCATATTGTACATATGCCCAATGGTAGACTATTGCATGAGGTATATAGAAACAACAATGATTGTACGTTAATATGCGGATGGTCAATTCGAATGCAGATGAAGCAGAAGCGGATAAGAAAGCGCAACACAAAAGAAAACGCGCACAAAGAGAACAGGAGAAGAGGGCCATCACATACCACCGCTCGCGGTCGCCATCCCGGGAATGTACAGAGGAGGAGAGTAGAGGGTATAGATATGGAGATACCGTGTCCGTTAAATAGCGCACCCTGCGAGACCGGGGAGGGAACAACGTCGTATATAATATGTTTGCAGTCGTCATCGAGACGAATGGAAACAGATCTAATATTGACAAAATGAATGTGGAGAGCCGATTGTCGTTTACCAAACGGCGGGTGACGCGAACGCAAACATCTTTGTCTTCGAAGAATGAAGTCTGTACGTGCTCCATCGAGGAGTATCCCGGCGAAGACGATGCGGACACGATTTTGGCTGACAGGTCTTCGACCCCGACGGGCGTTGGTGGCGGTGCGGAGGAAGCAGGGGAGGTGGACGACGTAGAATAAGACGGAGAGGCCTCTGGGGTATCGGGAGGGGTGGAATACGAAGGCGGGGGGACGTACGCGGACCGCGGGGGGGATGGATGGCGGTGGGCGGCGTGAGGGGGCGGCGGGATGAAGTTTGAATGCTGAGGCGCGAAAGGGTTTGTTGATGGAGGGGGAGTCGACTTCTTCGTCGACGGTAAAACGTAAGTTGGAAATGGGCCCATCCCTACGAAATCTCTCCGTACCATAGTCTCAAACTCACACAGCGTAGAGGGATCCACATTTAACTCCCACTCCAAGTATTGACACATCTCCCTTTCCATCTGATTAATCTCTCGAAGCTGGAACATGCCCTGCGCCACGATACCCCACGATTTGTTCGAATAGGTGTCGTCGCAAATGACTTTGCTCGCGAGCATAAACGCTGAAATGAAAAGTCGGTGGCCAGAGGAGCCACGGGCGGTGGGGAATCGTGCCTTTAGTCTTTGAAGTAAGACGAGAGCGGCGAACGTCACGGATGGCTGGAGCTTGGTGCGGTGAAGGGCATAAGCAATGAACTTTTGCAATTTGACCTTCGAATTGGACGACGAGGGGGGTAATTCCGGGCAAGCGAACAAGTGAGTAATAAATCGAGTGCAGAGTAGAGAGGTGTCTGCGTGGCCATAGTACTCGTCCTGCCGAGGGACGGATGGTGGTTTCGTCGACGGCACCTACATACGGTCGGTCGAACGTTGGTTGGATGAAGAGAGATGAGGAGAGGGACTTACGCCTTGAGGGTACTGTATCCGCGGATGGGAGGCATTGTGCACCACACGATATGGCGACGGGTGCGCATGGAGGGATAGGCCCATGTACCGATGCCATTGGACAGAGAGGAAACGAAAGAGCAACTGTATGAGGAAAGGGACGGGGTCAGAACAACTGTAACGGGGACAGAGCGAGACTTGGGTCGTATATAAGAAGGGACACCAGATCCCTGAGAGATTCCAATAGGGCAAGGCGTGCACAATGCATATTCAATATGAAAATTTTCAATATTACATAATACTTGCGTGACCCCCCCAGGCCTGCACGAGGCCAGCCAGCCCCCGTTTGATTGTTGGGACCTGTCAGGGCAGACCCCGGGTCACTGCATGGCGTGAGGCGCCTTGTCCCTCCCCTTTTGGGAAGACAGAGAAAAGAGGGCAGATAATACTCACCGTGCGAATTAGCCGTGGGCAGGGTGTAAGGCGGCGTGGATATAGAGTAAGCTCGTAAGTCTGCCTTGAGGCCTTGAGGTTAAAGTGACGATCGAAAAAGTATGCACACGCCCGATGCAAGCGACGATGAGACGCGGGAAACTCCTTGGAGAGCCCTTCCAATCCCTCCAAGCTGTATCTTTTATATAATTCCCAAGCACAGCGTTAGAAGTCATATCGCAGGACCCATGATTCAGCCGGGTCTACCTTGGAATTTTGTTCCGGAAGATCTTTGAGGGCAAACGCCCTCGTTTGTAATCACACTTCACGTCACCCCAGCTGTGCTCTGTGTCCCTCGCACCAACTTCGGATACTCGGCTCGGCTCACTTCTTTTTTATCGCGCAGCAGCTTTCTGTACTCCAGAGCTTGGCAATTGTCTCTGCTTTGATATTCGGTGAACTGCTCCCCGTTATGCAAGTCCTGCATTCTCTGTATCGCTTTCGATTTCTAGAGGCTCATAGCCACACCTACTCATCTCCTGTTTGTCCTGGTGCAGCGCCTCCTTCCGTCGGAGTCGTCCTTCCGATCAAACCCTGGAGACCCGACCCGCGACTCGGCGAGGAACGATCCAGAGTATAGCGACATAATCCAACGTTCCCGTCGACTATCGATCATTTTGCATGTCGTCCTAAACACGTACTTCCATATACCAACCAAATATGAGCATTTTCTTGACGTACATAACGTATTCCCGCGGATGCTTTCGTACGGGTCTTTTTGTGGATGCGGTAGCGAGCCTCGAGGTGCTAGCCCTTGGAGATAAACTCATTCCGACTCTTGTCGAGCATTGCAAACGGTGCAACTTACTTGTGATACTCAGTCAGTTAGATTAGCCGTGCTGTGTCGAGTCAGTCCATTTTTTTTGCAGTTGCGTTTCATCTCTGCGCCCTTGCACGGCCAGAGTGAACGAAATGAACTCGTTCTGTCAAACCCAAACTATCATTAATACCATGCTCCCCGTTCCTCTCCGATGCTTTGTAAAGGCTTGGAGTAACCGAGCGTTAAGACGGGGGCGATCCGTACGTTACTGCAAGCGTGTAATAGTCGGTGCAAGTTACAGGGACAACACTCCGGGTGTTTCATCCGTTCTCGTTCCCCTCAATTTCCCCTATTTTGCTTGCTGAACATACCATCCGTCCCCATCGGAGAAGGGAAGGGGGGTCGCTCGTTTCTTGCCTTCTGGAGGGTACTTGGATATGTTGTAACTCCTCTACCCTTAAAGGAAATAAGAATAAGCCCTTGAAATGTATCAGACGAAGCGTGTGGACTCGACGCGGCGAAAAACGGTTTGAGGAAGCTGACGGACTACTTGCGCTCAGGTCGTCCCGTTCCCGGTCCGCGAAATGACTGGTTTGATCATCGAGGCAGACTAAACACGGATAGGAAAGGAAACGTCAACGTTTCAACCTTGGAGCTGAGGAGTTCAGTATCCACTTATATTCTCATGAGCGAGTCAGCAGTCAGTGGGACGACTCCGCGTGAGAGACGTTCCTTGCGATTCACATCCGAATGAATTCATCTCCACGATGGCCCCTTCGCTAGTCAGTAATGGAGTATCCCAGTCTGTAAGTGATTCACTAATGACATCTTCGAAGACGACTGCGTACACACACAGCTTTATCTCCAACGCTCCTAGGATCATCATCATGATCGTCAAGACAGGCGCCCGAGTGTCTGGATGATGGAGATTCTGCTGGTACGTTCCAGAACATCCCATGAAGCTTTCGTAATCCAGACACCACTAACCGAATCACTTATGAAGTCTCACTTAATGTGCTGTGCTTGGAGATCGTGCAGGATTGAAAATATTACGAACTTCGTTCATCTCCCATCACCGACACTAAAAATTGTGTTCGATCAGAGATCCACGGAATACATGCTCTTTGCCATGCACGCAGGGTTGGGTAGAGTGATTGGGTATGAGGGCACCATAAAATGCACAAACGAACCCAATCGTCAACGTCCGAGTATGCATGTTCGCGATCCAAGCTCGGAACTCCAAGGGTCATGCGCCTCATACACAGACGGTGACTTCTCCTGGGAATCGAGCTCTGCCACCAGCGATCGAGTGTGTGGCTCTGATGCATCGCAGTCCATGCTTGCATCACATCGATCTCGTCCAGCAGTCCATAAGAATACTGACGAACAACCCGAAGAATATTCCTTAGGTTTCTCGTCCGTTCTTGAGACTTTCAGTCGTGCAAGCGAACTACCCAGTTATCCAGTGATGCGATATGATGCTCTTGGAGCCTCATGCAAAGTGTGCTGGAGCCTCGAGACGTAAGAGTAACGTGATTAAAGTAACCGCACGGTCCGCAGCTCCTTAACCGAGGTACCGGTTCCGCCACCAGTAATTTTCCAAACTTGGGCAAACTTCCCCGGAGTAGCACCCGGTGGGGAAGCGCCTCAAAGTTGTTCACTGGTTCTTGCATTGCTTTGAGACTACGAAGTATCCCATTATATTATCCAGCCCTTCCTCTATGATCTAGAAGGGTCCAAAACGGGCCGTGCAGTTGACTAGATCATTGAGTACGTAGACATGCATGAAGCAGTTTGATACGGCTGCGCCTCTGATGTCCACCGTGAGCATAAGAAGTGCGGTTGTATTATTACAAACTGCGGCGGCGCCGGTCCATTTCCGGAAATGCAGAGACACAGGTCACTGCAGTCGAAAGTACCGAGTGGATGTAATATCGCAGCTGCCGGTGCGCGGCAAGCAGGAATGAGTCCGGACGGGCAGAGGGCTATGTATGAAGGATTCATCTTCATGCTTGCCGATCTGCGCAGGTATCGGCTGTGGTTCCCAGAATCAAATCGGATGGGATGTGGGGAACCACATACCTGATACATGGATTAGCTCGGGTAATGGTCACATGGCGTCGTGGGTTTGTCGTGGGACGGTGTGCGATCCCCGGGATCCGACTTTAGACGTAGGACATCGTAGTAATGTCACTCGTCCAGATGGTGATTGGCATGCTCCCGCGATGCTGTATAACATCTGTCCAAGTGTCACATGGCCTGACGGGTCGTACGACCACCTTTCAAAGGGACCTGACACCCAAATAAAAAAGAAACAATTGTTTTCAGTTAAGTCACTTGTTCTTGTGTCTGCTCGGCATGAGCTCCGACACGTACTGTCACTTTGCAAGCTACGATAGAACCTCGGAGGTAACTCACCGCACAAATGAGACATATTCTCGACGGCGTTCGGCGTCCTAGCTTTGGCAACCCACGGTAACCGTGGAAAGCTAGGGGCACTACCATAAGTACAACTTACAAATTTCTCCGTTGACGATACCAAGTAACACTGAATTTCTTTCTTTCTGTGGCCCTTCTGATCGAAGTCGACAAGAAAAGAACGGAGCGTCTCGGCCAAGGCGGAAATGTCTTGGTTGAAACCAAGGTGTTGGCAAGTCGGCGTTCCGCGGTGTGTGAAGGACCCTAAACAAGTACTACTAGCAGCATCAAACGTTCAACCACACAGACCGGCCAGGCTGTACTCCATGACGTCGTTCTCACCTCTGAATCCTTGACAATGAGCAACGTTGTTCATAGCCTCATACTTACCCACGCTGCGCACCCTGGGGTATCCGCCAACATAATACCACCCGAGGATTTTGAAGTTGCCGCAGTTACCACTAGACGGGGAACATTGACCGACCGAGCAAGTAATACAAAGGTGCTGCGGTACTATACTCTGTCCTTGTTCGCCTCCTAATTCCCGCAGATTGCCGCTCACCACAAACAGGTACTCCGTATTGCCTTTCCATTATAATCTATTATTGTAAATTCTCCGGGGAGGAGGGAGGGGGGGGTGGTATGCGACCATTCATTTCCGTGAAATGGAGGACTAAGTTATATCCATTGCTTTGCCTGCCATGTTTCGGGGTACTTCGAATATAGTGTTATTGCTGGAAGCTCAGACAGGTGCTGTGGACATGTCTGCCCAGGGAACACACACAGACGAGCGGCGAGCGATACCGGGATCAACGGATGGATTTCACGTGGACGTAAGGCTTACAGAAGCAATATGCCAAAAACAGTCGACAAGATATGAACTATATACTAACCAGGAGCTCAGTGACACTTGTTTGATCTGGAAGTTCCTCTAGCTGCAGGTGTCTGAGAAGTCCATGCTAGAGATATTTCGGCCGACCTCGTTACGAGCGCCGCCGAGGTTCAGGAGCTCAGGAGTGCAAAGGATTCGGGACGAACACGTGAATCCAGGAGGGGATTAAGGGAACATGAAAACCCTCTTCCTCGCTCTCATTCTTCCCTCATTTGTACTGGACTGGTGGGCGACTCTGGAGTCAGAATGATATGTGGACACGCCGCAATGGACTCATTTAATGCAGGCTAAATGTGACGTACTCTGTCAATCTGTTGGCACAGATACTTATCAGGCCCGTCAAAGAGACTTCCATGTCAACAAGGTTCTTAGATCCTTGATGAACACGTGTTGTTCCTCATATTAGTCTTTTCCGCCGACATATCATGTCCCGGTACATGCTATCCTCGAAGGAGATAGCTGTGTGCATGCATGCGTCTCAACGGATTGCGAATGTGAGCTGTAGCGTGAGTTGCGTATCTTTTCAGAGACTCTTTTGGCTGATTCAAGACGTGTCCGCCCTCGCTGGCAGCAATCGCAAATGCCAATGCAGCGGCGTTGACAGAGGAAGATTTGAGCTGTCAGGTTCACATCTCGCACCGGTGAGCCGTGATGTGATGGTTCATATCCACCTTCCTGTATGGTCACATGTAGGAGGTCCTCCATGATGCCTATTGTCCATGAGAGGCATGAGCCGGGATTCCTTGACTTCGAGGGAATTTACCTCCTATCGGAGATAGTTCCCTTGATCTCCCACGTTTCATAACGGCCCACTCAACAGCCGGTGTAGTAACACATGGAAGTCTGGCTTGCGCTTGCTGAAGGTAACCAAGGAATCCTGGAGAGTTGGAGGTGGCCGCGAGTCGATACTTCTAGCTGACTTCACACGAATCTCGAGGTCTCACGATAGAATATTTAGACTAGGACGAGGAAGTGGAAGTGGAAGTGGAAGTGGAATTTCTGTGTGTACCATGATGTATTCGACCACGCGTCCGACGGCATGGAGAAGTGCGCTGAACTAGTATGTTGGTTCGCCCTCCGTCACCCAGAATATCTTAGCCGAATATTACTAGAAGCCTGAGGGGGAGGGGGGGGGTCACGAACGGTCACGAGTTCGCTTAACCGTGCCACATATAATTTACCTGCTTACCCCAGACACGTTCCAGGGCATAAGGGGATTTGCGGCCCCGCGACGCGACAACGTGCCCGCCACTGCTACCCACAGCGGCTAATATGTAGTAGACAGATTGTTTCAACCTTCTGGTACATAATCGAGCCTGCGGCAGCAGGCGTTGTTTGGGGGGGTCGATACCGCCGTTTGCGCCAACTTTGATCCGCGACGGAACAGTATCGAGCGAGGATTGCAAGGCCTCCATTCGATCAGGAAGCTTCACTCATAGTTAAGTTCAGCAGATACCAGAAGGGATTTTGGGCCTCGAGGGCCCCAGGCTGCTCTTGCAGGGTCTACTCTCCTAATCAGTAATCAGGATTGATCCATGCAAGATATGGATGTGTGCACGCGGTCGCCGTTGCCTCTGAGTGTATTATGATTAATTGTGCCCAGTCCGCGTGATTGCAATGATGTTCACCGCATTGGATGGTGTGCAGTTGAGTCGATGTGTCCTGGGAGGGAGATAATCGACTGTAGTGTGGTACACCGGGGATCTCATCTCTGCTATGGAAGGTGTTGGACCCTCGTCCCAGTTCGGCGATCGGTGGGCCCCATGTTGATCACGGCCAGATGCCTTCGGGTTACAAGTAACTATTGGACGGTTTGTTGTGGGGGCGCATACGTATAATACAACCTACAGCGGACCAGAGGGCCACTGAGGAACACAGCACCAACTGCCAAGGCGTAACCGAGGTTTCCAAACAACATGTCCGTGATCTTCGTGTTTCCCGTTCGACACAGTACCCAGCATGAAGGTGAAACCACTTGCACTCGACCAAGTGAGATCGTGTTCACTGCGTCCTGCGAGGAGGTCAACACTCCCATCCCTGGTCGCCTTTCGAGCACCCTTGCTGACCGGCACACCCTTAACCTCGGCATCTCGCTTGCCAATTCCAAGCACGGCTAGACGTCGCCTCCACTCCACGAATCCCTGCAGTCCAGATCACCGTGATGCGCGTGTGCACAACGCCGCACAGCAGTCGATTTCCAAGAGCGACAACAACACCAGCTACTCGTCTGCTGGTGATGGGGAGCTTTCGTCTCGAAAACCGTACGCTGGCAGAGGCAGTGTATTTCCATTATCGAACAGCTCCTTGTTCGATGCCGCGTTGACTTCCATCGTGGGCCTAGGAATAGGTAAGTTGCCTTTCCTTGGTTAGCTTACTGAAGGCAATGCGCGTTTTGCTCTGCCCCTTCTGTTGCCCGATACGATCTTGGGAGAGAGTGTTTTCGAAGTGGTTGTCACTCTGTGGCACCAGGCCGTTCTGCGCCCTTCTGTGGTGCAAGAATTTCTGGATTCGCCGAAGGGGTGGAGGCATCCGGAACTCACGACCCTTCGTCCAACCCTCGAAAGGTTTCCAAGACACTGCTTGGGCTGGGACTGGTTTCTGGGTTTATCTCAACGCCAAAAGATCATACTGCAGTGTGCTATCGTTCGTTTCCGGGCGTGACTCTGCAGTCCACGTTTGATGTCTACCAAGCTTCCTTTGGTTGCTTCACTTCTATCACTCCCTTGTCATTATCACTGTCACTAGCACTCCACACGCAACTCATACGTTCATTTCAGTGTTTCTTGGGGGTGTCGCATACATAGCGTGGTACAAGAAGAACGTGCTAGACAAGGTCAGGGTACCCCTGTTGGTGTCAACTCGGGACGGATCATTGACTCCTGCAATTAATGTGCTGGTCGTACCGCTAGATCGAGAAGGCCTTCGATGGAGGCTATGATCCAGTTCTGGCCCTGGCCGACTTTGAGAAGGAAACATCTTCAAAGAGTCCCACCGATGAAAACCAATTGATGGAGCACCTCAGGCGGAAGGAACAAGACTGTGTCGATGATATTATCAAGGGTAATACGAGGGGTCATTACTACTTCCTCATAGGACCCAAGGTGTGCCTGTTTCATTTATTTAGGGACGGGCGTAGATGTGACTTTGTTGCTACATTCTTCAAGGGAGGAGGAAAGTCGACCTTGATTTTGGATGCGATGCGCTCCATACAAGCGGAAGGGGTGTCGATTCTGGATGTTCACCCAGACCTCGAAGTTTTCCGTCTGCGCTTGGGCAAAGCACTTAACTACGAGTTTCACGAAGACTCCCAGACACTCTTATTCCAGAGACGTGATCCCAGGGAAGGTGCGTGATTTTCATACACATACCATGAGTATTGCAAGGGCTGTGCTCATATCATATATTGTGGCAGCTGGCCCGGCGTTAGATATTGAACGAGGTAACACATGATGATGCGTGCCACGTTCTTTGAATGACAAGGTTATAATAAACCGCAGCGTTGAATAAGCTCGAGAAAGTTGCACTCCGAAAGGCGAGGAAAACTGGCCGACCCATCGTGCTTGTCTTTAACAATGTCCAACATTTTAATAACGACGAGGATGGCAGAAATATGCTATTACAGCTCCAGCAGAAGGCAGAAGCATGGGCAGCAAGTGGTATGTACCACATTACCAGAGTCATATGCTCATATGGACCTGAGATGACCCCTTTTGCCACAGGTATTGTCACAACCGTTTTCAGTTCGTAAGGCGCAGTGTTCTTCCGTGACCCTGGCAACATTGAAAGCTCAATATCCGCTGTATTCAGGGATGACTTTTGGCCATGCTTACTGATGCGTGAGTTCTATTGCGAATAATTCATGACAGTGCTCCAACGCTCGCTCCAGACAAGGCTGCCAACAGGATGCGTGTGCGCTTTTTAATATCCTATCTCCACAGTCTCTGTCGTCTGACTCATTTCCAAGGTCCTGACGATTGGTGACCTTTCATTTGAAGCAGCCCGTCATGCGCTTGGTCACATGCGCCTCTCCCAGAAAAAGCCCCAGGCAGACCAGACCACCATTGACCAGGTCGTAACTCTTGTTGGGGGACGTCTATCTTACTTGAGTCACATAGCTCGGACAGAGCGTATGCTCAAGACTGTTCAGGACATCGTGGATTGGGAAAGGGAATGGCTCCTCAGTCAAATTGGTCTGATCCCTGATTGTGATGACGACGTCATGGACGAGGTGTGTTGTTTTCCCCCCTCTTGACGGCCTCATGCATGGGTGGGGGGTTAAACACGTGGATCTATGCAGCAAAAATGGAGCTCCTGTTCGTGGTTGTTACTCAAGGAGTTCGTGAGATTGTACAAAGAGCGCCAGAAGGAACGCCAGGCTGCTGGACTGCCTTGGGATCCCACGGAGCTGCCGTCTATACCTTATGTCAGTTCACCCCCAAGGATTTCGATGTGGGTTCTATTGATTGACAATGGCGACGCGTAGGGACGTTGTCGCCAGATCATGACAAGAACAGACTTTATCGAAGGTGAGCTGGCTCCCTCTGTAGATTCTATGTCTTATATTATTGGGCAGAACTTGATAGGTCAAATATTATCTCGATCGGTGTAAGCGAAAGGACTTCATATCCCACCGTGACCTTACTTGACATTCAACAAACAGGTTAAGCTGGACGTGCGCCCTGATTCGATGCTCATCCTACATGCTGCTCGCGAAGTGGTAGAAGCGGAAGGGTTCGATGATCTCTTACAAAACGTTCGCGATCGAATAGACGAAATTGAAAGTCTACATAGGACAAGGGAGCTAACGGTACGTAGAGAAGGTAAAAACCTTCGCTGACAGCATGCTGAGGCCTCCGTGAAGTTCAAGGACTTGAGTCCCGGTGATAAGATCAGACTACAAGTGGAGAAGAGTCCACGTAGATTGTGGTAGCTCATTCGCTTATTGCTCCTAGATACAGTCATTGGCACGCATCCTTCACTCTAATACATATGTGAGGGCTGCGCAAATGGGCCCCACAAAACAGTGGGCACCCGATTAAAACTGTCCATTTCATCCGCCCTCAGTGTGACAACCCTGTGATGGAGACACGGTAGTAGCAAATATGTAAGTAAGGCGGCACACAAATATTTTATAGAGCAATACAACAAAACCAGCTCGAGCCAACAACCTCGTCTCTCGAAAGTGGCAGAGGTATACGGCGTGAAGAGCGAGCAACTTGGACACCAGGTTCTTGTCCGTACAAGTAAGAGGAAAATTTCTACTGCGAGGGTAGTTGGAGGATTGAGTTGGGGAACCAAATTAACGGGAAACCCAACGTATGTCTGCTACGGCAGTCGCACAGTCGCATATCAAGGGCGAGAGACCGAATCTGAAATTAGACGGCGATCGGGACCGATTTCGTCTCGCCCTTGCCCCCAGCTGCAGCCTCGGCCTCAGCGACGGCCTTCTTCTGCACCTCAATGTCTTTGATTTGCTTTTCCAACTTATCCTTTACATTGCCCGTGCCCTTATTGAACGTCATACTGCGGTGAGGGCTTGGCACGCCTATGCTCCCTGTGGGAGGAGCTGTTACGTTGACCATAGGCGAATGCGCGCCAAGGCCGCGATGGAAAGTGGAAGGGAGTACCCGTCCCTCTGGGTGCTGGAACGGACACGTTGCTCGTGTGCACGCGGCGCCGAAACGACATGGTTGAGTATATTGGGATCGTGGATGGCTATAAAGACAACCAGGACGTGTGCAGGCAGAGCCGAAGCGACACGGGATGGTAGATGGGTGTGGGTGTGGGTGCAATGGACTAGGGTGGGCGTGGACCAAAGGTGTCGAGACCGGTTTTTGGGCTTCTGGTGCAGCTGAGAATATGTTAGGAAAAATTATCAGCATGTAGTTCACAAAATATGCACCTGGATTGTTAGTAGCGGGGCTAACGTGCGATTTGATACAGTCCTTGTCCTTGCACTCTTTTCCCTTTTCACATGGTTCTGTACTGAGCACCACTCCACTTTCAGCAGTGGCAACTGGCGACGGATGCGAAAATCGACACTGAGAATTGGTGCATTTGGTGCCGAATTTGCAAAGCGTCGGGGAAAGGGGCCTGTCTGGGAGAGCATACGGTATTCGTTGTGGCGTGGCTGGAATTGCAGGAATAGGGGATGTGGACTGTGCCGGCACTGGCACAGGTGCTGCGATAGGTGCAGGAAGGGAGGTTTCAACAGTAAGAGGGACAGTCTCCTGTTGCGCTTCAGCAGGAGCCGGTGACGGCCGAAGATGGCCACCTCGTCCACCACCTCTTCCTCTTCCTCCCCTTGTAGCACCACCGCGACCACGAACGCCTCCAGTATTCTGTCCGAATGAATGTCCATTCATCCCTCCCGCATACATGGCCATATCACCTTGTTGCATCGGAAAGCCTCCATTCATGGCCATCATCTGCCCTGTTCCCGGATTCAACATTCCCATTGACGTTGCCATCTGTGCCATGAGTGCCATCTGGTTCATCATCATGTCCTGCAGCATTAAGGGATTTGGGCTCATGGCCATTTCCATGCCATTTTGGAACGGCATCATCATGCTTGGATCTGGAGTGCTGCCATTCGTAACAGCGTCAATACGGGCTTGGATTTCGTCGTTACGTGCGAAGGTTGCATTCCCATTCCTACCGCCCACTCTATCCAGCAAACTACGACCGGTCGAGTTGCTCTGCATCGCACGGGGGCCTGTGGGGAGGTCTGTTCTGCGGGCCTTTGAAGGTCCTTGACCTGTTGGTGACGGAGAACGCGCCGACGCAGTACGTTTTTGGGATGAAGGGGAGGCAGAAGAAATGGCTGATGCAATAGCTTGTTGATACGGTGGAGCGCCTGGACGAGGAGCATTTGGTGGTCGCCGAGAGGGGTCGACTGGAGCATGCGGTGGGTCACGGGTCGGCTTAGCTTCTGCGGCGGGCGCAGCAGGTGGAATCGGTATTGACGACGGCCCTTCGGACTCGGGAACCCCTTTTGCGGCCTCGATGAACAACCAGTCAGTAAAACTAGGGTCTGCAAATCATGGTCAGAACGCGGTAAAGGACAGATATCACCATGCTACGAACCATAATCCGATCCAATTACTGCAGAAGAAGTGAGCGATTCGAAAAAAATACAATTCAATAGACAAACTTACGGTCTTCTAGCTCCGAAGTGATTTGGGCTGTTGGCGAGAAGATAAGTAGGGAAAACTTGTAGCAAGCAAGAAAAAACCTACCGGGTGTCTTGTTATTTATGATCATGATAGTAATGTATTCCGCCATGACGGGATCTAGACATGTGGTGAGGTACGCAAACTAGCAAGGAGACACGGGAAGGGACGTACCGGCGTCGGGACTGTAACCTCTCTTGGTGAGTTCATTTTGGATTGAGTTCTGAGTGTTTCGTTAGTATAACTTTAATGTCAAATAATAGTTTATTGTACGAACTTGTAATGAAACTGCTCGTTCTGTACCAATGATGAGGCCGAAAGGCATTCTGGACGATGTGGTCGACGACGAAGGAGACGGATGACTTGGTTGAAGAGCGAAAGGTTTTCATGACTAAGCGTTATGTACGTATACGGGCAAATATTTATTTATTTATTTATTCCTCTCGCCAAATTTCAAACCCTTTTCTTTGTCATCGTCGGAACGTGGGCTCTCATTGGCTCTCACTAACGATTTGGAGGACTAATAGCCTTCCCTCTTGGCCATGAAGTATTCGTATTAACGTGCGAGGTGCGGGCGCTATGGTATAATGGTGAAACACGCCCTGATAGGTCGAACCTTGTAGGACATTGCGACATGAAGGTGCTACGCTACTGACGCTCATGACGACTGCAAGCATCAACCAAATGACAGTTGCAGCGCTAACTGGCCACACTGGCCTCGGTGGCACTTGCAGGGGGGCGCGGCGGCGGCACTTCTGTCGGAGCGGTTCGTTCCGTTCCTTTGTACCATTGTCGCCCCAGCGTCCGCCCGTGGACCCAGCTCTTGCATTCTTCTCCCAGCCGTCAGCGTTGGTGGCCCAGCACTAAAGGTGACGAAGAAAAATCAGCAAATGAGATTGCCAGAGGTGCGGGCCGTGCGGCGCCTACATTTCATCTCCGCCTTCTGGTCTAAGGTATTTGGCCGGTACCATGGCCTCCCCATACAGCCACTTACGGGGCCATGTCTCTTCAATTTTGTTCCAGTACGTGAAATATGCCTCTATGCGCTCTCGCCTGCCTCGCTCGCAGCGCACGAGATCCCGAATGTCTTGCGTTTGTTTACGTAATTTTGCAGCTGTTTCCCGAAGTCTGGTTATCTCAACCATCATGATCTGATCGTTGTTCGATATATGTTGCATGATCTCCACGGCGCGCTCGACTTGGTCAACACCAGAAGGTAGGGGTGTACACGCCCGAGATGATCGCGGGGTCGCGTAGGATGGCTGGGTGATGTTCGTCATCTCAGAATCGGTGTCGCTGAATAAATCAGAGTCTAACACCGGTTCTTTCGGGGACACCGCTTCTACGATAGCTATTGATGGTTGAGAGGGTTAGCTGACTACTCTAGATCCTAGTTGGTGGGCGTACTGGGATGGGCAGTTTGCCGTTGCCGGAGGCTGGCACTGGCTTCGTTGCGCTGTGGGGCCGCTGAAGTGTTCGATGTCACTGGAAGGGATCCTTGGCATGATGGAGTAACCATTCCTGGATCCCTAGTCTGTTGTGATGGCCGGTGTGCGGTTTCGACAATGAGGGGAGCGAATTGCGATTCTGGTGTCGCTGGAAGTTGCTCTTGTGCAATCTTGGTATGTCTAGCTTTCTTCTTTGGAGGACCTTGATCGTGATCATCGTCTGCAGGCCTGTGACCCAGTCGGTTAGAGTACAGTAATTCCGGGAGAAAGCGTGGTATACCTTGCATTTTTCTTCGGGTATTCAAGTTTCAGCAAATTTTGGATGATCTGCTCGCTCTTTACGTTGGCTTTCATACCGCGTTCCTAATGCGAACCATGAGTACCTCGGAGTACCTCCTCAAGCTGGCAATGCTCACCTTTGCTAGCTTCTGGAGTTCCGCGCGGGGCAACTTACGGAGGGATGTCTCACTCAATCGCCTGTTGGCCCGTTGCGCGCCCATGTCGGATGTTTCACCTGTTGGTGTGGTCATAGAAACGAGTTTTGCCATTTGTCGCGTTTGAATCACGATGTAGGGCCAATTTGTATGGTTGATCTGGGGTTATGGATGAGAGTGGGGAACAAGATGGGACAGCGAGAATGTTGGCATTTTTATCCTCGTAGTTTTTGGCATTTGATATACCACCATCCACACGTCGGAGCAGTTAGAACAATAGCGGACCCACAGGTCAAAGTGGATGACATCTTATCGGACTCGGTATGCAGTGACAGTCAAAGCAACTCGGCAAATTCCTCTGGACTACCCCCGATCGATCTACCATTGATTTCATGTCTGCAGACATTTGCTGGACAGGTTCGACGTGGTCCTTTACTACGCTGCGCTTAGACCAACACCATATTGTACATCGTTGCAGTAGTAACCCCTATAACGAACAAGTGTATCCAAAAAAAAAAAAAGCTGGTGATGACAAGAGTGGGATTTGAACCCACGCCCTCTTACGAGGATGAGAAGACCTGAAGAATCAGGCAAGCTTGCGCTTGAGTCACACGCCATAGACCGCTCGGCCATCTTGCCAGCACAACTATACACCTGCTAAGGCGCAGATGAGCGTACGAGGAATCAGTGGATCAATCACTTTTAACTGGTAACTCGATCTGAGGCGCGGAGGGATACTGGGATCGAACTGGTATGGAGATGCGACCTTGAACGAGGGGTAGCGTGAGTGGACCGAGACCATGGCGTAGTAATCGGGAACAATAAGGATGTGACCCCTGAAAGACCCACTTTCCACCGACTTCCTTTGTTCTTCGGGCTTTGACAGCACAGCAACCACGTCGGTGACTGACACCGTTGGGCCATCGCGTTAGTCCTTTAAGGGATCGGAGAAAAGATGCATGTATCGTTTCCCTTACCCCATCGTTGTATACTACCTACCAAAACCACATCATGGACGGTGCCAAGCTGCGTAAACTTAGTCGGGCGGAGATACAGTCCATTGCCAAGGTGAGCAAACCGCATTTTTGGGCGTGGATCGGATGAACATTTCGAAATCAGAGAGAACATGTTCGCGCTGTCGGAAAGACGGAGGATATTATCTGCAGACTTCTCAGTAGATACCCTAAAGGGGTGCCAAAACCGGGGTGCGTTCCATCTCCGTCGCGCAGGTGACGAGTATTAATGTGGCAGGGCAGGAACACAAACAATACCCCAGGTCCACCAGCAGGGAACGGGAAGTTATCGCAGAAGAGGCCAAAGCGGAAGCTCAAGGTGACGCAGGAGCATCAATAACCGGCGTCAAGAAAGAACAACTCTAGCAGCAGAGGCCGCTGTTCATAGCCAAAACACTGAAGGGAAGGAACAAGATTCGGGTACGATCGCTGAGGAGCCGATACCTGCCACGGGACCATCGAGAAGCGAGCCACGCAATTCTCAAAATCAACCTCAACACGATGATACCAAAAGCGACGTATCTTATCTTCGTGTCGAAAAGGTGCCGGATGAATACATGGTAGTTGATGCTCTACGCGCATTCACTACCCTCGTAAACTGATGCCCCTGGAATGAAGCAATCCGTGCAAGAAACCAAAGAGCTCCTCGACCGCACCGCCAACCTGATAGAAAATATGATGCCAGAGATCCGGGAGACGAGCCTAGTGAGAGAGAAGCTTGAAGGCCGACTGTTGGCAAAGATGAAGAAGAAACCTGAACTTTGGGATGGGACCGCGAGTATGGAGAAGAAGGACAGGAAGTTGAGGATGGAATGGCTGAGATCTGAGAGGAAAGCTGAGAGCATTAGGAAATGGGAGGAGGAAAATAAAGAGTTTGCACGGAACGGGCACAGTCCGGAGCCCTACGAGAATTACTGCGTGAGTTTCTGTTTGCCAGCTGGATCGTGGACGGCTCATAACTGCTCGACAGATCTGAGTCAGAAGGGGAAGCAATAGAAAGCTTACAGACTACTCCTGGAGGCAGTCGCAGTGGGAGTCCCAAGCGGTCGAGGGAGGCATCTGACAGCGAAAGTTCAGACAGCAGTCGGTCGAAAAGACGGCGTTCATGACATCATCATAACTACTGCTACCGTGCTCACGTGACCCCGCCTAATAAAAATTTACAAATGTGTAGACACCCGACTTGTCGACTGAAGAAAATTTCAGGTTTTCGTGCTTGACTTGCCAGAGCTTTCGTGAGCTCGTACATGATTTTCACGGGGAATACTCGCGACGAGTGAGTCGTCTTCCTTCACTCCTACTCTGTCTCAACGCGGTTGGGCAGTTACCTCAGTGACCTCGTATTTTCCTTGATCGATCTGTAGAGGGACCCACCCTCCACCATGCTTCCAAGCTCAGTTGTCCGGCTACCTGTCTCGTCTAAATGCCTTTCTTTTCTAAATAAGCTGCCTTCGACTCGTCATCAGTGCCTCCGTTACTTCCGTACCACACCTCACCGTCGAGTCGCCTTCCTTCCCACAAATTGTTTGCGCGCTATTGCTAAGCCTGCGGTGGGCTCATATGCACCCAAAGAAGACGAACATGTCCTTAGTTCCCCCTCTGAACTCGCCCGTAGAATCTCTGCCAAGGTCCTTCCAAAGCTACCTCGCCCTGACGTCAAGAGAGTCGTCATGGTCGGTAGTGGCGGTCTCAGTATCGGCCAAGCCGGCGAATTCGACTACTCTGGGTCGCAAGCCCTCAAAGCTCTCAGCGAAGAGGGCATCGAAGCTATCCTAATCAATCCCAACATTGCAACTTGGCAAACATCTCATCAGCTCGCGTCTGAAGTTTACTTCCTCCCAATCACCGCGGATTATGTCGCTTACGTCCTCGAAAAGGAACGCCCGGATGGCATCCTCCTAACCTTTGGTGGGCAGAGCGCCTTGAATGTTGGCATTGCCCTCGACAAGATGGGCGTCCTAGATCGTCTCGGTGTCAAGGTGCTTGGTACACCCATCAAGACACTCGAGGTCTCTGAGGATCGCGACCTCTTCGTCCAAGCGTTGAAAGGTGCGCCTCAGACGATTGGGTAGTGTGCATTATCTCACCTTCTTGCAGAGATCGATATCCCCGTTGCTCAATCTACGGCAGTTTCCAGTGTCAATGCCGCTCTTGAGGCGGCAGAAAGGATTGGCTACCCTGTCATCCTGCGGTCTGCATTCACTCTGGGCGGTCTTGGTTCAGGTTTTGCCAACAACCCAGAAGAATTGCGTGATCTATCTGCCAAGAGTTTGTCTCTTTCCCCTCAGGTCCTCATCGAACGCAGCATGAAAGGCTGGAAGGAATTGGAATATGAGGTGGTTCGGGATGGTGCTGATAACACCATCATTTGTTGTAACATGGAAAACTTTGATCCCCTCGGCACTCACACCGGCGATTCCATCGTCGTAGCCCCTTCTCAAACTCTGCCAGACGATGAATACCACATGTTGCGGAGTGCTGCCCTCAAGGTCATTAGACACCTCGGTGTCGTCGGTGAATGTAATATCCAATATGCGCTCAACCCATACTCCAAGGAGTATTGCGTCATCGAAGTCAATGCTAGGTAATTTATTTAATTTATTGGGCGTTCTGCGTCTCATTTGTGGTTAGGTTGAGTCGTTCGAGTGCTCTTGCATCGAAAGCTACCGGATATCCTCTTGCTTACACAGCCGCGAAGATCGCCCTTGGCTATACCCTCCCCGAGCTGCCCAATGCGGTGACCAAGACAACGACTGCCTGCTTTGAACCTTCTCTTGACTACATTGTCACCAAGATACCGAAGTGGGACTTGGCCAAGTTCTCCTCACATGTCAACCGCGAAGTTGGCTCTGCCATGAAGAGTGTTGGCGAGGTGATGGCTATCGGACGTACATTCGAGGAGAGCTTGCAAAAGGCCGTCCGTCAAGTCGACCCGCATTGGAAGGGCTTTGAGCCGTACTATCAGCCCGAGGATCTTGACACGGCTTTGTCGAAGCCAACCGATATGAGGTTATTTGCAATTGCGCATGCCATGTACAACAAGAACTACTCGGTCGATAAGGTCCATGAGTTGACAAAAATCGACAGGGTACGTCTTTCAGGTCTTTTTCGCTACATTTGACCAACGTATTTTGTCCCGCAGTGGTACTTGTATAAGATCGACAACATAGTTCAGACCCACCGTCAAATCAAGTCTCAGGGTTCTCTTGAGAAGGTCGACCACGAACTTATGAAAAAAGCGAAGTGTATGGGTTTCTCAGATGTGCAGATTGCGGACATCCTATCTACTACGGAAGACGCAGTTAGGACACACCGGAAATCTCTTGGTATCACTCCCTTCGTTAAGCGAATCGACACCCTTGCGGCCGAATACCCCGCTCATACAAACTATCTCTATACCACATACAATGCGTCTGAGCATGACGTGGACTTTGACGAGCATGGTACCATGGTACTTGGTAGTGGTGTATACCGCATCGGATCTTCAGTTGAATTCGATTGGTGTGCTGTCACCTGCGCCAGGAAACTTCGCAACATGGGCAAGCGCACGATCATGATCAACTATAATCCGGAGACGGTCTCTACAGACTTTGACGAAGCCGATAGATTGTACTTCGAGGAACTTGGCTATGAACGTGTTATGGACATCTACGAACTTGAGCAAGCTCAAGGTGTGATTGTTAGTGTCGGAGGTGAGCAGCTTTGGTGCAATTCGGCCTCGATGTTGAATAACTGATGACGGCCGTGCAGGACAATTACCACAGAACATTGCCCTTCGGCTGAAGGACAACGGAGTCAACGTCCTCGGTACTGATCCTGCGAAGATTGATGCTGCGGAGGATCGTCACAAGTTTTCTTCGGTGCTTGATAGCATCGGCGTTGATCAGCCCGAGTGGACAGAGGTTACCTCCGTCGATGCTGCTAAGCGTTTTGCCGAGAAAGTTCGGTATGTGACGAGTCCTCGAAGAAATTGATACAAGCATTGACTATCATGCCCATAGTTACCCAGTCCTCATCCGTCCTTCCTACGTCCTGTCTGGCGCCGCCATGAATGTCGTGTATGAAGAGTCTACTCTGGAGTATAACCTTTCTGCTGCCGCATCTGTTTCCCCACTCCACCCTGTTGTCATTACGAAGTTCATCGATAACGCCCTGGAGATCGACGTGGATGCAGTCGCATACCAAGGCAACCTTCTGGTCCACGCCGTTTCTGAACATGTTGAGAACGCAGGTGTCCATTCTGGCGATGCTACCCTCGTACTTCCGCCCTTCTCCCTTACAGCCACCGATATGGAACGCCTTAAAAGTATCGCACAGAAGGTTGCGAAGGCCTTCGAGATCTCTGGACCTTTCAACATGCAGATCATCAAAAAGCCTGCTTCCAGTCGACATGAAGAGGACGAACTCAAGGTCATAGAGTGTAACTTGCGTGCATCTCGGTCTTTCCCCTTCGTCTCAAAGGTTCTTGGACACAACTTTATCGAGACTGCCACTTGTGCGATCGTGGGCAAGGATGTACCTGAGTTCGTCAATCTCATGGCACAGAAGAGGAACTACACTTCTATCAAGGTTGCTCAATTTTCCTGGACCCGCCTCGGAGGAGCTGACCCATTCCTCGGCGTCGGTGAGTGTTTATGTAAAATGACTCCCCAACCACTGATGTTGACACTTGCCTTCTCAGAAATGGCCAGCACTGGCGAGGTTGCAAGCTTCGGAACTGACGTGCATGAAGCGTATTGGGCGTCTTTGCTTTCCACGACCGGCTTCAAAGTTCCTCAGGCTAACTCTGGTGTCCTTATTGGTGGCGATACGACAAAGCCAGAGATGGCATTTGTGGCGAAAACCCTCGTTAACCTCGGCTTCAAGCTTTACTGCTCTTCCCACCAGGTGGAGAGCTATTTGAACAGCCTTCCATACGTGTCTGCCAAACGGATATTCTTCCCTACTAAGGACAAACGGCTCCTGCGGGAAGTTTTCGACGAATATGATATCCAATGCGTAATCAACCTTGCTAAAACTCGGGGGAAAGGTTTCACGGACGAAGATTATGTCGCCAGGAGGAATGCTGTTGACTTTGGGTTACCACTTCTGAACAACGCCCGGTGCGCAAAATTGTGGGTTGAGGCACTCCAAAAGAAGATACCACAGGGTGGATTAAGGAAGTATGACGAGGGAAGGATACCCTCTGAAGTGCGCTCTTGGAGAGAGTTTGTTGGTAGGAGGCCATGAAACTGTGTGTGTTGTCGCACAGAACGCCGAAGTAGTACCAAAGTACCCTTTCAGTGTATGCATCTAACATGATCGCCAGAACTTGAAATTTCACAATAGTAATGCTACTTGGTTCTTTTTACAAGTTTGAAGCGATCGATATAACTTATGGTAACATATCTTCCGGTCCACAAAGTTCTTCGGGAACGAGCTCCTCTGGGTATTTATCCACGCGCTCAGTGTTCAGCGCTTCGCTTAGGCCCCTATCCACAGCAAACTTGGCCTCAGTGGTGGCATCCGCTCTGCCCCGGAGGATATCCACAACTATTCGGCCAACATTGGGGAGGAACTATAGATCCGTATCAGCCTGCCAAGTTTCCCATAAGAATGGATGAGAAGCTGGGGTTGTCCCGTGCCGCATACTATCGTAAAATTGGGGAAAAAAATGAAACTTACCTTGAACCCATGTCCACTCCCCGATGTTGCCAGAAACAAACCGGGGTCGCCGGGGAACTGACCGATAACCCAGTCACTATCCGGCGAGTCGGTGTACCTGTAAGGGGATGACGACTTAACATGTCACGCGAGCCCGAAGTTAGGGAGAAAAGGAGGGGGAAAGAAATTCGACAAGCAAGCAAATGGCGACTAAAAACGGGAAAATGGGAGGGGTGCGCTCAACGGCACCGGTCCCCAGTAACACGAACTTCGACACGTAGCGGAAACAAAGGAATTCTCATATCAATCTCATTCAACCGTCGGTTCGGTTCACGCCCCGCCTTGCCCCAAGGTTCGACACGCCACATGTTCCACCTGGCCGCAGCGTACGAAATATAAAACTGTATTTGTGTCGGACCGCAATTGGCCGCGTCGATTTGCGTCAGCGGTGACAAAAACAGGGGACGCTGGAAAACAAGACACGACCATAGGGGAGTCGGAAGGATCTTAACAAAGCCACCGATCGAGACCCTTTTGTTACACGGTAATTCTAATTGATCGGCGATGGTTGAAGCACCTGGTGAGTGTCTTCTATTACGAGGATTGTAAGTATTGATTAACGTACGCGTACGATGGACTTTGCCAACCTGGGCCCGCATTCTTCATGTACCATGACCAAACCCTGCCGCCGAGGTAAGTTTAGCTACATAGCGAGTTCGGTACTGAGAACACCAAGGTCGAATCACGGGATGAGAGACGGTGATTAAAGGGGAGATATGACATACGTTACCTTACGTCTTAATGCATCTAAGGCAGAGACGCGATGGATTACGAATATCACACTTGCCACCGTGCCAGGAAGACTACAGGGCAAGCCAGGAATTTCGCTGAGCAGCTTTGCGGAACTGGGGGCAGAAGGAACATGGAGCATGGAACAAGCGGGGTGAGGCGTTCTTACTCGTACAGTTTCTGGCAGAGCTGAGACACTGCTCTGCGCACAACGGAGGAGGCAAACGAAAACAATAAAGATATGGGGAGTCGTGAGAAGCACCCACCAACACATCCTCGTTCCCGCCCAGGGTTTCTCCGCTAGATCCGGGTAGACCACCCTCAAGCAATCCCCTAATAACCCGTAGCACGGATCGAGGGACACGTAACCCGTCTGAGCCCTCTGGGTGGCTGAGAACTGTCCGGGGGGTTGAGATCTTACGAGGCACCAGAGTTGCGTTGGCAAAGGAAAATCTAAACGCGGATGGTGTCACCATATGGGTGTGTCCGGCAGCATGCAAACCAGTCTTGATAACATTATCCTTGTTGGGCTGGTTCAGAATAACTTTGTCAGATAGTGATTAATCGGCATCATGGGTAAGAAATCGAGGGGAACGCATCAGTAACGTGCCATCATGAAATATCTCACGTGCAAACAAAAGACAATCGCAAAGCCCAATCACGGTGGAAAAAGTGGATGGCGCAACAGGAAAAGGTAGGTAAGACAACGTTCCAATGGAAAACGCGTCCAAAACTAAACGGGGGAACTCTTTGCGGGTGTGCTCCGGTAACCTGCACGGACCATACCGTTCGATCACCAAAGCATATGTCTGTGAGACTGAAGCACAGATAAGATAAAGGCGTGCATGTTGATCCAAGTACGCCCCAAAAGGACACATGCAAGCCAAGGGGAAACATTAGCCACGCCAACGGATAGTCAGAATGTTACAAATGTTGTGATGATGATTGGAACAAATCTAATCAAGCTTCCTATGTCCAATCAATGTTGCAACTGTCCTGGGAATGGAAATAGCAAGGCGTTGAAACACATGAGAGAAAAAGACAGTACACCGGGCGGATCTACTCCATACCCTGGTTTTGAGCCACTGTGCTTGTTGTGGCTCAACGTGGTGGAATGCAACGCCAACGCCCATGTGATCTCTCGCATGTGGAGACCACCTCCAGGACCATGTGGAGAATGACACCACCAAAATGACGTGCGAAGTCAAGGTCACAAGAATTGCTTACTGGGAGGACATAGAATCCAGTCCTGAAGTCCATAACAACGGGACTCTTTCTATACCGTTCCGATTCTTCTGGAGTTAGTTGTAGAAATGCCAGACTTTGCCTGATATGTGTTAAGGGGATGAGATAGCGCGAGCCAGAAGATTCAATCCCCACCCAGAAGCCAGACACCGCTGATCGAGTTCTAGTCCTGGGAAAGAGGATGCGGTCCATGATCCCGCCGCAAGAATGACTTGATCTGCACAATACATAGAGCCATCGACACACATGGCCCCACACGTGTAGCCAGACCCGTCTGCATTGCTGTTGAGCAATGTCAGGACCTCTTTCCCACTCTCGACCTTCGCTCCACGAGCGATGACGATCCCAAGAAGGATCTTGACGGAACGAGTTGCCTCTACCCAACCACCGTCGAGGTTGATGTATCCAGTATAATTCGAGAAGTCTCCTAAGAGGCGATGCTGGAGAGGACGCTCGTGTTCTGGTATCCGGTGTAAGGAGTCAGGGAAGGCCGATCGAATCTTCTCTGCGTTCGGAAGTAAAGTAACGCGGGCGCCTTCTGCGAAGTCGTTCTCGTACGATTTGTCCGTCAACGCACGTCCGATGAGAAGGACGCTAGACCTGCAGTGATTTCAGAGAGGTGTTCAAAAGCTTATGACTATGCGAGGACAGAAAAGGCGGTACTTACTCATGATAACATCCCTCCCACATTGGCTCTTTCCACCTGGCAATAGCGTCCCTCGCAAGTCGGGTATAGAAGCTATCTGCGTAGATCGATCGGACGACTGGAACGAAAAGGACACGAAGCAGATCCAAGGGTCTGTTGTTAGCAATATCCTTTTCAACAAACTCGCAGCCCTCCATTAAACATTCACGCATACGGTGCCAGTAGCATGGAACGAACAAGAAACATGCGCTGTACACACCTTTGTTGATATCCGTACTAGCCGCATCCAATGCGGGTAACTCATCAGCCTTGTCGAGGATAGTTATATCTTTGAAACCGTCCTCCTGGAGATGGTATGCAGTAGATAGACCAAACACGCCTGCACCGACGATGAGGATCCTTGACGTCGCAGGGTCAAGTGGTGGCAACACCGGAGGAGGGATGGTTGACTGGAAGGACATGTCTGCGATCAGTTTAGCACCTGAGCTTGTAAACTACACTGTCGTGTTATCGATGGAGAACGCTGCCCTTCGGCGCAGGCTGGAGGCGCCGTAGATAGAGATGATTAGTCTTATCATTGACATGATGACGAAAGCCTACAACTCCCATTCTGCCTCCATATGTATGTACAAGACTTCTAATATTGGAACTGGTAGTCAATTATTGTAGCTGTTGAATACCTTTCTCCATCGCAAATACACAGATCAAAAGAAAAGCGCGTGTCCATCCGCTCACTCCGGGACAAAACATTCTGTGTTGTCCCGTCGACCAACTTGATGTTTCTTCATACATTATCGGGGAATCAGGGCTTACGCATCTATCCCCTCACACATTCTTGCCACGACCCGAGCAATCCTACCATTTCGGAGTGCCTCCACGATCATAGCAACCTTGTCTCCATGCGTGGTATCCACGGTCTTACCCAAGCCTGCTTCCTCTATCATTGCCGCATCCCAGGACTGCTGCGCCTCCCGGTCACGCGCACGCATCCCGTACACGGTCTTGCGGAGATTGTCACTGCCGTGCATAGGGATGCCAAGCTCAAGCCTGACAAACTCGTACAAGGACCGCGTGCGCGAAGCAAGGTATTTCGATGCGGGCGCACGACCCATCGGTAGGATACCGAACATGGGAAGTTGTGGCGGTGACGATGACGATGAATACACTTCTTCCAGGGATACACCCATAAACGCGCAGCGCAACTCCGTAAGGAGCGCCTCGAGTCTCTGAGCCAAGATCTCCCTGAACCGCGCGATCTGGGGCAGGTCAAGGGTCGAAACGCAACACGACGGGTCAGAGGTCAACGCCTCGAGTAGCGGCGCAACAGCGGCGCTGGCGGCCTTTGCCATCCTCAATCCGAGGGCTACGCTGGTTGTCTGATCAAGCTCGTTCAAAATCCTCGGTGTGACCCGGCACGTTACTGTGTCCAATGATTCTGGTGTGGCGAAAGCGTCCCTAAAAGTTTCCGAGAGGACCGAACGCACGACAGCCCCCGCGCGACTATACATCTCAGTTTGAATTGCCCGCAGATCGAGCGCCTGGCAGAGGATATAGATGTGGGAAGCCGCAAGAAGTTCGGAGACTTCAAGGGCCGCAAGGGTATATCGCGCTGAAACCAGGGCCAGCGAACTGGAAGCAAGGGAAAACATTCGAATTCACGCCATGGCAGAAGGACAAAAGTGGAAGACCACTTACTTGAGGCTTTGGTTGTGCATCTCCGCACTGACGACACCTACGCCGACATTCATCCCTCCGAGGGCATTTAGCTCACCCGCATATGCCGCGGCGGCGATATCAAGACCCTGTTGTTTCACGTTAGCGCATGGCGACACTTAGGAGCCACGTATGAACCTACCTTTCCACCAAAATCCAACGCTGCCTCGCCGCCAGCGAGATTCCCCGGCAAACCGCGGTTCATCAGAGGGTTCAATATTTCTGTTAGCTGGACAAACATCAATCTTCCGATTTGTGCGAGTGCCAGCCGAAGATGGTCCATCGCAACGGTCATGGCAAGCGCTTGGAAATTGCCAGCATGATGGATTTTACCGTCTCCAGTTGGCGTCCTCGGAGGTTCGACGAGCGGATTATCAGTAGTTGAGTTGATTTCAATCTGAACTGTTTCTTTGGCGTGCTTCAACTCCTCAAACTGAGGTCCCAGCCACTGCGGGGCCGTGCGCAGAGAGTAGCTGTGGTGTCACGTGATGAGCACATGTTATGGACGCACTGGTGGAAACCCACCGGTCTTGTCTGAGTACTCCGTCATCCTCTTCAATCTTCACCTCTTCCTCGTGATCGACGGCGAACTGCGAGCCAGCGAGTAGTTCATATATCAAATGCGCTGCTTCGATCTGGCCGATGTGCGGGCGTGCCTCGCCGACGAAGGGATCGAAACTGCCGCGTGCACCATTCATAGCTTCGACCGCGAGTGCTGTCAGAACCTTTACACAAGTGGCCAAATCATATCAGGCCCGAGATCAATTGGATTTGAAAAGAAGACGTACCGCTCCAAGGACACCTATTGTTTCTGTATTGCGCACCACAAGCGACGTTAGTCCGGCGCTAAATGCCGTCCCGTTGAGGATTCCCAGATGTTCTTTGCTGGCAAGGGGTAACGGGGTGGTCCCAGTCGCTCGGAAAGCATGAGGCGCAGACATCATTTCCATCGTTGTCCCAGGTGGTGGATACGTGAAGTTCACAGTCTCTTCCATGGCGCAAGGCTTCGTGCAATCTTCCTCATCACGGACAGACGTTGCAGGTGTACTGGGACTAATGGGTGATTCGGAATTTTCGGAAGTTATGGGGGAAGTGTGTCCGGAGGTAGAACGCGAAGTGTCGTTAAGGGAGCTATTAAGGGATGCTGAACTTGGAGGGTGGACTGCCAGTCTGGGGCGTGTAGGCAATGAACCCGTCGTCATCAGGGTCTTGGAAAGGGAAGAAACAGGTGATAGGGGGGCAAACGGTGAGGGAGGGGTAAGGACCCAGACCCGGATGGCAGGGTTACCGATGAGCATCCCCGCCACGTAGGACAGAGGCGACAAGTCTACACAAACATCGTTAGTGGATTATCAATGCCGCGGTCTTATTTGACTTACCTCCACTCGCGCTGATACTTCCGCGCAGGGGAACGACTGGGACGAGGCCCTTTCGGATACATTCGACCATTTTCTCTACTAGGGTCCAGCGTACCCCAGAATGTCCTCGTAACAGTGAGTTAGCGCGGATGAGCATGGCAGCCCGTGTCCAGGTTGCAGGCATGGTTGTTCCGTGTGTGGGATCAGTCAGGGGCATGGGACCGACAAGATGCGAGGGTGCACTAGCAGTCGAAGGCAAGATGACACCTGCATGTTGGTGTTGCAATAGTGCAGCACCGAGAGCCAGCGGGTCATCAGTACGAGTATCTGCGGAGCCCCCGAACCCAGTGGAAACGCCGTAGATGGATAGGCCTGCCGCGACCTTAGTTTCAATGACTTCTCGAGAGGCGGCGACCCTTTCACGCTGGTATTGAGAGGAGGTTAATTCCAGGGACGGTGCACAAGTGATGGCTGGTGGCACGGAGGTATGGGAAGGTGGTGAGGGGGGGTAGAGGGCGATTGCAGCAATTTGGGGGAGGGAAAGGGAGCTGCCATCGAGGACGACGGGCTTTCCAGCGCTGAACAAGGGTTAGTGGACGGCTCGGGCAACGAACAGCGGTACGCACAGATACGCGTTGAGCTCGTGTACATCAGAGATATACTGTGCAATGAATGATGCCATGTGATGGAGAACTAAGGCTGACTGGTGAACCTGGTGGGGAGACGGACCCAGCTTTATAGTGAGGCCAGGATAGCCTCGTGATCCGCCCGGTTTGTCTACTGGTCCATCCTGTGTGCAGACCTGAGATTTGAACCGAGTCTCCCCTCCAAGGGCTCTCTATACAACACATTTCTCGATTAATGGTAATACGAATTTCCATGACGCATTCCCGATTCAGATCCACATCTGAGATCCAAAGCAATCCCCATCACCGGCCGGCGAATTGGCCGGTCCGCAACCCCCCATTCAGGGTGGTGTTCTCCTTCCCGGCCCACCCCCCACGCCCCGTCGCCCAATGTCCTTTCTAGTCTTCGGCTAGCCGGTGCCAGTGCCAGTGCTAGCCAGCGCATGCCCTGCAATCACCAGACCTAGTCGCCAAGATACCAACAGCCACTCAACAGCTGCTACATCATTGCCATTCGTGAATGGGATGTATCTACTTTCTAGTAATCTTGGAGCAGGTACTCCAGGCTGAAACACAGCTTCGTGCTTTCTGGACCTGCGGTTGGTTTGTATCCGAACTGCCAATTGTTTACACGTCAGAATTATTTCCTTGGGAAGCAATGCATACTGCCGCTCAGACGCACGAGTCCTTTTCATGTACACATGCCTGCAATTTCACAATACCCATATCAATGTTCGCCTTATCAACCTCCAAGCCATCTATGCTGTTGATGGATTGGGCCTGTCATGCTTCCCTTGGGCTCCGCTGGTCAGAATGCAACGATTGTCAGGCGTTTACGGTGATAATTGATCATGGGATGGCTTTCAAGTTCCCCTGGTTCCCCCCTGTCAATGACAAACCCCTTCAGTAGGACATCGTTCCCTCAGAGTTCCGACATCCAACTCCCATAGAAAATTTATATTCTGAGTCACGGCAATGCCTCGTGTCCGTGCAGCTGCACCCGTCGGATTCGTGCTGTCCTTAATTTTTGCATTGCCGGGTACCTGCAGCAAATATTGCCTTGCTCGGTCACCATTTCCCGCTAACTTATGTACGTGATTTTGACCCCTTTTCTAATCACTGACCGGGCATTCAGCAACTGGAAGAAAACTAACATTCTTCGAACTTGGCTCTATCTCAACTCCACAGTTTGGCGGCGGCTGCGCCACCCATTCAACACTCTACGGTTCATCGCTCGTCCCCATAAGTTGGTGAACCAGAAAAGCATGGTACGGTTCCGGGGACTTGGCATCCGTCTCCAGTACCTTGGAACTGCGAGCTGCATCAAGCTGGCTGGGATAAGATTCGAGTACACATAAAGTACTCCTACATCCGCACCGTATCTGAACTCCGCCTCTCAATCAGTATCAAACTTTGATCTACGTCTGGCGAGATAGATAGGTGCGCAGTTTGTAGATTTGGTATCCACTCGAAGACTCGTGGCAATGCCGATCCGGTGACGGACTTTCCGGGTTGTTGCGGGAAACTCGATGGGTTCTCGCCAGCGGAGAACACCAGCCACCCACGTGGACCGTAACCAATCCAGTAGGAGCTGAATGCTGTCTGATACACCATTCTCACCGTGAGGCCAAACGAGTGCTACAACCTTGCTCAGCCGGTAGTACAGGGGGTTCACCACGCTGACTCAAGAGTAAACAACGCTGTCAAACAATCATATAACACCGAGGTCCTAACAAGACGGCTCCAAGGTGGAAATGAATTGAGGTGGCTGTATCTACCATGCGAAGTTTAAAAGCGGAACTTACGACATAGGGGTATATCTCTACTTCTTGAATGTCCATGAGACAACTGGGACGCATTTTGGGTTGCTTGGGTGCACCTGTACGTGCGCTGGATTCCCGGCCGGGTCTTGTGTGTTTTTTCACACGATTCAAGGTCTAGCTGTGAGAAGTTCCAAGACGCCACTGAGGTTTTGGATCAGACTAGTCAACTGGACAACTGCATGACCACGGGATTAGTTGATCTATGATCGAATTCTAGAAAATAGCCCGCTCAGTGGCATTATCACTGAAACCATATTCCGGCTCTTGCTGTATTATTTCGTACGTGGAACGGAGCTCAGACACGATGCCACCAGTTTCCGTGCTGCGCTGGTTGCGGTGATCACCAGGCCTGAGGTGTCATCTTTTTTCAACGAGCGTTCGAGACTGTCGAAGCTAGCGAGGAGCATCTGTGGGCTGCGGCCTTACCCGCGTTCTAAGGTCGAATCCCACAAGCATTCGGAGCAAGCGGAATACATCTATCAGCTTGACTTACCTGATCTTGAAAGCTGAGACATCGGTGTTAACGCAAGACCAATACCATCAAAGCCACGTCCGTATCTCCCGCATGAGAAAACAAGGAGCATCAGACCATCATGAACACAACTGGTATCTGTCAGGCTTGAGAACCAACATTGATGTCCGGAAAAATGCCGGACAGGAACATCCTGCGAGAGCAGTGCAATACCACGAGCTCTAAATTTGCGTGCTCGAAAATTTCGGACAGGAGGCCACAATATTTGGCGCGCGCATCTTTGCTTGATATAATGGCTGCAACGGGTTTTAAAAAAGAAGTTGATGCGGTTGCAACAGGGTCTACAACGCCCGGCAGGGGAGTCCCAGTTTCAAGCTGAATTACCCCTTGAAATGAGCGACAAGCCTGACGCTGGGCCTAAGAAAGGATTCCTAGGTACTTTGTATTGGAGTCGAGGCCAGGGTCCGTATTGGGCCGGACAAACGTTACAGAACCGTCCGCTATTACACTTACGGTACTTCCGTAATGAGTATAGGCCATCTCCGCTTTTGTGCGCGCTCACTGAGGGCCGCTTCGGTGTTGTCTTCGGGGGTGAAATATCCGTTGCGGGCTCCAGGTCAGTCGCCGGAAGGGAGACCTGATACCTGCGTAGACCATACCCCGTTATAATCACCAACTCGCCTAGCGTCTTAGCCCGGTCATGATACAGGGTATCCTGTTCATAAAGACCCTAAGAAGAGCGAGTAACATGGATGGACTGATCGACAGGCAACGTATTGTCAAAGTCCCGCGCGCCTGTCCGGCGTAAAAGGAGTCCACGTGGCCCTGCAGTCCCTTGCACCGCAACTTCGAAATGGTACCCTGGACGGCACGGCCCTCTGATGTTATGATGATGATGATGGTAGACAGTGATACGGCGGGGCGTAAAACGGGTTGCGCTCATCCTCTTCAATACTCCACGATCATATCGCAGCCTGAGCTGCCTGTCGTACGATACTCAACGAACCTAGCCTTGTGACTCACAACACCCTTGACTGGCTCAACTTTTCCAGTTGCTGCGGCGCACAACAGATTCGCGTGCCGCCGATGTGTCGACGGTCTACGGGGGCCGACGGACTATCCAAGCCCGGGCGTTGCTTGCCACGCAGCCACACGTGTTCTCGGAGAAGCCGACCGAGGACGGCACTGGAGACCCCCCTCGCCTCCATCAAATAACCCTGATCAATATTCCTGGACGGCCCGGCTATGACACGGTAATATACTACCAACCGAAGCTGGATGTGATCATGGAACTCATCATGCCCAGACGCACTGGCGGAACGTGTCCGCAGTGCAGAGTGATTCAATTCAGTGGCGGTGCTACCACCCACTGCAACCTCTTGCCGAACGTTCTTCCATTGTAATGGGCGCCAGACACCTTCGGAATATGAGCGTTTGGGAACGTTCAGTTGTAGACGCGCCGAGCAGTATTGTTCGCGAGGCCCCAGCGTATAGCTTACACGCGCGGAAAACGTGTTTGCATCAGGACCGTTCTGCCTTCCTGGTGGGGTGGGAGCTGTTTCCGATGTCCGTTTGACCTTGGGTCTTCCACAGGAAATGAGGTCACTTTGGTGTTTTGCGAAGGCCACCCGACCGCTCCTTGCATTCTCCATTACCATCAGTCATGGTACAGTTGTGATTTCCGCGTGATATACAGCGGTCTTGTACACGTATTGTTCGTGCTGTGCTCTCCATCCAGTACTACGGTGGTGAACCCGAATCCTCGGTCGCTCCAGTGGAACGGCCGAACGTTCTCGCCTCATGGCTTCAACCTTCCATTCAACTTGATACATTTGTCTTTTCATTTATGTATCTGTTTCAAGTTCAACCGTGATACTACAGTATTCTTTTCATTCAACGTTCGCTCGTTCGAGCTAAATTTCACTGCAAAGTCGAGCTGTAACGAGCAGCTCAGCTACTCCAAGTCTGCGTTTGTATGACGGTGGCTTAGGGTTATTGCACTTGGGGGATGCCTTCCTATATCAGCCCTCTCGTCAATTTAGAGCATGGTCCTGTAGGCTAGAAGAGCCTACGCATGCAGATACCGCGTTTTGCGAAACAATACAATCAGCTGCTGTGGGCCGCTGTGCGACTCCGATCGGCAGGTCGAGTGCAACTGCCGTTGTTTGCTTCGACATCTAGTACGTCACACTTTCTCATGCATGTGTCTCCCACAGTATGATATCTGGCTCCTTCGTGCCTCAATATTTCAATTGTCACTATGCCCAGGACCTTGGATCATCCTTATAGAACTCGTATCGGCTGGCGTAAAATTGTCCGGACAAAAATGCCGGCTTATCTTGGAGGGGTGGACGATGCCGATCTGGGTTCTACGGGATATTACAGGGTGCTGTAGGCTTCCGATTCGGTGGACACATGAGGCAACGGGAGGCACAGAATCCCGAAGGCATGATCTACATTTGACCCAAACCTGGCGTGTCGGCGTTCCGTGCTCGATGGATAATACCTATTACCGTCTTCTCAGTTGGTGGAATGCAACCATGGATGATCCGTTTGATCCACGTGATTCTAAAGGTATGCAATCCAGGTGCTTAGAAACCTGATCCACTGTTCATTTACCCCATTACCCGATCAGATGTTTGCGGCCGTCGTTATTGGCGCTATATGAGGTGTCAGTATTTTGACAGTATGAACCTCGGGCGCTGTCGAGTCTGATTCCGAGCCCAGCGAAGCGAAGGCTACATACGCTCAGTTGGCGCATTTGACATGGGAGATTTTCAGCCCCAGGTCCCGCACGGGCGCAAGCAATATTGAGGACAGAGTGTGATGACATTGAAACTGCCACTGGTAAAGACATGGCGCGTGGCAAGGAACAAATTATTACGTGGCAAGAGTGGTTTTGTGGGACAAGTGCCGAGCGGAAAGCGTATTTGGAATGTATGACGCTGCATCTGTAACATTAAACAAACAAAAATAAAACAGCTGATTGCAGAAAATTTGCAGGTGGCTGTGCCCACAGCCACTGACTAAGCACGTGCACGGGGAAGCGAGCGAGTCAGGGCTACACGCACTCCTCGCCCGGGACTCGTTTCGATGCTGCTACTAGCCACTGTACATAATCCATTTAATACTGTAATGAATATTTTGCCAAGAAACGGGCCCAAATTCGCTAGGCTAGTGATGTTGTGGCGCGAAGTGCGGTCACATGAACACACCCTCGTAGGCGCAGGTGGCAATTTGCAGGTGGCGATGCCGTGGGAATTTTCCCGAAGGAGCAATCCCGCCACCAGGCGGAGGGGCGGGGGTCGAGCGTTCGAGCAGGGCCTGTGGGGCATCACGACCTCGTGGATTGGGGTGATGACCATTGAAACTGCACTGGTAAAGACATGGCGCGTGGCAAGGAACAAATTATTACGTGGCAAGAGTGGTTTTGTGGGGACAAGTGCCGAGCGGAAAGCGTATTTGGAATGCAGGGGTCATCGGGAAGGACCAGCGAACTCTTGTCGCATGTCCACTCCAATCACGACTCGCCACAAGCATCGCATGAAAATTTGGGTTTAGAAACGTGTACCAGTAATTAAAATTCCCGTACTAGGTACTCGAGGCATCGGTCTGTAGTGCTCATGCATACCCTACGGCTCCCTCTCCAAAAAACTCTGCATGGACCAGCACGACGTCGTTACTCTGTTACACCTCAAGACAACTAGAGAGTGGACGCATTCTACATTCCAGCAAGACGAGACCCACCCGCTCGCAGGAGAATGCGTGGAGCTCTTACCCCCAGACCGCAGTGCGCATACACGTCAAAGCTTGCCGACCGCTGAATTTTCGGGATGACATTAACGCTGCCAGCAGACAAACCTCCAATCTGCTCGTTATGGCAGGAACTGGAAAGAATTCTACTGATACACTATACTGTAACCGTGCAAACCGGTTAACGAATGCATTATCTCACGTTATCACTGTGGGGAAGAAAACTTTATCACTCCAGACTGCGAACTAGCCAATCGTGAGAACCAAGGATCTACCGGCCTGTCAAGATGTCGATTTGACTTTTTCCGGGGTCATGCTTAGCTGCGATTATGTTCATACCTAACCCACAGCTTACTTCTCATGTTCGAATTGACGTGTCCAATTCCGACTGATTGGATGGAAAATCGCTACACTGCCGGTATGGGTAGCTGATGTTCCGGTCATGTGGGCTTTGATCCATGATCAAGGACGAAGATTCCTTTAATCTGAGCTGCAGTCGAGAATGAAAAAAAAGAAGAAAAAACATTTCGACTGGAATATGTCTAGCAGCGCGACGTAACCATAGCGAACAAAACTTACGACGACAGAGGGACCGATGTACCGTGTCAGCATGAAGAACGTGATACATTCATCTATGATTGTTAACGATACAAACGCTCCATCATGAAGAGTCCGCTATCGCGAAGTCACAAAGTGTAACTGGGTCAATTGCACTACACCGGGGCACCTTGGTCTGGGAGACGCTCTATGGCATAGCGTCGCGCAACAATGTACATGAGAGGCACGCCCGGAATCTGACGAATTCGGCGGCGTAATTCACGATCGCAAGTGGCAACAATGTAGCACTTGTGTGCAGTAACGCGTTGGACCAAACAGTCATCAGCGTACGTTCCCAGATGGCTGCAATTGAGGCGCTCGAACCGAGGATCACGTGCGACACTAGAAGAATCAGAAGTCTGTGTCAAGATGGCAAAGGGACCTGAAGGGGACAAGAAGGCATACCGTAGGGCCACACGGTAGCGATGACCCAGTTTCTCAAGCTCCGCGATAACGCAGTCGGTCACACATGGTATGCCTTGGGCGACAGGTTAACTGGGCTTGGCGAACTAGAATATCGGGCAAACGCACATTTAGCAAAGAGACAGTCCATCATCCCACTGACAAGCTCCAGCTTGTTTTGTAAGCTAAAGTTGATAAAGTTTGTGTCGATAAGGACCCTGTAAGGCGGAACAAGTTCTGCGTTGTGGGAGAGGAACATGGAAGAAGCGATCTGGGACCTGAGAATGCTTAGTTGCTGGGAAGAGTGGATAAATGAAAAAGAAATACACTCGGCGAACAGCTTTCGCTTTCTCATCTTCTTCCTTCTTCTGTTGTTTTAACTGGTTCTCTTTTCTGTCAGACACCAGAGTATGTATTCAGGACGCCAGGATCCTGAAAGAAATATACAGGAACATACAACCGAGCATCTTTAGGACTCAGAAGGCGCTTGACAGCCGCAAATTTTCGTGTTTTCTTGGTTTTCCCCTGCAGGGTGTAAACATGTTTAGCTGAAGATAAGGAAACCCACGCTTACCATTGAATATTGGATATTATGTACCACGGAGGCGGGGACTGTGGACGGTACAAGGCGCGTTGTATCGCGCATGGAATTACATAATCGGTGGGCATTCCGTGATTACGTAAGCAGGACCCGGAGCCTGCCCCATGGTACTATACTTATACTTTAGCCGTCGGCGTGGGTTGTATGATGCATAAATAAAAATGGTGTAGAGTGCGTTGTTATGATGGTCTTGATATGATATGGTGTGATGTTAATTGTTCAGTACTTCGTGGCACGCCTTGCTGGCTGAGATCCGATCTAAGACTTGCCCAAACCAACGTGTACAGCCACAAGCCTCTTCCACATAAAATATTGATCTATAAATGCCAGGTCAACTTTAGTACGCGGAAAACCCACCGATTTCTGCGTTTTTCTTTTGTTTCTTGACCCGCCCAATATGCCTTTCGTCGTCGATTCATACAATACCGCCTCGACCAGTGTGCAAGTACGAGTTGTTGACACGTTGTGCTTTCACGTCGCGAACTAACTTCATTGTGCTAGCTACCATACATGCCGAGTGATACCACAGGTATCGAACGAATAATGCTCGCTGCACAGGGTGACCTCCAGCGTCTATTGAGGTGAGGCACACATAGTTCTGACCGTGTTTATCCCCGGCTTACCCTGGCACACTCACCCCTAGCACATTCTTTGCGCGCCCGATCTTCGTTGAGCCCGTATACGCCGATACTTCTCCGCGACTCCACTCTGCATCACCCGACTACGCCATAACACAGTCGCGGCGGGTGCATCTAGTCTGTGCGGGGAAGGTTGTCTGTGTTGCTACCTCCACCGTCACTCTCACGTCGCCGGTTGCCGAACGCCTCTTTCTGGATGACAAGTTCCCCATCGGCCAGACAATCCGCAAACTTGGACAAAGTCCGCGGTTTAGCTTGCTCAGCGTCGAGACACTTACCGTTGGCACGAAACGAGAAATTCGGCGGACATATACCCTGGAGACAGAAGGTTTCTCTGCCGAAATTCTGGAGGTGTTCCCGGATAGGGATATGTTTATCCGCGGGGAAGCGTGGTTGCTGGAGGGTCAGCCGGAGAGGGATTTAACATGTGCGAGTGTGACCGAGAGCTACCTCAGACCTGAGTGGTTGTCGCTTAGTGTCGTGCATTAGCGTGTGGTAGTTTCATCTGTGTATGTAATGTTAGTATAAAGTAATGTACCCTATTACCCTGTTCATGAAGACTTCTACGTTGGTCAGCCCGATTGCAATTCATGAACGGAATATCAAACCATCCCACAGGGATCAGTGAAAACCATGTCAACCCACGACTAACGTACTCACGAGTCCCGCACGTCATAAGATTCTTTGGACGTGGGTACACGATTACTTTTTCTTCGAGTCGTCGGTCAATAGTATGGCAAAACTGTCACACTATCTCGCCGCACAGTGGTGCTGCCCTCAAACGAAGGGAACCTCGTATCGTTGGATCTGGTATTCCGACACTGTCAATCAACTAGGCACCCGCGTAGTAGCGCAGGCGACTGACTGCGAAATGGATCGTCTATTGTCATCTGAGATATGGGTTGAGGTATACACGATGAATGACAAGCTGTAACTAGGAGTTGCACCTAAGGGGAAGCTGATCATGAACTCTAGATGACAACTAAGTTTTACACTGCTTGAACATACTCGATTATGTTGCTGCCATGGCTGCAAGACCTGCCGCTCCAGCAGCGGCGGCATCTTCAACGAATTCGACGCATTGAAAAACACACCCTCGTTTCCTGAGTTCATCGAGTACGAGCGCCCGGTAACCCTCGATACCTACAAGGCTTCCTCCGAAACATAAGATTGCTTGATTTGCCACAACCCCTCTAGGCTTGATGGCTATATCCTCTCCTGGACCAATACACAGCTGTGCAATCTGGTCTGCCAGACCACTTGCAACGTTCCTCAGGATTCTCAATGCGAACTCATCGTTGTCCTTAAAAGCAGCGTCGAACACGAGGGGAGTGAGCTGTGAGAGACGTTTCTCCCTAGGAACGAGGAGGTACCCTGGGGTATTGTGGGAGTTTTTAATCGTTATCTCTGGCGTATGTACGATGGCGAGTATTTCCGCCGCTGCCTGCTCGTTCTTGATACCAAAGTGAGAAAGAATCTTGCCCTTCAGGGTGCTCGTCTGGGAAAGGGTTATTCCCAGCGAGGTACGTGAAACGTCGAACATGATTTGTCGGATAGCTTCCCGGCCAACGTGGAATCCGCTGCCTTCGTCTCCAAGGAGCCAACCCCACCCGCCTGTGCGAGCAAGCTCGACGAGCTCACCAGAAGGTTCTTTGGTGAACGAGACGATGCATGATCCTGTGCCTGCTATAGCAGTGATGGCGTAGGATACGTCTGGATGGTGACGTAGAGGGGCTGCGAGGAGGTGGGTGTCATTGGCGATTATAAGTCGTGGACCTGTAGGGATTCCGAGAAGGACACTGAGAGCAGATGATGCATTCTGAGCTACTGCTGGAGAGTCCACGCCTGCAATACCGAACCATGCAGCGGCAAAAAGTTCGTTGGGCGGCGGTAGCGTGATTGGTGTGTTAGATGGAGAAACGCAAGAACCCAGCGCAGTGGACACGGCTACACGAACGGCCTCGGTGAAGGCGGCCAGGGGAATGTATGAGAAGTTAGAAGGGCCGCCCAGGCCACGACCGAGGATGTTTCCGTTGGCATCGCAAATGACAGCAGATGTCTTGGAGCCACCGCAGTCTGCACAGAGGAAGAGAGACATGTCAGGTCGTTATCTGTCAGGGGGGCTGCGAAGTGCTATCATGGCGTCTGCAAATAGTCACTGGCAGTGGCCGGAGGGGTCGGATCTCCCCTACATTTAATTTCCACATGGTCGCCAGTCGATGAGGGGATCCAAGCCGACTATAAAAGTCAGTGGACATGCATTTGGCGCATGATTAATTGATAATCGCGAGCATCCCCGATAATCCTGGCAGCGAGCCTGGCGATTCGAATGCACAATTCAATGGAAGCTGCGGGTACTGCTACTGACATGATAACGGGTTGATATTTTCTTCCCCGAACTTCGGTGTGGGTGCTTCACTTATGTACTGCCATGTAGCAAGCTACGTGTTGGGCGGAGGAGCCGTCACATAAGTTCCGGATGGTACATATAAAAGTCGGTCGGTCGCTTTTGATCTCCACAACAGCATGGTAGATCAGATTTTCAGGTCTTCACTGCCCTCTGTGGCCCTCCCGCGCAGGTCCATATTCACCCACCTTCTCGGAACTTGTCCCCGCACACCGGACCTCGTGGGTGGTTTCCCCGCCTCTGCACCAGCTTTCATCGACTCGGTAACTGGATCGACCATTTCACGCGGGGCGCTTCGTTCTTTTGCCCTCCAGCTCGCCTTCTCCCTCCAAACCCCACCAAACCCTCTCAAAGCCCTTATCCATGCAGCTACCCCGCCAGTCGTACTCATCTTCTCCCCAAATAGCATCGTCTGGCCAATCATGCTATTCGGTGCCGCTGCGGCCGGTTTTCGCACTACCCTGGCTAACAGCGCGTATACCCCAAATGAACTGAAGTACCAGTACCTCGACTCCGGTGCACGATTAATCTTTGCTCACCCGTCCCTCTTCGGCATTGTACAGGAGATGCTTACGTCCATAGGCTATTCCGAGTCAGATATACGTTCCACCGTCGTCCTGGCAACCTCAGCTTGGTTCACGAACACACTTGACCCTAATACCAACCGAGAGTTCTCCAACTTGACTCGCCTCGAGGACCTTCTCGGTCGTGGGGAACTTGCCTCAGAAGTCAGCTTTGACGGTGAACGGTCCAACGACACGTTTTGTTTGTGTTACTCGTCAGGAACAACTGGCAAACCCAAGGGTGTAGAAACCACGCACTATAACCTCACGTCCGTAATCGATATCGTCAAGCCAGTTTGGCCACCCAAAGATAAACTCCCGGACGTCTTCCTTGGTTCTCTTCCCTATTACCACATATACGGCGCAGCAAAGCTCTTGCTTCTTCCCGTTGCACTGTGCGCTCCAACAGTCGTGGTCGCTGGGTTCGAACCCGACGAGTTCCTAGGGGCAATCGCCAAGTACCGAGCAACTTATGTGCTAGTTGTCCCCCCAATATTAGTGGTATTCGCTCGTCATCCAGGTAGGGATTCTTGTCGTAACTATTTCTGGAGAAACCACTGGCTCTCATAGACGAGATTTCGTTGAGGGAAAGGAGCTGACTTGAAACGCTCGACAGCCATTCGTAAATATGACCTCACGTCTCTTCGTATGATATTTTGCGGAGCTGCGCCACTTAGTCCGGACCTCGTCAGGGTTGTCAGGGAGCGCCTCCAAAGCACTGGATCAAATGTCGTTATCACGCAGGGTAAGAAGCTCGACATCCAGTCCTACTTCCGTTCGACGTGGAAGCTGAGCTGCTTTGGTGGTGTGTAGGATATGGGCTTACGGAGACGTCGCCAACGGTGTTTATACTGCCTCTTGAACACGCAAGCGATCGTGTTGGCTCTGTAGGACTGCTACTTCCCAATCTCGAGGTTCGTCTGGTCCGGGAGAACGGTGGAGAGGTGCGCTACTCCATACAACGATCCCGATTCAGTTAGCTGAGATTTGTGTGCAAGATGTTGACTGATATCGAGGGTGCTGGCGAATTGTGGGTCAGAGGACCAACTATAATGAAGGTATGTAGGGAGGTACATGGCTCACTCCACTCACCTGCTGAATTTGCATTTGCGTTCGATATGATCAGGGGTACCTTAATAACCCAACTGCAACTGCAGCTGCCATCACACCGGATGGATGGTTGAAAACTGGGGATATTGCTGTCCGCGACAGCGGTGGATTCTTTGCGATCGTGGACAGGCGGAAGGAGCTGATCAAATACAAGGTGCGTTAGCTCCTGGGTACAAACTCGTGATCGCAACTAAGCGTGATCCATCCACAGGGGTTTCAAGGCGAGTCACGTTCATTCGTGGCTACTTTCTACACAGCTCAAGTCACTCGGATTCCTGTTACACAGTGCCACCTGCGGAACTCGAATCAGTACTCTTGCAGCATCCAGATGTGGCGGACACAGCAGTGATTGGAGTACATAGTGAGGAGGAAGCGACCGAGCTACCCAGGTGCGTGATAGTTTTATTGGCGGGAGTTATGCGTATACATACTCCTTATCTTTGCGTTAGGGCATATGTCGTTCCGGCGAAAGCTGTCCCCGAGAACGACGCCCTATCCTTCTCATTGGGTATACAACGTTGGGTTGCCTCAAGGGTTGCTCCACACAAGAAATTACGTGGTGGAATCGTATTGGTTAAACAGGTCCCGAAGAGGTACGCTTTGATCCGGTTTGATAGTGTTTACCGATCATCCCTCACACATTTCTAGCGCTGCTGGGAAAATTCTTCGTCGTGAACTCCGCGATCGGGCAAAGAATGACGTGGCATTCGGTCAAGTTCGGGCCCGCGCCAAGTTGTAATAATATCAGTGTTGGAACTATAAGTTTATACCTACTGGGTCAACTGCTTGGATGATATGTATTAGGTCTTCAATATGCATCACTTAACGTATTTATGACCATGTGCATATGTAGCTGCTTCGCACCAAGTGCAACAGTGTCCAATTATCAGTGGTTCACCATAGTTTTTCTCCTGTTTCATCTTCTCATTTCGGGAACCAGATCTTTACCGCGTCCCTCCAGGAGGAAGTCTCTCAGATTCAAAAGTGCGCGAATCTCCATTTCGCGCTGGGAGTCCTGTGTTTCCGTTCCCATATGTGGCAGGAGTGCGTTCTGAGGGAATGCGAGTAAACGCGGATTAACGTTTGGTTCGTCTGGGTAAACGTCGAGTCCAACGGAGGATATCTAAAAGCGAGCATTCCATGATAGGCAACTCGGGATAAACATTAAAATAGACTTACGTGACCATCCTCCAGCGCTCGAATGAGCGCCTCTTCGTCAATTATTTTGCCACGCGCGGTGTTGATGATGACGCTTCCCCTTTTCATAGTCCTGATCTCTTTCTCCCCGACAAGGTGAATGGTGTCGGCACGAAGCGGGACATGCACGCTGAGGACGTCCGACTGCTTGAGTAGAGCTTCCATGCTCCCGACGTACTCGCACCACTCAGGTGCATTCCGAACCCTGTGCCGGGAATAATAGACGACGCGCATCGGGAATGCATGCACAAGGTTTGCGAGTCGGAGGCCGATACCGCCGAGGCCGAGGATGCCGAGGGTGCGACTCGTGAGGTCATGCGTTCTGCCCGAAGAAATCGGCGTTTTCCATGTCCCTGTACGAAGGGACCGTTCTGCCAGGGAGAAATGGCGAAGGCAGGAGATGAGGAGGTAGAGGGCGGTTGTTGCGGTAGCATCATCCACCGCTCCGGGCGTGTTTGACACTGAAATGCCTATTTTGTACATGCGAGGATAGTAAGCATGGGTCGTTGTATACAAATGAAGAGAAAGGAAGAAAGGAAGGGTGAAGGAGGGGTGCGAACCTCTCTTGGCACATTCTTCGATGTCAATCTGATCGTAGCCTGCACCGTTGTGTGCGATCCATTTGACAGTACCTGTCGCGGCGAGGGCAGTAATGATTTCCTTGTCAAAGACGCCGATGCGATCCGCAGAAGCGTTGTGGCGGTAGATGCCTACGGCGCCGTCGTACTTGCCCCCTGGTTTCAACCCCATAAGGAAATCTGCACGATTCGGAGAGTCCATGTTCTGGCCGGTACAGCGAGGTTAAGTAACAAGGTGGAGGTGTCCTGAATGTCAGAAGAGAGAACGCACCACAACGACTGCGACGCCATGGAAGAGTTGTTCGACCTCGTCGTGGGCCCAGACGAGATCTCCTGGGAGGTGGCGTGCAGCGTTAGTCTTGGCTGGGCTGGAGCAGAGGTGCAGGTCGCTCACCGCAAAGTATGATCCGACGCTGTCTTGCCATGGTAATAAGACGGTCGACGTCTGGTGTTGGGATGGGGCTGTCAAGTGGTGCCACCAGTCCGACATCGACTTTTTAGTGGGATAAATTTCCCGGCAACCCCTGAAGACCTGAGGCTAACGCCGATTTGCCATGCTAGTTGTCAAACCCGAGAACCATACTCTTCGTAGCCACACACTGCCTCCATACAATTCGGCTTATGAACCCTCTCACGTGATTCCACGGGTCCAGCTATACGTAGGCCTCATACGGCAGACGGCAGACGCAGGCTCAGATCAGACCGGACCTTTGTGGTAAGGGTAGTAACGATGCCGCAAATGTGGCACAGAAGGGCACAGACCAGTCACAGCTGTAGCTCAGGAACTAAATCTTTCCCATTCCCCGTCACCAAGAAGTCTTTCAAATTCATCAGCGCACATTTCCATCTTCTCGGTATCTTGTGTGCGACTCGGAGTAATACCCATGTGCGGCAACAACATATTTCGCGGGAACTCCAGCAGGCGAGGGTTGACATGTGGTTCGTTCGGATAAATGTCCAGTCCAATCGATCCTAACTATATAAAGCGTCAGATGAATTCCTCGTGCCAGATCTAAAAACGTCGCGGCCTCTTCTCAAATCAGAGAACTGAGCCACTTACATGTCCGTCTTCTAACGCCCGGGTAACCGCCTCTTCATCAAGAACCTTACCTTGTGCGGCGTTGACTATGACACTGCCCCTCTTCATCGCCCTAATTTGCTTCTCGCCTACGAGGCTTACCCTACCTTCTCTCAGTGGAACATGAATACTCAGCACACCTGATATCGCACACAGCTCGTCCATGCTTCCGACGTACTCACACCATTCCGGTGCGTTTCGATGCCGGTGACGAGAGTAATAGACCACTCGCATCGGGAATGCGCGCACGATAGGTGAGGCGGTGTTCGATCCAACCAAGGCCGAGGATGCCAAGCATTCGCCCCAAAGGTCACGCGTTAAGCTTGACGAGATGGGCTTCTTCCTCGTTCCGTGGGCGAGGGAGCGCTCTCCCCAAGAGAATTGACGTAGACAGGATATGATCAGGTAGCAGGCCGTAGTAGCCGTAGCATCGTCGACTGCACCGGGCGTATTCAATACTTGAATTCCCCTGACAGGCGTTCAAAGTGAGCGACAAGTCTCACATACTACGTTCAGAGTGGTGGTCGACCGACGAGACCATGGCCCAACATGCTTAGCACTTACCTTTCGCTTTGTACGCATCCACGTCAACTAGGTCATACTCTGCGCCATTGTATACTATCCATTTCACGTCATCGGGAAGTCCAGCAACGAGCTCCGCGTCAAATATGTCAATGCGAGCAGCGGATATATTCCGTCTGTAAATTCCTATAGTGCCTTCATATTCCCTACCTAGTCCAGTGCATCGTCCACCTGTTTGTATCAGTATTACAATGAAAGGGCATCGTGTAACGAACAAACGAGCTTCCGTAGCATATGGTTGTTCAGTGTGCTCGTTTCCTGGAAAGCGACTTCGACGGACTTACGATGATATCTGCCACACTTGTGAAGAGCTGATCGATCTCTTCATGGACCCACCTTGGGGTGCATATAGACCGTCAGGTGATCTGCGAGCATCATGGTCAGTATCGTCGCCGTACCACAGATCATGATTTTTGGGAATTTGGACATCGTGTAGAGGGTGGAGGATAGTGCGTGGGGGTACGGCAGTAGCTGGCCACAACTTGATTGGACTGGCACCCAACACTCAGTTGATGGCGTCTGCCAGCAGTGTGAGAGAAAAGGGCAGTGTGGTCACATTTTGTCCTCGAGCAACGACGGCGTCTTCGGATAGATGAACTCGTGGGGCAAATAGCGATAGGAAGGAGGGCAAGAAAATACATAATGCATTTGCAATTGTGAAGTACTTGAAAGGAACAATGGGTAATAATAACAGTAGACTGTTAAAGGGAAAATAAGTATACAGATCCCACTCAGCGGGAGGCAAGAAACATTCAAGGAAAGGGTTGGTGAGATGTAGGAGAGCGACTTGTTACCCAGGGCAGCCCCAAACCTACTACACACCTCAAGAATCCAAGCGGATAAGTCGAGCCTCTGGCCCAACAACAGTAACAGTATTTGCACGGGCGCATTTCCTGGCGATCCTGCGATGAAACTGTATGCGGTCGTCTCGAGGGAACTGCGTGCGGCAGTTGGAGCAGAGAAGCGTCACCTTGAGGTGAGTCACGATATGTCGAGGGATGCTGCTGTATTTGAAATCGCGTTCGTCAGAACAGCCAAACCACTTGCACCGGATCGGGTCCTTCGCTTGCCCCTGTACACCGTGGTAGATGCGGAGATGGGTGCGTATTTCCCGTACACCTCCTTCAATCCATCGTCGGCAGGGGCTGCCCTGTGTGTCCCATTTGCACTGATATACAATAACTTTAGTATTAGGGTTCCGCGTGGCTTTATACCATGTCTTCTGGTCGACGTGGATGATTTGGTCATCGTGAGATCTCGGGTTGACGAACTTTGGAGATAGCATGGTTAAGGACAAGTACCGGGGATGGAGATCGAAAGCGCTACCTGTGGGCTCCAGCTGAACGAACAGAGTGCGTTCCTAATGGCTGGGCCAGATTGCGAGAAGTCCACTCCAGGCGGCGGAACTGCCTCGCTTCTCATGTAAATGAGGATAAGTCAGAACAAGCAAACACAATGCTGAGGCTACCTACCGAGCGGTCACTGTTGCGTCTTCCTCGACTCCGAACTCATAATTATTACCAAGATCGCTGGAGCGTTCGTACTGTTGGGCGACGGACTGGTTGAAGGTCCCTGCTTGCCATTGAACTATACTTGGATGTCCGTCAGCCGTGGAGTCATAAGAATCGCTATGAACACTAATCAGCGACGAAAACCATTTAGTATTTGTGATCTTCACCAGTAAGAGACGCCATCCTCGAGGGAGGTACTGGGGGAAGGAGGCATGCTAGCGTATGACTGCATGGAAGTCCGGGTTAACTACAGATCCTGGGAAGTCGGTTCGACGTCGTCTGTCCCAAGAGTCCTTTTATCACGACCACCATGCTATGCCACTGATGCAGTCCTCATGTCTTGCAGCTCAGTTGTGTGAAGCCCTGGAGTAGCTGCAGTAGACTGATCGGGCTTTGAGACGAGAACGCTGGAAGGAGCATAAGAACAATTGAATTGAGTACGTCTTTGATAGCTCATGGGTCAGAGGCAAGGAGGCCCATCACAGAACGGTCATGGCCAGGCTGCCAGCCCTGATCGCAGAATTCCTACGTTATTGGCTCCGCGTTCGTAAGACTGGACGTGTCGTTGTTGAATCCTGCACAAGCGGCAAAGAGCCCGTGCGACAGTCCAAGTGTGGTGATGGGGGAAACGGATATACTATCGCCACATGTTCAATCTTTTTTTCGTGACTCGGTATACGCCTTCAACCTTCAAAAGGAAAAAACGAACTCAAATCTTGGTCGTCTTTACTCGGGCATTTCACAGGCTACGTTGATGGATAGGTACTTAGCTGTCCGTCGGCAAGGCGGAGACAAAACGCCAATTTCCGCTGGTCTAACGGAATTGGGGAATTGTGACCAAGTAGAGACGAGCAACTTACAGGGGGTGAACTAGCAACAGGCAAGCCACACGACGTCATGTCCATGTTTTCTGCGCAGTAAAACCGTTGTAAACAAATTTCCGCTGCGAACTGCGCCTCAGCGTGTCGAGGGACGTGGGACGTGGGAGAAGTTAGGTGACAACCTAGGGATACTCTCATTTGCTCCACAAGCACAGATTTTGGGCCCTGCACCAATTACAAATAGTTAATGACTCCTGATACGGTTCTACGCAGGTGGGGATAAGGATTTTGTAACTGACTGTTTAAACTTCCATAAAACCTTCAATATTCTGGCTCTAGACCACCACTGCTTGAGGAGGAATTTTCGAGCAGAAGTCTGCGAAGGGGTTTGTGATCATATAGGAAGCAGTAGTGTAGACACGATGTTCTGTAACAAAAATGTAATTCCTTTTGCTTCGGAGCATATTCCTCGCCCGTGCTCTTCTGGATAAATTTTCAGTGAGGTGAAGTCATGGCGAACCACATGCCTACCTTGACGGCATACATCTGTTTACTCAACTAATGCTGGTGTGTACGCGGAACCCGGAGAAGAGACAATAACGATACGGTTTGATGAACGCGTGGCTATGGTGAAAAGGTAAGAGCATTGCGCCAGCCGCAACGGTAAAGGGTTATCGTCATTCACCACTCGAATGTTCTTGGGTTTGCTCCCGTGTGCTCTTTTCGGCAACAAGCCGAAAGCTCGTACGCCGACAGCCCCACGACCTAAGGAGTGTTATTGAGGAGCCGTTGCGTGACTCGCCGGAATGAGTTATGTAGTCTGCGGTCTTAGGTAACTTTTCTGGAGCTACCCCTTGTTTCGGAGAGAGGAAATTCGAGAACCTACCTCCCTGAGCTGCCAAAAAAAAGGGAACAAAATTAACAGGGATTAGGTACTCTTGGATTCCCATGCTAAAGGTCGGCTGTGGATCGAGCGCCGGCCAGAAGCCATCGGTTGAGGCGTCGTGAACGCCTCCTTGCAACAGGAACCTCGATGGTGAGCCATGCCATGTCCGCATTCGGAATTTGGAGGATTGGCGTCCCCGCACGATGGCGCAAATCACGTGACACATTACCCATCACTGCCTGCAGTCGCACTCACTGAGATTCCTCCCACCGTCATCGTCCACGGAGGACGATCAGTCCGGCAGCTCGTATGCATATGGCGGTGAGTTCTGGCGCTTGTTCGCGTCCCACGCTAGATGGTTGATAATTCCGTCACGATGTCAGAAGTTTGACGGCCCAGTGAAAACCGTTTACGAGGCGTACACAAAACTCTCGCACGATGAATTAATTCTATTCCTCAAAGTCCGAAACCTGCCTACCCCGGGCACGGACTCCGAGCTGGCATCACGACTAGCACAACACGATGTCCACACGTATCACTTTCCAACTACCTCAAGTGAACCTCAACCTCCCTCGGGTTCTTCGGATGAAGATAACCACAAGGCAAGGCCTTGTCATCAGATGCGAACGCCCGACTTGCCAGTCGAGATTTTGGTCCACATCATTGACTATCTAAACGATTGGCCGTTATCGCGTGCGTTAGGCTTGCCCACCTCTCTCCAAGTACCAATGGATTGGTCCAACGCGTGTCCTACGGACTTAGCGATGTTGACGGGATCTATCCCGGTCATCCGTGCTGCTGATCCCGCTACAAACCCACCCTCGAAACTTGGTGCTGCCGCCGCTGTTCGCTTCGAGCATGTTCATGTTCTCGAATTCTTTCTCACGCAGCATCGGTGCCTTTTCTTGTCCATTTTCAAGGATGATCTAATTCCGATCACTGCCTCAAAACACGGTCGCACCGCCGTTCTTGCATGGTGGAAGCACGGCTTCGAGCAGCACCCAGATCTTGTGCATCCTCCAAAGCCAGGTTCTATTGCTGAAGCCGTGGACGGCGCTTCTCGAAATGGAAAAATAGCGTCCCTTGATTGGTGGATTTCCTCGGGGCTTCCCTTTGAATATACGGAGGCTGCTCTTGAGCAAGCCAGTGCAAAGAACAGAATTGCTGTGCTTGATTGGTGGAAAAGGCAGCATTCCCAAAATGGCTTGACACTCAAAATCGGACGTGTTATGGAAATGGCGAGTAATGCTGGACATGTGGGTGTCCTTGAGTGGTGGGCGTCGTCGCAACTAGAGTACCCACTCGATCGCCACATTTTGCAGCGTGCAAGCACCCTCGGGAAGATTCAAGTGCTGGATTGGTGGTTAGGCAGCGGTCTCCAGTTGTCCTTTGATCAGGAAGCCCTCATTGGAGCAACACGCCATAACCGTAGCGAGGTGTTGGAGTGGTGGGACAAAAGCGGATTGCCTGTCCAGTATCGGATGTGTGACATCGAAGAAGCTCTGGAAGAAGCGATGGGCGGTGGGGACAAAGCCAGAGATTGGTGGAAGAAAAAGGGGGTGGATTTCAAAGCCGACGATAAGGAATGGATGAAACTTCAGACCCTCAATTGATTGGAACCACTCCCTCATGAACCCTTTCACACCCCATCAAACACTCGCATCCTCACCTGTGCCCAATTACATAGCTATACATACTTATTCTGGTTCTTCACTCCACAACTGCGCATAGTACACACAATTATTGTCAGCATTGAAGGTATACATACACTTCTTTCAGATGTTCTTTGTTTGACTGCTACGTAGCAGTGTTGATTAGTGCTCGACTTGTGCAGAAGGTTCTGTCAAGTGATACAAGGCTGGCAGACATCTTGGATATGCCCAACCTTCCCAAGTCACGGATGGTATACGTCCGCTGCTATTCTTCATGAAGGTGCCTGAAAAACGAGTCTCGTTACCACAATATGATCGCAGTTGACGGAGAGACTCACTGCCCAAGCACTTTATTCATACGAAACATGTCGATTTTGTCGACAGCAAAGACTGCCCGTAGAGCGTCATCACACATAATTTCCTTTTTATTCGAGGGATTTTGAAGCTCGTGTTTATGGATGTACTCCCATAGCTTCTTAACGACCTGTGGTCGCGATAACCTCTCTTCTTCAACCACTACGGAGAGTGGTTGACTGTTCAATCAGATCATGGGTCAGACGAACGATGCAGGGTCGAAATAACACGGAACAAACCGTCACCTTAGTGTGTATTGCTTTGCAAACCCTCCTTTTGCACCACCACCACCACCACTTCGTTTCTTCTTCTTCCCCACCACGCCGTCATTACCGTCGTCTTCCGAGTCCACGGTTTCAGAACTTTTCATCGCCTTTCGCTTCGTCTTTCTGGGGCTAGCAGACGTCGTCCTTCGGGATCGACCGTTAATTTCCGAGGATAACTTCCTTGCAAACTCTGCGTCGCTCTGTTCCACCGTTCTCTTTTCCTTCTTCGTCACGGGTTTGGACTCCTGGTCGTCCACACCATTTCCTCCAGCCTCGCTTGCCTCTGCCTGTTCATCTGCGGCAGTGCTACCTTCTCCTTCCTGATCGTCACGTTTTCGCTTCAATGCATCATTAATTCCGTTCGTCGCTGCCTGGCTCACTGTCGCGTAAACATCCGCAATGAGTTTGTCGACTTCAGGTCTCCGTGCTTTCAGTTCCTCCGGAGTAAGCCCGAGCGAGCCATATGTCGCCAATTGTTTTCGGACGCTCTTTGCACTGATGGTTGTGAGGTCGACACCGGGAGCAGACAAGATTCGGGTTATGGGTTCCTTGAGTGCGTTCAAGTCAAAGGTCATCGTGCGATAAGTTAGTTAGGTTTCAAAAAAATACAGAGTGAGCGTAGGTTTAGCAGATGAATTCGCCGAAGGAACACAGGCGCGCAGGTAGGCGGAGGTCAGCGTAGCGGCAAGGACGAGTGTGACTGTCTCAGATAGCGACTGCAAAGTGTTATGCGCGTCAATTATGCGTCGCGGTCAGTTTCAACTTCCAAGCCATACAGCCTACTGCCAAACATGTCCAAATAGCGACCTCTCCAAAGTTGAATATGGTAGAGTAATGTGGAGGACTAAACGAAATACTGGAACACGACGACATTCCATTCACCGTACTATCTGCCAATCCTGGCGTGCGGGATCACCTGGAGGAGGGAACAAGCCTAGGTTCGGCGGCGGTTGTGGTCGACCTCGGCCTTGGTGGTCACGTCCACGCTCCTCCTCTCTCCGCGCCCTCTCGATAAGGCGAGTCCGTACGTAGATAAGCACGGCAACGACAAGGCAAAGGGCCACCAACAACATCGTCTCCAAAAACTCATCCACACCTTCTTCTGCACCACCACCACCGCCTGCTCCGCGATGTCCTCCACGAAGAGCGGCGTCGAAGTAATCTTCTGGTCCAAAGTCGCCACCACCATCACGTTCGTTCTCCGCATTCCGTCTTTCCCGCGCCCACTATTGGTTCAGTCCAGAGTCTCAGTCTCAAATATATATGTATATTTGTTACCAGAGTGGAAGGGGACTGACCTGAACGGGATCTTCCTCCTCTTCCTCCGCCTGACGGGTGTTTTGTCGACGACGACGTTGAAAATCTTCTCGAGCCTTGCCCATATACCACGGTCCGTCATCATCAAAGGTGTCCACCACCGCTGTGTCTTCGTGACCATGTGATCTCGCCTCCGTGTTTGGCGGCGAGCGCGACGATGACGCCGAATCGATCTCCCGGGACTTCAAGTTTGCACGTTCCGAAACGGACACTGGAAAAATTAATCTCAGCATGACAAGTCCCACAATTCAGGAATAGAGTATATCCTACTACTTTTGTCTTCGTCGTATCCCCACAATTTCAGTCCATTTTCTCCGCCTTGAAGGGTGTGCCACAGACTCCTTGCGTGAAGCTTGATGAGGGATAGTAAAACCGGTAGATAGGCTTCCGAATTGATGTCTAGTGCCTGGTCGTAATGCCTCTTCGCAAGGTGGAAGTCCTATCAGAAAATACACTTAGAACGCATCACTCAAGTAAAAATAGAAAAACGGTCCAGCTCACTTGCGGCACGCCGATTCCATTTTCGTACATCCAACCAAGGTTCCACATCGCGAGAGCGCTCAATTGAGTATCCGCCGCGCTTTGGTAGAACTTGGCCGCTTTTTCCCAGCGAACAGATTCGGGTTCGTCGGGTACGCCAAAGCCATGATAGTAATAATCACCGACTTTCACCAACGAATCCACATTCCTTTGCGAAGCGGAACGAATCCACTGTGTCAGTGCAAGACGGGCAGTATCGTTCGATATCTGGATGGGAGAGAACCGAGTGGAGCGAAGCAGGCTCTTGTCTGTGATGGAGAGGAATGATGGGTCAGGCAAGCGCAGTGAGAACAAAAAGGCCTCAAGCCAAACCTACCCTGATCGAGGGCGTACGCCAGGTTGTTCTGTGCAACTTCGAATCCCCTTTCAGCAGCAACCCACCACTTCAGAATGGCCATTTCCTTTCCACGTTCGGTCCCGCTGTTCCATGCATGCTCGGCGTCGTTGACGAGGTCATCATCCCACACGCCACGTTCCGCTGCGAGCTTATAAAAAGATACCGCGCTGGAACAAGAGCCTGCGGCGTAGTCCTGAGGAAACCCACTCGTCCTCATGTTCATAGTGTGGATCTTGGCGAGGTAAAAATGCGCTTCAAATGTTGATCCGAAACGGATGGCCGTTTCAAAATACGTTCCAGCAAGCTTGAACTCCCCACGGGCTGCAGGGTATGTATGATAATAACGATCGTGAGGGGTCCTAGTTCCAAACCGGAGAAGAGAAGGGAAGTCAACTAACCATAATGGTGCTTGCCCAGGTTGACATGAGCCTCGGCCAGTTCTTGACCGGCAGCAATAGCGAAATGCTCGAGTGCTTTCCGGATGTCCTTCTTACCCTTGACCAACCCATCTCTCCACACGATACCCAGACCATTATGGCATTCCCGGTCACCATACTCAGCTCCACGTTCAAACCACATCATTGCCATCTCATAGTCCTGCTTTACGCCTTCTCCACGCATATACATCCTCCCAAGGTACGCAGCACTCTTCGGAGCCCAACCCGGTTGAGTCACACCTTCGGCTTTATACGCGGAAGCTTTATGCTGCAATGGGTTCTGGGGATCCCGAGGCCAGACCTGGCGCGCGATCTGGAGGAAGTAGTACTGCGCTTGTTTGAAATCTTGTGTAATGCGACCGACTCCTTCAGATCCTGATGCAGTACCTCCTGCAGCCGCATATATGCTACCCTGATAGAAAATCTTGCCTAGTTTATACGCGAAGTCCATTTCCCCTCTGTCGGCATTGAACTGCGTAGCCCCAAGACAGCGTTAGTTCGTATATGCATTAACGTGCATAGACAGACGGTCACTTCACCATATAATACTCGAGGAGATCATCCCAAGTCTCTCCTGCAGCCCTAGCGAATCCTGCTTTGACAGCTGGCCTGACAACGTTGAAGCCGGTGGAAGCGACGCTTGCGCCCGGTCCATACACCCCTCCGTCTAAATCAGAAAGGCTGGTTGGTGTGTAGGGTAACGTTAGGCCACCGGGTGGGCCCGACAAAAACTTTTGCATGGCTAGGAAAAGTTGACAGGTCAGATACACGGCCACATCAGCTGTTTCAAATAGTGGTACCTTGATCAGCGGCTTCCTCGTACCATGCTGCAGCTCGAGTACAATCTTCCAGAGTACTGATACCGCTCCAGTAACGATACCCCAAAGCCATTTGGGCACCCTTGTCGCCGCCCTGCGCTGCAAAGGTGTAATAGAGAAGGGCTTTCGTTTGGTCGATAGGTACCACGTCTGCGTATCCCGTGGCATGGAAGAATGCGAGATAAGACTGGGAAGTAGCGTTGCCAGTAATTGAGGCATGCATTGCGAACGAGGAATATGCCAGTTTGGGATCCAAAGAGAAATAGATATTAGGTGGGAACTGTTGGTCCACACATAATATTGTCAAAACATTTGTTGAATACGAAACTCCATCATGATACATTACGTACCAGTGATAGATGGGCCAGTGCGAAAAGCGCGTCCATGCTTCCCAATTCTGCGGACAGTTGAAGTAAATCGATAACCTTGATGGCCTTTCTCTGAATTTCCTCATCCTTCTTCTTCCTGGAAGTAGCGGATTTACCAGACGAAAAGATGCGATGGTATAGTTTCTGCGTTATACGGATGGCGCTACCTATCGGACCCTTGCCTTGTGCGGTGGGTAGGAGTGAAGAGAAAAATGATGACGATGATGGTGATTGTTGTTGCTGTGAAGATGCACTTTGTTGCTGCTGCTGCTGCTGTTGTTGTTGCGCGAACGGATCGTAATGATGGGTGTACTGGTGTGGGTAGTTGGTCAGATTATGTAGTGTAAAGATGGCGCTTCTGAAGGCGCGAGTAGCTGGTTGGGGAGTATGTAGTCAATAATCAATGTTGTCCAGTGACCGATGGCATGAACGCTACCTTCCGTAGCATGGTCAATGTCCGGCTGGATATCCTGTGGTGGTGAAGTCTAAAGGACGACGGTGGGTCGGTCAGTCACATCCACAAACGCTGGGACGTACGGCTGTCTGTTGAGCATCGTCGGGGGTCGATGACTGCGGGGTGTTGGCGAGTACATCGCCCTGCGTTGTTGGGTGGGCGACATTGGGGTTAGCAGACACCGAAAATGCTGCCAACGCGACCGAGTCCGAAGGCGAGCCACGCCGCTCGTCGTCTTGCCTTGGACGTCATTGATTCGTGGTGTATTAGAGTGTACTTTGCCGAAGACTCAGAGCGGGGAAAATGGCAGGCACACAAACAAATACGGCACGCGCAGCAGGGCCACGTCGACAAGTCACTCCATAGACAGGGGGAAAATTACTAGGTACATACACACCGAGAGGGACATTTCAAAGCCAAAAGACAACAAGGACGAGCATGGGTAGGTAAGTAAGTAGGTAAAACATGAGAAGAAAAAAGAAAACTGCGAGAACTATGGGCCATGGATGGTATACGATCGTGACATCTCTGCATGAGCCTGGTTGCAGTACAAAGATATATTTAGGCGAGGAAACAGGAAAGAAAAACAAAACAAAAGAAGCGAGGAAGGACATGGATGAGAAAGAAGACCAGTTCAGGCATAGTGGATGTGCGTGTTATGGTGTTGTTTGAGGCTCCGTGTTTAACGATGCGGGTGTGTTGCTAGTTGACCTGGACAGGTGTTCGATGCTAGGTGTATCATGAATATGAGTCAAAATCTAGTTGAAGATGGAGCAGTGGTAAGTAAGCCGATGGCAGAGCGTGCCAGTGGGCCTAGTAATAATAGAAATGCAACGGAGCTCGGAAAGAACGGCAAGGACACCTCCGATGGAGAACATGACGATGGCGCGGGGCGTCGGGCGGACAAACGCGGGCCGTGGCGCATTGGAAAAGAGACCCGGGCTCGGACGTCCTGGCAGACAGGCAAGGGACGGGGAATCGTGTTGTAGGGGTGACCCTGACTTCCCTCCCTGTTACCGGATCAGTCGTGCCCAATCCAATTGACTCTCCTTCCGCTCCCCGTTCTCCTTCCGCGGGAATGCATTCCAGAACCGGAGCGTCTCGTCACCAGCCCCTGTGACGATCGTCTCACCCTCGGGGCTCATAGCAAGGTAGAGTACGCGATGTGTGTGCCCCGTCAACGCAGCGACCATAGATAGGGATGGATACCGCCAGATACAGATCTGGTTCTGCGCTGTCGTACTCGAGAACCCGTGTGTGCTCACAAGTTCATGCGAAGTCAGCGACCAAATCAAATTGCACACCTTACAGTCCAAACAATCAGCTGTGAGAAATTCAACGCAGATATATGATCACACACCTGACTACCCGTGTCGAGTTGGTTCAGCATGGTCCCGTTGTACGTGTTCCAAAACCGTATGTGTTTGTCCTGCGTCCCCCCTCCTGATGCCAATACTCCGGAGACGTGTGGATCCCAGGCTAGAGCCTTGACGGCTGCGGTATGTTCATGGAATTTCCACAGGGGTGCATCCCCGCTGTCCTCGGACGCAGATATGCTCCCTGATCGTGCACGGGTCGTTCCAGGACTGATTCCGATCGCCGCACTCGCACTGCTCCGTCTTGCACCCCTGAGATCCCATATGCATACTTTGTTGTCGTTTCCGCCGCTGGCAAGCATGGCCCCTGCCGTATGCACGCCAAATCCCGGCCCTAGACCTCCACCGCCATCGGCACTACTCACACCAGCGCCGATGCCACCACCGGCAGTGTTCCCCGAGCCAGTGCTCCACCTTAGTCCGCATACTTCCTGTTTATGGCCGGCACAACGACGGAAGGGGCGGTTGCCGGCTTCACGAACATCGCGATGGTGAACCATGCGATCACGCGAGCCTGAGCTGAGAACGTGGGCATTCCACGATAGGGCACCGATGCGCTGGGAGTGGGCTGGGTTGTAAGATCGTATGAGTGATAGGGATGGTGCGTCGTAGATATGCAGTCTTCCCGAGAGGGTGCCCACTGCGAGAATGGTACCCTGGACAAAATACGGGATGTGAGAGATAGAACGACGTGAGAGAAGCAGCACGTACCTTTTGTACCCATGCAACGGAGCTGACAGTATCGCCGACGTTGGAGAGGTCGCATAGTTTGGCGACTGCTGCGTTGTGGGCAGTCCAGAGGTATACACAAGCGCCGAGACCGACGCCGAGAATGTTAGTTGTGCTCCAGTCTACGAGGTTGAGGTAAAAATCGTCTGCTAGATCGGGGGCGTCGAGCACGCGATATGGTGTTTTGCAAACGGCACGGGGCTGACGACGAGGGGATTCGAGCAGCTGACGTGACGAGGCGCGTACGGGGGACATGGAGTAGGCTTCGTCCTGTGGGTGTGTCTAGACGGCGAGTGGGGGTGGGTGGGCCTGAAGAGGGGGAGGTGTAGTGAAAGATGCGGCGCCGTGTTGGCGTGGATGGGGGGATAGACGCGGGTGGAGGGCGAGACGGGGAGGGGGGTCTGTTCGGGGACGGGGGCGTGACTTCCGTGTGCAGGATGGACGTGAAGATGGCATTGGCTTGTTCTGTTACAAGGGGGTCAGAGAGACGCGGACAGAGGGGAGCCTGGACGTGCCTTTGAGCGCGTCAGACTCGGAGGGTATGATGCGTTTTGAGGGCGTGCATGGACCGGAGTCGTCCATCAGATGGTACGACGTCCGCATGTCGCCCGTGTCGCGGGTTGGCACGAACCGATCGCCATAGTTTGTCGGACGACTGTCCAGCGGCGAGTCTGGCCCGGTGCTATCACTGGCCATCGTCGTCGTTGTCATTGCTGGCGTTGCGGTCGAGCTTGTCGTTGCCGTGGTTGGCCGCGAGTCGAGCGAGGGCGTGTTCAGTGCGAGTATTCTGGGCCTGGTCCGCCTCGGTGCGCCGTCGTCGTCGCCGGCCTCGTTGTGGAAACCACGCAGACGCTTTCCAAACGGCGAGTTTTTGAGGGCAGACATCGCATCACAGCTGCAGCTGAGGACGACAGGAACGAGACTCGACGCGTCGATTACGTAAGGGTTACTCTGGGGTTAGGGTTTCCTATTTCGTCACCGCCATCTTGTCCCCACGCTGAGTTGTGTGCGCACGGATACACCGCCGGCAGCGATGAATGTGAGCGGGCCCGGCGTCGACCTGTCACGAAGACTGACTTTGTTTGCAGAATCTGCTCAGGACGCTGACTGAGAACCAGCGCAGGCCATCGCCTGACCTGAAGCTGCTTCTCAACACTGTCAAAGATGTCCGCGTGAGTGTCTCACCCCATTCGCCCCCTCTTGACCGTCTGTCATCTCGCTTGCACAGCGTCTTGCATTGGACAGCAAGGCTTCAGACCCATTCTACGAGTCGCTCGAGGGTCTCCTCCTCGACCTCAGAACAGTCACAATGGTATGTCACTTGTCCTTGGGTTGTCAGTCATCGTCTCTAACCTCCTCAAGGACAACCGTGATGCTGAAGCGTTCCTCAAACCCGTCTCTAGGGCGGAAGTACCAGACTATCACGAAGGTAGTACTCTTTTCGGCGTGCTGCCCGTCCATCCCTTCGTCTCACCCGCACCTGCAGTCATATCCAACCCCATGGACCTCCAGACCATGCTCAAGAAAGTCAAGCAGAAGCACTACAAGTCAAAGCGCGAGTTCAAGGACGACCTAGACCTCATGTGGTCAAACTGCTTCACCTACAACTCTACAAAGGTAAACCGTCACACTCCTCGTCCTCGATCCTGCTGACTGCACTGCGCTCCCTTCTCTCACACAGGATCACCCTCTCCGTCTTTGCGCGATCCGTCTCAAGAAAAAGGCAGAGAGACTCCTCATGCACATCACAGACAACAGAGATCGCATAGACCCTCCTGTTCCCGGCGAACCATCTCACCATACCACTCGCCCCGTTGCCAGACTGAAGCTCAACGGCTTGACGCCCCACGATAATAAAGACCGCGATACCACGCCTAATGATCTTCGGTCCCAACTACCCGGAACAGCGTCGACCCGGCACACCACCAACGGACATTCCAACAGACTCTCGTCGACGTGCACCACAGAGTCACGACCTCGAAAACAAGTCTCATTCGCCGATTCGCCAGCACTGATACGCACACAACAAGGCATGTCTGCATTCCGCGATCTCGACCTAGGCCTGGCACAGTTACTCGATGCCACCGATTTTCAAATGGGAGAACCTGGACCTTCCACGCTCTCACATGCACGGAGGCTGGCAGATCGCCTCAGACATCATGTAATGCCACCCGAAGTGGTCGACGACGAAGACGCGTATAGCGACATTAATACAGACTCGGACGTCAAGATGGAAACACTGAGCGATACAGGCGAAAAGCGCAAGCTGTAAGTTTCCCCTTCTTCCTTCGTCCCTACCGTCACAACCTGACATCATCCACGTAGCATGGCTCCTTACTTGCGACAAGCGAAACGACCGCGCTTAACACCACCAGACTCGGGTGACGAGATAGACGCTAAGGCCGAGACACTTCTTCGACCGCCGCGTAGTCACGGAGAACTGATAGATTTATGGTGGAATGCCGCTCAGAGCGATGCGCTTCTCGCCAATGGATTGCCATGTCTACCCTCAATAGCGTCATCTCCGCTACCCCAACGACCGCCACCTCGCAAGGCTCCAATCGTCAATACTCCTGTCACGACCACAACCGCGCCATCGGCCCCTACGACACCTCGGAAACGTCGAGTTCGTCCAGTGGCGGGGCAAGAACGGTCAGAGACACTACTTTCTCTCATGAATACCAACATCAAGACCCTCAAACGGGTACGGAGGACACATACTAAATTTGCAGCTCTTGGGTTTAATGCAGGAGAAGACGGCGCAGGGACTGGTGGTGCACCAGGGGTGGGTTTGGGTGTGGGTGGGACAGAACGCGAGGATATTCCCGACCCAGAAACGGAGTTGCCGGAGGAAGTGGTCGACGGGCGACCGTGGTTGCTCCGATTGCGAGGCGCAGGAGGTAAAACCGTGGCGAGAGGTGGGATCGAGATCGGGGAACGCGCTGCGGGATCTTGTCTAAAGTGGATGAACAGAAAGGTGTTGGAACATGTGGGGTTTCAGGGTGAGTCGTCGTTTTTGGCCACATATAGTCATATTTCGCGTTTTTCATTTGATCTCGTCGCGTATTGACGCTGAAAACATGACTGGTGCTGCCACTTTTGGAGTATAGGTACGTCGAACGCTGCGCTTGACGATCTAACGGGAGTAGCGTCCGAATTCCTCCTCAACCTCGGACGGACACTACGATTCCTCTGTGATAAGTACGCGCGTACTATGACCCCCGAGGTACGTTAGGTACTTGTTGTCCTGCGACGCATACGGCAAAAAACTGATGCTGCCGATATGACGACGTTAGGAACTTATTCTGCACGCACTCTTCGAGAGCGGTACCACCAGAATACAAGATCTCGAGCGGTATATCAAGGATGATATCGTGAGACACGGGGCACGGCTCGTGGAGCTAGAGAAGAAATTGGAGAACGCATATCGCGAAGCTGTAAGCTTCTTTCCCTGCTGCTTTCCGTGTCCTCTTGTCCTTTGATATATGACGTTGACGATGAATTAGACGAGCACCGACGTCCTGGACGACGATGCGCTTTTCAATTCAGATCAGGAGGAAGACGATGGACTTGCGATGGGTGCGTTCGCAGACACATTGGGGGAGGACTTTTTGGGTCTTCGAGAACTGGGTATTGCGGCGGAACTGGGACTTTCGAGTCTCAGTGTTCCGAGGAAGTTGCTCAAGGGGAAGAAAGACGCTACTGGAGGCGTCAAGTACGTGGATTCTCTTAATGCGGTTCTGTTGTCTCAATTTTTTTTCTTCTCTACTACTGCAGGGCAAAGCCGGCGGAAGTGCAGCTACCGTATCCACCCCCACCCCCGTTCATCCCTATCACCTCCAAGAACGTCGAGGATCAAATTGGCCTTCTCCGTCCGTACTATCATCAACGCCTCTCTTCACTTGCCGTCACTGCCCCGGTTGTGTCTGCAGACATTCCGAACGCATCTTTACCTGGAGTACTGCCCCTTCCGCCCCCACTCCCGCTCCCCACCCTTCCCCTCTCACCCACTGGCCGGTGGTGGTGGTGCAGGTCCGTCCATATTGTCAACATCCGCGTCTCAGCAAGTGGGACCGAATCTGTCATCATCATCAACCTCTCAGCAATCATTACTGCCACTGCCACCACCATTACAGCACCCATCTCCGTCCATCATCGCGACACTCCCTGACGATCCCGCCGAATTCTGCACAGACTAAGGTTAATCCAATCGGGCAGGTTGTCAAGCCGAGTTTGGCAGCTACGACTGTGAAGAAGAAGGGGAAGGGGAAGGAAGGCGGCGGCGGCGTTGGAACGAGTACGAGTGGTGTTGTTGCCGGCGTTGGTGTACCATTACCAGTAACAGCGGTACTCCAGTCTGAGACGGTAGCAGATGGAGGAAGCGTTACTGGTGCTGGTGCTGTGGAAGTTGAGATAGCGGCAGGTGATGGAGCAGGCAAGGGAGGGACAGGCGGAGGTAAAAGTGCAAAGTGCAAGTGAGAATCATGTGGGCGGGAGTGTGTCGCCGAGGAAAAAGGAAAGAATGGCTGATCTGCCTCCTGTCATTGCAGCGAGGGGTTGAGATAGCCTTGGCTTCCTGAGTTGGTGAATATCTGCACCAGCAGCATGTAATAGTTTGTGGGCTGCATAGTTACTGAAATATGTTTGTTGGTGCAATGGTTAATGCTGCAGTGAGAGCCTCCACATGTTACATAAGTGTACATGGAGGATTATTCTGGACACCAATTTTGTCCCTTTTATGTACATACAATTTATAATATATTGCATGGTTGGTTCTTAGAGTAGATATTGAATGGGAGCATCATCTTTACATACTAATGTCTTGAGTGTTCTGACTTCTGTTGGAACATAAACTGCCACTGTTTGTTAGTACTTTGGTGTGATGCTAGTGATGAAAATGCAACCAGAACTGGGATTGATCCAGCAACCCTTGGTGTTAACTAGGTGCTCCAACCACTGCACTATATGGTCTGGGTACCAGTGTCAGTAGTTTGGAGGTTAGACCACTGCTGTGGGGACAAATCTCCATGAAGAGTAATGCACAAAATGCACCATCTCCAATGGCATGTGCTTATTTAAGCATAAAAAGTGTGCATATTTGCAGTATTTCCTATAGCACATCAGCAAAACACAAAAATGTGTTAGTAACTCATAGCTGTCCATGGTATTTGCACAATTCCATATTAGTCCAAAGCAGTATCAAGTACCCTAACAACTCATAGTGTCAGGTTAGACTACACCAGACCAGTCCAAAGTAGTGGCTGGCATCTAAGCATCTCATAGCACCTGAGCAAGCCACACCAGTGATACAGTTGTCAAGAAGTGATAAGGTTACATAAGTGACCAGCAGATGAGCAGTGGACAAACTGCAGATGAACCTTAGATGAGCCTTAGATGAACTGGCCCTTTTTCCTGTGCTTCTGGTTTTGACAGGTTATTCTTGGACACCATCAGGCCAGGTCTGCAAACTCTTTGTCCTCAACAATCATACTGGACTGTTAAGTCCAATCATGTGTGGTTTCCTTTTGAGGGGGAACTGCATGCATTGGGGTTCTGGCAATTTGTTTGTATTCATTATGTCAGGAAGCATCATGCAGATGAACATGGACAGTGGCATGTGCTGCTTGTGTATTAACACTGCTGGAGCCAGTGATGTCATTGCCATCGGTTATGAGTTTATTTGATGAGAATATATGCTGGACCATGTTACTACAGATGAGGAATTTACTGCCAAGTTTGTGTACCCTAGAGGATCATTGTTGGTATGTCATACAAACTCAGTGTGTGAGTTTGTGGAACAGTACCCCTTCCTGACATTGAAGGATATTGAATCTATTGTGGCATTTCACAGAGTGGTTCTGCTTTGTCATCTGTGCTGTCAGGGGTGTGTTGATGCCCTCCACATTCACGAGTGTACAGCTGCTTGTCCATCACTGTTGTATGTGTTTTGACAGCTTAAAACTGCTTGGAGAGGGAAATGTTTCCTTCCTGCTTTGCAACCAGCAACTTCACTTGAGGGAAATGTTGCTGATGTTAGAAGTGTTGAGAGAAGTGAAAAGCTGGCTTGACATCGACAGTTAGTAGGGGGGGATGTTGATGAGGGACTGTGTCCTTATCCCCCTATCAGATTGTTGAGCAAAAAGCTTGACATCATCTGTGATTGGCAGAACCTCATGTCACCACAGGGTCTTGCTGAGGGAGTCTGCACTTTGTGTGTGCAAACATTCCAGTGTTGTGATCTTTCAGATATTATTCCTTCCACTAAAATGCTTTTGGTGTTGAGGAATGATTGGTTACCAGTTCCATGTTGACCCTGGGCAAATGACATGGAAAAATATCATGGAGTGATCCTCTGCCCATACAGTATGCATCATTTGGATGATGTCACTGAGGTTCAGATGTGCATTTCATGTCAAAAAGCATTGACAGGCAAGACCCCATGACAACCAAAGGATTCTATTGTGAATTTTCAATATTATGGTCATGGTGAGTTGCTGCAGGATGTCCAGGAAAGTATCCATGCAGCAAGTGCTTTGGAGGTCATGCTCATTGCAGTTGTCATGACTGTGTGTTTATCCTAAGTCCTCACTCACTCTGCACCCTTCTCTGCTGGTCATTCACTCATTCCACACCAACTCCACCCATCCTCTGTCAGTTACAAACCTTCTCCACTCTGACTGCTGTCAGACTTGTACTGGTCTACCATTGGACTGTGTGGACCATTCTCTGAGGGGTCATGTGACCTCCCTTTGGACTTCTCCTTGACAGCATGCAGTCAGGTACAGTGCAGTGCATGCATGGCATGGTCTGGCACCTGGACTGTTTCCTTTTTGGTTTGTTCTATGTTACCCATCATATGTTCTCCATCTGCCCTTCATTCATTGTCTAGGAAGTTTTTACTTGAAAATTTATGAGTCTCCATATGTCAGTTCTGATTCCAGTTACTGTACCTCTGTAGTAGTATAAAAGCATGTGCTGTACTCTGCTGTTCTTCAGTATGAATATCAACTTAGTTCCTACTCCTTCTCTCTCCATCTTTTGTCTGTCAGAGTTACCTCTGACTGTCCATCTGGTCTCTACCTCTGAAATACAAGGGCTGATATCATGCAAGGGGGTACTGCATGAGCTAAACAATGCCCTCACTCTGCTCTGCCTCTGTCTTGGTAGACTTTGTCCCTGCCAACACTCCACCAGTCAGAATTCTGTTCTTCTGTGTCAGACTTGCTTCCAAACCTCTCCCAAGACCTTGTCTAGCATCAGAGTTGGTTGGAGTAGGCCCAGACTTGACAGTATATTCATACTCACACTTGTGCAATCTCATTTTCTGTCCTCTGAAAATCTTATGCCATTATGAGAACCTGTGCTCAGTCTCAAAGAGAGGTCACTGACAACCTTGCTGCAGTGCTGGCCAATCCATGTCATCTTCCTTCCACTGTAGAACAATTCCAAACCTTTTCTGCTTGATGCCACTCTCATGCTGAAGGCAAATGCACTTTGCAAGCTGGTTGTTCCAACCTCCACCTGACAATCTTCCATACTCTGTCTCCTCATAACCAAGATGATGGACCCAACCCTGATCCTGATGATCCTGATGGTGGTCCTGATGGTGGTGTGGGGTGCAAGTATCTGCTACCCAGAGTGGGGTGTGGGCTCCAGCCTAGGGATAGGCAATCTGAAGGGGTGAGTTTGACCCATAGGGAGTCACTCTAGCTGTAGGAGGGTGGTAGGAGTGAATGTGACTGAGTTGTGTGAGTTGCTCAACTTGTAAATGAAAAGTGTGATGGATTGAGGGAGAGACTAGTGTCAAGCTGGCCTAGAAAGTGTCACAAAATGTGCCTGCTACTCAGCACTAGGCAGGGGAAAGGGAAGAGGTTGTGTCAACATCATTACTTCTGCTCTCTCTCTCGGTCTCTGACTTGGGGGTTTCAAAGTTGTTATTTTCCTGTCAATGTGGACAGGTATAAGTGTAGCTACATGCAGAGTATGTGACCATGAAGTAAGCGATGTCAAAAGTGAAAGGATTGACAAGAAATGGTGGGAATTAAGTGGGATTGATGTAATGATGGCTGTGAGGCCAGAACAGCATCAGCAATCAAAAGAAAGACTAATGTAAATGAAGTGAAAGTGATCCAAATGGAAGAGAACAAGAAGAGAATGAAAGCAACAGTGAAGCACTTACATAACTGATAGTGCAGACCCAAAGAGTGCCAGTGAGTGAGTACAGACAACAGGACACCTGTCAGAAGCATTGGACCTTCATCACAATGGCTAGAGGGAGTGTTGAGAGGTGATGCAATGATGGGGGGAGTGAGTTGACAGAGGAGGGCATAGTACTGGGTGACCTAGACCACAGAGGATATTGAAGTTACTTGATAGGGGTCACATTTGCATCACTTTTGTTGCAAAGCCTATAGATACTTAGTAGACTCCCTATCAACATTATACATACACTCCTAGTGTAGGGAGATCCCTCTCCCCACAGCAGGGGCAGCAGTGATGGGGATATCCCCAAAGACCTGGCTGAGCTGCCAGAGGATCTCCTTGTCACTCTTGCTAGAGCTGTTCATGTGCTTGTGTGGTCTGGGTTCATGCACTGGGGACTCTGCTCTGAAAACCAAAGTCTGTGAGCCTGACACCTTCAATGGCTCTGACCCAAAGAAACTCTGTGAGTTCCTTGTGCAGTGTGCAAGTTGAACTTTCAAGACCACCCCTGCACATTCTGCTCTGACTGTCAAGTCCAGGCCTACTCCGACCAACTCTGATGCTAGACAAAGTCTGGGGAGAGGTTTGGAAGCAAGTCTGACACAGAAGAATAGAACTCAAACTGGTGGAGGGTTGGCAGGGACAAAGTCCACCAAGACAGGGGTGGAGCAGAGTGAGGGTGTTGGGTTTAGCTCATGTGTGATACCCCCTTGCACAATCTCAGCCTTTGTATTTCAGAGGAAGAGGACAGATGGATAGTTGGAGGTAACCCCAACAGACAGAAGATGGAGACAGAGGGAGTAGGAACTAAGTTGATATTCATACTGAAGAACAGTGGAGTATGGTACATGCTTTTATACTCATTACAGAGGTACAGTAATTGGAATTGGAACTGACATACAGAGACTTGTAAATTTTCAAGTAAAACTTCCTAGATGATGAATGAAGGGAAGGCAGAGGACATACAAATGGGTAACATAGAACAACTTGAAAAGGAAATAGTCCAGGCACTGGACCATGTGGTGTGTGAGCTGCAGAGTACCTGACTGCATGCTGTCAGGGAGAAGTCCAAAGGGAGGTCACATGACCACTCAGAGAATGGCCTGTGCAGTCTGGTAGGAGACCAGTACAAGTCTGACAGCAGTTGGAGTGGAGATGGTTCATAGATGACAGAGGGCAGGTGGAGTTGGTGTGGAGTGAGTGAATGACCAGCAGAAAAGGGTGTGGAGTGAGTGAAGACTTAGGATGAATGCATAGCTGTAACAGTGCCACCCCTTAGGGCCTGAACCCTTGAAGGCTGCATGTATGGGATGAGATCAACACAAGTTGATCATTTTGAAATTGTTTGATGCCTTGAGGACAATGGTTCAGCTGCAGTGGAGGTCTGTCAGAGTTTGAAGAACTGCTTAAAAACATGTGTTTGTGTACTGAACCTTCATATCCCATCCCCCCATCATCATGCCCTCTCAGTGCCAGACCACAACCCACCAGCCCACCCCTGGTCACTCTTGTGACTACTCCCAGGTTTCTGATGATGACCTATTTGTACTTACAGATGACTTGATGGACACCAAACATGAGAAGGCAGCAGAGAA